GGAAAAATATCAAAACAATTAGACTCAGCAACAAACTTGATTATAAGAAGCTAGGATTATTCAAAATCTTGCAGCAGATTTCTCTAGTTAATTACAAGTTAGCATTACCTTATGAGATGAGAATATATTCAGTTTTCCACATTTTACTGCTGGAATCAGTAGTACAGGAAATACTAATAGACAATACAGCAGAAGTGGAAAATAATGAATCAGAGTATGAGATAGAGAAGATTCTTAAGCATAAAGGCATAGATAATACAAGAGAATATCTTATTAAATGGAAAGATTATTCAGCAAGCGAAAATTCTTGGAAACTGAAGAAAAACGTTGAAAATGCTTAGGAAAAGGTAGCTGAATATTGGAAAAGGAAAGCTAGCATCTAAGATAATCGCTCCGCCCCGGACTGAGGTTCAGGAGCCTTAGAGACCTCGCTCTCCAGGAAACCCGACCAATCCACCACTGCATTCCTCACATCTACAGAATTCCAGTCGAAACCTTCAGAGGAAGAACCTCCAGAAGCAATAACGAGCTCCGCAGAAATCACAGCCTGCACCTCAGCAGCTATGCGCTCGCGCTCCTTCTCCTCCAAGCTCTTGTTTACCAGCTTTATCCCCTTCTCCTGAAGAAAGCGTTGCTGCTTCTTCAGCTGTAACAAACGAGCTAGCAATTCGTTCATGCAAGCCTGAAATTCCAACAACCGCTCCTCCTCCTCAAGCTTGCATCCATCGATACGGATTAACTCATCAGTAATCCGGGATACTAAGGGAAAAGTCTTAGTTAATAAAGAAAGATATTCAGAAGGAAATACCAACAGAAAGAAACGAGCATGCAATCTGCATTGCAGGAACAATCCCGCTTGGTGCATTGCGAATAACTCTTTATCCTATCTACCATCTTATACAATACCCCTTCTTCCAAACACAAAGAATATAGCATTATCTCGTATCCGTTGGATTTAATATAACCGAAACGTTCCCAACGAGCAAAGCTCTTCTTGGAAAGAACAAAGGAAGAAGATTTACCAACGCAAGAATTTAAGGTTCTATTCGATATCTCGATTAGGAAGGCATAACCACGCATTCGGAGAACTTGCTGAATACTTACAGGAGATTGTTAAGAACAACAACTGATAGGAGGGAGATGATATTATGATTCATCCAACATGCAGATCACGAAAACAGGTTACAGGCAGATAAGAACCAGATGTTATAACTCAACGTTAGACAATTCACAAGGATTACGTAATCCAGGGTTAGGGTTACAGGCTAACCAATCAGAAGAGCTCATCTGTGCTTACCGAGCCTCAGTGAGCACCACCGAACAGCAGTAAGCCCCAGTGAGCATTAGCGAGCTATACTGAAGAGCTGAATATATAATCCCACGTTCATTACCATTAGACAGATTATCGTACATAGCTCTTCAGTTGTCAATCTAAGTATCCGATTACTCTCTACTCGGATAGCTCCAAAGGCAGTGAACACTTGCATCGCTTACTGAGACTTGTACGGTTCCGTATTCAAGGACTTGGCACTTTGACACCGCTCTTGTTAGCATAAAACCCCCTTTGTGTACTTTGGAATCTTCGGATTGCTGCAGTGCTCATTACATCTCTGCATTTGCTAGCGCCGAAAATTCTCCTACTCAAAAAAACTATTCTCTACCTTAAGGATACTTTGACTTTAGGATAGGGCTCATGCAACCCAAGCATGCTTGTACAGATGAGAATAGCAAACTAAGGCTATACAAGCGCAAGAACAGAGTGAAAAACCTGTCTTAGATCTATTCAAAGGGTTTAAAATTGAAAGGAAGAGAAAGAATGCTTTTTTTTTTTTTTTTTTCTATAGCTAAAGAATTTGAAAAGTGAGTAATATTCTTTATATATATGAAAACTCTTAACTCACTGTACTCCATATCCCACGAACTACCACCCTAGCCACCACAACAACAGATACAAATATAACGAAGAAATTATTATTCTTTATACTCTATAAATATAATTCAACAGCTTACTATAAAGCACTACTAGAAGCAGATACAGAAGCTGCAGATAAAAAGATTAGAAAGATTAAGAAGATTTAGAAAGAACTTCAGTCAGAATTACAATTCATTCAGAAATAAATAATATAATATGCAAACTCCAAAAGAATTGAGAAATCAATCTTACAGAAAAGAGATAAGATCTATCTATTTCGGAAAAACATCAAAATAACTAGATCTAGCAATAAACTCGATTACAAGAAGTTAGAACTATTCAAAATCTTGCAACAAATTTCCCTAGTTAACTACGAATTAGTATTATTCTATGGAATAAGAATACATTCGGTTTTTTATATTTCATTGCTAAAATCAGCAGTACAGGAAATATTAATGAATAATATAGCAGAAGTAGAAAATAATGAATTGGAGTATAAGATAGAGAAGATTCTCAAGTACAGAAGTATAAATAGCACAAGAGAATACCTCATCAAGTAGAAAGATTACTTAGCAAGCGAAAATTCATGAAAACTACAGAAGAACATCAAAAATGCTCAGAGAAAAATAGCTGAGTATTGGAAAAAGAAGGAAACCAGCATCTAGAACGATCGCTCTGCCCTAGACTGAGACTCAGGGATCTCAGAAATCTTACTCTTCAGGAAATCCAATCAATCTACCACTGAATTTCCTACGTTCACAGAATTCCAGTCAAAGCTCTCAAAGAAAGGATTACCAGCAACAGCAGCAGACTCCTCTGCAACCACGGAACAAACCCTGGCAGCTACACGAGCTCGCTCCTCCTCAGCCTCCTCACGCTCTAACTCCTCCACGCTGGAAAGGCCTCGGCGAATAGCCTTCATCATCCTCTCAAACTACAGACGTTTCTATCTCTGCAGACATTCCATCTCTGCAGCAGTATTACGCAGCCGCTCCTCAGCACTCTCGAGTTGGTCCTCCAGGCGTTGGTATTGAACGCCTATCCAGCGAATTTCCACTGCGCTCAGCCCTTGAACATCGTACCGGGAGCGGCCCAAGCGAACACATTCAGCGCAGCGGGAGGAGTTCTCAACAGAGACTTAACAAAGCTGAATATCACAACCCTTGCAGAAAGAACAGAAAGGCATGGTAGTAGCGTTTGTAAGGATCAAAGAGAGAAGGGAATCCTTTTGTTTAGTCTTCTTAGCACGAGAACAAGATTTGTTAACTCTGTTTAACATCTCGATTAGGAAGGCAAGATCATGCATAAAAGATTTGCTAGGATACTTATAAAGGATCGTTGGAACAACAACTGATAGGAGGGAGATAATGTTATAACTCATCCAACATGCAGGTTACAGAACAGGTTATGAGTAACAAGAACCAGGTATTAAGAACCCAATGTTCTAACAAAGCATTGATTACCTAATTCAGAATCAGAGTTATAAGCACAACTAATCAGGAAGGATAGCTTCGGATATATGCTATTCAGAGCTAGCAGGATAACTTGGATATATTGCTATCCAACATATCCATACTGAAGAGCTGGATATATAAGAACACGTTCATTACCATTAGATAGATTCAGTATATAGCTCTTCAGTTATCAATCTAAGTATCAGATTACTCTCCTACTCTGATAGCTCCAAAGGCAGTGAACACTTGCACAGTTACCCCAGTTGTATTTCCGTATTCAAGGCCTGTACTTAGCACTGCTCTTGTTAGCATAAACCCTTTGTATACTTTGGAATCTTCGGATTGCTGCAGTGCTCATTACATCCTACTCAAAAAAACTGTTCTCTATCTTGAGAATACTTTGACTTTAGGATAGGATCTGAGGATCTCCGAGCAGATCTATAGATCCTTCTTCTATTACAACCCTAACCCTGGGTTATGTAATACTGTCTGTTATCCGATGCTGGGTTGCAACACTTGGTTCCTTGTTGGTGGGGCCTGTTCTGTGACCTGCATGCTGAATGGGTTATAACACCTGGCTTACTGTAATCCTCGATCCGGAGCTTGGTAATCCAGTGAGCAGCTCACTGTGATCCAGTAAGCAGCTCACCATGATCCAGTGAGTGGCTCACTCTTTCCATTGTAATCCAACCCTAACTCCTGCTTATCTAATCTCAATGGTTGTTCATCGCTGGATCCTAATCCCTGGGTCCTTGTTTGGCGGAGCCTGCTTCATGACCTGCATGCTGAATGAGTCATAACAGCAGACAAGATATAAAGCTATTTATAGCAGTATTTGCAGCAACAATATGCATTCTATTTTCTATACGTATATTCCTACCTTTGATATGCATAAATCCTGGTTTATGTGAAACTCTAAGTCTGAAATGGGAAGCTCACTCTAGAAATAAATAGCTAATCAGCAGCACAGCTCAGCATTAACTGATTCAGCAACAAAGCACAAGCTACCTAATCTGGTTTGTATGGCGGATTCTGGCAGAATTGCTGAAGAATAGAACCTAGGGTTGAAAAAGAGGTCTGAAGATGTGAATATAGTTAAGCTGAAAGGATATAGTAAAGCTGGAATATTTAATAGCTATACTCATCTCTCTAAGCGCTCTTAATTCAGCTGGTTTAAGGAGCGCACGGGCTACTGCGTGTGAGTCGGCTAAGTAGGTTGTATGAGCTGGTATAAGAGTCGGCAGCCCGCTTTTGCTGACTACGGATGCCATGGTTGTGTGAGTACGGGCTCTCCCAAGACTTTCATATGTTAAGGAATCACAAGTGAAGGTTATTAGCGTTTCAGACTTCGAACGCTCTCACGTCAAGTTCGTCACTTCGCTTTTGCAAAATCCGTCAGAAGCCACGGGAGCACTATGCGAGGGCAAAAGGGGCTCGTATTGCTGGCGCTGAAGAAAAGAGAAAGGAAGAGAAAAGCCACAGGGGCAACTATCTGAGGCTATCAACAGGCTTGGCTGTTGGCTGGCTGGCTAGGCTGTGCACGGCCTAGGGCCAGTGACTCACTGGCCCTCGCACAAGCACTGTTTGCCATCCCCGCGCAGGTGAACCTGCACAATGGTCCTCGACAGAAGGGTATGACTGCCGACCCAGTCGAAGGTGACTACATGAGTCTGGGCGCTGCTCTCATGCACCCACTCTCGCGAAGCAGCTGCCACATTTCGTCCAGCGATCGTGAAGTACACCCGATCATCGACCCTCGATATCTAAGCCATCCACTCGACCTGGAGGTGTTCGCTCAGCACCTCATGGCTATAGAAGTGCTTACTAAAACAGAACCTCTAGCGGGGTTCCTCAAGCCCAACGGCCGACGGGCCCAACCGGGGCCCAATGGAGCAAAGGTCGACACATTAAACAGAGCAAAGGAGTACATCCGTGCTACAACGCTCAGTGACAACCATCCTGTTGGGACTTGTACTATGCTGCCTCGTGAAAAGGGCGGCGTTGTAGATTCAGCTCTTAAGGTGTACGGAGTCGACAAGCTAAGGATCGTCGACTCGAGTATCATGCCCATCATTCCGCGAGCTAATACGCAGACGACGGTTTATGCTGCTGCGGAGAACGCGGCGGATTTGATTAAGACTGAATATTCAATCTAAGATAGAAGCATTGCTAGCTCTTAATGATGAAGCTCTATACTCAAGATTATGATTTGTTTCAAAGATTCCACGCAAAATTTAGTTAAAGAATATCAACTGATTATAGAGTACTAGTAATCATTCTGAGTAGTAGAAAATAACATAGTTTATAATTAAAGATTAAACTAGCAGCGATCGCGAGTATTCTAGCAATGTATCTAGTACTAATATCAATGTAACTCTTTCAGCATATTCATAGATGGTAGTTTGAATATGACAGAGATATAAATTAGACAGTTATATCTATGTACTATTAGACTCTGAAGACCCTTTCTTTCCTTGAGGCACCCCCTTCCGCGAGGTTGTCGAGTATAATGGTTCCGAGGCTAATGTTATAATCTTCCTCTCAACCGTGCGGAAATCCTAGCAACAAAGATTTGAAGACCAGATCTAGCAATAGGATTCGATCGAGTTCTAAGACTATTATCTTATCTTACAGCAATCCGAAGATCCTTTGAAACAATTTTTAAAAAAGACCCCCTTCTCTAATCTGTTTAGTGACGCTGGACAAGGACCAAATCTCGTTCCTCGTTGCATGCCTTATCCACATACCACTGGGGCAGCATCTAGGCAGCGAGTCGCATGATAAATGCTATAGAAACATATCAGATACAGCCCTTTGTGCCGCTCAGCAGCTGTATAACCAGTGAACCAGAAACAGAGCGCTATCACTCTCTGAAAAGAAACGACAGCCAGCCTAGCAATAAGCAAGAGCTTATGCAGCATAAGCATTCCAGTGTGAATAACAACAGGGAGTCTAAGGCTACACGAGCATAAATACAGAGTGAGAACCCTACCTTGGACCAGAGGATTTAAAAGAAAGATGAGAAGAGAAGTTGCTTGATTATTATCTCGTCAAGAAAATCTAAGGTGGGTAGTGTTCTTATATACATAAGAATCCATACCTTGCTCCACTCGATATCCCAGGAACCACCACACTAGCCACCACAACACTAGGTACTCAACAAAGGCGCTGACCTGCATCGACTCCTTAGCATAGTCCATTGGCTGCTTATAGGCTGTATTGGTCATGTTGAGTTAGTGGGATGTCTCAGGCAATTGCATCTTGCTGCTGGACTTGTTGAAGATAAGCGTTCTCACGGATCCGCACACCCTGAGCAGCTTTGACACAACCCGGGGGATTTCGAGCATGGGCACCTCAGCTGCTTTGGAGCTAGCGTAATTTCCCTTTTTTTTTTCCTTTTTTTTTTTTTTTTTTTGAAATATATAACACACCGGATACATGGGCATACAGCGTTCTTAGCTTCTGAAAAGCGTTAATCCAATGTTTAGTATAGTGGAGCCCAGAGAGCATGAACGCCTCCAGACGAAACTATTGGTCTGCTATTAGCATTGACTTATTTTATAGCTCAGCTAAGACTAATAGAATATCTAGCATAGCCTCAAATGCAAAACGTTATTTCATAAGTTACACATCATGTTCTTTGGTTGTTGGTTTTTTTGAATTCAAACCTATTTAGAGAACGACTGTGGGACTTTGATTCAGAAGCATTTACATTGTGCAGAATTCTAGAAGGACTAAGGACATGAACATATAATGCAAGCTATTAGATGTATAATGCAGCCCCTTTATTTCAAGCCAGACTTAAGCTGTTTTAAAGAACTACAGAAACTATTGAATGTGACTAAGGCTCTGGATTTGTGAATTGAGTGCAATTTCGGTCATAATACGAATGCAGTGGTCATTCAGGTTCTTGCATTCATTATAGTTTCAACTAATGCCCAATGCTAGAAGAACTATCGCATTCATGTTCTCAGCTAGCCACTACTATAGTGCTACTAATGCATTCTCAGCCAGCCACTCCTAGTTCGTCTAGCATAAGCGAATTCGGCGGGTCCGGGTCTGAAACTAGAATCAATACACTAGCCAACCATGACCGCGCACGTAACAGATGAATAGCCTGCCTCATTCGAATTGCGGTGTTCCGATAAATATATAAGCGAGCTCCAGGTATCTAGTCTACATCAATCTTCAGACGTTTCCGGATGAAAAACACTCTAGCATTCAATCCAATTCGCCTTACTCAATTCAAGTATTCAAGCACTTCCTGCTTTCCCTTCAAAATGCCTTCGCAGTCGACCTCCAGCGATGCCGTCAACTACACTCGTGATTGCGGAGAATTCTTCTCTTGGTTTGATGTGCGTGAAACCCCATCCTCAAATGTCAAGAAGACGCCCTAACAAGATAGATCTGCTACGATGACGACAAGCCCAGTGGCTCCATTGAAGAGATCAGTGGTCAGTCTGCCGATATCAATAAAGGCCATGGAGGCTCGTAAGTCGATCAGTTCCGGCAGCAATTAAGGCAATACTAACAGTACACAGCTATGTCTGGCTTACTGTACGCCGGGCTCCCAAGCCTACCATGATGGTCGACAAGATCTGGACCGACATCCGCAGCAACTCTGATGGCGGCCGTAAGGACGACCTTGCTAAGGGTGCTGGCGGACCCTACCGCTACTTCTCGTGGTCTAATAATATGAATGCCAACAAGTAAGTATTTCTATAACCATTTATGCGTTTGTCAGAATCTGATGAATCTCCTTCAGCTTTGTCACCGATGTTGCTCTCTGGAGGTCCTCTGACGCTCAGGGGAACCCCCCGAATGGTTGGCACCACAAGTCTGATGATATTAATGAGGGCCGTGGTGGTGACTACCTATATCTCGTCTGGCGAACTAAGTCATACTATGGGCCCAGGAGCCCCTAATCTTTGTACTCTCTTAGATAGAAAGCATACTAGAGGAACTCATAGCTCACTCGTTTGAGTAAGCTTTAAGAACTATTGAATAGATAGAAGCACTATCAATACAAGGACCCATCTCACCCTTGATGCAAATGCTTATGAAAATGTTTCGATAGCCAAATAGTTCAGAGAGGGGGGGGGGGGGGGAATGAAAAAATATTCTGCTCATGAGTATGTATAGTCTGAGTTAGAAGGTAGTATAATCAGGTGTTATGCTAATGAAACCCCTTCATATATTTAATACCTATTTCTATTACCATGAAGATTTGTGATTCACCGCTACTAATTATTGTGAAAACGTCTCTGAAACTATGCATTGTGGATCTCAATTTTCTTTTTCGGCTTAGAACATTTTAGTGAACCTCGCTCGAACAAGAACGCCCTTGAAGAATACCATTTCCTTTTATTCAAATCGAGTGCTGTTAACATATGCGTCCTATGTGCCTGAATAGTGCATTATCTGATGCCGGATTGCGCAATTTGAGAATTCTAATCTGAGCTAGTGCAGTAACGAACGGTTTAGTATTATATGACTCTGAACATATTTGCTTTAACGCCCCTCCTCAGGCCTTCAGCTTTTCCATTCTCATATTCCACGCCGGCCGAGCCCCCCTCCCCGGATAAACCCTCCATCTTCAGCCTTAGTTCCTCATCCAGTTGTTTGACAGTCTTTTTGGCGAAATGAGTAGAGTTCTGCTGGATCTCCTTGGAGTTTGATGTTTCAGCCATGCTTGTCCCTTTGACCTCTTGGTTTGATACGATAGCCGTATCCTTATTGCTCGTTCGTAATGTTGAGTGTGTTAGACTGATATATCGCGCCAGCTGATTGTGCAGCATCTTCCGAGGAATGATATAATGCGCACGTCGGAGGAATAAATACATATTGCGAAAGACTGAGAAAAGCAACTGTAAGTAGCAAGTGTTATGATTTAGCTAGAATTTTGAGCTTCCGGATTATTGCGTGACATCATCTCAGGAGTGATAAAGCACGCTGCTAAAACCCTAACCCAGTGTGAGGCGAAGAAGCAGAAATGACGTCAAGATGCAGATTTGAGTAATTAGTTTTCCATTTAATCTCAACCCCTAGCCCTTGTTTACATCAGCACTGTGCTGAGTATTGAATCTGACATCCAGCTTTCCAGGTCCACTCACTATTCTTGTAGTTCATGTCAGGTTTATAATGAACAGCTCTCAAAGCAGTAAACACTTGTATTAGTTATCTAGTGTTGTTTCTATAATAGAATGTACTCTTTGATACTGCTCTTATCAGTATGAAGTCTTTGCGTTCTTAAGAACCTTTGAATTATAGCATTGCTTATTATATTATAATTATGAACCTCAGTAATCTTGGTGGATTTTGAGAGCTAACCAATTAATAATAGAGTGGCATCTTTTCTTGAGGTAATGGAAAGATCGGCGAGATTCAATGGTGAACCATGTAGAGTAGACGCGTAATCTCGGCGCTGGCATGACAAAGTAGAATTCGCAAGTGGTCACTTGCGCACACCACTACGAATTGACATGTCAAGCCTTGATTAATTTGAGTCTTTTGATGTAGCATTAGTGCTCCATAAGGAGTGCCATATTCTTGATAAGCTTTGACTGGGGTTTGTAGCTTTGAGTTCTTGTTTGCCGGCTGCTCGGAATTAGGAGAAACGGTCTATGGTCATGCACAAAGACCCACCAGAAATGTCACTGCAATTTTCATTGGAAGGAAGGGGCCGATGAAGGTTTACTGGGTATATACCCATCCTATGAAGATCTTTAATATTTCAGGGTGATGACATTACGTCTACTACAGCCCATTGTGTGTGTGCATAAGGTGACAGCCGCGCAATCGTGCCCTGTATTGTTAGTGCACTTCACCAGCTCGGAGATTCGGACATCCCTACTTTGACGATCGTACTCCACAATAGCTGCATCGCTAACCAACCTTTCTACATTCCTGCTAAGATAGGGGATTGTGAAAGGCTTGAGGCGGATTAATGGATTTTACATATGTATATATATATGTTAGCTTCAGTCCTTTCTATTAAAGACGATTCCTTCATTATTATCTCTATCGGTTCATAAAGCCTGGACCTCGCTTTATCCGCTAGAATCGCTCATTCGTTTCTCTTCTAGCTCTCTACAATGGCTCGCGCTCCCGGCCTTCTTGCAGGTCTCGCTACCATATCCCTCGCTCTGGGCGCAGCACTGCAGCCTCGGGTCTCTCAGCAAGTGACTACCTCCTACGGCACGGTAGAGGGTGCTACTTCCGACCTCGAAAGCGGTGTCACCGTGTACAAAGGAATTCCCTTCGCTACCCCGCCAGTTGGTGACTTGAGATGGACTGCGCCGACCCCACCGGCTAATTGGACTGGCGTTCTCAATGCCACGTCTTTTGGCGCCGACTGCGCCCAGTCTTATTCGGCACTGGGCATCTTCTCTTCTGGTAGCTACGACATCTCCGAAGACTGTCTTTACATGAACATCTGGACACCGTCAAATGCTACATCTACATCAAACCTTCCAGTATTCATCTGGATCTATGGAGGACGTTTTGAGGGCGGTGCCGGCAGTGTGCCAACCTACGACGGGTCTCACCTTGCCGCAAAGGACCTCGTGGTTGTCACATTTAACTACCGCATGGGTCCTTTCGGTTTTCTCGCCCACCCCGAGCTCAGTGCCGAGTCAGGTCACAATGCGTCCGGAAATTATGGGCTGCTTGACCAGATCCAGGCCATCACCTTTTTACAAGAGGAAGTAGCTGCATTCGGCGGCGACCCGGACCACATCACCGTTGGTGGACAGTCAGCTGGTTCAGCAAGTGCGTTGGAGTAAGTAACCCCCTCGCGCTTGCCCCATATTCATCCGGGATGTTATAGACAGGATCGATTCCTGTTTTTGATATAAATCACTCAGCACTAGTTCACAACTTACGGGACCGAATGCTAACTGTGTCATAGCATGATGTACAGCCCACTGTCCAGTGATAAGCTGGTTGGATGTATCTCTGAAAGTGGCGCGCGCGACCCCCATGATCCCGAAACCTACGGTTTGGCCACGAGCCACCGCCTTCTCGCGACAGCCGAGGAACAGGGCATTACTTTTGTTGCTGAGATGAACGTGACGACTATTGCGGAGCTTCGAAACGTCTCGATGGATGATCTTTTGGAGTATGATAGTGCTATGGATACTATCCTAGATGGCACTGTCTACGAGAACAGCACGCTTGGCTTTGTTTCTGAGCCGCCGCTCTGGCGTCCTGTTGTTGATGGCTATGTTTTGCCTTACACCTATGGGGAGAGCCTCCGCAGGAATGCCCACGGTGACATGCCTATCCTGACAGGAGACAACGAGGGTGAATCTACAGATAGCGACATGACCCTCACGGAGTATCAGGAGGGATATGCCGGAATAATGGGCAACCTCACAGACACTTTCTTGGAAGCATACCCCGCATCGAACGACACCGAAGCCACCGCTCAGAATGCCGGGTTCGGCCGAGACGTCAACCGGGTCTCAACTTGGCGTTGGGCTGAAGACTGGTACAGCGGAGGCGCTACTAATGATGTTTTCGTCTACTTCTGGACTCACGCGCCCCCGAACCAAACAGCTGGTGCGTACCACGGATCCGAGCTGTGGTATACCTTTGGCAACCTGCCCACATACTACAACTACACTTGGACAGAGCAAGACTACGAAATCCAGGCAATCATGGGTGATTACTGGGCCAACTTTATCAAGACTGGAAACCCCAACGGCGGCAGTCTCACCAACTTCCCAGCGAGCAATCCAAATGTGTCTCAGATTATGTGGCTAGGTGACTCATTCGGTGCCTCGTATATTGCTGACAATTCCAGCAAGATTGCTGTTATCGAGGAATTCTTTTCTCAGAACATAGAGTTTTAGTTAGGGTATATATCAATTGAGTGTTGCCTGGACAATTTCTTTTAATAAGAGGTCGAGCTATCTATGCAGATTTGAACAGATCTTTCTTTTTCCCTCCTCTCCTTGCAACGACCGTATTTATATGCATATTGTGAGAAAAGATTCGTAGCTTAGGACAGAACTGTTAAGGAGGAATCTTCATCTAGCTCAGTTTAGGTGAATGTTCATCATCCCGGGATTGCTACTGAGCGCCTGAGTTTATATGCCAGTGATTCTTTTCCGACACGAAGTTTTCATGTTTAGAACCTGCATAATAGCCCTCATAAGTCGAAGCACCCCCTTGTGGACACCCCCCTTGTGGACACCCCTGGCCAGCCACACCGCATATATATATATATATTGATTTATATACATTTCTCTTCCTAATCAGCCACCACGATGCAGTCCTCCTCATCAGTAGGTAATTCGGCATCGCTCTCTTCATCTAGACTATCGTCATTCCTATTGACTGCATTTTGAGCCTTCTGTATAGCTTCAATATTCGCAAACCTCGAATTTGGGCTTGTATCCACCTTCCTTCTTTTAGTTGGCTTTCTGGCTTTAGCCTGCTTTTCTAGTACCTCATTCTTCTCTAGAGCCCTAGCCAGTTCGACATTCCTCTTACTGAATGCTTTGCATATCTTCCTAAAGAGTATATGTTGTACTGGCAAAGTTGAAAGCTGGTGCTGATTCTGCTGTAGTTGATGGTATAAATCTCGAGCCTTGCGAGGCGTTCGAAAAGATAACTGGCTGGTCTGAGGAGGCTTTCAGGGTATTCTGGGCTGCTGTTGATGCTGTTCATTTTGAATTTGCCTGAGTTTGGATGAACTGAGGAGTGTTCTCGAGGAGAAGAGGGCTGAGGAGTGGCTTGGAGGGTCTAACAGGCTATAAGCCTAAAGCATTCCACCCAGACTTGATATTCTGGCTCGAAAGGCTTTCCAAGCGAGCCTGACGATAGATCTCGAGAAATATTCGCTTATCAAAAACTGTTGAATCCTCCCACTAGCTTATAGAACTAACTTTTCATCTATATGCCCTCTTGAAAAACGAGAAGACTTCTAGATCAAGAAGCTAACATACATGAGAAGTATGAGAAAGAAGTAAATCAACAGAATGTTGTTTTAATAGCATTGCTACATAAACTCATCAGTTGTATAGCTGCTATAGCTATCCAAGATCAATAGTCTAGCTTCTAAGGGATTTATTAGCTAGCTGCTTGGAATGAAGATCTTTTTCAGCTATTCAAGAGCTACAGCATTATTAATCCATCCATTGCTTGCAGCTGTAAACTGCCAGCTTTCAAAAAAGTTCAAGAAGAGAGAAAACTACTACTATTATACTGTTTAGCTCTTGAAGATTACTAGAGGAAAGAGATAAGTGCTTATAGCAGAGATATACTCGAGAATTGAGATTCAGAATCTCGATTCAGGCTCTTTTCGATGAATTGAATGTAAAGAAGAGCTTTCAAGAACTAATCCATTCTCTCCTTAGCTTTCAGCTATTCCAGCTTCATTCATATTCCATCTATTAGCTGGTTTGATAGCTTGAATCTAAGGAAGATTGAAAAGACGAAATCAAGGCTGTATTACCTCTGTTGTAGCTCCATTGATTCGTTCAGAAGCTATCTGTTTATGCTTTCGTATTCTTATCTCTGGATTTCTCTTCAAAAAGCTCTCAGTTCATCTCTTTCCTAGCTCTCGAGTATCTTTATGGACCTCGAGGATCCTCCGCGCGAAGTGCTTGAGCTCTGAGTAGCTTGGTGGAAGCCCTAGGCTTTCCTGAACAAGAATTCATTCAGCCAACTTCTTTTCCTGAGGAAAGAAGAGCTTTTGATGTTGATGGGCTGTTTGATGCGATTCTCTTCCTGCCAGGCGATGAAGAAGAGTAGTCCTCGGGATCCCGTATTCGCGTGCAGCTCGTTTCTGAGACCAGCCTTTTTTGACAGCCTCGAAGCCTGGGCTAGCTCAAACTAGTTATATGACTTCATTATTGTCGTATGAAGGCCCTGTGAAAAGATGAAGTTATTTGGATAAGAATTGGTTGAGAAAAGGTTATAAAAGAAGAGGTGGTGGAAATGGCGGTGTGGCTGGCCAGGGGTGTCCACAAGGGGGGGGGTGTCCACAAGGGGGTGCTTCGACTTATATTCTTAGCGAGATGAAGGAGTTACAGCGGCTGGTGGGTTCAAGAACCCCACGTGCACTGCGAGAAGTGAAGATGCAGCAGAGACCTTGACTGACTGACCTACGCGTACTGGGATTCGTCCCAGCGGCAACGAGTTGCTACTATGCTTTGAAAACGGGAGCAAAGACCAGTATGTTTCCGGCAGTACATGAAACCATGTGCTAGCTTTTATATGTGTAGCATACGGTCACCCGAAGTAAAACGAGTCAGACTGTTATTGGAGTTCGAGAGGAACACAATTTACCACAGCTCTCAGCATTATATAGCAGGCAACAACCTCGACAATAATGGGATTGGTTCTTCATATTAATACCTCAAAGCCCCCTAAGACGTTCACGACCAGTTAGCGCCGACGAGCCGACCCTTCACAGCTCATGTACCTCTACCTCACTTTAAGACCTATAAAATTTCATAAGCACTTGTCACACAAAGTCGTTCTCAACCGGTTAACAGGGATAAGCAATGAGGCTCTTCGTCAAGCTACATCTCGTCACTTCAATAGACCCAACATATTTGACAGAGCTGTTATACTAAGCCGCCTGTCTCATACTATGGGATAATAGCCTTGGGAGCACAAGAGCGGTCTTCTCTGCTTTACAAAGCAGGCTCCGGAAGCGCTATGTCTTGGAGTTAGTCTATCGCTTAAATTCTATTATTTTTCGTTCACAGATCCAGTGTTCTTGAAAAATACTTTCGGCTCAACTTCGACCTCCCAATTCGCGTTCTCAGCGTAGGTGCACTCGGTCCGAGAGCAAGTCACCGATCCCTCTCCATCTATGCAAGCTTATGGCTTATACTAAAAATAAAGTCTGCATGTCCGCATCAAATTTGGCATAATTCGGCTTATACTCCATACAAAGCACTCTTATAAATTCGATCAACTTTTCCCTGTTCATATTTCTACCGCCTATCATGCCAGCACAAATGCTTGTTGTACTGCTCATAGCCTTTCTGAGAATAGGCGAGCATTTTCATCTTATTCAGCGAGGTCTTTGTGATTAATTTCTTGCTGAGCAGCTGCTCTGTGTAAGATTTGGTATGGTTTGCTACTATTGCATTTCTCGTTAATCTGCATCTTCCGAGCTTCAAAGAGCTGTAACTAGATTGATGTTGCTTTAAAGAATTTCATCAACAGACAAACATACATGTTAACAGAGGAACAGGGATTGCTAAGAGGTTATGATATTGACTTGAGCATAGCGCTCGATAAATTATAGCGCTACCCGCTCTGAGAGCCAACACATTGAGGCATGAATATCTCCGACATATAGCACTTACTTGCCAAATAAGGCTCTTTTGATACTTGAACAACTTTTTCAAGAAGTGCTCTAAGCCTGCAGGGTGTTTTGTGTACTGCACAGGTCCTCGCAGCTGACTGGCGCTCTGGAGCCAATGTCTTGCTCAGCTGCTGATATTCAATGCACGTCTCAATGTAAAGACAGCAAAGTCAAAGTTGAGATTTGCAAGAGCCAAGGCGTTCTCATTACTACAAGTAAGTGCAGATAGGGCTCATCCACTTAGATTAGTTATTCTTATCGCTAGAAACTTCTACTCGCAGACTGCTACGATTAAAAGCGAGATACACTACTCAGCGTAACAGTACATTAAAAGCTACAAGCATTGTGGAAACACTTTGCTGAAAATGTTCTGTACAGATTTCAAGCTTGGAAACTTCTGCGCCATTTGCATTTTCCTCCAGATGGAGATTTTTATAAGCAATGCTGCCCCCGGAATGTGAACTCGTGCTCAATTGATAGCCAGACTACCAGCATAGCTACAACACAATTATGCAGCGACTGCATCCCACAGCTATAATACTCAGTCTTCAAGAGCTACCTTGGAATCTAGACAGTTAACTCCTTGGAGGCTAAGTGGTGTACCCAAATGCTGATCATCTGAAGCAAATTTGGATTGACTAAAACATAGCGCACACTGAGCATAGCAGCTTGTTAATATTACTACTGGAGTCAGATCAACCCCTGTTCTAATCATCTTCTCTCCAAGTGCAGCAGCTCCTGTCAGCCACATTGTCTTTTTCAACTACTCTAGTGCACACTTTGCGCCAGCCATAATCTAATTTTAAAGCCGTCTTACTTTTCATTTCCCTATCATCCCGACCGTTGTTATACAATGTTATAGCCATTTCAACTTGCGAATTGCAAGAAACGAAAATAAAATGTCAGAAGCCAAGGTTCAACCCGTTAACTCCTTTGGACAGAAACTAGAAAAAGTACAGTTGGAGATGTATTAGAACAATTGCATTGCAAACTGACGCAAATTCCAGCATTCGTTTGGCATCTCAAGCAACGTAAATTAAAAAACGACGCTCAAAGTAGTTTGACATACGTCGAACCGCCTGCAAAGCGTTCGTCTAGGTGGTGTTGGAAGAGCAGGCAAGAGCGATAGGAAAGTTCAAAACTTCAGTTTCTGTGTAAATACCGCTGTCTTTTCTATGTACACATATAAGTTTTGACGGACTTCACTCGATTTTCGTCTATTCTCTCCCTCCCTCCACCACGTTACCAAGTGATCAAAATTGTTGTAGTCGCATCAAGAGCTACCTGGACACTTTTATCAACTACCGACAAGAACTCGGTATCATTTCTCACTTTCACTGGCGTCCCCCCTCCTGTGATATTATTGAAAGGCCAATCTAAGCCTGCCCATGAAATGTTTGTCAATGTGTTGGCGCTTGGTCCCCATAGTTTCTGTACTTTGACACGTGCCGGGACGTCTGGTCCCAAGGCTTCCAGGTTCAACGACACGTTGGACGCCCTTGGACGATTTGAGGACCCCAACCACAACTCTTGATTGATTAGAGCTACCTTGGTCAACGTGCCATGATGAAACCTTGCATAGGCCGAGATATTCTTATTTCCTGATGGTTGGGGCAGCTCAATAACTCGCAAGCTGCCCTGGTTGCTGATGAAGTCGGCCACAAAAACATGGCCATAAAACCCGCCTTTGAGGTGAGGAGGTGCGTCCTGCAGCTGGTTCGGCTGCCATGCAGCAAAACCAAAGATACGCCCCATCTGCATGTTGATACGAGTTACATTCTATTCGATCCTTGTAAGTATTGACTTCAGCTCATTGTTGCTCAGGGGGTGGCTTACAATACTCATAACACACAACATCCAGTCAACAGTCCAAACAGCACTTCCGAGACTCGATTCAAGGATCGCATCAGTAGTCTTGTTACTACTGCTTCCTATAGCATTTCCAACTTCGCTCAAAACAAAGTCAAGCTGAGGGTTTCGAGTCTGCAAATATTGTATCATAGGTCGAAACTCTCTTCGTGTTGTGCTGGTGGTTATATCGTGTGTCAATAGAGCAGTTGATTATCGGATTTGTATTAACAACACACATCCGGTCTGCATATTGAGTTCCTTTTACTTACTTTGTAGATCAGCGTTTCTGCCAGCATGTGCCTGGTAGCTAAGTAAGAAGTCAGTTCTGGGCGGCTTAACGTGGTCAGTAAGATACGTTGACCTACTAATGTTGTGCGACTTGCTTAACTCTGGTAAGATCCTCGACCTCGGAGATGCTCTGCATGAATGGTGTACTGTCATTCATTATCAGAGAGGTATTAAGCAAACTGGAGCTCTGACGGGCTTACAGTGTCCACTTGGTATTGGTGGGCCAATCAATCTCAGTCCCTTTGTCGAATATCTGGAATATACGCCCAGTCTGGGGAAAGTTGGTCACATTCTTCGTCAACAAGTCGATGTGTCCCTGCACTTCTTCCGCATAAGTTTCTGAATCCCAGGTCTGAGGATTCCTGATGCAAGAGCCGTTATAACATTGTCTCGCGTAGACATCGACCTCGTTTCCTATCTCAAGAGCGTATAGCTTGCTGACGTTGCCCATGGTATCTGTTACAAGGGCTCTAGTAGAGGGCTTGGAAGTAGCTTCGGCTTTTAACGATGATTGCTAAGGGAGTCTAAGGAGTGCTTAAGGCTCCTCTCTCTTTCCTCAGTCAGGTCGTCCTGGCCTCGCCTTCTTATAGACGGCGAGGGTTACATTGGTAGTGATGCCTTGATGCTCAACTGTTCCAGACTCCTGCACGTTGGTCGACGTGTTCACGAAGGATCATCGCCAACTCATCGTTGCTGAGGTGGTGCCAATTTGCCCCGGCGCTTAACTCGGATGCCATTGTGCTAGGCGCACCCTATCCGTGTAACAGTATCTATACAATGCTGCGTGAACTTGACTGCGTTTGTCTGGTTGTTGCGGGCCAGCGGTACGTGAAGCAGGAATTGGAGATTTTGGAGACTGAATCCCTGAACCAATTCTTTCCGAAGGTGATATTTGATTGAAGACTGTCGTACATTCCATTAGGATACTTGTAGTCCTCCTCTTTGGTTTTAGTGACGATGTTTCATCGTGCAACAACTCGGGTGTAACTTTACAGGGATGTACCGCCCACTCTGAAGATAACAGGGGCGCCTGTCTTGTGATAGAAGACATTGAAAGGTTCTGGGAGAAGTCCGTGTAGGTAAAATTTGGAAGACTGGCTGCTTCGGTAGCGAAACCAAGAAATGATTGATCAATCACTTGACTTGCGTAGATTGGGGCAGCAGCAGGGGCTACAACGTTGTCGACAGAAATCGACGGCATTGCGGCAAGTGCAATCATACCCAGAAAGCGGATGCTTATCAGATAGTTCGCTCTCATCTTCGACCGTTATTGAGTATCTGTCAATGTTGGAAATATGTTGAAGAGATTTTGAGGCCGATCAGACCTGCTTCTTCACTGCAGCTATATATGTGTTGTTGAGTATTATGTATATCAATGCTTGGCAGGATGACTGAATCTTGATCAAGGCGAAGCTGTCAGCTGCTTATCGGTTCGAGGGCCCGGCATCATCTTCTGCCTAGTATGATAGTGAATCTTTGTCGGAGAAATTGTCGTCAGCGGCTTCTCGACCCGAGAACCCAGCAGCGCTGCCTGCTGACATACTCAATCTTTGTTAATTATAGGAATTGTTATCAGCCGCTTCTCGATTCGAGAGCTGTGTTTCGCCCAAGGTGCATGCATCACCTTGTTTTGCAAAGTCCTCTGCTCAGATATTAGGTTATTCAAGGTTCTAAATATTCTCAAACTAAAATCTCGGTGGCTTTTGTATTGGAGTCGCTACTTTGGGACTGAGCTCAAACATTGTATTATTCACAGCGGAATACTCTTGTGTTCATACAATATCTCCCCTCTGTCTAATGGCACTTGCACCATGCAACAATACTCACGGAAGTCAAAGTCGTCATTTGTTGGCCACATTTACCCAGCGCTTCCAACAGCATTTGCAACAAGGCATTATCATTGTTGTCGGTGTTGAACAACACATGAGCCGAACCTGGAGGAGAACAGCATCAGTGCATCATACTTTGTGCTGATCGGGCGGCGAAACATGTGGACAGTGGTAGATGAAGTTCATGCCTCCTAACTGAGTACGGCATAATGAATACATACTTAGCATGTGCTGCTATGTTCAATTTAACATTATTCGGATAGCACATTTGATAATCCAGACTTTGAATCATTCGTCGATAGCTCTCGAGTGACAATTTCATTCGTGACCTCGGTATAGCCGACTAGGAAGAAAGTGAAAGCGTTGTAATTCCGACGAAGAAGAAAGAGGCGGAGATAATAAAAGGCAGGCCCAGCCTGGTCCCAATGTTATCCCAAACGCAAAGCTTCACGCAACTATCGGTCCTGCAACGATGGAACCAACACGAATTATCATACTCATCATAGAATAGACGAGTGTGAATTCATTCGCAGGTACCAAATCCGCCACGAGGGATCTCAGTACGGTGATGATCGCCATGCTGAAAGACAGAATGACTATGGCTAATTGATAATTAGGCTTGATACATCCCGCTCCCAGATGCTCTAGTCATCTAGTGGCTATCATAGCTAATCCCAGCGCTCTTATTCCAAATTTTTGCTGCCGAAACAAGTCAGAGAATGAACTCTTGGTTGCTTATCAAAGCGCATGCTGCGAGGGTTTACAGCAACCCACCTGAGGCCTGTTGGCATTGAAGTTTTAGTCCGTCAACGCGGAAGACTTGCATGTAACCCCGTAATTGTGCAAGGGGTGTCAGCTATATACAGTATCGTGCCGAAGGTAATAACGAGATCGGGTCAGCTCCTATACCCTGTGGTTTCGCTGCCATGATCTAATATCGCCACTATTATCATCTGTATATGTTTTTCCATACCCAGGTTCGAAATACTTCGGCTTTATAGACTGCCTACATAGTACATTACCTCGCTCTTGTGGAATTACACAGCTTATCAAAAAGCTCTGCAAAAATGGATTTTGGACCTATATCCGCTAGAGGATTCGACTTCGCCGTTGGCTTAAACAGTGCTGTCCTGTCAATCTTGTTTTCGGTGTTGTTCTTCTTTCCAGTACCACAGCGACTGCAGTGACTACGCAAATAGTCTTACAAGGTCGTAGAAGTTCCTAGCCCTTGCTGAAACTAGTTAGTATCATCTCACTCGTCTATAATCAGAGATGAGTTCGTCTTTTGTACCAGCTTTTGGATGTAGAGACTTGTCGGATTGAACACGGTCTTGCAGCACAACGAGCTTCTGTTGCTCATCGTGTCGCACGCCGAGCACACGCAATACGTCGGACCATCTATGCTCATTGTTGGTAACGTTGCTCTTCGATTGTGTTAACGCCAGGACATTGTGCAAGCTTCGGGACACGATCGTGGTGGCCAAGTTGTTAAGTTGTTTGGCTCGAATACCACGGTGAAATGTCTTATTCTGGCAGCCAAAGCATGGGAGAAAAGATCCATTCTTCTGTCTCAATATCAACACCTCTCTCCCGAGGCAACCAGTGGTATATTGGGTCGCAGTGTCTTCTGGTAGCTCAATCCACTGATGAAAACTTGTTTCGGTCGAGTCTGACTGATGGAGACGTGTAATATTATTGCAATTTCGTCTGTATTATACTTAGCACCGCTGACATGCCGCTAGGTACCCAATCCACGAGGATATGGCCGCGAGTGTGTTACTACCTCAAGCACAGGGGGCGTGGAGATCAGGTATGTAGCATTTATATGGCTTTCTCCAAGTTTTCATTATAACTAAGTCAATAACAGATCAAACGATGAAGAATTTCCGCTCTGTTGCAACAATGTTAGCTACCAAATGCACTTTTCTGCCAGGTGTGCTACCCCATCTTTGCCTCATGGTATTCAAGTATATGTTACTATTTCTCATCAACAGAACTCAATTTGCCAATGATCCCCATCAACTCGATGAAATCAGCTGGGACTGACTGGATCCTAGTTTCTCATCTTTGTTGGTTTGTTAGCCAGGCAGTAGGTTCCAGCATCACAAATACATCTCTGCCTATACTTATTGATAAATGCTAGGTTTGCAGCGGAATATACTACGAGCTAGCTTATCGGTAAGCTATGCAGGACAGAATACAATGAGCGTACAAGACTCACACACGTGCAGACTCGTTGCCTCAGACAGGGGTTCTCTTTGTTGCTCGATATACTCCAGAGCATTGAGCCTCAACATCACGACACTTGATGAATCAAGTAGGTATCGAAGCCCACGTGCTATCTTACTCTTTCTGACTTTGCTGCAGTAGCTGTGACGCTCATGTCCACCGATATGGAAAATCTTTGTCAGAGTGCTGCCACTTTGCGAAACCTGGGCCTCCCTGCTAGTGTGAAATTGCTTTATCCCGCTGGTCTAAGCAGCTCAGCAGGGCTGCCCTGGGCCCTACCATCGCTGCAATAGGTGTGTCTGCGACCAGTTTTGCTTTTCAAACGATATCCAACATCGAAGCAGTATCCACAACAAATATCATGTAACTGGCAAGGTTCATAGCTCAGAATACATGGTTATAGCATCCAGGGCGGGTTGACGTAATGTCCTCTGTGCTCGCATTGATAAAGGTTCATGTCCAGACAATTGTAGAACTCAGGCGTTGGCACGAGTTATTAATACTTCCTTCCAGGGGGTTAAGACGCTTGAACTCACAGATGCTATATCTAAAACCATTCAAAGCCTTAGTGTAAGCCAATTAAAGCTTTCAAAAGGCTATTGCAAGCTAATATGTCTGCGTGTGTTTATTGGCAATATCACTCTGGGTTGTCACTCATGTGCAGTTGAAATGATAGCAATCCTAACACTGTGTAGGAAGCAGCCTACAGACTATAAGCCCGTTGGTAACTTGTGCAGCCTTCGTTATTATTTCGCTGAGGAATAGTCAGTCACTGAACGATGCATCCGCATACAATTCTAAGGGTACAATTTTCACACTTCGCTACCCGGGGGTAACATACTCGCAAGCTGGAAAGAAATATTTCTTCTCTCATATTTATGCATTGATTTTTTGAAAAGGACTTATGACAAACAGGTCTGGCTTACATCATAGTATCTATTCCCTAAGTTAGCATTTATGTATCAAAGTAAGTCTGATTTCACATGTGTAGCACGGCATGTATTGTTCAGGTGGCGAAATGTGGAAATTTTACTCTGAGAGTTATAAATCTCACCATTGTTGATCTAGCTTTTGTCAGATCAATTAGTCATTGTGATCCGCACAACACCGATGATTAGTGCTGCGCTGGCATGTCTGGATTGTATCCAAAGCTTCTTATTGTCAGAAAGCTGCGAGGATTACAGAGTCCATCCAAGTCATTATCGTCAAAGCGCAAGCACTCGGTCAAGCAGGATGTCCTTCCCGGAAACGAGAACCGATCGATTGAGCTTCCAAATCTTGCAGTGGGCTCCTATATGGCAGTAGGAGACCCCTTAGTGGTCATCCAAGGTGTCACATTTGGGTGGATTCACTACGAGACACTCTACTCAGCAATATTAAAACCTGCAAATCATGTTACACATTTATAATTAGGCATGTGGGTTGTGGTGAAAGTATTTTTATAAAGGCACTTCTGGGTGAAATGTGACTGAAAGAAAGCTTAATCTACACCATGATCGCCAATGCAGCTTTTCTTAGTCAGGAACCCTTGATACAAAACTCGACAATCCGCGAGAACATCCTTAGTGCCTCGAGCTACGACTCAGACTGATACCAACGAGTCGTATATTCGTGCAGGCTTGAGCGAGATTTCAGTGAACTCCCACAAAATGACAACACCAAGGCTGGCAGCAGCGCCATCTCCTTAAGTGACGGTCCAATATAATGAGTTGCTCTTGCCCAAGCAGTGTATTCAAGGGAAAGCTTTCAGCTATGTTAATATTCTGGCTTCTTTTTAAACTTTTCTGACAATAAAGACCCCATTACTCGCCATTCTATGCCATCCTATGTCACTTGACCGTACGAAAGCAGGAGAGATACTCTAGAAGCTCTCGAATTTTGTTGACTCATATACTAGCATTATTTCGGAGCTTGAAAATTCCATGGTCCTTGGCCGCTTTGTCCGATATCTACGGCATGCCCAACTTCATTGTACTTCCACGCCTACTCCCTCAGCTTCTGCTTTCACTCTATTGAATTCTTCCTTAAACGCATCATCTGCCCCCCTTTCCAAAGATATATGAAGATGCTTGAGAGCAGGTACCCAAGACTGCTTTCTCGTGGCAAAACTCGAAAACATTATTTTAAGAGCCTTCTCATGGCGATCAGTGCCGTTCGACAATAGTGAGAGTCGAGAAACTGAGGCAGGGACAAGGTCCTCGGTTGCTTGTTGCAGGTCCTTGTCTGCTGTAGAAAGATTAGATGGAACCTGGGCAACGTTGCACATCGCAATCTCCAGAGGGAACTCGAGCTTCTGGAGGCGCTGAAAACCTCTCATTGACGCCCTGCCCGGAATTATCGACCCATCTAACTGAGGGATAGAGATAGAGAGCTCCTCGAGGGTCCTTCCCGCCCCACTCTCGATTGCCGTGGCGAATTGGCAAATATTCCAGTCCTGACGCCTCCCCCTCGTACAATGCGAGTACTTGAACTTCCGTAGGCGTGGGGTGTGTTTGAGAAAGGCGGCAATGGCCACTTCATCAATACAGCTGCTTTCAAATCTGACTGTCTCCAATCTCGCACCGTAATTTAAGTATGGATCTCTTGAGGTAATTTCGATAAAAGTGTTGTCTGCGGTGACGCAGCTGCGGCCATGAAAGGATCGTACTTTTGGCAAGGCTAGAAAGGGAATCGCTTGGTCCAGCCCAAACTCATGCCCGATCCCTGTCGAGCTGTATGGTTCGAATTCGACAAGTCTTGCGAGACTAGGTCTGTCCCAAAAACCGATGCTTTGATTCGCGGCCGCGATGTGAACGATGGTACCCAGTAGCTGCTCGGCTTCCTCACACTTCTGCCATAGGCGCGGTAGCTGCAGGCTCTCGACGTTTGGCAGTAGTGTCAACAAAAAAGCAGCGGCATGCTGTGAATAGCGAGAAAGTTGTTCCAAGTCATCCTGGATCAGAGCATAGTACTCTTTCCAGTCCAGACCCGCCTGTCTTAGATAGGGCGAATCGGCGAAGAGTGCGACCACAGGCCCGCCACTGTCAACGTCTGGTAGAACTTGGACGGGCCTCGAGCGAGTAGGCCAGGTATCGCAGGTGAGGTCTGCATGCCTAATGTAGCGAGCCACTACCGGCTCATTGGCGATGTGTGTAATGAGATCGAGTGCTGTTGGGTTCCGCGGTGAGAGTCGTGCGTCTGCTGGGTATCTGTTGTATGCAAAGTCTTGAAGGAGAGCGCGACGTTGGTTGTAGTGTTCGAAGAAAGGCTTGCATGTCTCATACATTTGCCTGCAAGTCAATGTCATACCCTCGAAACCTTCTGGTCTAGCATATTCAATAATCTTGTCCAGAATTTCAGTTGGCAAAGTAGAAAGAGTTGGGGCAACCATGATTTCGCCGAGCGATTTACCGCTCCAGAGAGTGCTCAAAGAATGACCAAAGTTTGTGGGAATCGGATAAGGGAGTCAAGGGAAAGGAAAATTCGTTTATGGGCTCGATATGATTGGTAATTTGGTAGACGCGCGCTGTAAGAGGGGGTGGTCAGCTTTATGTACAAGAGCGCGATAACACCCGCTAACACTTCGATGGCAGTACATAACGCCCATGGCTGCGAGACTTGCACTAATTACATCATATAGGGATGGGAGGTGAGATGTCCTACCATTGCGGTCAGTCCTGCTGCCTGGGGACGTCGTGCGGACCCCACGTCTGAGGTTGCCTTCTTCCTCTTCCTCTTTGGCTGCCTACCATCCCAAAGTCTCGTTAATAATTGTTTTACTTGGCCGAACGAGCTCCTACCTACCTCCTGCGATGTTGACAGCGTTTTGGAATGGCCGTAAAGGCCAGGCCACGGATTGAGAGATCTCATCCAGTATTGTCCCAGGACGCCCCTGCGCCTCGCACATCAGAAACTCGGCCCAAAGGCGGCTGTTGCCTTCCAACAGCTTCTGGCCCCAAGGTCACTATTTCACAATATGTGTAACAAGGGCGGCTTAGTATAGCAACCCCTGCCCAGTACGGTGTGGCCCATTGAAGGGACGAGATGCGACCTATGAGGTTCAGGGCTAGCAATCTCGCTGGTAGCCTTGAAATAACTACATCCTACCGCCTCTGTCCTCAACAAGACAATCATTTATAAATTGAGATATTCCGTCCACTCCCCAACCCTCGAAACGAACATCAATGAACCCTCCAAGAAAATTTCTATCATTTCACATTATTACTTTTGTTAACATTATCAAGGTTCCATTCCATCTTATCACAGTGCTGGTCACTCATCATGCACCGTCTTCTTCTTTGTCTGTCATTTCTGGCCACTGCCTCAGCAGCCTTTGTACCTTTGAAACACCGCGGCTTCAGCTTGCAAAATGAGACAATTGAGGATTACATGGGCAATGCCCCAAACGTGACCACTCTCGATCATTCCGCCGGCATTGGCGCCGAATTCGAGACTGCAATGTTTACTCTTGTACACAAAGGCTGTGCAGCGGAAGATAGTGACCAGCTGAAAGGAGCAGTCATTGGAGATCACAAAGATGAGAATTCCCAGTGGGCATTAACAGCGGATACAACTTCCAAACCTGACCAACTCCATGCGGAATACATATTCTACGGCCAGAATATCAAGGTTGGCAGTGGGGATGCTGCCAAGGCGGGCGCAGTAGCTGCAAAAGATTTTGTGAGTGCAAGGCTGACCTTAGTGCTGAAGACTCATGCAGCTGATTTTAACAATGCCAGGTGAACTGGTCGCCTTGGGCTGGTGACGATGCCGATAACATCAAGATTGGAGACGGTGTTTGCGATCCGTGGAAGATTCAAGGCGCCAGTAAAAATTGGAAGGCAGAAGACGTGACATGGGACGCACAAGTGACTGCGCCGATGCCCCTCGAAGGAGTATACAGCCTCATGCAAGAACAACAGCAAGATCCGCAGGAACATAACATCCTGGACGGCTATGAGACCATAAGGACTGGAGCACATCACAGTCCGGGGGGCGTCAACCTCGTCGTTGTCACCAAGGACTTCTTCCAGACCAGCCCAAATGGTATCGCAGCAGACAAAGTCACCGATGATGTTCTCGGCTTCTGCTCCCTGGTGCTATCTTATGCTAAGGGAGTTGGAAATGACTACCTCTTGCGCCCTGGCGAAAGCGTGAAGCTCATGACGACTTTCATGCCTCGGACCGAATTCAACACGATATTCAAACAGGTCAAATCCAAGATCTCAGGCGACCTCTACGACCTCTTCAACATTCTTGCGTGTTACCAATCAGCAAAGAGTAGCGGGAGCACGACCACTACGTAAGTCATTCGAATTCATTATGATTCCTAGACTGATAGCTTGTGTAGCCTAGATAAGACCTACTGCTCCGGCAGCGTCACGAAGCCAGTTCCCAACGGCGAATTCGCCAAGTTGAATTTCCAAAACTCCGAAAACTCGGTTAATGTCAAAACTTGGTACGGTAAAAGTTGAGTTCGAAGCATCGGCTCATTCCAAAAACCCCGGACAATCCAACCTCAGATGCCCCGAATGCTCTACACTTCTCAAGCCCTCGAATATGATGCAAATCGGAAACGTAATTATTAGCTGACAGATTTAATAGGATCCAGGGCATTGGTACCGGAAGCGGCACTCAAGATGCACTGTCCAATCTCGACTCTAGTCTTGACAAGTCTATTGGAGGGCTTGGAACACAGACAGAGAATATGTACAAGACACAGCGTGCGGTGCCTTTGTTCGAGTTCAGGGATCTGCCTCAATCGCCTACCACATCGGGATTCGAGAAGTTTCTGAATGACGCAGATGAGGCTGTGTTGACACTTCATGAGAAGTTTGCTAGTGTTCCATGAACAAAGGAGGCATCGGGGCCACGAGGACCAATTCGGTTACACGTGAGGCTCGGAGTGTGTCATCAGAAGCGCATCGAAGGCTGGAGTGCGTTTGGTAAGGCCGCGGATCTGAGTTCCAGATCATATATGAGGACATATTCTGCACTATAGTATTATTTAATGTCTAATACCCACGTACTACGTTTCTCATTACTGGCACATAATTCAGCATACTAGAACTGTTGGCTTTCGTATAGCTCGCTATACTGTTGCTGTACCTGGACCCGCCAGCTTGCACACGTGCTAAATTTGTCTTGTGCAGTGAGAGGTTAGTAAGTGCCTGCTTCAGCCCGACATCTACCCTGGCCGAACAATGTGATGCCTGATGCATACCTAGTGTCACATGAAGAATACTCCGCATTATCCCTTTGCTCCATGTGCAAAAGAACCGTGTTTACTCTGTTAATCGCACCCCTCGAATAGTTTGTGCCTTTGTCAATACTCCTAGCCAAAATGCCCATCTAAGTCCTGTCACTAGTGACATGTGGAGTATCACATTTGCATTTTTGTCTATAAGTCTCCTCTTCTAACTAGTTCTATCAGAAGGAGGAACTGATCGGAAAGCATACATTAGTCCAAGGTGAAATAGCAGTCTTGATGTCTTCAATACAACAGCAAGAGGGATAGGGTCACTGCTGAAAAGCCTCCATATAATGTTATTCTATCCGATGATAGCAAACGTATAGTTGCGTATTTAGCTCTGTAAACTGATTCACTCGCATTCATGCCTCTTTCGTATTAATTATTTACTAGTCCAATGCTTGAAGTAAGCAGTTTTTTTGATACGCTGAGTGACCCTAACACTAACAAGGGCTATGTAATTATTCCTCATCTAAGCTCGGATGATAGATACTCAGTTTTAATACTTGGTCCCAGTTGCTTGTGACTTATCATAGCCTACTTGTTCAATATTGAATGAGTCATAATGTTGTATCCCTTAACAATCTTTAGTACTCTTTGTCAACTTTTTTGTACTCTTCATAAGCTAGAATGTCGTCTTTGGACTCCCATCCAGCTCCGCTGTCGGCGGCATTTGACCGGGTAGTTCTTGTGGATATCCAGCACTCTGCTTTGCTAGGTGTTGATTGGGCAATTCAGCTGGATCTTGCGAGAAGCTTTGTCCCTGCTGCTGATATCCCCAGGGCCCAAACCGGTCGGCGAGTGTCTCCTGAGGCACTGACTCGAGCCGCCGTTGCTTGTCCTCTCTAGCCCCCCGCCGTTTGTTCTGAATCCGACGCCAGAGCAAGCAGCCAATGAGCGAGAGCCCTATGACGCCTACAGGGACTGCCACGCCTGCTGCGATCGCGGTGGTTCTGGAATCGTTCGATGAAGCCGACCCGTTTGTCGACGAGACAACAGCGGATGAGGCCGTGGAAGTCGTCGCAGATGCTGTCGCAGAAGCGGCTGTCGAGGCCGTTGCAGCAGGTGTTGCGGATGCTGTAGCGCTCGCTGTAGCGGCTACTTGTTCCTCAAGTCAACAGGACAGCCTATTTTTGATACGCGACCCTTGGACCCGAGTTTCTCCACTCACTAGCTGTAGCTGGAACCAATCCAGCCTCCACCCCTAGATCACAGTATGAATTGAAGATTTGGATCGCGCTCGTGGCTTGCGCTGACCAGATGGATGTAGCGCAAGACTCGGAGATGGCCGACGTGATCTCGTAGCTGAAGAGAGAAGAGCTGTCCGTACAGAAGCAGGTGTAGCTAGTCAAGGCACCATGGTCTCCGCAGCCGCTATATTGTGCACGCACAATAGTTGACAGCACATTCTCTGCGCACGTCGACAGCTCATCGTAGCCCGATATGGTGTCAATATAGTTATAAGTGGGCACTGCCGACGACGAACTGGTATCCGCCGCCCGGGCCACTAATGGCGCTATCGCTGTCAGAAGTAGAGGGAGGAGCGAGGAGGACATGGCTCTGGATTCGGTTGTGTCAAGTTGGTGGTCTAGTTCGATTCCGCCCTAAAGCGTGTGGAGATGTAGTTCGAGATGGCATAGACCAACTTCAATTTGAACCTTGCACTTTCACAAACACAGAAATTTTCCGGAGAGTATCTGCGAGTTGCTCTGTGGAGACGGGACTGCGTTCACCAAATACTGTAATATACTGGCACTATGTTACATCGTCCGTGGGGTCCATCAGCTCTGTCCACTTATTTCGTATCCACCCTGCCGCCCCCTTGGACTTAAATTTGGGGAATCCTGCCGAGTTACCGGGATGTTTTGCCGTCACTGGTAACGAAGGATTCCATTGGGGAGAGGCATGGATTCAAAAAAGTAACACAAGTTGCTCATTCGGTAAAATACGTGGTATAGTAATAACCGAGCCCTGCTAAGATTGGAGGGCTGGCGCAGCAGCACCACTACGTAGTACCGCGCATGGGCACTTTGCTTAAATTGGTTAGGTGGTGTCACTTTTTTTGGTTGCGGGAAATCTGACCATTTTACTCTTATTTTGCGACATTCTCAAGAGACCCATTCGCGACCAGCCTTCTCCCTGCTTGCCTGCTTGAAGATTCAAAGAAGAGGGCTGAAAATGGGTCTATGTTTTGTAGGAGTGAATCACAAGACGTATGGTGAGGTAGGGAGATGGACCGTAGCATACAACTATAAACTGCATACTATCAACGCTATTATCCAGCTCCATCGAAAAACGAAGATAGTCATGACGGAGAATCGGCACAGAGTCCCAAGGGCTTTAATCGAAGTTGGCTGTGGCCGGTTCAGAAAAGGTTACATGTTCAAGCAATGTAGACCCGCTCTGTGCTGAGTCTCGTCACTTGTTGTAAATGGATCGCAATAGCGGGCGGGAAACCAGCTATATTCTCATGGCCCTGCTAGGTTTATGCACTACAGACTGGAACGATTATAGCATTTAAGTAAAGGAATCATCTACACACCTGGAAAAAGTAAAGAGTCTTCGCCTGTGTGTGCTTGCAAACAATGCAGAACAAGAACAGCAAGGGTATTTCGTTGGAGTTCTCTTCCTGATAGTAATTATTGTTTATCCCTATAGAACTTCTAGCTGCATCAAGTAGATCATGACATTTAGCAGGCTATTAATCATTTGTGAATGTCCTCAAATTGCGCTCTGTTAAGCAGGCGAACTCTGTAACAAAAGTGTTGGTAGTGAAAGGAAAGCTTAAACAGCAATGCCAAGCTAATTTGCTGTTTTAGACGGAAGCAAAACTGCAAAGAAAATTATTGTTATTGTACAGAGGATAACATGTACAATTATGTGCGCAATCCACTAACAAATTTGCAAGATATAACCAATCCGGTGTCTGCAAAATGATATACGAGCAAGGTTGCAAAATTGCTTGATCAGCTTCAGGAAGTCCAAATTGCCGAAACATAGACTACTGCCACTATTGTTTGAAAGAAAAAACGAGAGAACAGTAAAAATAATCAACACCTTGAACAAGATATGTATCAATCGTGGATTTCATTGCAAATACTCTGCCATGAGCTGTTAATTATGCTGAAGGTTCATGTTAGAAGATATTCTATGATTAATAGACACTTTTCATCAACAGTGCTAGATTTGAACACCGACCTTCATACGGATCCGAAATAGAACTTTGTCTGATGGCGGTAATGTCCCTGTTGGATACCATTTCAGATCCGGTTTGACATCACCAACACCGGGAGCTAGCTCCAGCTCGTATCTGGTAAAAAGCATAGCAAATGTTCCCAGCATCCGGGACTTTGTGAAATGCCGCCCTGAACACATACGTTGGCCCCCTCGGAAGGGCAGCCAGCATCCAGCTAGGCCCTCTAGCGAGAATGTTGGCTCGTCACGTTGAGTTGTGGCGTTAATATCCTGGGCGACAAGGAAACGTTCCGCGTCGAAGATAGCCAGTGGTTTTCCCGGACTATGGCCCATAGCGTTCCAGGCCTCATCGATGAAAGCGGCCTTGCGATTGAAAATAGAGTGTCTCGCCCACAGGAATGGTTCATTCTCCAAGCTTCAGATCCCAATTTTTCACGGTACGCGTTACACCAATAGCGACGTAGAATCGACAAGCTTCCGCAAAGGCGGATTGAAGTAAAGGCTGTCGACCAAGTGCTGCAATGTCAAACAGACTATCGGGCCGCTGGCACATATGTGTCTCAGCAAGCAGTTGAGATTGTAAAGTGACGTCTCGAAGAGCGTGGAGTGTGAACCAGAACATTGCTCGGAGCACGTTCGAGTTTACCCTTCCCCATAGCAGGAGCAATTAGTATCTCGGAATTCAAGACGACAACCGGGGTAAGGTCTCAGTATCCACTTACGCAAACATCAAGCCTAAGTCTGGAGTGGCTCTGTCGCGGTCATCTAAAACGCCCATCTTCATCATCGCACTCTGTCTTGCTCTGATCAATTTGAAACCGAAATACGCGTCGAACTCCGGATCCTCGGGCGCAATTTTATCAACATTCTCACTGGCTTTCTTGTGTGCCTTGGTATGCCACTTCTCCACTGCCATCAGAAGTCGATCTCGCGCCTGATAGGCGCCACGCGCCAAGCAGCGCGGCCAACCAAAGAGGAACTTGAGTAAATTTTTGTCGTAAATCTGGAAGTCATCCAAAATGTCTGGACTTAGCTCCAGTAGATATGGGCCCATTAGGGTCTTTGTAGCGGACCGGCCTACTACTGATTGAACGAAGGCGTACAAGTCTGGGTAATGTGTCCGTTGTTCCTGGATACCCTCAGCATTGAGCTGCTTTTCGAGGGCCAGAATGAGACGCTCGTTTGGAGCCTTGTAGATGGCTTCCGGCCAAGAATATCTATGCGGTATGAGCCGTCCAGAAATGCACGCGACATTCTGGAGGCACATGGCTACCCTTGCGCGGTTGAACCGCGATACCCGAGTCATCCGCGTCCCAGTATTTGGCTGCTTTTACTGAGGCACCGAATGCTCTGCGAAGTGCCATACTGGTTGCCGGCTTTGCACCAGCTTGCTTCGTGGCCTTGAAGATAGCGATGATGTGTTCTGGGTTGGAAAGCAGCATGAAGAACCCAAACCCAGCCCTGATACGGACGGGTCTGCGCCAGCCGTATTTGGAGCTGGAGGAATGAGTGAGCCAGTGCCGTCCTTCGCCTGTCGCCAAGGTTGCAGCTACGATGCTCAGCTCACAATATACTGGATACGAATCTTTCAGGGTTGAGCATAGCTGACACGATATATCCTATGAAGGGTGTCCGATATGGAATAAGTCAAAGCACCCCCTTCCCGATCACCCTGGTCAACCACGCCGCCTTTTCAACCCCTCGATATATTTTTAATTTTCTTCATCAATCCTCTTCCAATTCACTTCAAACTTTCAGCATAAAGTAAATACAGTCCAATGAAGCAGTATACGGAATCTGAAATCGTTGCCGCCCTCGAGGCTATCAAGACAGGCTGTTCTCTTCGCAAGGCCTCGATCGAATGAGGTATCCCTTATACAACACTTCAGAACTGTTTAACAGGCGTTCAGTCTCATCAGATAGATACTGAATCTTTTCAAAGGCTCTTTTCTATTCAAGAAAGAAAACTAGCTGAATGGATCCTGGTTTAGGAAAGCTTAGAGCTTTCATCAAGCCATTCAGAGTTGAGATTCTTCGCACGGAAGATCCTTCTCATCAAAGGAGATACTGAATCTCTTGGAAAGAGATGGATCTAGGGTTTTTTGAAGAGAAATTCAGAGATGCAGATCAGAAGAACTCGCTGAATAGCTTCTGAACGAACTAATGGAGCTATAACAGAGATAATACAGCCTTGGTTCTATCTTTTCAATCTTTCTTGCATCCAAGCTATTAAGCCAGCTAATCGATGGAATATGGATGAAGCTGGGCTTATGGAGAGCTAAGGAGAGAATGGATTAGTTCTTGGAGGCTTCTCTTTATGTTCAATCCAAAGAAAAGAGCTTGGATCAAAAGCCTGGACCTCTTTCCTCAAGTGTATCTCAGCTATGGAAGCTTATCTCCTTCCTCTGGTGATTTTCAAAGGGCAAACTGTATAGCAGCAGTAGTTTCCTATTGATTTGAAGCTTTTTAAGAGCTAGCAGTTTACTGCTATATCAAACAGATGAACTAATGATAAAATAGCACTTGAATAGCTAGAAAAGATCTTCATTCCAGACAGCTTATCAGTGAATCCCTCAGAGATTAGACTATTAGTTCTGAATAGCTATAACAGCTATAAAACTAACGAGTTTATATAGCAATGCTATCAAAACAACATTCTGTTGATCTACTTGCCTTCTTATATTTCTTATATACTTCAATCTCTCGATCTAGAGATTTTTTCATTTCTCAAACAAGCATACAGAAAGAAAGTTAGCAATATAAGCTAATAGGAGGATTCAACTATTGCAAGCAAACGTTTATTCCTTAAGCACTATCATCTAGCTCATCTGAAAAGTCTTTTAAGCTAGAATATTAGATCTGGATGGAAAGCAACTAGTTTATAGCCTCTGAGATCCTCCAAAGCGCTCTTAAGCCCTCTTCTTCTCGAGAACAGTCAACCAAGCATTCAGAGCTAGTCAAATTCAGCCTCAATACCATCAATAGTATCTAAGCTTCCTCCAAAAGCCTCATCAAGCTAGCTTATAGTTTTTTCAACGCCTCACAAGGCTAAACAGCTATATTACCAGCTATAGGAAACTCAGCAGCATCTTTCAACAGACTCAGACTGCTGTATGCTATTCAGAAAGATAAAAAAGGCTTATAACGAGAGAGATCTCGAGTTTGCAAGAGCATTGGAGGAAAATCAGATGTTGAGAAAGCAGATTGAGGCGCTGAAGCCTAGTAAAAGAAGAAAGATCGATGTAAGCACGAATTCGAAGTTTGCAGGGGTTGAGGATATACAGAGGGCTCAAAACGCAGTCAATCGAGATGAGGATAGTCTAGATGAAGAGAGCGGCCTTGAATTACCTACTGATGAGGAGGATTGCATCGTGGTGGGTGAATAGGATGAGTAAATCTATATGAAATATATATATTGTGGCAGCAGCCATAGGGCCTGAATGAAATACGAGGCCCCAGGCCAGCAGTCACAGGAAATAGTGACTAACCTTTTAGCCATTCACTGGGCTAGGGCAAGTGGTGAGTCACTGGTGTTTCTGTCCCAATTGGGACTAGCGCCTACTGTCCCTTTCTATATAGACGGGCAGTTGGCAAGGCGCCTTTTTGAGATAGAAAACAATGAACGATCTTCCCTTATACCATTTGTAGTACACCATAGAGTGCCTTCTACATATATATATATATACGGTGTGGTTGACCAGGGTGATCGGGAAGGGGGTGCTTTGACTTAGTTGGGACAGGCTTCATATCATTTGTGTCGCGAGTCAGAAATCTGCCCGCAAAATCGATACCAAGTGAGAAGCCACGTTAGAAAAGGGGCGGCGAGTAATGCGCATGCCAGATATGGTAGCAAGCCGAGATTCGATGCCATGATGGCTCCGTAAGTGAGTATCATGGCGTATTAGTATGTTTCAGCTGCACGTATGCTGACTAGGAGAAGGAGGAGGAGCAGAAGGAGCAGGAGGCAGGCGTGGCTGGTTCTAAACCGATAATCACACAAGAGGCGCCTCAGAGCAAGAGACCGCTCGAACTATATACGAGAGTTGCTGATATCAGTTTGCTGCAATCCTGACTAAAACATGAGAGGAGATCATCTGAGCACGTCACATAGGTATTTCTGTTCAACACGAGTAATATGTACTATGCATGCCAGTATATATGTGGCAGTGTCTAGCGTTGTATAACCCAACAGAGCTGAGATTCCCCGAGAATCTCCACTTGGAACAGCTAGCAGCGATCATCTTGTGCGTTGATTTGCACAAAGCGCATGCACTGTACCTTTTCATTCCCACTGCTGCATTTGGCCCCCAAGGACAAAATATACCGATCTTGTACTATGTACGTACTGCAACCCAAGGTCCATTAGCGCAAGATGTGGCTGAAATCCATTCGTGGGGGCTAGAACATTAATGCAAGCCGAGACGTTAAAGGGCCCTGCTGCCGTCAACGAAAAACTTCGGCGTTTCATTACCACTCCATGATAGCCCTATTCACTAATCTTGTCTCTGCCAACCTCGTTCAGTAATTAATATGGCTTCACTTTCAAGCGCCACGCTGCTGATGCTACCTCCAACAAGAAAGTGGTCCAACCTTTCCAACCGAATGTCTGAAGCCTATGTCGATCGTAGATTGACGTATACTCTTCTGCCCGTGATTCTTCTTTGTGGCCGCTTAGTATTTCGCTTTGCATGCACCCGCTCTTCTGGCGCCAATAACTGTACACTGCTACCAGCTACTTGGCTCAGTACCATGATCGCGGCATCCAACTCACGGAAAATGAACAGGTCTGTGTATCGTTGCAGCTGTTATTAGGAGAGCCTCATGCAGCACATGCATGCCGTTCCTCCCTTCCTCCTCCCTCCCCCGGAATAAAAACCCAAGCCCAAATCCACCTCTTTGTTCATCAACCCTCGCGCTGTCCAGAAAATGCGGGTTGTAAAACTTGGTTTTTGCTGCAGTGCTCGAGCAACCTCACGGCTACCATATAAAGACCTACTGATGCAGGCATCTTCTTAAAGAAAAATAAGTGATAGATACTCTTCATATCTGTTCGAGTGCCGTCGTGCGGTGCCCAGGTGTGGGGCTTAACATTATCCTCTACCGCCGCCCTTGTGACCATATAATTACGCCACGCAAACTCATCCGGGGGAGCCTCTGCATCGTTGTACCATGATTCACGGCTTTATTTATAACCCACCTCTACTATTGTAGCCCGCGCCTATATCTGTTTGAAAACTTGAGCATGAGTATCATTACCCCGTCTTAATCACCCTAATCAACCACACAAAAGTAATGTATTTTCCAAGCCTCTAACACAAAGCTGTTCGCTCTATTGGAACTATTGGGATTCGTACCTGGGGAGGGGTTTATGCGGCTACGCAACATGTCCAGGCACAAGTAACCAAATCGCCTCTATGAACTTCAATGACCCGTTTCTCTGAGTCCTTCTGGATTTAAATATACTCGAAAGCTATTATTAGCCTAGACTAGATTATAAACGCGAAAGGTGACATATATGTCCTAGAAATCTTCTGAGATTATTGCACTGTTTTCATTTGCCCCGAAGTTAGTGGGATGCGCTACAAGTGACGGGGCAATGGGGGGTTCAAGCTCACTCGACATGGCGAACACATATCCCTGATCTTTCTTCTTCCGCGGAAGGTATACCTTGAGACCTGATAGACCTTCATCAATGTGTATAGTGGCTCTCTTGCCTTCCACAATATAGAGTTTATCGTGCTGATGGAGCCTGAGGTCGGAAGAAATACCATCTGCCTCGCGGATTTCTGCGTTCTTCAAGACCTCAGAAAAAGTTTCCGAATCTGCCTGGGACTATGTGCGTGGACTATTGAATTTGGGTAGCAATTATGCAACGGGTCAGCGGACTGGGGAAGTTCAAATTTGCTGGCCGTGAATGCTCACCTGAGCAGCACATGAGCTCGATTTCGAACCTGTCGGTCCGACTTTAGTACTGGCCGGGCTCCTCCGCTGTGAAACGAGTCGGCTTCTTTGATACGCTCTGAGAGATATATGTCGCCACGGGAAGACCAGTCGAGGAAGTGACACAGCCAGGAGACGTCCTCGACTGGGAAGCGGAGGAGTTTAACCTGGTTTTGAAAGGCTTCCTTTTACAGCTCGCGGTCAACAAGAAAGAATTGTGTGCTCACCGACACATGCGCGATATGTCCATTAGGGCCGGGGTACCTCACAGGAAAGATTTGGCCATTCACAACTCCCAACGAGGTAAGATGGTTGGTTTCTGTAGGAAGCAGAAAGTTAACCGTCCAGGTAGAGTCCCTTGGAACCTTCATTGAAATGGATACTCTACGACCTGCCTCCTTCAACACATCGATAGGCTTGACACCGAGAAAGCCCACCAAGAGCTGTTTCAGGTCACCGTAATCATCGATGAGTCCCTTTGAGCCGAGCTGCGTGAGACCACACGCACTCCGATGCCTTGCGCCATGCCTGCATGTCGTCCGAGGGGGCGTCAATAAGCGAGTTTCTCTCAAAGGCATTCCTGAATAACAAGATTCATAATCAGTCATATTTGTCCTTCTACCGATATCCTGCTCAATTTGGCTTGCCTGAGGTTTTGATGGAGAGGCCGAGACTTGTTCTCAAGATGTCCAAGCCCTTGTAGATGCCGGTGATGGTATGTAAACGTAATCTCCGCTCGAGAATATTCTTCTGTGTTCATGTGTCAGATTGTATAGGACATCGAACTGGATGACGGAAACATACCGGATCTTCTCCTGAGCTTCTAACCGGTTCTCGCTCTCACTATGTCTAGCTCGAATGTGATCGTAAAGTTTGAATGGCTTGGCTTTGTCCTCAGAAGTGACTCTGTTTGGGAAAGCTTTTCGACTATACTGGAGCATGTCTAGAGCAAAGTCAAGATCAGTTGGGCGTGACCCAAGTCCTATCTCGGACAACAAACCCTTTCACTCGCGCGGAAATGATATCATGTGTGGCACCGGAGTCCAGCCACAACCATGGAAAGAATGCATCTGGCTGCACATATCGCTGAACACGGGCTATCAGCTCCTTAGCCGGGAAGTACGTCTTGGCTAGCGGGAATTGATGATTTCCTCGGCACAGCACCTTTGTGCCTCGAAGCAACCGACGAAATCCGCCGTGAGGCGCAAACAACGTTGATGGTCCACTCAAAGCACACCCCAAGAATACTCTGCTTCATGTTGCAGAAACTTGCATTGTGGGAATTAGATGACCCGGTTGCAAGCGACTCGTTGGTGAAACCGTTCCGCCCATGCCAGGTGGCCCAGAGGCGTGAGGGGAGTGTCCCTGAAATACTCTTGGTTGATGAAGCATGCAGAAGAGTACCCCGGTGGACTGTCTTCGAAATTTGAACCCGCATCGGTTTTCCCGAGCAGCTACCGGGGCCCATATGGCTTGTCGTCGACCATGTATACCACAATCGGTCGTGGCATGACTCCACGAGCATCGCAGACTGTGAGTGAGCTGTAACTGGATTTATAATGGCAATATTTGCTTTCGATAAAGTAGAGAAACTTCAGGTATCATATGGATGCATCAAGCAATACGCCTAAAGGGATTTCCCTTGGCGGGTACCGCTGCAGGAATTTGTCTCGAACGAGCTCTGGAGTGGCCGTCTTCACACCTAGACTCTCGAAAGGGGTAAGGCAATGAGAGTTGGTTACATTCTATAAAGCGGGGATTGACGCTATCAGGAATGTACAATGCATTCCCCGAGTAAAGTAGAGCAGGCCCGATACCGCGGAAACCCAAGTGCCATTTTGGAGCGCCTGCAATTCCTCGACTTGCACGTATTTTTTCTCGGATAATTAAGACGTGAAATAATTTTGGCGGCTCGTGTATGCCAGCCCTCAGACGTCCTACTTGACTTCATTCGGGACAGTGAGCCTTGTCCAAGGTTTTCCCGAAGCTACCTGATGATTTCGACGAAAGAGGCTGTTCGAAACCTATAGGGGGCGAGACGAGTCAAGTCATCCCATTTGTAGCCATCGGACACGATCTGTTCCGGATCGCGATCATAAAATAGGGGCTCTCTGATTTCGTCCACACAGAGGCTGGGGAGACGGTAAAGACCTGATATATATCGTGGCGGCGGGCACTCGATGGAGTAGACAGCAGAGGGAATATGTGTTCCGTTTTCTTCGTGAAAGCTGACGTAGGTCCTCCTCAGCTTCCTAGTGAACATCAGGAAGGTTTCATCAAGATCCTCGAACTGATCTTGGATGATCTTTTGCGTCCTTGCGAGAACGTCTGGATCGTCAGTGTCGTTTAAGTGAAGAGTGAACCTTGTCGACTGCGCGTTGACTCCTTATCCGTGTCTTCCCAGACAGGAGCTACCATGCCCATGCCCAAGTCACTCTTCTTGTGCTTGAAGGAGCAAGAAAAGATACTTGACTGAATATGGGCATAATAAGCTATCATGAACATGGCCTTAGACCTAATATCTTTCTCCTCAGTGTAACCTTGGGCTCCCTGTTTCGTGATTTGTCTAACCGAGCAGATGGCGGCGAGGTTTTCATTATTGAAACTATCTTCGTTGCATTCGATCACGATCTGACGCGGATAAACCTGGGACGAACTATAAGGATCAGATCCCAGTTCTACGGCTCTGTCATAGCTGTTGTCGTCGGCGTTTTGGAGTAGCTCAAACATGAAGCGGGCTTTGCTCGTGTAAAGTTTCTTGGCGAGCCTGCAGAGAGTGGTTAAGGTAACGTTCCGTACTTTTTGGGAATGGTGTTCTTGTTTCTATTGTACGCAATCACATTAATTCCTCCCAGTTCCTGCAGACCGAGTATAACCTCTTCGACCTCTCAGCACGCTTCTGCGTCCATCTTCCTGATAGTCTCTTCTCTAACATAGCCTTGCGCTTGGCGATTCGCTGCACGAGCTCCCTCGCGTGCTGGCGGGTGGCAGGGACAACCATTTTGCTTGATAGGTACTAATGGCGCCAAAAAATCAGAAAGTTAATAATGTCTTGATTGATCGTATCCTCCAAGTCTAATACAGAACGTTCGTTGAGATATACGCCATGTTTGCTCTGGGGTTTTTAGGAGATCTTGGGACTCATATGCGATCTTGGGAGGTACTACGCCCCGGCCTCTTCACGGTACTGCACACCCCGCGCTGCTCGGCTAAGCCGCAATAGGTGCATTGCAACATGTGACAACCCCTAGAGCCGGTGTCGAAGGCCTTCTCGGAGCATGTCCAATGAAAGATATTTCCATAAATGGTCGACTTGACCCGACAGTCTGGATGCGACAAGCGCTAACCCCTCGGAACCGAGGATATCGTCTTGATATCCTGCGCCTCGCAAAAATCTTAAACAAGGGGAAGGCGACTGGCACGGTAAGTGAGATTATCAAGAAGTGGACATATGCAGGAGCTTAGCCCGCACCTTGCTCTTAAGGTGATGCTGTACCTTAGTTAATGGCTGCTCCAGAACCCAATAACTCGAGACTTCCAGACACCTTCTTTAGCCAAGACAAGCTCGTTACCGACATCATTGCGTCGACAGGTTTAGGAGCCGTGAGAGTTTCCTAGCAGGTCACTCTTTGACGCATTTTTCGGTGACCATTATGGACCTGGTGTGCAGCTGGAAGTCGCATTCTCATGTAGCGTGGGCCTACAACCGAGCCTAGAGCGTACCGGTCCATGCTGGCCTAGTGACTGTTGATGAGATTTGTGTCAGAAATTCGCAATGCTACCCACACTGCAGTAGCCCTCCCGCTTGTCATGAAGACGAAACAAACTCGACGGGCTTTCTGAACCGTCCCTGGGAGCAATGGTGTTTCATCAAAAGGCATAGTCGCCAGCAAATTGAACGTCACTTCCCAACTCTATTCCAGTTCTTGCCATCTAGGGAGGCCCCCTCTTTCTGGGGGGACCCCCCCCCCCCAAAAAAAAAACCCCAGCCCTCAGAACACTCAGTATATGCTGTACACTTCCTGTCCCAATCCCTATCTTGCGTGTTAAGCAAGCCATTCACCAGCCCTGGTATCATCGTAGCTTTACCAATTCAATGAACATAAGAAAGATTTACCGTTTGTTGACTTCGTTCGCTTGGAGTGAATGAAGTGATAATTAATCCAACCGATTCACATTCTTGCATATTATTTGTAGTCATTTCTCAGGCAGCGGTTGCGCTTGATCGAGATTATACGTCTCTGACAACTGGGACAAACTTCACCTTTGCCTCGGACTTCTCAAAGAATCCGTAGTGAAGCAGAGTTTCTTCCAAGTTTACATGTTGGCCCGGTACTTTGACGACATCAAACACCCACAGCACCTTTGCTAGGAAAAGCTTCCCTTGCATCCACGCCATCTCGCGGCCAAGGCACGCTCGGGGACCCAGGCTAAAGAAAGGAAGACTCTTCAGCTCATCTTTCGCGAAGCTTGCGTTCTAGAGTGCGTGGTCTGGCTGCAGCCAACGCTGTGGTCGGTAGCAGAGAGGGTCACGAATGTAATCCGGGCTGCGAGCGAGCGTAAAGATACTGCTCTGCACGGTGGTCTGTGATGTGGGCGTCAGCAGGATTTAAGGCTTTCGTTCAAAGCTACGGAGAAAATGTTTCTTACACCCTTAGGAACAAAATAACCGTCCACAACAGCGCCGGGGCTATACCGCGGCAGTCCTGTAAGGTTGGTGGGAAGCAAGCGTAGCGTCTCCTCGAGACAGGCGTGAAGGAACGGGAGCGATGCCAGGGTGGTCGGGTTGATGTCATCATAGCTGTAAATATTGCCCCTAATCTCCTTGACCAGGTGGCTGTAGCATGCAGGCTCGTCCAGCAGGTACAACAGCGTGCCGTACCACCAATCCGCCATAGGACCCCAGTTGGCAAACATCATCTGCAGTCCCAGGGAGCCCAGATGCACAAGCTGGCGCTTCTCTGTTGGTTTCGGCTCATCCGGAGGCAGGATATAGTCGAAAAAGTCGGGGTGCTCCGTCTTGCCGATCATATCGATGCATCGCAGGGTCGCTTGCCGTGTTGCCGTCTCCATGGCCACAAAGGCGCCCAACTTGTGCAGAGGAACGAAAAAGTACTGCAAAAGGACTAGGAGGGGGAATTTCTTGAAGACCTGCATGACAGTTGCGAAGGAATTAAAGGCAAGGAGGGCCTCGAGGTAGGTGGCACTCTTCATATTCCGCATCTCGTGCATCTTCTGGCCCCACGCAAGATCTGCTGCCAGGTCTAGAGCCAGCCAGTTTGTCCAGTCAAGGAGGCTCACGCCGCCCGCAGCAGAAGGACCGAGATCCTTCATCCTCTGGATAAAGTAGTCCATGTACTCATGGACTAGTGGCTCCATGGCCCTGATGGCCCGGCTGCTGAAGGCGGGGGCGAGCTTCTTGGCGACCTCGCGATGCCGAACGGGATCATTCTCCCAGGCAATGCCGCCAAGGTCTTTGCCACGATCCTGGAAGTCTGTCTTTGGGAAGCTTTCGAGGCCCCGGTGTTGCGTTGCATAGATATCTGTGAAGGCCTGAGGAGTGTAGAAGACGAGCTCGTTGGGTGCAATGCGCACGACGGGGCCGTACTTGCGGAAGGCGTCCTCTATGGCCCACGGGTATCTACCGGACATCCTGTGTCGTCACTGTCAACCCGCTGCTGGCATTTGCCTTGGGAGGACAAGAGCATGGACGAGACAGCACTTACCAGTGGTAGGCGTACCAGAGGTTCGAGACGGCTGCCACCCGTGGGCCAGGAAACTTGGCTAGTGGGTGGTGGAACACGCAATATGCGCCTCGTGCTATTGCATAGACAGCGACCTGTGAGTATACAGTCAGAACACGGCTCGGTGCTATGTGGTTGTACCCTGTTTTTGACTCTTGTAGTCAGGGACCTCGGATATATACATGCCGCAAGGAGGAGGGTCAGAACAGACCATGCCGACCAAAAGTCAGACTGAGTGATTTGCTCTGACTCTCAACGAGGTGTGTATCGTATGTGCATGGCCTCACCCACTTGCGACAAGCCTCTTATCATGGATGTCCGGTGCATGGGGGAATAGACCGACGTCGTTTACTACTACTGTACAGCAATAGTGTTGGTGGGGGATGAAGGATTATCTCATGTTTTTGTTCGTTGGGTTAGGACGTCATGAGTCGTGACCTTTGTCCTACTGAACACAGGATCATTATACGATTTGGGGGCCAAGCACAAAGGGAAGGAGCCGTGGTCTGCGGCGGGGTGGGGGCGGCAGGCACGGCGTAAGCATTTAGTGCTAACGGGAAGCCGCGCAGCTAGTTTTTGGTCAGCACTAGGCACTATAGGCGGGTGTATCCACAATACGTTCGGACAGTGCGGGGTCTTGGACAGAGCTACATGGTACATGATAGACCTGCTGGAGAAGGCGCTCGGAAATTCCTGATGTGTCCGTAGAGGGATGCGAGGCAAGTGCAAACCAACCCGACCGAAAATAGCTTTCCACTCCGGAGTGGCATGAGGTAACGCACGGCTCGCATTTCACAGCAACGCCACGGCTTGCTGTCCCCGAGGTTTCCTTTCCATGCCTGGCACAATTCCACCAGTCAACGCCTTGCATTTCAGCCTTGTTGTCTCTTGTTTGAAAGGCAAGTCATGTCAGCCCTAACATGGGCAGCCCTAACATAGTCAGGAACCCCCTTTCCCATACACGTGCCACCACCACTGGAGGCCTGCGCGCACGAAACAGGCCTTTTTCTGAGCCCATTATTCATTTGTCGTCCTCGTTCAGCCCGTACTCGGTCACCAGCTCCGTCCGCAGAGGGATGTTCTTCTCGAACAGACATATCACGAATGCGAAGCTGGTGAAGGCAATGCGCACGAGGAAGACCCTCTGGATGGCCAGGCGGTAAACAGCAATGATCTCAGCCTGGTCAATCAGCGACGGAAACGCACGCACAAAGGCCGCTGACGCGTGCTCGTACGCGCCGCCGCCGAGGAGCATCGCCGCGGCTTCGGGGTTCGAGACCCGGCCTGCAGCGACAAGCCCGTCGACACGGTTGGCAAAGATGGCCGCTGGGATGGCGACGCCCCAGACGCCCCCCAGAGTACGCAAAAAGTTCCAGCAGCCTGTCGCCAGAGCCTGGTCCGCCTCGGACACGGGTGCCTGAAACGCGGGGAGCTGCGTGTTGAGGAGCAGGCCGCCTCCAAAAGGGCCTGTGAACATGTAGCCCACCCATACGCCCGTAGGGATGTTCTCGTCCAGGCGGGAGAAGAGCCCCAACCCGAGACAAAAGAGCGCAAATCCCGAGAGGTGGATGGGTACCGCGGGCGGTACTTTGAGTCCTCGGCGAGGCTCTTAGCAGTCGACGGCAGTACCGTTGTAGACACCGATGCGGCCTCGGATGACGAGGACAACTGATGCTGGCGCCGAGGCTCGAGGCAGGTCGTCGGCATGGGGACCGGAGTTTGTTTTAGGTTTTTCTATTTGGGGGGGGATTATAACGTCTTAGACGCCAATCTTCTCACCGCCAGCAGCAACATCAGCGTTGGCATCTGCATCAGTGATATAGCTCATGGCATTCTGTGCTTGTGATAGCGAGGCGAGCTACCTGGAGATCAGCCTGGATACGTGCTTCTGGTCTGGTATGGTAGATCAAAATCCTTCTTCATATGGTCTCTTTGGAGTTTTGGACATTAGCCGTGTGCGCTTGAGTCATTGTGAACCATGAACTTGTTCCATCAAGTCTATCTTGAACATTAGGATAACCACCTGTGACAGTTGCCAGGTATGGATTCCTTACCCCATCGCTTGATGGACATGTAAATAACCCACAATGGTTCAGGTTTAGCACGAATGAATGGCCAAAGAAACTTACGCCCATTTATCCCGGTCCATGAAGTCCTTGCTTGGTAAGATGAGGCAGCAGTAGTCACAGACGAACTCCATTCCCTCCTTCGATGTTCAAGGCGGCGGAGGAACGAGTAACTTCTCGTCTATATGGAATGGTGCCGTTGTTGCGTGGGATATCCGAGAACGAGCTGCCAACTTTTCATACTGCTCGCGGTCCACCGTAGTAGCCGTGAGCCGGCTAGGTGTATGCTGGAAGGGGACATCAGGTCCCCGCTCTGTCTCTCCTCCTCCACAGCTCTCCTGGCCATGGTCGATCCCCTCTACTTCTTGCACGGACTGAAGCTGCGGTGGGTTAAAATGGCGCAGTCGATGCTACTCCTGTTCCATTACTTTTGACGGGATCACCTATAGAGGATCCAACGACGGCTGAGCAGCATTGTCTGTGCTAGTCGATCTAACATGTGTTCCGCCAAATCCTTACACTCAAGTCTGATCGCACTCCGGCAATTGTCAGACGTGCATTGTGTAATATCATCGTCATCTTCTTTTTTTAGGGGAAGGCTGGCCGTCCTCTGGTTCTGGCTGGCAAAGCTCGCCTTCCGCACCAGACTCGAGAGCCTGTGGAGCCAGTCAATGATTACATGTATTGACTGCACAAACTCTACGGTCACATCCTTTGAGTGCACAGGGGTGCTTGCTTGCCTCGAGGCATCTTTGCCTGGCGTGTCGCTGTGATCATCTCCGTTGCTGTCCGTAAGTTCTTCTTTCACTGCAGCGGTGATGTCAGCTAATTGATCTCTGTGTTTTGACTGTCTCCTACAAACATTGGACGAGCTTATGTTCAGCGTATCAAGCTGTCTCATGAGCAGGCTCTTAATCTCGGGGATGTCGATGAGTCGGAAGTCCAGAGAGGCCTAAGCAGGTACGAATACCCCAATGTTTCCAGCCCATAAGTTAAACCGTCCTGATCCATCTTATATCAGGAAAAGAGCGATACAGGTTCGTTGCATGAGAGCAGGGACAATATGTCGGCAAACAGAACTCGGCATTCCTTTGCCTCAACCTGAATGGTCCGCTCTTGTTCTTCATCAGGGGGCTTAGCTGAGCGAGCATTAGCATGATGAAACTGACGTTGTGGCACATCGGAACAGCAAAAGACATTCCAGCACACATCGCTCCTGAAAGCAAGCCCCCACATCCGCTAGCCGCATTGCTCCTGCAGAATGGTGATTAGGCATGCTCGCATGTACGACACGCCCACTCCCGGTTGGTGTAAGAGAGAGCGTTGCTCAATTTCACGATAATTTGAAATTGGGGGGTTCCTTGAATGCAAAACATGCCACGCACACTCTAGCTATATGCGCACTTGTATTAGGAAGCCAGTCATGTAGATCATGTTCACACATTTCATCGTCACTACTCGCTGCGGTCACGAAGAAGTCTTCCATCGTCGAGTAGGCTCAACGAGCCCACTTATCTGACTCCATGTGTGTGGTCACGGAAGCCTGCTGTAGTTGAGACAAACATTTCCAAACAGTAACAGTCTTCCTCGTTGAAAGGCGTCTCTTCCGATTCTGTGGCAACAACAGCTCAACCTTTATCAATGCTTTTCAGAATGTATATTTGCAATTTAAACCCTGATATTCCATTTCTAGAGGGAGCACAAAGCATTATTTTTCTTACCAAACGGATACACTATGAGTGCTGACAAAAACACCCCTACTGCCAACCCCAACGCTACTTGAATCATCTGTCCACCAACGCTAAAGCTCCTGTAAATATTATCACCCCATAATGTTTGCGCGTTGGAGCTGTTTGAGCTGGTATAGATGAGCGGCATCGTAATTCCCGTGACTAGGCCACCCTGCGCGGCGAGACCTCCTGGTACCAAGGCCATAATACTGGCCACCACAGTTGCGTAGGCGAAACCATGATGAGATCGTGCCCAGAGGTTGCCAAGGATGCCAACGACCAATGCAGAAGCCGTGTCAGCAACTTGAGCGGTTGCCTTTGCCGAAACGAAGTCTGCAGGTTTCGTGAGTGTCAGCTAGGCATCGCCTCACCCAGACCCGAAAGCTGTCTTCGTACAGCTGATGGTGAGCTGCCAGGATGTGGGGGAAAATCCTTCTCTTCCACTCTCGCTTTGTACATTCCATAACTTGGAGTGGACCAAAGGGTCAAAGGAAGCAACTTACAGTTCACCAGTACCCCCGCTGAGCCGACAAGTATTTGGCCTGGTAACTGCCGGGGTCTCGAACGAATGATGACACCTTGTACGGCGAGATAACATGGCACAAGCAGGATTTTCCATTTGGGATCGATGGTTCTCGGGCACGTTGTCGACGTCGGTGCATCCGGATCGGCTAACTCCCACAGCTGCGAGCCAACGCTCATGCCGTAACCCAGGAGGAGCGAGTACATTATGGCATAAAAGAGCCGCGTAGATCCCGCGGTGATCGACTTGGACTGTAGTTCCAGACTTCCCGTCAAGACAATGAAGCCAGGTAAGATCATGGCGATAGAGGACTCGGCCAACGCGCCGAAGCAAAAGTATTTTTGTAATCCGCCGCCGCCGATGGAAGCAAAGGCCCGCGATCCGAAGGATGTGATGAGACAGGCGGTGACCTCGAGGACGTTGGAATAGAGAGGATTCCTAGTGGCGAGGATGATCTGAAGGACGCCAACAACAGTGCCGAGGATAAAAGCAATGGGCATATCCGTCCAGTAACCTCCGAAGGCCCCTGGCAGGAGGTTGTTAGTAAGGCAAAAGGGGGAGAACCTGTTTGGAATAGTAAATTCCACGATCCGCTTGGAAAAGATGATGCAAAATGGCCGGATATGCACAATGCAAGCTGAACAGAGTTGGAGTACTCACAAACACAGGCTAATGCTGATGCGAGCCCGTAGAACGGTACCAGCCACAAGGAGTTATAGTAAGAAGGCGCTTCAATTAAGGTTGTGAGTTTGTCCGTAGCTTCCTGGACGGTCAAAGCCCCAGCCACCACATCCTTATAAATGCGAAATGCAACCTCGCATGCTCCAACATCAAGACCCTGCGCCTTAACAATCGTCGTATACGCCGACTTCGTCAGCGGATCCGCCGGATCAACGGGATTGATGAAGCAGATATCCATACACCCGACTGAGTAGTTGACCCTCCCGTCTATGTCCAGGGCCTTGAATAGCTGCATTGTGTATTCCTCGAGCCGGTGCGACGGCGCGCCATATGCCATGAACGCATACACAACGAGCAGCACCAGATTACGACAGTGAGCCAGTTCAGCCTTGGCATTCATATATTTGACCTGCTTGCTGTCATGGGCCGTGATCTTCTTCTTGAGGTTTCGTAGGGCGCTCGTCAGCTCGTGTGCATCAACACCAGCGCCAAAGATGCGGCGGAGGGTGCTTGGCGTGGCCACACCCGACGCCGTTCCTGAGGCGGTGGCCGTGTCAGAGCGGACGCTGGACGCAGAGATCGTGCGTGCACCCAGTCCTGGGCGTGCCAGTGGTACGGATGCGCCGACCAACAGGTTGAGGCTCGAAGTTCGCTTATGCTGGCCCCCCACCTTGGAGACTCTCCTCGCCTTATTTATGACGTCCATGTCGATGCCCACGTCACCCATGATATCTTGGATATCCTGTTGCCTGTCTGGCCAGCCGATGTCCTCTCTCCACTCCGATATCCAACGCCGAAAGGATGGCAACAGTCCGCGGTGCGAAGCCGGCATTGGAGTTTCCTCACCATCGCAAGGCATGGTGACAGCTCGTTCTGGGGCAGGGTAGATCCTCTGTAGCTTTCCCACATCAGAGGGGAAGCGCGCCCTTCCATGTTGACGTGCGTGCGGCGTTGTCGCTGTGTCGTGCGGAGATGATGGGGCCAAGGGGGTGGCTGGGCGTGTGGGTGGTGGAAATAATGGTGTGCTTGGAAATGGTACTGTATCTGCACACGGCGAACCTCTGTGTGTGAGATCCATGGCGTCTAGTATTTCTGTCCAGCTGGTCCCCGCTTCGCTATACACAGAACTGTTGTGCGGATTCTGCGGTGGCCCAGAGCTCAATGCTTCGTTCACCGGTGTTGGTGAGTCGTGGATGAAGTTGAACGACTCATCTTCCTCATCAGATGTCGGCGAGGACATGCCAATGTATGCATCTTCCGACATAGTCTCTATGAAACTTTTTTCCTCTTCCCCTTTTTATACAGTCTGACAAGGTCCAGTTTGCACACTGACCTTCCTTCAAGTGAACGGGCCTTCTAAGGGTTGACTGTCAGCCGTTCGGGCGCCCGTCTTCGCTAATACAAGAGCATCGAAGGGCCGTGCTTGATGAGACACGCGAGAGAAGGGATTCGAAGTGTGGAGGGAAATTTCTTCGAGACTTGACAAGTTCTAGACTTTTGGAGCCCTGGCTTATTTTCCCCACATCGATCTAGTGTGGTGATTTGTTCGGGAGAGCCCGCCATGCCCGCGAAGACTCCGCGAACGGATGCGTCGTGACATGGAGGAGTCTTTTCATTGACATAATAAGTATCCACTTGCCCCGCGGATTGGACGCCTGTCACGGGCAGTGTGACCCGGGCAGCCCTGTACATGAAGTATCATATGCATTGGCCACGTGGTGCACTCAGAATAACACTTACTCCTATTTCTTATATGAATCGCTACATGTAGGTGAAGGAGATCGGAGGATATAACGTGTTGTTTAAACAGTGGCTGGACATTGTACTAGTAACAGGCACTGGAATCTGAATCACAACCGGCTCCATTTTGTTTTGGTCGTTTAATAGCGGCGTGAACCTTTGCATAGAGGATGTTCAATTTTTATAGGGGTTTTTTTTTTTTTTTTTTGGGTTTCTTGCTCACCTTTTGCTCTTTTTTCTTTCTTTTTGGATCAATTCACTGGGTTCGATAGGAATGGTAGTGGCAACCGGAAGATGATCTGTCGAGATGGATCTTTTCCATGCACAATCTTCCCAAGGTCATATTGAAGCACGCCAGACAGACTGGACCCAGAGGTGCTCAAGACAAGAAGAACTTCGTATCCCTTGATGATGGCGTCGCAGTAAATACCGAGTATGAGGCAGAACAAAAGTTTCAGCATGTTCCTTACAGGCGAATGGTTGTATTATTTAATTTATATGGAGCGGGAAATGTCTTTCGTCATTTAGAGCCAGATGAAGAGCTACAAACGTCGAAGCTCAAAGAAACTCGCTTCCTGCACACGCGTCTGACATCTGAGTTTGCGGAGTATTTGAGATGATGTTTTTGAAGCCTCTGGGCTATCACGAAGATGCCAGCGCTGGATCAATACTTGTACGGATGCTTAAATCATGAGGACTCACTTCAACAAGTTTGTGACGGGTCTCTAATATTTGTCTATTGTGAATGGAGCAGCATGGTACCTAAAATAATCCTCCCACCACCCCCGAAGATAAAAGAAATTCCAAAAAGAAAAACGAAAAACGAAAAGATAGTCTATAAACTCAGCGATAGAAGAGTTTCGTTCGTTTTCCAAGAATGATCACGGAAAGAACTTTAAGTATGTTTAAGCCCCGTAGAATGAGGACAAACCAGCACCTTTTTAGGTCTCGATGCTTCGAATGTGCACCCTTGCCATCAGTGGCCCTTTCTGGTACAGCCCAAACACCAGCTGCGAATCGACCCAGTCTTTTTGCCCCTCGGCCAGCTCAAGATCGAAGTTCCAGAGCAAGCGCGCAATCACCAAGCGCATTTCGGAGTACGCCAGATTCTTGCCAATACAGTCCCGAGGTCCAGCTGCAAAAGGACGGAAGACGGCCTTCTTGTCGTGAGCGTAGCGACTGTTATACAGAGGGTGTGACGCGGGCAGCCATCGCTCAGGGGCATATTTTTCCGGGTCGGCAAAATTGTTTGGCGAGTGGTGGGTGGCCCACTGGTAGTTACTGAGTCTTGTGCCCTTGGGAATCCAGTACTCGTTGCCGTCATGGTGAATGTAGTCTCCCGGCGACACACGCGGCGGCGTCTCCGAGGCGGGTGGGTACATGCGCAGGGCTTCCTCGAGGCACGCATGGAGATAGGGAAGATGGGCAGTCGACCGCATGGTAATGTCTTCTTCGCAGGTAAAAGCGGTGCGGATCTCGTCCGTCAACCGCTGGTATGCTTCTGGACTCTGACAAAGGTGGAATGACATCCCCGACAAGGCTGTGGCGGTGGTCTCGCTGCCTGCGCCGATCAAAGCTCGTGAGTTCTCGAACATCTCATCCTGGGTCATGCGCTTGCCATCCGTGTTGTGGTCAATGATGTACGCCATGATATCCCTGCGAGACTGGTCCTGCATGGCCAGCCGTTTCCGTGTCTTCTCCTTGCTCAATTCAATGAATTGCTGCGATTGCCGAAAGAGGCGCATGAGATCACCGAGCCCGACTCGGAATCCCATAAGTGGCAAGAGAAGAGGATAGTGCATCAAGAACTGAATAGCGGCTGCCTGTCTCACACTAGAGGAAATCATGGAGATCCAGGGGTGGGATTTTCCACTCTCTAGTGCGTCGAAAGGGTCCGCGAAGGCAAGCTCGCCGATGATGTCGAACGTCGTGAAATTGTACCACTGCGTCAGGTCTAAAGTCTCTCCTGCCACAGCACGCTCCCTCAGTCGCTTCACGAGCAAATCCACATAGTACTTAATGTATCGTTCTTGCTCATACATAGCCGCGTCGGAGAATGCGTGAGCAAGCAGCCTGCGTTGGCGTCGGTGGTTTTCGCGAGACTGCGTAGGAAGGAGGCCCACGTACTTTTCCTGGGCGGGATAACTCTCGGGGACTTTCGTAAATTCAAGTTGGTTTGCACGCCGGGCGAAGACTTGAGGCCAGATGATCGTGCCGTCAACGGCGATGCGGTTCGGGCCGATGCGCACGATGGGGCCGTACTCCTCGTGTACCTTGAGCATTCGTTTCGTAAACGTTCCCTCGATCTTGTCCTCCCAAACAACGGGAAGGTCTGAGGCAGCCCATAGCTTGGGGCCGGGAAAGCAAGATAGCGGGTGGAAATAGACGCGGTAAACCGCAAGGCCGATTCTGTAGGCGAGGAACTGTAGACTTTGAATTAGACAGGTCGCCCTGTGAGAATTGTGGTGAGCGAAAGGACTTACAGCGCCAATAAGGAGGGCAAGCAGTCGAGGGGTCTGAGACCACGCAGCTGCTTCCATGTCGATGACCGCCATCTCAGAATATCGTCTCTGTTCAACTTGCTCCTTCTTCGTGCTTTAGTTTTGTTTGCTGGGCTTGATCAGAGATTGGCAGCAGGTTATTTTGAGGTGATTCTTGGGCGCAAGAAGCTTTATATAATTTATGGATTCTCTACCACGAGTTGCACACACGCACATACACACGCAAATTTAAATATGTACATATACACGTATGTGTGTATACACATTGATCCATTAACACGGCATCATGGCTCTTGACACGTTGGAGGACCCTCGTCAGAAGCTAACTTTGACTGCTATACATTCTGCGGAAGCAATGGGGTCTTGTTAAAACCCGAATGCTCCAAAGTTTGTCGTACTACTGCCCTCAGTCAAGACGACCGGCCCACAACCAATTAACATGACCGTTAATAACCGCACGACTCCACTGCAACAACTGCCGGGCGCGCCGGGCCTTGTAAAGCCGGCAATTTCGGCACGATCGGGCGCTTTTAAAATCCCGTCATATGCACGACTCCAATGTTCTCGATTGTGACTTGCTATTACAACCCAATTCGCTCCGTAGGATTTCGAAATATCAACCTGCAAGAGGCTTGTTGCAGTGGAAACCCTTGTATCAAAGCGAAGTAAATAGTGCGGAGCTGGCGCCGCCGGGGAAAATGCGGGCACTAATGGCTTGTACGCGTGCTTTGTGAACGGGGGCTTGCTGCAGGGCACGATCAGGTCGGGCCAAGAGGACGAAGAAACGACGCTCGAGATGGAGCCTGTGCCTTCCTCCCTCCCTCTCTCCTCCTTCACAAAATTACTTGCTGAATTGCCTGTACATGTTCTTCGTGAATCTGCCCGACTTCCACCATCGCAAGCGTAATTCTGCAATCTCGTTACTTTTTTTCATGCCGCTGGTCCAAATCAACGTCTCACTGTTCCTACATTGTTGTCTCATCTAATGAGCAACGAGAAATTCAGAATTCGTCCTCTCCACCTTGCCCTGCTCAAATCACATCTGGAATGATCCCAAGACTTCGTCAAAGTTTTGAGCAGGTTCTCTTTCTTGGTGCATACCCAACGCTTCTACTCTAGCTGAAGCATGACTTTGGGCTCCCCAACAAATCGGTATTCATGCAAGTTGAAAAGACGATGACCAGCGAGAAAGAAGAAATTGCTAGTGTATTAACCACCAATCAGATCGTTCTTGCGTTGGCCTGTTAACGCCTGGCTGCTGTTGTACTTATCGGAGTGCGAACATGCAATGCGGACTGCAGGGAGGTAGTGCAATCCAGATATCCATGCATGGTGCCCGGGACATGTAATTTTGAAATATTTGTGCACAATATATGCTTGGAGTCCGAAAAGTATCCTTTGTGGTTGACTTCTTTGGCTTCCGTGATGGGGTAAACGGTGGTCTCGGTCTGAAGCTGGGCCCAAATGGCAAGTTGACAAGACAAATTAAAGATAAGGTGGATATCATTGCACAATGAACTCTAGAGTTTTGGAAAGTGTTGATAGTAGGGAGATTGCAAATGGGATCTTGTCCCTAGAGGTTTTCAGCGTTCATATATGAGGAATCAAGCGGCACATGGGTAGACTTCTCATCCACGGGCCTCATGCTCGTTCAACATAAATAAAGAAGAGTTTCAATAGCGATGTCTTACTAATTACTGCCATCAATAATTCTGTATAGTGCTTTATTTAGTAGGCTTAGCGGCTGTACTTACTTGGTAGCAACATCCTAGTCGAGCCCGAAGGGAGGGCGGGGGAAAGCAACAATTTATTACAAGGATATGGAATATGGCTCTATAAAGGTATCCCGGCATTGATATGGATCATATTAAGTCGTTCTCAGGCAGCAAAAACAACGAAAGGGGGCCCATCTTCTCATTGTGAGTGGGTACCTACCACGAATCATGAAACAGCTACTCTAATCAATCCAAAGTGTCCTCCAAACACACATTTACTATATACGACGAAAAAAACTTGCTAATTAGTCCAGAACACTACAGACCTTTCGCAATGCAATCCACTAATAATTCGACTTCTTACGCTATTGTATTGTCTGATGATGCAGAAGTTTGCATCATGATTACTTTCCAGGGACCATAACGCATCGAGTATGGTCCAAAACATAATATTATTGAGTGCAGTCTGTTTGGTTGCAAGCTAGTGAAACTCTTGAAATCTACATTATTGATACGGCTGAATATGATTTGATAACGTTGGAAATGGATGGCGTAGACACTTAAGTGGTCTTCGCTCTGAAGAACAGAGTTTTGGATGCATCCGGAATAGACTATGATGCAAGAGCATTGAAAGTCAGTCAATCAAGGCTTGATGATAATTTTGAAGCAGTACTCGAATTATTGAGACTTACCATATGAGCGAACTCAAGGTTGGGCCACCTTGCGGCGTTGTCTCCTGGCATGCGAACGTCGTAACGGATGAGTGTGTTGGCAAGAATCATTTTGATCTCATTCGCGGCGAAGAATCGGCCAGGGCACGCATGACGTCCAAATCCAAACGTCAGACTTGTTTGGTTGACGCTGACGAATTGATTAAGCGCCGCGGCCCCTGCTTTGCCTTCCTCGCGGATCCGAGAGAAGCGGAACGGGTCGAACTCTTCCGGGTTGGGAAATATCTCAGGATCGTTATTCACGGCGACGGCAGGGATCTCAATTGTTGCGCCCTTGGGGACAACCTGGCCGTTCGACAGTCGGACATCCTGCAGTAGTTTGCGTTGAAACGATGCTGGCCGGAAGATTAGTCGGGGCGCTGTCGAGGTCATACTTTGCTGAATAAGAAAGTGTGTAACGTACCCATAGAAGCAGGTGTCATCCGGAGCGTCTCCCTGAGGAAACTGTCAAGCTTTTTCATGGATTGCAGACATTTGCTTGTGAAGACTCCGTCATTTTCCGACAGTGCTTGGACAGCCTCTTCCTTGAGCTCATTCTTGACTGCCTCGCTCGCGGCGGCCAGATTGTAAAACCTAGGCGATCATGTAAGCGCACTGGAGCACAGCCAAGGTAGACTGTGCGAGAATATGAGCCAAAAACAAAAGAAAGAATCTACATACGCATTGGTAGCTGTCAGCGTCGTGGTGTGAATAGCGGCAAAGCTTAATCCCAGCTGGACCTTGGCGAAGTTCCGGCTTGCTGGATCGGTGAACTTGTCTTGGCTGTCGAGCATCCACTGCAGGAAATCATCAGGACCGTCCTCCGAGTCAGGTTTCTCCGCATGCAGCTTCTGCCGGCGATCGACAAGCGGCTTGAGGAAGGCCTGCGCCTCGTTGAGACGCTGATTCAGATGCTTGATCTCGGGCAGCGTGTTGGCCAAAAACGGTCGCATCCAGGGCCGCATCCTTTGAACGGCGCGCTGAGCCTTCATAACGTCCATCGTGTAGTTAATTGCGGCGTCCAAGTACTCTTCAGAACGGCAGAGCTCTGGTCCGATGAAGATGCGGCCAGACACCATGCCCACGATGCGGAGGAGCTTCTCGTGAATGTTGACCTCTTGCCAGTTGGTAAATTCCCGAAGTGGCATCTCCAACTCCAGGGCTTCGGCAGTCTCGCGTGCAATTGTAGGATTGAGGCGAGCTATGAGCGAATGAAGAACATGCATTTCGTCAGTAGCGAACATTATAGGCTGCCTCTGCCTTCAGAAACCTGGGTATACCTACTCAACGACGGGGTCAATTTGCCCGTGACAGTGTGTGGGATGATAGGCACGTGACTTTCAATCTTGGTGTACTTGGTTTCCATGGCCTAATCATTTACACAGAGGGGGCTCAGTAAGTGTGTCTGTGTGAGACAAGTAATGCTCAGGAGGAGTCCCTGGTGTGCATGTAGGTAAGCCAGCTTACATCGTCAACCGCGGCCTCCATGCTCACGACGCTGTCGGGCAGCTTATTGAGCTCTGGCAGAAACTTTGGCGAGACCACAATCACGTTGGCGTCTAACACATGTGCGAAAAGATGTCAGCACCCATCGCTCAACACAAGTTGACTGGCAAAGTCCCATCGCAGAAAATGGCAACTGACTTCGTGAAGTGGTGAGCCGAGCCGCCCCCTTGAAGAGTCCATTCTTGAACTAAAATGACAAAGGTTAGTAAGTGTTGCTGCGATGAGCGTGAAGAATACGCACATTGTCATAGGCTGCGTAGTATAGCTTGCGTGCGCCCTGAAGATACGCCTGTCTGCGTTTTTCTTCATTGCCCAGCTCAGTCCCGATGACTGGTAGCGCAGCAAGACGGATGATGGAGATTATCTTGGGACCAAGGTATGCTAGGGCACATGCGAGCACCGCAGCGACAATCACAAGAAAGCGCTCAGAAAGCGTCTCTGAGAGGGAGGATGTCGTTGATGTCGCCATGGTGAAGGTATGTGAGTTGTCGTAGGGTTACGGCGGCCAGTGACGATATGTTGAGCTTTTCTGAGCTCGACCTGTGGTTATAATTCGAACGGTTGTTGCCAAACTCGTACCAGGTTAAATAGAAAACAGTACATGAAGTGTTTTGGTTTTAATTGATTCCTGTCAATAATTATCATTGACCGGATACGCGACGGCAAGCAAATTGAGCCGGGGATCGATGCCCGTTACCTTATCTGTTGCCTTGCGATATGCAAGACTCGCTCTCGCTGTCGTTTTTCAAGGGCATCTGCAGAGCCTGCCATGGCTAAGTCAAGCCTCTTAATTGCCACGTATTATTAAACACTGCTCAGCCTGCATCAAACACAAGCTACTGCACAAGACACAAAGTGGCAGGTCAACGCTCAGGAGAAGGGAGCAAGGACCATCCTACCCTGGAGAGTAGTAGGAGCGGGAGCGAATTCAATCTGATTGGCTCGCTCTCGCTTTCGTTTTGTACCCACAGTTTGTGGATAGGGGATTTTTTTGTATCTCCGTCACGGATCATTTTACCGTGGTAGCTAATGCACGGGTACGATAGCGCCCACACACATCTTTCAGAGGTGGACGCCAAGATCTCTTCAAGTTTCGGGTAGTGAACGACAAAGCTCGTGTTTTTCTTTCTTTTCTTTTCTTTTCTCCTTCCTTTTTCTTCTTTTGTGCTTTTCTTTTGCCTTTAAGGCCTACAAAGTATTGAAGTTTCTCAAAGAATAAGAACAACGTTTGTTTTCGCAATGACAATTCATATCGAAGATGTAAATTATATGAGGGTTATGGAGCATGATCAACAAGATTCACCATTGGTCCTGGTAAAAGGAGTAAGAAAGCTTGATAAGCATATAAGAGATATAAGTACAACTCAACGGCTGGTGGAGGGCGGGGATCAGGGCTATGTAACCCCCACCCGCCACTCAACGCACCCGTAGAAAGAAAAGTGGTCTGGAAAAGGAGGCTTGCAAGAAAAATTAGAACAAAGGTACAAGAGAAGGGACGGAGCAAAGGAAAAGGAAACTTTGTCGGTTAATCTTCCCGCTGTCGCGCACGACATCATGTTCCCACGCTAGATCATCTTCAAATGCCGGAACTAGCGAATGATGAACAGGGGCCTCGCATACACGTTCTGCTGGTATAGGCAGCTTGATTTCCCTTAGGATAAAGCTCGCTATATCCAGCCACGACTATTCTGCGCGTCCACAGTTCTTGATCCCCGCCGTACACAGCCGAACTCATCGGATAGTTATTTGTCTGTATATATCGTTTTGACTGATCCACATCCAGCTGCCAAAATCTGCCTAGCCATGTGGGAGGAGATCAACAATCATTCCTGCGTTTTGCTTGCTCCTGCGTTGATATCATGGTTCCGCCACACATTGCATTATAACCTGGCGCAGCACTTTGTCTTTGACAGCTGCCATGTGCAAGACTATTAAAGAAGACGACTCGGTCTTGCGAAGATTTCCAGTTATCTTCAGATCAAGATCACCAAACTCTCGTTCATTTTTGGATACCGGCCACTTGTGTTCAAACCTGCTAGCGTTCCCAATGCCAGCCGTTTACGCTTGTGTCCCGCTTAGACCTTAGTCCTATTCGCTCGGCCCTTGCTCCTCATTTATCTCTCCTTCCTGGGCTCCCCCCCCCCTCTTCTTTGGAACTGTTTCTACATAGTAGGATATCAGTACTTGCAATCAACCTCATCATTATGTCCTCTGCCCTGCTCCCGGGCCCGCCTCCCACGGACATCATCAATCTCGCCATCGCTGAGCTTTCTCTATACATAGTCCTATTCAGTCCGGCTGTGTGGATCACTTGGAAGCATGGAAAGGCGGGCATGACCTGCTGGCCGATGCTTGTGTCCTTCATGGCCATGCGTTTCGCCTCCGACATAAGCCAGATCATAAACAAGCATGAACCTCAGGTGACCAACCAAACTCTGATTATAACGGAAGCCGGCACACTCGCGTGTCTCTCATTGACAATCATAGGGCTGGTGTATGAAGCGTAAGTCCTGACTCCCGCTTGGCATGTCTAGTTGCTCGCACTCCTTGTGTTCGCCCTTCCCCAGGAGGTATTCCTGCAGCATGGGCCTGGAGAGATAAGTATGTTTCGGGAGCTGACTTTTGCGCTTCAATCTCAGGAATACCATCCTGCCCGTCTCAGGCAAAGGTTGGACCCAGAAAATTCTTCTTGCCTTCACGCACCTTACCAACACGACGGGCATCGCGATGTGCACCTATGCCGGATCACCATCCCCAACCGGGGGTGTGTTCAGCGCGCCATTGAATAAGGTCGGAAACTTGATGATGGTATTTGTCATGCTCGTCGTGGGTGTATGGATATGGCCTACCTGGAAGCGAACCAAAGTCTTCCCAAGACATCTCAACGCCCGCAACGCTCGTTACCTTCTATTTACCGCAGCCGCCGCCCTACCTTTCCAGATGGTACGCCTCGTCTACAACACCACCTATGCTTTCGACCACGTCACAAGCCTCGACCCCGTCATGGGAACCTTCGCCACCCAGTTTGTTCTCATGTTTCTCATGCATCTGAGCGTTGTGCTCACGTCCCTCGCGGGCGGCTGGTTGAGCCGGCGTGTTGTGCCCAAGAAGCTCATCCCTGACGATACTCTTATACTGGAAGGCGAGGGAACACAGCAGGAAGATTACTTGGAAATGACCGTGCAAGGCAGTTTGACGGATAGAAAAGATACCCGGGCTCCTGCTGGGCAGGCAGCAATGATCAGCGGATCCGCCTAGTGGCGAGAAGGAAATAGGGGGTTACACGAATGGAAGGTTTCCTTCATTTTATCTCTGCTTGTTTTTCCCCTCTTTTTTATTCCTTCTCTTTGCCCCTGTATTTATCGAAGCTGGATGATAGAATGGCATTCGATTGCTGGCGGAGGACATGGGGTTTCCATCTTCTCGATTGAAAAGCTGTTGGACAATGTCTTGGGACCCGCTTCAATCTATGTTCTGAGGACTACCACATTGGTAACTTTGACAGCATGAGAATAAGAGCCAGATGTTGGGGTAGGATTTTGGTATCGTATCCATTTCTGGATTGCTCAAGCCTATGTGCAAACAAAGATCCATCCCATTTGTCTTTGTCGTTGTCAATATGGCTGGAGCATTTTGCAATTGTATCTTTCAGGTCCTTCCTCAAACGGTAAACTCGAACAGAGAGACTCCGTGGCATTTGGCCTTTGAGAGACTTGCCCCTATCAGCAATTTGATAGACATTCTGCTTCGCGCGCGGTTCCCCACACACGCACACTCAAGACGCTTGACCAAAGGAGTGTCGTGGTCAAAGATCCTTATTTGATCCGTTACACCATCACCAGCTTCCCCACACACATCAGGGGCTGATTTGGCAAGACAGCTCGTCAAAGAACACTTCTGCTCAAGGGATCCAATCCACTTGCCGGGACAAGAATGCACTTTAGGTCGTAGGGGCGGGAAGTCAGGAGCGGGGGCGCCCTGGTGGAGGTTACATGGGTCCCCCTTCGCTTTCGTATCCGGCAACACGATTAGCGATATGACGCAACAGAGCACCCGCACTTTTGTCTGTGTAGGTACGCAAGATTTCTGCCTTCACCACCAACAAAACACACCACACACCCTTCAAGCCACCCTGAGTGCTTGCTCCTATCGAGGAACACCAATGATAGAGCTCCGGGCCGAGTTCTATTCTCTGCCCATTCTGTGGAAGATACATTGTTCCAAACTGTGTGAGCAAAACAAGGCAAGTAAATTGAATCGTAGAGGCAAAATGGCAATTGCTCGCTATGGAATATCTAGGAAACGCTTGAGGTCTATATGCATATTGTGTGATCGGCTCGGAACCCTGCTTTACTAGGACTTTTTTCGCAACGCTGAACCATTCCTCATCCGCTCTCCAAAGATTCCCAAGAGGATAGGTACAGGCGCCATTAACAATGCAACTCCACCAAGCAACGTGTTGCCCCATCCGAGACCAAGGGCGTCGTAAAGCTGCAGTCCACAAAGAGGCAGGACTGCACCCAGAGTGCTACGCAGCACGGCATTAGCTGCTGTAGCCGACGCAGCGTGCTGGGTAAAGGCATCGACAAGATATGTCTGGCAACACATGAAGACGCCCATCATGCCGCAGCCCATGATGCCATTGCCGATCATGGGCACGATCCAGTGCACATGCTTGTCGGCCGTCCATCCGTAGATAATGAGGCCCGTTGGCAACAGAAGAGTGGACGGCACGGTAAGCGCCGGGTGGAGACGGTCTTCGGGGCGGACAGGCAGATTCATTGCTTTCCGGTTTTTAATGATCTTGTCCGAGAAGACCGAAACATAAAACATTCCGATGAGGTTGCCGACGCCGCCGGCTATGAAGGACAGACCGGCGCCCTCGGAGCTGAAGCCGTATTGTTCCTCAAAGACGAAGGTGTACGTGGTGAACAAAACGTACATGAGACCGTAAATGATGGCGATGTACAGGCAGACGGCCCTGACAACCGCAGCAGTGAGAAGCAGGCGCGCAGGCCGCAGGATGGCCGTCATAAAGACCTGCTTCTGCGATCCAGGGGTCTGTAGACTCGATCGGTATCTTGTGTCGCCAGTCTGCTTACGTAGTTGTGCAGCCTTGCGTTCGAGGAGGACCGGTGCATATGTCTCACGGAGCACGGCGAAGGAGAAGAGGGTAGCGACGCCAGCCTGTTGATTTAGTCCTGGTCAGCGCCCACATTTTCCGAGGGATCTCAATAGTAGTGTGTTGTGAGGAGGACAAGAGAACATACCGCTATGGCTGTGACCCAGAACACCCATCGCCAGCTCTTGTCCGCGACAAGAAAACCAGCACAGACGGGGCCGACAACAGGTCCGATCAGAGGCCCGACCGACCAGATGCCCATAGCCTTGCCTCTGATCTCGGCCGGCATCATGTCTGCGATCGATCCGCTGCCACATGTGAGGACACACACCCCGGAGAACCCAGCCCAGAAACGGAAGGCCATGAGCATGCCCATGTTAGTCGAGAGGGCGCAGCCGATGGTGAATACCACGAAGAGGCTGTTGCAGACATGGTACACTATCAGCCGACCATGGAGCTCGCTAGCGGGCGCGATGACCAGTGGGCCAGCTGCAAAACCCAAGACAAAGACAGATACGACAAATGTCCCTAACATATCGTTTGTGACCTTAAATTCTTCAAGAATCTGGGGTACAGCCGGGGCCATCATGGAGCTCGCAAGCGGCCTGCAAACGCAGTCAGTAACCGGGTTTCGGGGGGGACGTCTTGGTAAAGGGAAACAGTCTCGCTTACACGAGGAAGCTGAGGAATGACAGTGTCGATACCATGCTCCATTTCCGCGCGTTACTCCAGTTCATGGGGTTTGCGGGGTCTTTGTCGGCAGGTTCGTCCCAGGTCACCAAGAACTCGTCAGCGGCAGCAGGGCAGGGCTGTACGGCCTCGACATCGCTAATGTTGTTGACGGCAATGTCATCGTTGGAATGGTTGAGAGAGGCGGCACCCATGCTGTGTGTGGTAGATGTCGGCAGGGACAGAGATTCGTCTTTTGTTTCTTCCATGCAGGGCAGTGATCTGGCGACTCCTCCTCCTACTAACAGCTGAGGAACTCGGGAGAATGCAACCTTTTATCTAGCCGATCTGTTGACAATAATGCAACGCTGGGTAGACTGCGGAGGGTCAAGCTCGGGCCCGTCTGCATCCCGAGCCCTGACCGTACAGAACACTTCAAGGATTCTAAGCCCCCTCTATACAATTCAACAGGTCTAGAATCGCCCCTCTTCTCCCCTACTAGACCCGCAGGGCTCTTGGTGGACCAACCCATCGTGGTGGCAGTTCCACTCGCGGTCCCACTTTTCCGTTCTACGACCTCTTTTCAATCCCGCTCTCGCTCCCGCTCCCGGGATTCTAGCTGAAAGGGGCAAAGAAGCAGGGCCTGTCACTTTACTGCTCGGCTACACCGCATAAGATCATGTGTGCTTCACTCGCTTGTGGCTATCGTTCTCGACTGGGCAGGCCCTCCAAATCAACTCCACACCTTTTTTTTTTTTCTGCTTTGCCTTCCTTCATCGCGAGACCGAAAGAGAGAAATTCTAGTTCTCGTATTATTAAGTCCCAGCACAAGGAAGACGAAAGAGAACCCTTCATTGTCATTAACATAATTTCGACACAAGGAGAGACAATCCATCCTAAAAGGAGCAAAATAAGCATCATAGAGTTGGTTTGATCGAATGCACAATATGAACAAACCTGAACAAATCTTCTGTGGCTATTTGATGAAACCACTTTTGCGCCGTATAGTAATTGCCCACATTTTTCACAACTCTAACTTGAGCCATCTCAACCAGCTCAGCATCACCTTCCCTAAGGCTTACGGGTCCTCATTTCTGTGGCTGTATCTCTGCGATCCCCGAGGCCGCAATCCCGTGGAGTAGCAATCTTGCCCGCCTGTTGAAAGAGACAGATGATCCCATTTCAATCCGAGAACAAGTCTGGATTTTCCTTCCTTTCAATATCGCCTTCTGCAGGAATCGTCTGTTTGAAGGATGGACCGATGGATGGTGGGCATCTCGAAAGCACGGTCTGAAGGCTGATCTTAAGGCGCCCGCACTTGGTCAAAACAATGAGTTCATACATGGTCCTCTGAGATACTTACGAACGAAGGCAGTCACTGGTACAGGCTCCTTAGTAACCGAAAGCTACTCAAAGGGCTCTCATCAAAAGCGTACCCAAACCTGTGGAGCCAACGTGAGTACTCATCCTGGTTACCGCAAGAAAGTAGGGGTCAAACCAAGACATCAAGGCTTGGTATAAGCACCGGGTATCACGAACACCAGTAATAAGAGTATCACTGCCTTTGTTGGCAACTGCAATTCAAATTTGGACGTTGAGTCTTGGTCGGATCTTGCTATTCGATGGCACAATGACTATGGTCTTTGCGGTAGGCCTGACTTTATGAACTATATTTATTGAACCCCTCATAAATGAGGATGAGATCTGGAACCAATATGCAGAAATACATCCGTAAGTTGGTAATCAATGACAGTTGCAAATTAGTACGTTCATATAGTCAAGATTTCGTCGCTTATGAAGTATTCCGACATGACTTGGGCTTAGTCTACATATAAACTGTCACTCATTGCTAGTCTCACATACTACCTTTGAAAAGCCTTATTCATATGATGGAATCTCCGCCAGACTGAAGGCAGTTGTTCCGAAGTCGGCATGCTTCCGTCACGACGCTTCTATTTACGTGAGAGGCTTGAAGCTCAAACAGCAGTCATTACGATCTTCTCACGTCAGCAGGTATCTAAGTCGATTTATTCGGCGGTTAGATACAAAGCATAGGCTTGATTCATGTCTGGTTGATGAGTAAACAAGATTAGCAATTGTGTTAGTCTGCAATGCAGTAAATATATGTGAGAATAAACATCTCCAATTCCAAGCTGCTTCACAAGTCTGATGGTCGTCACAAGCAATTTGACAGACATTAACAAGCCCAAAGAGCAAGTGAAATGTGCTCAGTGGCACCTTAGATGTCATTTTTAGGTGGAGGGGACGAGAGATAATCCTCAGTCCATACACCAGAACCAGAGAAATGGAGATCGACTGACTCTGAAGAATCATCTCACAGCAGTTTTCGAAAAATCGCAAACATTCTGAAGCCCCAAGGCATCTCGTAGCCTCCTCTCTACTTGTCCACACACAATCGAATCTTTTTGAGCGACAAGTGTGATGATGTTAGAGGCAATGAGTAAAGTAGTATCATGGAAGCATCCATCAGACAGCCGCTTATAGCAAAAATAACAAAATGTTGCCTATACTGGTCAACCTTGTCTATATGATTGGCACAAAAAGACAGGTGCATTGTACTATTACCACGTGGTTTAACCTACAACTTTCACCCTTTTCCAAGATCGGTATTATAATGGCTCGCCGCTCGGCTGGTATAATTCAATCTCGGCTGCTGACGCACTATTTGATCCACCTTAGACTAGTTGCCAACAATATACATAGCAGATGCAGGGCTACGCTCCCTGACCTACTCATGCAGAAGGCCAGGGTGTGGCAATGTAGAGTAACAGCCAGTTCATTACATATGGAAGTCAAAAGTGTAAAAATGAAAGATTGAGTATGGCTTGTTTGGTTTTACGTCATTCTGTGAATGTAACAAAAAGCTTGGTGGCTGATCCGAGTGTTGCATCATAAATCCATGCCTACATAGCAGCGCCACACCAGACGTGGTGGTGCACAGCCTCGATTGTGCTGCCAGCTCGGCCACGTTCAAGGATCTATGAAGAAGTTAACAAACACGAGCGAGGCTCTGCTGACTGCCCTACCCTTCTTATCTTTACATTTCGTCCATCAACAGAGCCCTATCCTCTCCTGGAAGCGAATCATTCCGCGGGGTTGATTCGCCCGGACATATGCTTTTCAACACCAATTCTCAAATTGTCTTCTGTCCTTTTTATAACACTCGTGGGAGACTAAGTGCTCTGCCATTTTTCACAATGCATCGGACTTTTCATGTTCATTGTATGATTATTGCTGTTGCCCAGTGTTTCAGGGAGATTTTGATGTTGCAGGCATCAATGGAAGCGACAATAGGACCACTGTTTGAAAGACACATAATTGATGGTATCAGATCAGGTTGTCATATCGTTCCTCGTTACTTCCGGTGTCACATTGGCCGTGATGATCGCATGCAGGGTCTTTGACGGGCTAGCCAGGCGCCACGTGATACCAAGCAACCCTATCGACAGGTTCTATCACCGCAGAGTCCACGAGCCATTAAGGAAACGCTGCGGCAAAGATTTTTGCAAGATGCTGTGACAGTCACTCCCCGAGGTATCGCTCTCCCTAAGTGACATACAGCTCGTCACGAGCAACGCGCTCTTGGTCGCCACCATATACAAGATGTCCGTCAGCGCCTCCTTTTCCGGCTATCACCTGAGCATGGTATCTGATATGGTATGAATGAGTGCGGTTACGTATGCGCATGCTCGGTGTGCTTCGCCCGCTTGTCGGGGCGGAACATAACAGGTCGAGATACACTTGCCTGCCCAATGTCATCCGACTTTCTCTGGAGACTTTGTTGATAGGAATGCTGCTCTATGCTTGCCTTATGGTATCTACTCTCCAATTATAACTGTCCAGATTCCTGCCTTTCCATACTCCCAAGAGGAGATTCGACACTGGTTAACCTAGGTTTCACGGTCGTGAAGCTTCTCGTAATTTGCCCTATGCTATTCCTACGCTACTTTTCGAAAAGACTGAAGGCGAACTTGTTGGCCAGGGCTCTGCTCTTCTATATCGACTATGAGCTACGTCTACAGGAAAAGCGTGATTCAGGATCAACAACCGTCTGCAAACCTCTCACGGGGCCTCTGTAGCCGGACGGACCTAGCAGGTTCTCGCCAGTCTGCCTTCAGAGGCGCGGGCGGGACAAAGACTTGCCATCAGACCAGCACTTCGGCTCTGGCAACGATTCGTAGTCGAACACCTCAGTCTCCTGCTGGTATCAGAGTTCACATATATTCTTTTGGTGGTGTGGCAGTTCCTCACTACACTCCAAACGGCGGTGTTCCACAGATATTATTGGCCATTCCATGATGAGTACTAAAGAGAGCGCGTCAGAGAACTCGTGGGGCTTTGGCCAGCTGGTCTCTGTTCTGCTGCTGCTCATTCCTTCGTTGCAGCTGTTGGATGCGATGGATGCAGAGATTCAGTTGAAACGTCATAACGGGCGAAGGGAGGGAGGGAGGGAGGTCCCAGAAGAACAGTGATCGCCCGCTACGCATGTCGGATGCAGAGAGCTGCAACACGGCGCGAAGAGATGAACCCCACGGCATTGAAATCATAGTACGCTGTAGAGAACGTGCGTTGATATAATCATGAACATAGCTACCATAATGCTGGACAGGAGACATGTATTGTATATAAAACATGGTCTATAATGATTTGAAGAAGGATAGACACCGGGAAAGTGGGCATTTTCTGTCGCCTCCTTCTCCCCCCCCCCCTTTTTTTTCTCATTTCTCCTGTTCATTTGTTATCACTTTCGTCCTACAAGCCAAATAGTTACCTCATACGTTCACATAATTAGATAGCAGGGCTGCTCATTCCCCATACGTTCCGAGGCGCTCTGCCTCCGGTCTTGTCCATCCACGCTAATTGGTTTATTTTCGCCCATATGGTTATGGACGGCTGGATCAGCTATCTACCTCTTCTCGTTCAGTTGCAGTCTCTGCTGTCAAAACATTCTGCATCACGACAAAACGACTGGAACTTTGGCCCACTCACGACATTCCCAGGCGGGCGAGACAACTTCCTGGTCGTCATCGGGTCATCAGGTCACACATGAAGTGCCGTGATGTAAAATAATTCCGAGCCTCCTTCTTCTTCTCCAACTGTGAGCAACCATGTAATTGCATAAGTGCGAAAGATAAGGCCCCATTGTGTACAAACATCTGGACGTCAGCAGAGACATTGGCTGGAGCTCAAACCCTCCGTGTCAGTCCCGTATAGGGCGCCACTAAACTATTCCTTATAATGCAAACGGCCGATGGATTTCTGGACGGTTGAATGGGCTAGCACGAGGGAAAAGAGGTAGGCTTTGGGGCTCATCAAAGTTGCTGGCACACTTATTGCGTATTTGTACGCAACGTGAATCAGCACGTACATACCCTAGGCCCTTGAATATAGGTGCGCTGTCATATGGCCTGGCTCTCTTCACTTTCTGAGATATCAATCAGAGAATCATCAAGAAAGGGGAAAAGGACAGCTGGTGATTACGCACTGGTTGCTGACTAAGGGCCATCATCATCCAGGTGACCCGGGAGAGAAGGTGAAGAATCTTAATCTTCTTCTTCTTCTTCTTCTTCTTTCACTCTTAGATACTTCACCCTTCCCTCCCCCCAACAAGGGAAATCCACAAAGGGCAGATGACCAGCACACATCAACTCGGGCTTGACATCTTGTTTTGGCATACCCGGTTCAGGGGGTGGTAAGCCAGGTTATAGTCTGCTATCAGGTCTGGGATACATCCCGAGGATCTGACCAGGGCTGAAGCACGACAGGGGATACTTGGTGGTCTTAAAACAGCATCTGGCCATTACCTTGGGCAGACATGCAGGCCGACTAATTACTGACCTAAGTCTCCATCTGCGAAGACACTGTTATTGTGAATCTATCTTCCGATCAACCACCTTGGTATCATGCGTTCCGATCCCCGTGCAGCCGTACTCGCGATCGCCACCGTCCCTCCATCTTAATTCCCGCAATAATTCTGTATCCAGCCTGAAAACGCTGCCGAGGCGGCAGTCATGGTGGGAGTACTTGGGCTGGTGTTTATACTGTATACTTATGGGAATATCCGGGGGTGCCTGGACAAACCCCAGTTAGTGGAGTGAGCGAACCGTCACCCCGCTATGGGGTAGACACGGATAGTGGGGCATAGTAGGCTCACATCCCTGTAACACGGCGCAGAGCCTCAAGTTAGCTTGCTTATTAGGATATATATTACACTGTATACTGTGGCGCTGGGGCGGGGATGGATACCTCGTCTGGCGGAATTCACCTCACTAGATTGTTGTAAATCCCATCAAACAAGCAAGTCGGAAGAACAATGACTATAGCAACAAACATGAATCTCAATCAGTTGCTACCGGTCTGCGGGCGCTGAAAGGACGGTGGCTATTCACTCGGTCAGTAGTTATGCGCCAGGTTACGAGAAGCTGAAGGTGCGAAGTAGTTTCAGTATGTCCTTCTTTGAAGTATTCTACAGGAGAAAAAATCCAAGAACAGATCAGGCCGGTGAAAATGGACTGTTACCCTAGGGCTCGTTTCGATTCGGAAGAGCCACTCGTACATATTTTCATTCTCAGAAAAGATTCTTGATGCATACATGGACGGAGAATTCCCACCACAGCCCGAGACCTTGTAGTCCACACTCAGTTCATCATCAACAAGTTCGACCTTAGTAAGAAAATGCAGATGAACACGCCAATCAAATTGGTACATTTTTTAAATCAAAAAAAAAAAAAAAAAAAAAAAAAAAACAAGAGACACCAACTCATCGTTGCTAGCCTAACCTAATATTATCGAGTGTCGATGTCGCTTCCTCGTCACGCCTATGGGAATCCTAGCGACGCTGCCCAACATTCCCGGTGTCAATGACCATAGGGGAATGCGTGGCAATACCACGCGCCGGCCAGACCAGTAACTGGCCCTCAAACAGATTGTTTTGCCATCATTAGAACGGGCACGACTGTGATTCAGACCCTTCAAAAGAATTATAAGACTGTCGGGAGCTTGTAAATCTTCCAATGCATACCCCACGGGACTGCACCACTTTGCAATACCAAAGACCGGATGGCAGACATAGGTAAGCTTTACTCGGATATCTTTCAAAAGTGTCTTGATTTATACCTATAATTTATGTATGTCAGTATTCTAGAAGCAGCCCGACAATTCTGAACAAGGAGCCGACAAAGCAGTGAAAGCACCGTACACTAGACCATGTTTCGCCGAACTCCTGAGCGTATCTGGTAATATTACACCTACAAGAAGGATGATAAGCTGTACAGTGAGTTTCAGACCAGGAAATTCTGCCATATTATCAAGGATCCACAGAGGACTTCCAAGATTTATGCGTTCCAAACTCGACGCAGCCGTTTCGAAAGTGGCTAAATACTACGAGGCATACAACCAGTCTGACAGGAGATTGGTAGGCCCAAACACAAGTCCGATCAGGATGATCCCCGAGCGCGGGTTCAAGATGCAGTCCGAGTATCTCGAATTCGAAACAATCATTTACGCTACCGGATTCGACACCGTCACTATGTGCTTCGACGTGCGATTTCCAGAGCATTGACAGCTTCAAACTGACAGACGTCTGAGTTTTAGGCATCCGAACCTTCCCAGTGCTTGACCATCAAAGGCTTCCCACACATGACCATGTCATGGAACCGCACTAGATGTTCGTTAACATTCCGCATAGCATCGAGCATGCTGTCGACTGGACTGCTAACATGACCCGCTTCACGAGATAAGAAACCAAAATACGTCCAGGCAACAGACAAAGCAAGGACAGGAGTGGACGGAGAATATGTGAGATGTGACACGGGCGCAGCTGAGAAGATACAAAGTCTCCTGAAGACACTCTGGTAGCATGGCTGAACAGTATGGTCGATTCTAGTGCTACTCTTCCACAATGAACTGTCCAGTGGCTTTGGGACGTCCAAGGGCCCATTGTATTCCATCCTCTACCACTTTGTCCCACCTTTTGGTCTCGCTCAGTTGATCTCCAAACCGTCGGAAGCCGTGAGGCAGGCCTTTGAAGATATGTGTCCTTGTTGGAACTCTGGGATCTCGTTAGCCTGAAACTCAACCCGATGGGGGATTATCCGAACATACCCGGCTTCTGAAAGCATCTTGGCGTACAGCAAGCCTTCGTCTCTCAATGGATCCAAGCCAGCTACCCCGATTGTAGTCGGAGGAAGCCCTGTGACCTTTTCGGGGGGAACATTTCCGGGGTTCAACCGGAGATCGTTGGCATCTGGATTATCGACTTTGAGAAGATCCAAGAACATCATGCAGACATCCCGTGACAAGATCGGGGCATTTTCGTTCTCAACATAGGATGCCACTGACGGGTCCTTGATCCGGCTCATGTGGCCTTCGTAGCAATTCATGTGTACTAGACATGGTATCATCAAGACCTGGCCGGCAATGGGAGGACACGCCCGAGCTGCTGCACCCAGAGCACCAAGATGCTTCCCCAGGGTGAGTGCCGCGCTGAGCTGACCACCCGCAGAGATGCCTCCAACTACCACCTGTTTCTCATCAACCCCAAGTTTGTCAACAGTAGAGTGTAGCCACACGAAAGCATCCTCGACATCGTTCCAGGCCGTCGGGTACGTGAACTCAGGGGTGTGCCGATAATTCACATTCACCACGACGACACCAGTGTTGATGGCTATGCGCGCACAGATAGCGTCTTCGGATGCGAGAGTACCAAAGAGAAATCCGCCTCCATGCAGATGCATGTAGACGGGCGATTTCCCCTCACTGCCAGCGAGAGTGGATCGGTAGCTTCTCGCCTCGAGTTGCTGGCCGTCACGGGTTGGGATCGAGTGATCGTATGTCCTGACTTTGCCGCTGAGCGATTCCATGACTCTGGCGGCTATCTCTTCGCGCCCCTTGTTCACCAATGCCCGGCGTTCGAGCACGGCTTGACCAGTCACGACGGACGAGAGGGGCAAGCCTGCCTCAACTGCAAGCCACTCCTCACTACGCCCGCCATATTTCGAAAAATCGCACATAATGTTGAAAGTCTCAAATCTTGTCAATATGCCGTGTATAAGCAGTCCCTCGGATGGTCAAAATTTCCTGGAATCACCATCGTAGAACGACGTGTGGATAGCGATGGAAGCATCAGCTGAGAGGGGTTTGAGAAAAAAAAAGGTCGGAAATACGAAGCCGACGAGGGGTGGAGGCGGATTTCCCGGAACGGTTAACCGCAACAGTTCCCTGCCCATAGCAGGTGGTGATTAGAATGCAGTAAATACTCACGATACGACCCTGGGCAGCTTGCCTCTGCCGCAGACGGTACATACGAAGCGACCTTCATTGGACATTGGCTGGAATCTCTGAGCCCGATGTATCGCACGTCAGCTTGGTGATTTAAAGATGGTTCCTCGAGACACCAGCTGCTTTAGCCGTTAACAGAGCCAGTGAAAGAAGGGACTCCACTGTGAAGAGGGTCTTGCACTACGAGTCTTCATACTCCGGCAAGGATACGGCGGGCCTGAGATAGCATGTTGATGTTCGTCTGAGTGTGGACATCCAACGGGAACCTGAAGACAAAGTGACGCATACAAGAGCCTTAACCATTAGATGAGAGAGGCATCCAGGCATTTTTTGGTTCACTCAACAAGTGACATGTGGTGGCTGTGGGAGGCGCTCATCAACCGTGTGTGCATTGGATTCCAACTGAAGCTCGGAGCCGATACGGAACGGCTCCTGTCATTTTTCCCAGGAGCGATTTACTAAATATAAACAACGAACACAGGGCAAGTCCAGTCATCATTGAATGACCCGTTTTCCAGGAAACGATCACATAGCGTAATTCACAAACGATTGCAGAAATTTGCTCGACTGCAACTGTAGACTCCCTTGGCTTGCTTCCGATTACAACCGATCTGGTTTTGCGCGAGAAATTTTGGCCAAATTTGCATCAAGTGACTTGTAGGTGACAAGATGAATACATCCAGCATTACCTCGATATTTTGATTGCAGTCTGCAGTCATGATCAACAGTGCTGTCCATTCTGTGAAGGGTCTTCATACGAACAAGTGACAACCCCTTCCTTCATCAATTGATAGGCTGGATGAGTGAACCCCTGTTCATAACAGCATCCACATACCCCTAACCCTAGATATTGGCCCCTGCTGACCCCACTCTGAGTCCCCACACCAATGTCCCATCCACCATCTGGTACATAATTCAGCGCCTGATCTCCTCTGCACGCCCATCGAACCTGATTCTTACTGTCCCGACTCCACCTCTGCTTAGAGCCCCCAACATCATCATCATCATCATCATCAACCACAACTATGCCACCATCGCCTCAGCCCAGCTCGGCTCGGATTGAAACCTAATCCTCATCTCGCCTCGGGTCAGTACTCAAAGGTATCCGCGCATTCAAGTTAGCCCAGCTTAGATGCCGGGTAGCCGCACACGACAACCAGCCCGACACGCACGTGTCGCCCGATTGTTGCCATGCCATTGCTTCCTCGCCTTGCCATCGTATCGCCCAAGCAGCCAGTCAACCCGCGACCGAGACTATTTCGACTGACAGGCTTCTACTCACTATCCGTTTTCACGGCTGGTGAAAGACCCTGGGTCTCGGGAAGGGGCAGAGACAGTCCTGTTCTGCTTACTTTCATCCCCATGGATTAGACAGGAGCAGAGCAGGGCAATCTATGCCGCCGCCAGCGAAACTGCGCTACCTTCTTGGAGCAGAGCAAGGCAGAGGGAGTATAGTAGTCTATGGAACATACAGACGGGCTATACCTCTGTGTCGGGCTCGGTCAGATCGTGTGGGGATACGGCGCCCCCTTTCCATCCTCCCTCGACACCCCCTCTCTCTATCATTCTATAGAGTCAAGGCTGCTCTGCCGTCAAAAGAAAGCCTGGGAGGGTGGGATCCTGTCGTCTCTCGCGCATTCCCAAAATGCCGGTCACAGGGGGCTACTCTTTTTACCAAGAGCTGCTGCTCAGCAGCCTTTTTCCAAGCCTTTCGATATTTGGTGATTCTTTGGGTCTCGTGTAATTAACATGTTTTCAGATTTCGAACTCGATCTTTCCTCCCATGGCCTCTCAGTCTACAGCCTCGGCTGCCTCGACCTCTCCAACCAACACTCCTCGAAATGAATCTATCGGGCCGTCTTCGCCTGTTCAACCGTTGTCGGGCGTATCTCGCGACGATGGCGACGTGCATATCCTGAATGCACCTGCTGCTATAAAGTGGCAAAATGACCAAGATCAAGACCAAGACCAAGCACAGTCGCAGTGCCTTGGCCATGAAGATGGAGCCAGGGTCTCGGTGGACTTCCATCTTGACTCATTGTCCAACACCGCCTTCTTCAGTTTCCACACAAGGGTTGTTCTCAAGGCTCTCCCGTTCTCCAAAACTAACGTCTACCTCTGGCTGCCTCCCGAGAGGGTACTGAGCATCATACTGAATGAACAAGAAGAAGATGTCATCATTGAAAGTAAGAAACGAGCAGCCACAAGCCTACATTTCGAGCTCGATAAACCTGCAGCCCTGGTCGGTCCATGTCTGTCTCTCACCCCCCGAAACAAGAAACATGGTGACACGCTGGACTCGATGCGATTGCTTGCCAATTCCAAGCGCTTCACTGTGTTTCTCCAGAGCAGGTCGGCCAGTATGAACGACTTGCGGCAGTTATGCAGAGCTTTCACACCCATTCTCACTAGCTCAAGCTCCAGCGTCACCACATCTGCCCATCAACAGCAACGTACGAGACCAACGATGATGATCAAACACACATACATCGCCAATTTGTACAAGGGTCACGGTGGTTCGTTCATTACTGGAGGCTTCGAGGCAGCTAGCGACCCTGGACAGCCTCCAGAATACGACCAGATCGAGCCAGGCCCTCCCCTCCCGCCTCTTGATGACTCCGAGGTACGGCGTGATAAGCAGACAGAATTACAGCGTCCGTCCAGAAAGCGAAGGCGAGCAGGCTCCCTTCCTGAGACTGTCGTGGGACGTCAGCTGGCAGACCACGTGCATGATATAGGAGGAGACGTGTTGTCGGCCCTGCGCGAGGAGATACGCGCCGAGCTTCGACAGGAGTTCCAGGAGAAATTGGACGATGTGAAGCTGGATTTCAAGCGGCAGCTAGACAAAATGCGACAAGAGAACGAAAGCTACTGGGCAGAAGCACAGGCGACATTCTGGTCCGCAGACGAATTGCCGGAAGCCGTGGCAGATGTGATCGACACTGAGATCGAACAGGCCAAGTCTGGATTGCGCGATCATATTGACCAGGAATTGGATGAGGCCGAAATCAGGATCGAGGAGAGCGTCAGGAACAGTCTAGTAGATACATTACAGGAAGCGTCCCTGCATTTGAGTCTTCCGTAGATTTACATGTGTACTTCTCTAGATGGTAGACTTGAAATATTACTTCTTGGATACATGGCCGTGCTGTTCAGTGCTAGTGCATTACCAGATCTATGGAATGGGCCGTGGAAATGAGTCTCAGCAGAGACATGCAGGTTGGAAGCCAACAACGCTACATCAATTGCTGGCATTCCCCAGGTACCTAACATTCGTACAGTGATGCTAGGTGCATTCAGGAGGTGTCATGGACTGACTTCACACAGGACTGCTTTTATTCAACATCAGCCGCCTTCACAGCCTAATGCTCGCGTTCATGCATGTCAATTATTATCGAGTCACTAAATGCTCCACGTGCGGACATACTCTGTTATCCACGACGCTGCTGAGGCCGATCTGGCTGTACCGTAGCTCGAAGCGCGGTTACTTCCATCGTTGCTGCTGGGCGCCGAGGAGTTTGGTGTTCCGGGAGCTGTAGAGTAGCCCACATACTGATCCACAATGTCTCTGAGTGGTGGGCGCGGCGTGGCATGGTAGACTATTGCTTGGGCCATCTTCCAAGCTGTCTCGAGCACCAGATCATCCTCGTCCGTCAGGGCGTCCTTTTTGACAAGCTGACCCCGGGTCTCCAGTAAGTTCTCGAGTATTTCTTCAATCTCGATGTCTACCCTGTCCCCAGATTGGGAGCGGGTGGGTAAGACACTGTCATCTGAGGAGGGCAAACTCGAATCGATGTCCGAGCCCTTCGAGCTGTCCGAGCCGTCCGAGCTGCCCTGGCCGTCCGAGTCCCACGAGCTGCCCGGTGCACCGTCAGCCCTGTCTTCACCAGCAGCTATGGCGTTGACCGTGGTTGGCTCGAAGGAAAATAGAGACTGTAAAGCTCCTTTCGTCTTGTATTCGGCGAGCGGCTCAGAAAACCGTGTAGAACGAAGCGCTTCGACGTCAAGACTTCCGCTGTTCACAGCATTCTCGTACTTCTTTGCAAGCAGGTCGAACACTTCGGTTGAAATTCTTCCATCTGAGTCGAGAATGATGTGGTCATCCTTGGAGACTTCGGCTTTCGGCATCACCTTTATGAAACTGTCGTGTGTGCAATGTGGTAGAGGAATGCAATGCGGCCCATCAACATTCGAGTAGGCGTATATATCTTGCCATTTCTTTGTGAGGTCGCCCCAATCATCTTTGGAATTTTGGCTGTGCGAAGCATCAGTGTCGAATGTTTCAAGGTCCGAATCCGGATGTAACGAGAGGGCCATGATGCGATCAATAATCTGTATGGCCTCCCATCCGACAAAGTCTGTCTCTTGGAAATGGGCAAACGAAGTCCCAAGGTTCCATGTTGCGTACTCTTGTTTCTTGAGCGAAGTCCATCCCTGGAGCATGTTGTTCTGGCAGAGCACCTTGCCCAGGATTCTCGAGTCTCGGTGAGCTAGGTCTTTCAGAGCTCCTAGAACAGATATGAGGTCCTTCTCTAATCGCCTCAACAATTGGAGGGGCTGGAAATATTCCCTGTCCAAGGGCAGATAGCAGCTCTTGCAGCAACCCGTGAAACAGATTGAACAGACATAGTACTCGTCTTCGATGTCGCTGCAGCAAAAATCGCATTCCAAATCAACACTTGTATCTGCACAAAGGAACTTCCACTCCCTGAAGACCTCGGCTCTTAGTACTGGCACAGCGGTGCGAGCATCTCGAGAATTAGAGGGTCGAGTGGACTCGGGTACAAGGTGTGATTGCCTGAGGGGCAATAGAGCTAATCGAGTTAAAGCTTCGATGAGCAAATACAGGCGTGGTTGTCGGAAAATGGCTTCATACATTGGTTTCCTTTCGATCAGCAGCTTGCTCTCCGACGCAAGCGCTGTGGCGGTCCGACTTATGAAGCGCACCAGAGTGTAAGCTCGGTCCTCATAGTCCTCAGGAGAACTATGAAAGGTATGATTCCAAGGACTGAGGAGAGCCATCATAGACGGTACGCCAACAGCAAGGTCGAAAGCGGACAGACCCTGTCCATCAGTTAGATAAACATGCAAAGTCCTAATAGATCGGAAGAGGCGAGGGGAGGGGAGAGGGGGAGGGGGCAGAGGCGATGACCAAGATCTTTGGAATCAGTGTCACTACCACATGGATGGAACGAAATCCACTCAAACGCACCATAGCATCTCGGAGGTGAGGATTTGCTCCAGCTTTGAGTAGCTCATGCGCTATCTTCAACTTCTTGCTTGTGATAGCCCATGACAAAGCTGTGCGCAGAAATTCATCTGTCTTATTGACTGCAGCTCCATGTTCCAAGAGTGTTGTGACTGTTCTGAAATTTCCCGCACGCGCCGCTGAGATCAATGGGGTTGCTTTCGAGTTCTGTAGCCCATCTGGCGGAAGTCCGGATCGGATCAAGAACTCGACAATGAAGTATTCACCTGACTCCGCTGCAAGACCTAACGGGTCTTCACCGAAAAGATCTGTCTTTAGGAGGACTGATTTGTCTTTTTCAGACAGCTTACGGAGAATATCAAATCGTCCCCGCTGAGCGGCTATATGGGCGTACGTCCAGCCTGCGGAGGATGACTGGACAGTCAAATCTTGGAGTCCCCGGTCCCAAAGAAATTGAATCATCTCTGAGTGATTTCCGTCGAGGGCATAGTAGAAAGGAGTCTTTCCTTCGTCGCTGAGAGGCTCGAGTTCACAGCCCGAATCCACAAGCCGGCGCGCCAGTGACAAGCGACCTTGATATGCTGCGAAGTGAAGCGGCCTCCATTTCTCTTCATCGGCAGCTTCCAGATCAGCCCCCTTATCCAGAAGGGCGTTGCAAATATCTTCACTTCTCTTCTCTAATGCCTTTATCAATGGGGAGTCGAGGAGCTCGTTAGACTGATCCCCGCCGTTGACATTGGCCCCGTGCTCCAAGAGGTACTGCACTAAAGTGAGGTTATCCTCGATGACGGCGTAGTGGAGTGCCGTTTGACCGTTCTCGTTTCTCCCAGGTCTGTTAATAACATCGGGATTACAGAGATGTTTGATGCATTCAACGTGTCCCGCTTTTGCTGCTCGGTGGATAGCGAGCTCCCCGTCCGGATCCTCTGAGAGCCCCAATTCAGGACACCATTCCAGCAGACATTTGACGATCTCATCATAGCCTCTTTCAGAGGCGAGGTGAAGCTGTACAGTTTAATTTGACCCATCTGTTAGTGCCTGACTCGAAACTTAACCTGTGCTGATAGATAGCTATCCGCCCGATGGCGAAGTGCCCAATGAAGTTGGGAATGCAAGAGGAGATGGGATTTTTCTGATCACATACTGAGGTTCCTGTTAGCTTAGCTCATAATTTAGGTATAGAGAGCCACTTTTTCGAGCACTTCTTCCCTCATGAACTTGCACACCCACACAATTTTGAGACAGCAGAGTCCCGCTAAAATGAGGCAACAAGAAAGGACATAATCTCACCCAAACAGTTTTGGTCTTGTCCCTCTTCAAACAATTCCTCAGCAGGAACCGTTTTGACAAAGCTTTCCACAAACCGTACATCATTCGACTCCACCGCATAGTAGAGTGCTGTCATTCCATAATCATCTGGGGCGAATGCCTCAATACCCCATGACAACAGCGTTTCGATATGCTCGGCCTGACCACATTTGGCTATCATGTGCATTCCTGTTGCGTCTTCTCTATCAGTGTGTTTCGGGTTGGCCTTGTAGACATCGACAAACATCTGAGCAAGTGAGAAATGTCCTTTCCTCAGAGCGATCAGCATTGGTGTTCGACCCTGTCTATTGGCCAGATTGACGTCCGCTCCTTCATCGAGCAGCCTGGTTGCACAATCGGTACGACCGAAGTACGCTGCATCAGACAACGGTGTGTACATCTCCGAATCAGTATGGTTGACCAATTTCTTAGCCAATGGACTTTGCAAGAGAAGAGAGAAAATCTCGACCGACGTCCTCCTGGCTGCGTAATGAAGAGATGTGATAGAGTTAGCGGTGATGGCCGTGATATTTGCCCCTTTCCTTAGAAGCACGCGTGCGACATCTGGGCTGCCTTCTTTTGCACAGAGCAGTAGAGGCGTTTGACCTGCGTCTGTCTTCGCTTCTTTGTTTGCGCCATGATCAAGGAGTACGGTGACTGTTTTCTCTGATCCAGCCCTTGCTGCCTCGTGGAGTGGTGTGCGTGATGCCCACGTTGCTTCGATATCCGCACCCTTGTTTAGCAGCTCTTCAGCTATTTCTGCGCCATCGTCTACCAGGACTGCAACGTAATGGAGCGCGGTAATTCCATCGTCCCCGCAGCAAGACACGTCCGCACCATGCTGGAGAAGCGTTTTCACAATTCCAATGTGTTTAAACTGGGCTGCAACAATAAGAGGCGTACAGCCATTGCCATCTCTGGCATTGATCTTGGCCCCGAAAAGCAGAAGCTTTTCCACGGTCTCGGTATGGTCAAATCTTGCAGCCGTGTGAAGAGCACCGGCAGTGGAGTGACCCAACTCCAACAATGTAGAAAGGATGTCCGCCCAGTGGTGTCGAATGACGGCACCAATCAGCCATTGTCTGCTGTTGACACACCTTTTTTGGTCCTCTAGGCTGCCCCCTTCAAGTCGACCCTTGTGCTTGTTCACTATCCAGCTGCACATATCTTTGCGCCCAAAATCAGCCGCGTAGTCCACAGCGAAATTCCCAAAGCCGTCGCTTTGGTCTATGTCCACTTCCTCAGGGGTCAAGGCCTCAAGAAGTCGATGGAGTCCAAAAATGGATAGGAGATGAAGTGGTGCAGTTCCAGGGGGGAATGGACAGATTGTGGGATTTCCTTGAACGTAGGACTTGATGTGGATCTGGTGCAGGAGCCCGTGAGCATTCTGCGACCGCAGGAGGTCACAAGCGCTTTTCCGGAGCTCAGGATCATGGTCTTCCTCAAGTACTTCTCTCAGGTGATCGCCCCAGAAGGCGCCCGCATAACTTAGGAAAGGGTGTTGCTCCATCAGCTCATCGAAAGAAGCCTTAGTTGGCTCTGGACCCGCTGTAAATGCCCCAAACTTGAGATACGTGAGGCAGGCTTCAACAAGGATCCGAGATGCTCGTTTTTGTAGATCCCCGTAAAGTTGAAGTCCTTCCGCATCGTCGTCCGACAGACCTTTGAGGAAGTCTCCGAGAGAAGGATGGAGAAGCATGTAATGCCCATCTTTGAGAACAAGCAAGTCAGAACAGTCCGTCGTCAAAGGAACACTATCGTATATCCTGTCGTCATCCTCGATGGCAGTCATCCCATCCTCAATAGCCAGGGCCTCCAGGAGCTGGGCTTTGGATAGAGGCCTTTTACAGTTAGTTGCCCACAGAAGCGCTTTCAGCGCTAGGTCTCTTGCCGACGGTTCGTTGCTGATGATCCGTTTCAAAGCATCAGTATAAGCACCAGAGAGGCCCCTAGGCATATTTCGTGCAGCGGCCTTCATTTTCTTGGCAGTTCTCTCCTTCTTGATAGAGTCGATAACGAGAGACACCCAAAGAAACATTCCGTCGGCAGCATCTAGAAGATGGCTCTGGATCACTTCCAGCGACGCCGAGACTTTTCTGAGTTCTTTGCTTCTGTCTTCAATGAACCGGCTGATGTCTTCATCGTTTGCGCCTTGGTCGACTTGGATGTTTGGACACGCGTGGAGAGCGCTACTGATTGCCTGATATCCGGGACGACTGAAGACCAATACGTTTGCTGAGGAGTTCGTCCCACCAAGATCCGCGAGGCTCGCCAGATAATCGCAGAGACCCTCGAACTCGAGACTCGCAACTCCACTGCACTCATCTAGTCCGTCAACCACGATGAATGCTTGCGTAAACATTGGGATGACACTCTTGATTCCCTTCATGATGTCATGCCTGCTTGGTTGGTCTGCCTTCGTCACGAAGCAGAGGTCTCTGAGCGCGGCAACGTCCTCATTTTTGGGCAGGAACTGGTAAAGTTGCTTCAATAGGGAGCTCAAGAGGCCTGTGGTGTCGTATCCAGTTTTTGAGGTTGCACCATGACCGGCTTCAATGTCTCCGGATCGACGAATGAGCTGAGAGCTGCAGTAAACATATGCCAGGGCGAACCTGTTGCGTTGTTCCAAAGTCTCTGACATGACACTTGGATTGTTCCTGCTGATCATGCCATAGGGCCGGTCGGTGTTCCTTGGGGAGTTCCTCGCAGTAGTATCTGGCTGATGGGTCTCTGAATACAGGACGAGAGCATTTCCAGCAGGCTCAATAGGTCCCGGAGAGGGTGGTCCCTCTTGACTGAGATCAGTCTCATAGAGGACATCATCATCTCTGCGATTGCCTTCCTGAGAACTGGCCACGAGGTTCCTCTCTTGGCAGAACAACCTCAACTCCTCAATGACGCGCGCGGCGAGATGGGATTTGCCGCTGCCGTGCTTTCCGTACACCCAGAGAAGCGATCCAGAGACCCTTTCTTTCCACAGAAGGTAGGCCTCATGAGATAATAACCATTTGCCAGTCTCATCCAGAGTTGTGGCCAATATGCTGTTGTGCGTACTTTGGAAAGAAAGTGAAGATAGCCAAATCAAGAGACTCTTGCGTTTCTCATCTGAACGCATCATCACATTAGCTGACTGGAATGGACCTGGAGGGACAGGCCACTTCATTACCTTGCTCCCGTTCGATCTGTCCCTTGTGTCGTTCTCTCTCTTCCTGCTCTCGGCTAGTCTCATTCTTCCGTACTGCTTTGTATGTGTCCAGCTGTATTCTCAATTGTATCAACTGCGTCTGTTGCACGTTCCCTATCTTTTGTCCGGAAATGAGGTGAACCGTCCTGTCGAAAGTACGGAGACTGGTGTCAAGCAACCGCTCCCATTCGCCAAAGTCTTTGGCAAAAGATCTCCGAAACAGCCGAGCGCTGCTCCTCTCTTTCCCTTTGCTGTCAACATTGAGTGTCGATGCCCGAACACAAATCTGAAGAATGATATCAAAGACGTCAACCAAAGCCGTCTGGAACTCAGGTGTGTCCGGAAACGCCTTTTTGAACTTTTCTAGTTGCCCGAGGCTGCTCGTTACTTTGGCCAGGAACTGAACCAACGAGTCCTGATATTCGACGGCTCGCTTGGTTGTATCGAGTGCGAAGTAGATCCCGCCGAGTATCGCGCCCGCCGGCGGATAAATGTCGCCCAACGAATCCACCAAAGGACGACATAATTCTATGAAGTCCAATAGAGGCTGGACCCAGTGTGTCGCACGTACTAATTTGCTGGCTTTGATCTTCTTGTCGATTATCCCATCAACAGCATCAGCGTATTTGGCCAAGGCCATGTCGGGCACTGCTCTCAGAAATGTTTGTCGTTGCTCGTCGCTTAGAGTTTTGACATGTTCTGACCAACGCGCGACGGCTTCCTTGGATCTGCGGGTTTGCATCAGGATAATAAGGCCATTGGCGTTCTCACAAAAAAATTACTAATTCATCATTACTCACACAGGGACGGGGTCCAGATTAGAAAGTGCACCAAGTCCGATATCCGAAGCCCATGAACTGATTCGAAGTGGTGGTCCCAGGGCCGAGTCACCCTCTTCGTCCATAGCTGCCGAAATACTTTCAGGTATCGCGAGTGAAACTTACAAGATGACTCGACTAGAGAGGTGAAAACAAGGGCTTAGGGACCAACTGAGACTCCTAGGTTTGTGAGAAAAGACCTTGGGAGGCCTGACATAATATTAGTGCCGATAGCAAACGCCAGCTGAGTCCCTCTCCCCCGCTCCTATGCGGCTCTGCTTACATGGCAAAAGTGAGGTGTCCTCAGCCAATGGTTCGTGGGCGCTTACGAGGCACGTCATGGCGTAACGCTGTATTGCTCTTTTGCCTGTCCAGGATTCATGGGCAATCACACGCTGTACTGTGTGGAATATGCTAGCAGTCAACCTCTCTGGGCATGCATCCTTCCCCCAGCGTTGGCCAAAACCCTGAGTCGTCATGGAGCCGAGGCAGCGCTCACTGCAAGCCAAAATCATCCAGGTTACCAGGTCAGTGGGAGCGGAAAAAGGATGCAGAGTTGTTTTTGACGGAGTTGTTGAGGGAGAACCCTCTGAGGCTAGCTGGCCGTTAGAAACTCCCCTGTAAGCACTAAACACTGTTACCTGCTCCCTCCTGCCCTATTGAGGCTAATTTTGAGAATAGCGCCAGCTGCAAGTCCATAAAATATGGATTTCTGGGGCGCTTCCTTGTGGCCCTGTTACAGATGCAGTGCCATCGTGACAAGATGGACGCTTTTGAGTAACTAAAATCTGAGCACACTCGTCGTCAAAGTCATTTTCAACTCGAGCCTACGAGTTTTTTTCTTGGTTGGAGGATTGCTCTTTTGTGGCTACAGAAGTTCTCCATGTAGTAAACGCAGTATGACATCGAATTGAGGTCTCGCACCAACCCAAACCCGCCCGCTGAGTTTTCAATCCAAATGCATCTCTCTCTCTCTCTCTCTCTCTCTCTGTCCCTCTCTCTCTCTCCTCTCTTTTTTTACTCCACAGTGACAGCCTTCTCTCTGTCGTTGACGTCTGATTCGCTCGGGTCTTTGATGATGACACCGTTGACAATGTGTGCGTGCGTGCGGGGTCCAGTGTAATACTTCTTTCCTGCAATGAACCAGTACGAGAATGACAAGATGAAGACGAACGCCATGATCACAATCGCGTAGTTCATCTTCACACACGCAAGGTTAGCAGCGGTCATGTGCGTGTGAAGAGAGAACGTGGGGAGGAGAAAACACAAGACATTGCCCGGGGTGGGGGGGGGGGGGGACATACCGTATCAGCGGCAACGGGCATAACAGTTGGGAAGAAGAAGATGACAGAGACAAACGCAGTCCAGCAGCAGGCCCACGCATTGATGAAGACGCTCGCTGGGCCCAGGGACCATGGGCCAGGCTCGAACTTGTTGAAGAACAACTTGCACAGGATGGGGATGCAGTAGGACCAGTCGAGAGCGATGGCGCAGAGGTTGAAGATGGCGGAGATGGTAACGTAGCTGCCCAGGCCGATGAGATTAATCAAGATGCAGATCAGGGTGTACAGCCACACGGCCAGGACAGGGGTGTCAGTCTTCTTCCAGATCTTATACCAGATCCTACTACCGGGCAGCATCTCGTCTCGTGAGAAGGCCCAGATGGTCCGCGAGCCTGCCTGGAGGGCGGTGATGCACACAAAGTTCATGATGATGAAGGCCGCAACGGCGAAGAAGATGGAAGGGCCCTTGCCCATCACATTGTAGTAGATCTGGACGACAGGCTGCTCGATGACGCTGGCGAGGATGTTCCTGGACGGGTCCCTCGAGGTCAGGTCTAGTGGGCCCATGCAAAAGGCCAGCACAATGTTGAACAGCCACCCGACAACATAGGTGAAGCCCAGAGCACTCGAAATGGCAGTCGGAACAGTGATGGCAGGGTTCTTGGTCTCCTCAGCGATGTGGGCGGCCGCATCATAATCGGTCATTGTCCAGGCGACGGAGAGGAATCCGAACAGGAAGCTGAAGCCGGGCGGTGTCCAGCCAGAGTCGGGCTGCACATCGGTGAAGACGTATTTGGCCGAGTTCTTGTCCTTCTGCAGGACGAGCAGTGAGACGCAGCAGGCAAAAAGCACAGCAATGTGGATGACTGCATAGGTCCTCGCAATCTTGGCGAGCCAAGCCGTGTTCAGACAGTTGACAGTAGCGTGCATGATGGACAGCGCGGCCATGACCCCAATGATGTGTCCTTGGGTGGGAGTGTAGGAGAAGTCGGAACCAATAGACACAGCAGCGAGCAGCATCTGTGCAGCTCCGTAAGAAGACGAGGCACTGCCGCAGATTTGGCCAATCAAGTTCAGCCAGCCTAGAAAGCACAGGTATTGTCAGCAACAAAGAAGGACATATCCTCTCGACAGGAAACCCCTGAAGCGACCTCTCCGGTTCTTGTTTTCTTTTTTACTTTCTCTCAGAAAAGGGGCACGCATATGTAGGCAGAGGGAACGGGGAGAGGCCGGGCAAACACCGGGTGGGAAGGAGGCGGCGTTCCGGGCAAGGAATCGGTCCGGGCAGGAAGACATCACATACCGTCGATCCAGGCAATGATGGGCACGTATTTCTCCGGGGCGAGGTATTTGATTGTGAAATACATGGCACCTTGACAGCAAAGTCAGATCCGTTTGTTCTTCTCTCACGCAAAAAAAATCACCGTTGTATTCGCACCAGAAGTAGGGTAGGCCGAGGCCACCTCGGAGATAGACAAGGCAAGACACATTGCACCGATGCCAGCAATGAGCCAGCACCACACGGCAGCAGGGGCACCTCCAGCGTAGAGGGGATATGAGTAAGTCGTCATCACTGTGCCGTACAGACCAGAGATACTGAGGGCGAAGCTGAAGGCAGACCACAGGCCAAACTCTCTTTTGAAGACCTATCAAGAGATCGACCACATACTCGCATTAGACAAAATAGTTCTCTCTCCATAACGCCCAGGGAGATCAGGCCAGGACGCCTTGGACCGACAAAAAAGAATAAGAAAGACTTACAGGTTTGTAGCCCATGGCCGCCAGAGCCATATCGGCTTCATCAGCATTGATCTCATTGCTAGCGAATCGTGGTTGGCTGGTGGTGGGAGCCTCGGCTGACTCCTTCTTTTCCGAGACAGAAGCCATGGCGAAAGGTGTAAGCGTGCGTGTCGGGTCACGGATGAAATTAGTCTGCAAGAGAAGAACCCAGCCTGGTGGTTATCGTTTCGTCTCTCTCTCAGTTTGAGACACACCAACAGTAATCTCTCTCAAGAGGGAAGAAAAAGTTTTGTCAGGTCCAATGAGAAAAGATCACGCAACCTCCAGTGGCAAGCCTGTGGGAAAACCTTCGAGGGCAGAGGGGGGGTAAGGGTTATCGAGAGCGCCGGAACGGAGGTGGGAGGGTGAGCCCGGTATTTAAGCAAGGCGAAGAGTTGCAAGAAGGGGGTCCTTATCCCGGGGGTAAGTGGGCCCCGAGACCGTTGTGGATACGCCGAGATAATGGGAGATGGAGGAGTGAGCGGAACTCGAGAGGCGCTGGGAATCCTGGTTCTCTCCACGCGCAGGGGAGTGAGAGTAGAGTGGTGTGGGCTTCGAGTCGCTGTACGGTCGAGTAGTATAGCGTGGTCGTTGGTGGATGACTAGCCCTTTCGGTGCCAAATGGTGCCACCCTTATTTTCCCTTTTCTTGTTGATGGTCTTCTTCTTCTTCTTCTTCTTCTTCCTCCTCCTGTTCGTCCACCGCCTTCACCACGACCTTCTCCTCCTCATATATGTATCCCACAGGCGAATCTGCAGAAGCGGTGCCACAGATCGGCCGAGGAGCCACACTTAGACGAAAGCACCGATACAGGGCTTAGCACCTTAGACTCATTCCGGCAGACGCTCTAGGGGGTGAACGAACAAAGTTGGCTACCCGCATCTGGCAGATAACAGGCCGCTGGGTGCTGAAAAGAAGCCGCGAAGCAGGTGCGAGAGAGCGCTGTGAAATGCAATACTTACTCTGGTACCTATTGACTAACCAGAAATCCCTAGAGCAGGTTTGTACCCAAGCCCCTAAGTCAAGGTCGCTAACACCTCAAAGCCTTGGCAAAAAAACAAAGCACGCTAGGGTCAACCGATTACAATGCATGCAAAATGCAGAATCTTCACACGCTCATCTGACGGTACCAATCACAAGAGACACAGGCACTAACTGCTGGGGCGGAGAACCCGATGCAATGCACTATGGTACTTTGTAGCTGTCCACACACTCTCTCACCTCTCACCCTCCCTCTCTCTCATCGTAAACACAGCGTGGGGTTCCATACCATACTGCATGATTTGGATCCGCATTGTGTATCGAGTATTCTCTGTTACATAAACCACAAGGATCATCGAATTTCGTCCTGGTGATGACCCTCCAGTGCGTCCCTATTTGTAACCCTGGTCGCCTGGTAGCGGCCAGCAGAAGCCTATCCAATCTACCCCCTCGCTCGCTCTCTCTTCGAGTCGGTCCTTTGGAGTTTGAACACAACCTTGTTGCTTACATGGGGCAGAGCTGGGGCTGTCCTAGTCACATACCTTTTTTTTTTCCTTTTCTTCTTCTTCATTCCTTTCCTTTCTTCTCCGAGGCATCTTTTCCTTGTCCCTGTCATTTTTCTTCTCTCTCGCCGTTTTTCTTTTTCCCTTCTTCACTTCCTTCCAAAACCATAGATTTTTATCCCTTCTCACCACGTAGCTAGGCGACGTTGATGATGACGAGTAATTATCGCGGGGAAATTTGAAGAGATCCCACATGCTAAACGCTCATACACCTTATCCACCCCCAGATGGTCCACCGGATAAGCTGCCGCCCCGGCCCGTACTAAGTAAACCCCATTAATCAGGCTATCAGTGCGAAATACCAAGCAAGAAAGAATGTGAGAGAGAAGGGCGAAAACGCCTCACGCCCATTATTGATAGGTGACGATCAATCAATCGGACAAGGGAAATAACAGAAAATTCGAAGCTATTTGCAATTCAGCTTCACTTGCAAGGGTCCAACGTGGCTCGCAACCAGGCGCAGGGTCTAAGCCAGCAGATTAACCCGTAGTGCCTTGCTCTCTGGTAGACAACCGCCCTCAGTCAGCCCTTCCTTTAGCCTATCTAATGCTGCACTTGCAATGGCTCACGGGACCTCCTTTTGCCCTGTGTGAGTCAGCTTGTTGAACCTGAAGACGCCCCAGCCGTACCCGCATAGAGCTGATGTGATGTCATTGCGGGTCTAAAAAAACTATGGAGCCCAGGTCTCAAAGCGACATATCATTAAGGGGGAAAGAGAGGAGGGGGGGGGGGGTTGCGCGCTCGTACAGAAAACACGCGGAACGGATGAAAGTCGGGATCTCGACATATAATTATAGTATAAGAGCACGATAGACGCGGTCGACTCTTATCAACAGCCAATCGTCCTGTTGCCCTGCGGCTGTTTCTACATTACAGCTGAGATCATGTCCATTTATGTCACTTCCAAATCACAGCACAGACAGTGGGTTGTCTTCAGCCAAGAAAGATATCGGTCGTTGTCCTAGGCAGCTCTTGTACGTATGTGGACTCCTCAGATACCACAGTTGAGACAACAGCACATCTAGGCGGAGCGTCTCGGAGAGCCTCGGGGTCAATTACATATCCATCGACTCATCAGGGTTACACACACATCAGACACACATGCGCAGGCGGAATATCAGAGAGAAAGAAAAAGAAAGAGAAAGAAAGAAAAAAACCCCGGAAGGTATGCAACCACTTGAGAGGTAGGTAAAACAAAGAGATCTTCACACGCAAGCGGTGATACTACTCTGCATAGATGCCAGACATGAGAACTCTGATGCTTAAAAATAATGAAATGCAAGATCCTGGGCCAGGCGACAATGAAAAGCAGAACCTAGATACACTACATCGTACTCGGCATCCGTCCCACCGCGAAGGTGGCTGTCCCCATCCCCACCGAGAATGAGATAACGCAAGTGCTCCTAAGCACCAAGGGAAGAGTCCAGTATTCAAGATGAATCTAGGCCGTAGTCGTGGCTATCGCCTCCAATTCCCCCTCCCCCTTTTAGTTACGTGCACGCCATGGCGAAGATTGATACCAGCTTGGCGTATCGGCAGGGAACCTGACCACTGTGGCGCAGGATAGATAAGCCAGGGGCTCATAGTGTTCGCTCCTTGTGAATGTTGACAATCCCTAGCAGGGTGTGTCAGGCCCGAGAAGCTGGATCAGGAACGAAGATGCACATCATAAGTACTCGAGCAGGTCATTTTCAACTCGCTCAGGAGGTGTCTTCAAGTAGACCGAATATGGGAGTGGCTCCACCCCGTAGAGAACCAGCCGGCTTCGTACACTGAGCCTAGCCACTCCCATGTTCCTGTGGAACAACAGACTTCGAATCCAGTGAAACCCCAGCCAAGATGTCGAAGGCAGGCCGTCGTAGCCCGTCATGCCATCCACGTCCAGGTAAGTATCGTGACAATATTGCCAGGTAGTTCTGCTCCTAGTCCTCATCGTCCTCGTCGCTAGTAGCCTCTATGTTAGCCCTCTTGGCCTCCGACTTGACTTTCTTTGATATCTTGCCGGCCTCCATGGCCTTTCCGCCGGAAGGCTGGCCGTCGTCAACAGCGTCGTTGTCGATAGCAACACCATTCTTGCGCAGCTCAGCATTGATGGAGGGAACCAGGTTGGCAAGTGATCTGTACTGATCGATGGACATCATGATGCCCTAGCTTGGAGTAAGTACGGGTGACGGTGTGGACGACGTCGAAGAATTCTGTGCCAGGCTCACCTTCTTGCCCGGTTTCATCGCACCAGAACTGTCCTCATAATACTCTCGTAGGTTGACAAACATGTTCCCCTTGAATTTTTGGACAACCACCCGACGCTTATTGGAAAGCTATACAGATACCGTCAGTGACAAGGACTTTGGATGAACAGCCCTATCAGAGGAGACCCCCGCAATCAGGTGGGCGGCCATGATTTACCTCCCAAAAAGTGTTGCCCTCAGAGTCAACATCAGCCCCACCGCTGGACTTCGAGCCCTTTTCGGCCTTCTTGGCGACCTTGACAGGTCGCTCCTCGCCAGAATCATCACTGGCGACAAAGCTGCTTCGACGTTTGCCCATACTGACGAACTAATGCGATTGTTGAATCGCGGTATGACTTCTGAAGTCTGGAACAGCCCCGTCAAGAGCAGCAATGGTCGGTATGCTGTCAAGGGGTTGACTAGATCTAGAAACAAAGGACCTTAGGTTTGAAAGACGGCGAGCTTTGGAGAAACCATCCCGGGCAAGAATACAGGCAGTTCACTGACTGCTTCCTAAAACGAGGGGACAGACGCGCCGCGCTTACAATGACAGGCGCGTTAGAGGGACATCTTATCGTTATCGCACACATTGAGAGTATTCAGGGTTAGGGTATTAGCGGTCTCTGCCCAGACTGGTAGAACCTTGGACCTGGGAAAAGTCGAGAACCCAGCTATCCAAAATTAGATTGGCACGAAACAAACCAGATTATACATCTTCATTTCCCCCTACGCGACCGCATCCTCACCCGTCACCACATGAAATCGCCCTTTTTTCGCTGACCTCTTGTCCGTCCGCCTTACTTTAGTACTTACTTTAATTTGTTACTGACACCCTGTCTTTGTCTAAGACCAAGCGTCTTCTCACCCTTCTGTCTCTCCCCCACCCCCCCTTCTCCTACTTCGAAGTCGACCTCGAGCTCGAGCACGAGCACTGAAGACGGCGGCGACAGAGGCTTCCTTGATGCGAAATGCTACGACCTGCCCCCAAGGCCATACAGTGAAGATCGAGGCCTTCCGCCGTCCCTGTACCGCAACGAAGCTTATATCTCTGCATCACCTGTCATGACCGTGCAAGATGCGACCCAGCCACGGCCTCCCGACGCCGACATCATGGCTTCTACCGACACCCAGCCAGAAAGCCCCGTCGTTGATTCGCAGAATCTCGGCGATGGGATGCTGACACATCCAGAGAAGGCGAAGGACAGGGAAATTGCACAGCAACAACTGTCTCTCACCAGGAAGCTACCGAAATCGTCGCCGACAAGCACCCATTTCCAGGCCCATCCGAAGGCGTCGAGACCTGATGAAGACGTTACCACCAGGCTCTTCCAGTTCTTGTCCACCGCAACCCCGAATACACTGTGTGCGATAGCTGTAGGCCTTGGTGCCGTCACCTACTTCATCCTCGGGCAACTAGGCTTGCTTCTGATTGGCGCATTTGGAGGCATCGCCTGCTACGTCCATTGGGAGGCTTCCAACCCGGACTATGCCCGAGCCGTACATGGCGAACGAGGTGTCGACATTGTGGCAAGACTGTTGAGGGAGAGAAATGGCGCAAAAGGCATCGACGAGGATGGGAAGACTGCAGCAGAGGATGAGGACCAGTTCCTGGCACAGAGTTTCGCCGACTTCCAGCCTGAGACCAGGGAGGCTCTCAATGGCTTCGTCGATGCTGTCATCAGGGACTACGTCAAATGGTGGTACAGCCCGATTCTCCCCACGGATCGATCGTTCCCCTTTTCCTGCAGAAAAGTCCTGACCTCCTTTCTCGTGTCCATCGCCAACCACCTGGGCAAGAAGAGGCCGGCAGACAGCTTTTTAGACTTCCTGACCAACTCCTCCTCCATGGTCATCGTCTTCTTTTCCGAGCTCTCAGCTGCGTTCGCAGACCTTCCTCCCGACTCGAAGATGACTGCCGCCGACGCGGTCTACGATTACCTCGCCTCGAACCCCGACTCGAACCTGTCGCATCTACTCAGCCAGAGACACCAATCGTCCAAGTTCAAGGCCGTGTCCGAAGACCTGCTTGGCTTTCTTGACCGACCAACCTACGACTGCGATCCAGCCCGGACATTTTTACGAGAGATCCTAGCTGGTGTCATGCTCGAGATGTCGCTCCAGACCTGCTCCAAAGCCGAGTGGATCAATGGCTGGATCGTCTACCTTCTAGAGGCCGGAGAGCCAGATTTCAACCAGGCCATCGACGTTGGGATGCAGACCGGCCCAGATGCCAACAGTGCGGTCTTTGCTGACCTGGATGGCAATGTCGGGAACATCGGTCTGACAAAGACCAGCCGCACTTCAGCAGAAACGGACAGGTCACGGCGCCGAGACTCCGGTCAGGGCCACAAGAAAAAGCTGAGCAAGGCAGACGAGGAGATGGAAAATGCAGTCGAGGAGATGAAGCGCATGAATGACCTGATCTTGCAAGAGCAAAAGCGGAGGTCAACAAATCTCACACAGGCAAACTTGTCCACAGAGGCAGACGGTCCGGAGACATTGGCGGATGCCCTGGGTAGGAACGTGGATGCTCTCGGTCTTGAGTCAAACTCGGTGTCCAAGACGCTCCCCACGGAGCCTGGAGCACCGTCGTCAAGCTTTACCGAGCTGCTACCTCCCGAAAAGAACCCCTGGAGCGAGGAGCGACTCAGCAGCGAAGCCGGCAGAAGCGACTTATCCCACATTGCAGACTCCCCGGTGCCCAAGGTGTTGCCTCAGCACAGCCAGCAGGCCAGTTTCACCAACTTCGAGCAACTGGTGCCTCTCGCGCAAGATGACTCAGATCTCAGCGATGCGGAGCAGAAGAAGCCAGCGTCGCTGACCTTGCAGAACGCAAAGATCACCATCTATGATGACAGCACGAACGACAAGAGTCGTATCCGCTCGAAGCCAGCTTGGGACTACCTTATCCAGATTGAACCCAGTTCCTCGTATTACTCTGGATGGATGATTCCCAGACAGTATACTGATTTCGAGAAGCTGCATGAGGTTCTCCGAAGAATAGCGACCATCTCAGGGATCACAGCATTCACAGAGCAGCACAAGGAGCTGCCAAACTTCAAAATCCACACGCGGGAATCTCTGCGGGGCGAGCTAGAGCGGTACCTGCGCGATGCGTGCTGGTACAAGGCGCTCGCGGAGAGTGAGGGCATGAAACGGTTTCTTGACAAGGATCAAGGACACACTCGGCAGGAATCCAAGACGGGGTTCCAGGCAGTCGAGAGCTTTGGGAAGAATGTGTTTGGCGTCCTGGCGAATGCGCCAAAGGGCGTTGCCGAGGGCGGAAAAGTTATTACTGGCGTATTCGGAAACATGGGCCTATCGAGGAAGACAACTTCGAGTTCTCTACCTGACACAAACGGTGCTACCAAGCGATTTTCCCAGCCAACGCCACCAAGGATAGACAGCACCCTGTCATTGAACGGCTCCCGAAAACCGCGAGACAGTCTTGACAGCCAGCGGTCATCTGTGATTTCGGTGCAGCCTGGAAAAACGCCTCCCATGGAGCGACGGCCAAGCCTTCAGATCCCCGGCGACTCGGATGCTGAGAACCGACCGGGCCGTGTGGATCATTGGGATCGACCGTCGCCAAGTCCCAGAGACAGCAGGGCCAACAGCCGGGCAAACAGCCGGGCGTCCAGCCTGGCTGCCCTCCGCTCTCCACTACGATCCCCGTCCACGCTGAGCCTTGAGGCGCTCAAGCTTCCGCCCCCACCTGACGCCATGCCGGACGACTGGGGCTCGCCTGAGAGTCCCCTAAGGACACGGCCCATCGAGAATAGCACGCCGCAACGCACCCCGGTGAACAGTGAACACCAGGCCAAGAGGGCAACAAGCGACGGAGTATCGCCAGTCGCCAAGCCCAAGAAGCAATATTCCCAGATCTCGGAGCAGGAGACTCGCGTCGCCGTGGAGCTTGTCTTTGCCATGATTAACGAGCTTTACACGCTCTCCTCAGCATGGAATTTTAGGCGAGCACTCCTAGCCGCCGCCAAGTCGTTTCTGCTCCGGCCAGGCAATCCCTCGCTGGTGTCCATCCAAAAGATGCTTCAAGATTCTGTAATCGATACCAACTGTTCCGATGCGGGCATCGCTTCCCACCTGCGTAAGCTCAGGGAGAACACTATGCCGACCGAGGAAGAGCTCAAGGCATGGCCGCCCGAGCCGAGTATGGAAGAAAAAGAGAAGCTTCGAGAAAAGGCCCGTGGTCTGCTGATCCAGAGCGGTGTGCCTGCTGCTTTATCCGGTGTTATGGGACAGAACGCAACGAATGAGGCTTTAGGCCGTATCTTTGACTGTCTTCAGATCGAGGAGGTGGCAAGAGGCTTGATCTTCGGCATTATGCTTCAGGCTGTGAGGGTTCTCACGCACTAATCGCAATGTGCCTCCGGGTCTTGTAGAGAGATGCCGTGCGATGAGGCGAGCAAACGATGACACGATACCTAACGACAAAGACTTACGATATGGGCGTGTCATGAAATGAAGCATTACCTACATGGCTGGTTTACAGGCATAAGGATATGTCTGAAACTTCGTGGCCGGCCACCCTACCTGCATTAGGGACCATTATAATCTATTGGAAATTTCGGCGCTCCGAATCGCCGAGGTATAGACCTTTGATCCGAGTGTATCAACATGACAGCATCTGGCATGCATAGTATATATAATAATAGACAATCTTTAAGAAAAGATCTGAAAGAAGGCATATCTCATAATCACAAGAACTCTCCTGCAAGTCTCAGGTGTTCAGGTTGTGCCAGAGCTATGTAATTTCTCTGGAATCCTCTGCTTGGTAACGTGGTTAAAAGTGTAGACCTCGACGACTTTGTCAACTATCTAAGACAAAAATTTCAGCTTACCAAATCATTCTGATACTGGGGACACTCTGGTTCTCTGGGATAGAGACCCAAATTGAGAGGGCGGTGCTGTTGCTATCATGGGCAACGACGGGGAAGAGATACTTTACAGATCAATGCTCGTGGCTTTTTTTCACCTTGAATAGTCACGAGGTAAAGTATAATTTATATACGCCTAAATCCAAAACCTTCCAAGACATTATTATTATCCGTAGATAGCCTCCAAATCCTAATCAACGAAGCCTCAAAGGCCCTTTCCTCAAGACACTGGCAGTGTCCTCGCCATGTGTTATAGGGACGGCCTCCACTGCTGAAGGTGTGGTTGACTATTCCCGAGATAATTATTGTCCACACGAGACCAACGACAACTTGTCCTGTAACTACTTGCGAACTTCAGTTGATAGGTAACAGGGGACACGAGGATATCTCTTGTGCATTCTGATATCATGTGTTCGGTCGCTTCTGTTCGGGAGCCTGAAAGTTCTGACAACGCATTACTTGGTAGACAATCCGAACTGACATCCTCTTCATCAACGCTAAAGCTTTCTAAGTGAGCCCAGAATTAACCTATACCGTCCAGAAGGTGTGCAGCCAGGTTTAAGTGTCCAAGGCACCGTAAACACAGATAACTGCATAGAAGATGGAAGTTCCGATTATTACTGCGGAAGTTATGCATGGTTAAGAATAATGTAGGCTAATTATGGCAGTAGTTACAAGCACGACGTATTTTTAAAATTTGTTACCTTGATTTCTTTTATAAGATTAAAAAGATTGAAAAAAAAAAAAAAAGGAAAAGGAAAAGGAAAAGGAAAAGGGAAAAGGAAAAGGGGGGGGGGGGGGGGAAGAAGAACAAGAAAATAGCTTGTATGTGCGAGGGCCAGTTACTCAGCCAGCCAACAGCCAGACCTGTTGATAGCCTCGGTTAGCTGCCCTCGTGGCGTTTCTCTTCATTTCTCTTTTCTCTTCAGCGCACTGCAATGCAAGCCCTTTGCCCTCGTATATTGTATCAAGACTGAGGACTGGATTTCGTTTGCTACTGGTTTTGAGTTATATCAATCTTGAACGCACACGTACCCCTCCCTTTTTTTTCGGCCCGGTGCACGGAGTGTTTTATGACCTCGAGAAACTACTTCCCATCGTGAGCTTGGAGCCGCCATCCCTCACCTTCTACATTACATAAGTACACAAGTTGAGCCTGATCGAGCGGCGTTGATTCCGACTCGGTCAGTATCCCCGTGCTAGCATGTTGCAGATTGGAGCTCAACGCATGGAGAACAGCGGAGGGAGACGACTTCCACGCAAGACTCTTCAGAACGCTCAAGCGTGTAGCGATCAGAGTAGAAGACAGCAAAAGCAGACACAGTACGATAAATGATGCATGCGCTGCAAACCACTTCCATCGGACCTTAACTAAAACCTCTTGCGAATGTGAGGTGCCATTGGCGACTTCGGCGTTATTCTCCCTTATACTGTTTATATAAGTTAGAAATATTACTCATCAAATAGGACAGCCGCTCTTCCTGACGTACTAGTTTGTCATGCTGGTCCCCATATTGTTAATGATAAACTCAAGTCCAGTTTGGTTTGTACCTCTGATACTACTGTTAAGTGAATAATGTATCTCGCCCAGCGATATGTCCTGGAACACATTGTATGGCTCATATAATGCTTGGATTGCGTCCGAAGTTGCATGCCAGTACTGCTCGGCGTCCCAGTCTGCAACGTCTCAGCAGGTAAGCTTGGAGGAAAACTATCTGTGGCGCTGAACATACCTCGATAGACATATCCTTGAAGAATGCGGTCTAGGAACACCGAGGTACTGACGTGAGTACTCGGATCGATCGTATAGGTTGTCGAGCCCACTTGAAGTGTCGGGTACAGCGGATTGGTGAAGTTGCGAGTTGCCTTTTGACGTGAAGTGTTGACGCTCCCGTTGACCACCTCGGTAGTATATTCTTGGACACACCACTCCATAATAAATTCGACAGCGCCAAAAGTTGTGGAGCCGCTGGCATTGGTTCCGGTTTCGTAGAGAACGAAGATATCCGCCAATGGCAAAGGAACCTCTGTGAACGCTATTGAGTTGTTAAAGTCCAAGGGACGCAGATATCCATTGGCGGTTGAATTTGTGTTGTTGGACGACGCAGAGCCTGTGTTGAAATACGTCATTGTTTCTATAGAAATGTTGGATGATGAGCCGGATAGATACCAAAGGAGAAACTCATCATCCTCCGGATCGATCTCCGAGACGAGATGGGAGGTGATGTCGGCGAAAGACGAGCAGACTGCGAGGGATGCGTAGGACGGAAAAGAGCAATTAAGACTGGGGCATGATGGAGCAATATCCTCGACCAATACGTTTGCGCTGTACAAGCCAGTTTGAATCGCACCCTTCAAGCCAGTAGGGATGGCATTGTATGCAGCATCAGCAAATCCTACATCTCGTTAGTCTAGTGCACAGGGGAGCAAACAAAAAGGGGTAACGAATGAATGCAAATAAAGGAGCAGAACAACATACCTGCACCATCTATGATCATTCCTCCGTCACCAGTTTCGGCGACCCATGAGGTGGCGATAGGTATGGTGGCGCTCGCTGATGTTTTGACAGCGACGGAGTGATAATAGACCAGCTGTTGCGACAGCGGATCCATAGCAAGTCCAAAGAGCATCAGGAATGGGCCCAAGATAGCAAAGGTCCTCAGCCTTGTCGCCCAGAGCAGCTGGAAGCCCCCGCGGATTCCACGGCTTGCCTTGTCGAACATGGACATGTCGTTCAGCTGATGGGATTCTTTGGAGAACCATACCCACTTCAACTGACTGACGCACTCGGTGACAGGATAGAGCAGGGCAGCCTTGGCCACGGTTGAGAGAGTGGCGATGATGGTGTTGAGTGTGAGCGATGTTCCCAAGGCCGAACCGTAGTAAGGAGTCGGCCTGCCATCGTAATGGCGCAAGACAATGAGCAGTGCTACGACGCACAAAATGCCCAGCAATGTGCTTGCTATTTCAACGAACCAGCCGTCCTTAGCCCACGCGGCCCGACACCCACGATGGTTGGTCGTGTGGCTCGAATTGTCCGGTGGTGGCCTGCCTCCCATCTCCTTGGAGGCACGGGCTTGATCTACCGGGGTATATGTCACATGGCTGGCCATGGTCTTGCGATCGGGTTGGATTTGACGCGGCATCAAGAACATCGAACTGGGCAGGAACTTGAAAAGTCACGGAGGATATTCGACGATGGAGGAATCCGGCGGTGGGGAATGATTTATGGGCGAGCACTAAGAGGATGGCCATCCCCAATGCAAGCTGGAAATGATATGATCTAGATAGACAGGACTCGCACAATGGATGTATCTATCTAGATTTATCGTCCTCAAAGGTCTATCTCAGCCGCCTGATATATTCCTGGACGCGTCTAGACCTCTTGCGTGCATTCGAAGGGGTCACGGACCCATCGCTGCATGCACTGCATGCGAGGAGGATCTGGAAATGCGAGCAGAGTCCTGCAACAAACCAATCAGCAATAAGCATATAATTAAGGCTGGAGATCTAAACACTGCCTGCCCCTCTAAGGCAGCAACTATGCATGAATGCTGGCTCAAGTGGGGTCGGAAAACCACCCCTGCAGATTTGGTTTAATCAAATCAGGATGCATATTTTGGCGCTGGCAGCAGCTTCGTGCACCGAAGGCAGCAACACACCATCTTTATGCAGGGGGTACAAGGCTGTACAAGGTCGTACAAGAGATCTTAGCAATCTTAGGGACTTAGTCGTAGTGGTGTGTAGGCGGAGAAAACAGTCCTGCCATCATGGCGCACACATGCATCGCCTCAAAAGTAAACAGAGCATTGCAGTAGTACCATAATATATTTCAGGGAGATGAAACCAGCTGGGTTGATCAATCAGGCAGAAACAGCCCCCAAAAAAGTTATTGACATGATTCGTGATTTCCAAAAACAAAAGCATCGAGATATATGCATCGCCTGTGTCAAACCTTGGAACTGGATCTGGAAGTTTGGATCTTGATTCAAGGTCTAGGAGATTGTTGTTCAGGCCCGTCCCGTAAGTCACACCCGCCAGCCTGTGAGGATTACGGTCCCCTTCCGAAAGCACAGATTCACGGATAGCATTTCAGGGGCCTTGGTGTGTCCTATGTGTTGTTTTTACCGTACTTGACTGACAAAAAGGACGTATCTGTCTCAATATTTCCTCGCTGTCTTTTCTGGTTATCTTAGAATCTTCGCTCGGACTTACTGCCTCTTCAGCTGAAAAATATTATTGTCTCTATATTTCACATTGAATTTTATGATTTGTCCAGCCAATTCCCAGGCACCCTAGCTTATCGGTGAGGTACATCCGTGGTAATATATTATTCCTGTGATGGGCGCGAGCTCAGACTGAAGCAAAACGTGCCCGCAATAAAAAGCTATTGTTGGGACATGTTCATTTACGGCATGCTTGAAATATCCGGATTGAGATGCTGCATTCCACCTTTCCCCTCTCTGAGGATCAAAGTCAACATCATTTGGTTCAATCCTGCGTGAAGTTGCAAAGTAAGAGTTAAATATGAGGAACAGCACAAGGCTCTGCCAATTCCTGCAGACGAGACCTCACAGCATCTGAGTTGGGTCCAACAATTAGCCTGGTGAATGATAAGAGCATAGATTACACCGTCTTGACACAAGTGGCATGCTCAATCAACCACAGACTTTTGATACATTTATTCTTCACATGTGAAGCAGTTCCCTTAACTTCCTTGACTTCCAGGTTGGACTTTCTCAGGGTGTGAGTGAAGCTGCTTAGTAAGCCATCTACAGGGGCCACCCTGCAATCTAGTCAATGCCTTGGCTTTGCTATTCAGGCCGTATTGTCAAGTTGCCTCGAATCTTTCCACCACCAATTTCAACAAGACCATTTACCCCTCCTGCCTCGCAGGTCGCTTTCGAACATGACCAGCCGTCGTGATTTCCTGAGCCAGCCGGCCCCAGAAAATTATGTTGCCGGTATTGGTCGAGGTGCCGTCGGCTTTACTACACGGTCCGATCTGGGTCCTGCGCGCGATGGGCCCAGCGAGGAGCAGATCTCATCAGCCATCAAGAAGCGCTCCGAGCAGCTTGGCCTGACTGAAGCAAAGGATGACGGCGGCGGCGGCGGCGGCGAAAACGATGGCGATGGGCGCTACCAAGACCCTGATAACGAAGTTGGTCTATTCGCAGGCGGTATCTACGAGAAGGACGACGAGGAGGCAGATCGCATATGGAAAGAGGTAGACGAGAAGATGGCCAAGCGGCGCCAGAAGCAGAGGTTAGTCTCGCGCCCCAACCCTCCATCATGTGTGTATGCGTTTGTGTGTGTTTGTAAGCACAGAGTTCATCGTTTGTGATGATAGATGAACCAGAATACCGACACATCTTGTCTCTACCACAGGGAAACACGCGAGCGCGAAGAAGTGGCCGAATACGAGCGCAAGAACCCAAAGATCCAGCAGCAGTTTGCCGACTTGAAGCGCGCCCTTGGCTCTGTTACCGACGATGAATGGGCTAATCTCCCTGACGTCAAAGACATGACCGGCAAGACAAAACGCGAACGGGAGGCTCGCCGTCAGAGGTTCTACGCCGTTCCCGACTCCGTCCTCGCAGCCGCCCGCGATGCTGGCGAGATGGGCACCACGGTCAATGATGACAGTGCTGCGGATGCCAAAGACGGGTCCATGACGAACTTTGCCAAGATTGGTGCTGCTCAGAAGAAGGTGCTCGAGGCCAGGCTCGACCAGGCGTCTCAGAACAGTGGCACTGCTACCTCCCTCGGTACGTCGACGAGCGTCGACCCCAAGGGATACCTCACATCCATGGCCAAGGCCGGCGAGATACCTGAGGTCAGCGTGGGGGATGTGGATTTCGCGCGCAAGCTGCTGAAGTCGGCCTACGAGTCAAATCCGTTGCACCCGCCCGCCTGGATCGCAGCCGCCAGGGTCGAGGAGCTTGCCGGGAAGGTGGTGACAGCGCGGAATCTCATCGCCAAGGGGTGTGCCAAAAACCCCAGATCCGAGGACTTGTGGCTCGAGAATATCAGGATGAACGAGAACCGAAACGCCAAGATCATTGCGGCAGAGGCTATCAAGGCGAACAACAAGTCAGTGCGGCTCTGGGTGGAGGCCATGAAGCTAGAGTTGGACTCTCGGTCCAAGAAAAAGGTGATCCGGCAAGCCCTGCTCTACATACCCAAGAGTGAGATGCTGTGGAAAGAGGCGATCAACCTCGAGGAGGACCCGGCAGACGCACGCCTGTTGCTGGCGAAGGCGGTGGAGGAAATTCCCAACAGTGTCGAGCTCTGGCTCGCGCTGGCACACCTAGAGACACCAGCGAACGCGCAGAAGATCATACAAAAAGCACAGAGGGCGAATCCCCAGAGTCATGAGATCTGGATCGCTGGTGCGCGCCTTGTGGAGCAGATGGGCCAGACCAAGATCAACATGATGAAGCGTGCCATCGTTGCACTTGCCAAGGAGTCCGCCATGCCGAAACGCGAGGAATGGATTGCGGAAGCGGAGAAGTGTGAGGCGGAGGGTGCTGTGGTCACATGCGCGAACATCATACAGGAGACGCTTGGCTGGGGCCTGGATGAAGACGATGACCGAAAGGATACCTGGATGGAGGACGCGAAGATGAGTATTGCGCGCGGGAGGTATGAGACAGCACGCGCAATCTATGCCTACGCCTTACGCGTCTTCCCGACGAGCAAGACAGTCTGGCTGGCGGCAGTGGATCTTGAGCGGAATCACGGAAGCAAAGACGCCTTGTCGAATGTCCTCAAGAAGGCCACCGAGGCTTGTCCACACTCAGAGACCCTCTGGCTGATGCGCGCCAAGGAGAAGCTGCTGGCTGGCGAGCTGGACGAGGCACGGAAGGTTCTCGGCGAGGCGTTCCAGCAGAACCCGAACAACGAGGAGATCTGGCTGGCAGCCGTCAAACTCGAGGCGGATCATGACTTCAATGATCAGGCACGGGAGCTGCTCAAGACAGCAAGACAACAAGCTCCCACCGACCGGGTCTTCATGCGCAGCGTGGTCTTCGAGCGGCAACAGCGCAACAGCGATGGCGCGCTCGAGCTCGTCGGCGACGCCCTGCAGCTCTTCCCGGCCTCGTCCAAGCTGCACATGCTCAAGGGCCAGATCTATGAAGACAGAAAAGAGATTCCCCAGGCCCGCCAAGCCTATAGTATAGGCGTCAAGGCTTGCCCCAAGAGCATATCCTTGTGGATTCTCTACTCCCGGCTCGAGGAGAAGGCCGGTGCGACCGTCAAGGCACGCAGCGTCCTTGACCGCGCGCGCACTGCCGTCCCCAAGGCCCCCGAACTGTGGTGCGAATTAATCCGCGTCGAAAGGCGGGCCGGCAACATGGCGCAGGCTAAGAACCTCATGGCATCCGCCCTCAAGGAGATGCCCAAGAGCGGACTGCTGTGGAGCGAGCGTATATGGCACCTGGAGCCCCGCACGCAGCGGAAGCCGCTCGCGCTGCAGGCCATCAAGGAGGTCGAAAATGACCCAATTCTCTTTGTGGCCGTAGCGCGAATTTTCTGGGGCGAGAGGAAATTGGATCGTGCGCAGAGCTGGTTTGAGAAGGCTATCGTGCTTGACGGTGACGTGGGTGACTCGTGGGCCTGGTATTACAAGTTCCTGCTGCAACACGGCACCGAGGAGAAGCGCGAGGAGGTCATTTCAAAGTGTGTGTCCAACGACCCGCGCCATGGCGAGTATTGGCAACCTATTGCGAAGGACCCTGCACGATGGAGGTGCTCTGTCGAGGACAACTTGAAGCATGTAGCTGCTTCATTGCCAAACTAGGAGACGGTATGACATTGTCGCGGCAGTCGAGCTGTATCAAGCAACGAGGGGATTATGGAGTATGTAAAGGAGTTTTTCTACCCCGTCGTAGGAAGCGGCTGTCTTTTTAGGCAACACAAAATGGAATGATCAAGCCACAAAAATCGTTAGAGATGTGAAGAGGTTAATTATCCTATGAAGTTCCAAATCCGCAAATCCACCGTGATGATTATCCCTTGCCCATTGTCACTCAAGAAAAACAAGCCTCGCAAAACACAAAACGCCTTTCGGGTCATCATGACATATCATGCCAGCATGGTGAGTACCACGCCGCCCTTTTTATTTTCCACCGAACCAGCTCGAAACGCCAGATTTAGCCTTGGAGGCATTATCCTCGACCTTCTTGTCGAACTGGTCGACTTTCTTGAGAGTGGCATCCTTTGCATCCTTCGCGTAAGCCTCAGCATTCTTCGCGTAGGCCTCAGCATTGGCTTGTGCCTTGGATAATTCGGCTTGCGACTTGGCGACCTGAGAGAGCAGATTTGGTCCGTGTCAGTCAACTCTGATTCATCTGTCTGCCATATCATGCCGAAATGTTTGAGGGGACTGGCATCCAAAGGCGATAGGGAGGTGGCAGATGAGGACAACGACTACTTACAGCGGAGTCGAACTTGGCGCCGACCTTGTGGCCCAAGGCCTCGGCCTCCTTCTCGGCCTGTTGACCACGGCCGGGAAGCTCGCCCTTGACCTTTGCAGAGGCCTTGTGGACATCAGCTGATTTTGGGCTTGGTTAGCACCTGTACATAGTACTATGTAGCGACCCTGCCTGAATCAATTGGAGGGGGACACGAGTCCAAATAGGCTATCTCAGCTCACCTTCGAAGTTCTTCTCAGCTACCTTGGCATTGCCGCCAGCTCCATAGAGGTAGTACCCAATACCACCAGCGGCCGTGAGACCGAGGACGAGAGGTGCGCGGGAGCGAGACATTGTGAGGTTGGGAGATTATGAGTATGAGGTGTGTATGTGTTGTTATTGTTATGGAGGAAGCACGAGGGGATCAGCTGAGATCGAGCAGGTTGGTGCTTGTGGGCGTGTGGTGAGATGGAGGTGAGGTTGAGGTTTTGTCAACATGGGGAGGAGGGGGCGACGATATTGGCTGATGTTTTCCTATTATACCTGCTGCGGGAGGGGTCGCCCTTCTCCCTTCCCTTGTTCCTGTTCTGGTCCTGGTACGTACCACCTAAATTGTGTACGGATTCACGTCTATAGTTGGGGACGGCAGCCTCGAAGAATGACGTAGGCCCCCTGCCAGAGGCAGATGCAGACGCACATGCAGTGCATCTACAATGGGTCTTCAGTGCTCTTCCCCGCTGTGACGATCCGATCGTTCCCCACAGTGCCCAGGCCAGGTCAAGAGCAGAACGGCCCTGTTTGAGGAGGGTTCTTTCCGTCCTAGGCTCAATTACATCATCACCCGCTGTAAAGCCCATGGCAACCCCCTGTAGAGTCTGGACTGTACTGCGTAGAGCTGTCAACCCGGTGTAGAGACACAGTAAGAGAGTCATCATGTTTTCGTGTTCCAACCTAGGTATTCTTGCCCATCAGAACCTTGCTAAACGTTTTCTCCTACAATCTCCACCCTCCGAAGAATACCGAAACATAAACGCAGACCGTACTTTCTCTTCTCCTAATTCTAAATATTCCTTCACCTTTGATCCTTTTTGAGATTTTGTCGGTACGGGTCGGTGCAGGGGCTGTCAGCTGTGGCTGCAGTCGAGACCCGCCAGTGGTGGTACGTCGGGTCGCTGCGTCTCTTGTGGTCCCAGATATCGGTCTCCTAACTGTCTTCGTCTTGGCCTTGACATGGTCGTGGGCCTGTGATCTTGGCCTGGCGACCCCATAAATCGATGGGCAACTCGCTGGTTGGAGGCTAATTCTGGCCGACGCATAGTGTGGCGTAAACTCGAGACTCCTAGCCCCCCCCCCCCCAACCATTCAAGACATCAGGTTATTAACCTGACCATCTCGCCATCAGGGCCGGTCTTCGACTATTCCCTCCTGGCCGCCATGTTCGAGATCTTGCTCCTGCGATGCGGAAGATTTCCAACGCGAGAAGCTCACGCAGAGCCCCGACCCTCAAGGACAGCGATTACGACCATGAGATAAACCTTGTTGACCATGTAGCTGAGGCTGCGACCGCTCAGCCTCTACCTCCAGAGCCCTCGGGCCCTTCAGCGCGGACAGATAATGCTCTTACTCCATCCCAAACTACAGGAACCCCAAAAGATCAATCTCTGTCAACTTACACGACCGCCGCCTCGGCTTTTTCCGACCCGCAACCTGGTCCCTCACAGAGCAGGGACCGTCCAAGCCCTCCTGCGAGTGTCTCACGGGGTAGGGCCGGCAGTCTCAGTGTCTCGGGCAGGTCCCAAAAATCAAAAGGTTCTCGCGAGCGGTCCTCTGCTCCCCGGAGTTTAAGAGAAGGAGCTGTCATACCCAGGGTCGAGGTCAGCGGTAGGTACTTCTCCGCGGCGATATGCTCAACGTATGATGTGTCTGATGACGAGCAGGTGCTACGCCGTCGTACGACCCGAACCGACCGGTCCCGAGTGATAGTCCTCGCGACAAGAACACGCCTGAAACCGCCATTGATGTCTTGTATGAAAATCAGAGAGGTGGTTTCCTTTGCGGCATCCCCCTCTTCTCGCCCAAGGCCCTAGGCCAGCTCGACCCTCCCGCTTGGACCAATGTCGCCCACAAGCCGAGTCCGACCGATATCTACACTGCACAGGTCCCCGACCCCAGCTGGGTATGGGTGTGGGACGAGTGGCACATCAACAAGGATGTGGGGGTCGATGAAGATGGATGGGAGTACTCCTTCATGTTTGCCAAAACCTTCTCGTGGCACTCATCTAAGTGGTACAATTCCTTCGTCCGCCGCAGAGCATGGATCAGAAAACGAATGAGAAGAATCCCGGATTCCAGCGATCCTCACATGTTGAACACGGAGTACTTTACGGTGCGGCCCAGCACCGATACAGGCAGGACAGGTAGCAAGCCTAGCAGTCGCCACAGCAGGGCCAGCATGAGCATATCCTCTTGGGCACTCGAGAAGACGGACATTGAAGACATGGACACCCTCATGGCCATCTTGAGCCGGGCCAGGATCGATCGTGAGAAGATCGAGGCTGTTGAGAACTTCTTGGAGCACGGAGAGGAGGAGTTGGTCCACCTGCAGCACAGAATGCACGATATCATGGCTATCTTTGTCTTCCAGGCCTCGAGGAGGGTACTCCTGTCCAACCTGAACGATCTGTTCAATGCGGCGCAGGAGGAACTGAAATGCAACGACACAGGGAGGCTGCAACGCAGATCTAATAATTTGAGGGCGGCGATACGACATGCAGACGAAGAGGTTCAGACTCTCGAGTACTGGAGTGATGTCAGGAAGTTGGTGAAAGAGGGAGACACAGATGCGGCCGCAGACAAGTCTCAAGGATTGGGGCCAAAGTGAGCGGGGGGTGGACAACGGCGACCCTGCCATGCCCAACTTGAACAAATGCAATAACCAGAGAGGTTGATTCAGCACCAGCATAAATACCCAAATATCATATATCAGTTGCGCAGAGATGGGCTCGAAACGTGCGTGGACTTTGCCATACAAAGGCTGATGCAAAGTGCGAGCACTTGACTCGTATTAACAGGTTGCCTGCCACGCTGCCTTAGTACTCGGTATGTGCATGTGGTTACGTAGAGTGTGCAGCAGCGTATCGATAAGCTATTTTACCAGGTTCGGCGACAAAACCTTTTTAATTGCTTATCCCACTCACCACTCCCAAAGCTGACTCTTTCGGTTACAACAAAAGTGAAAAGGCCTCCGCCCTCCGTCACATTGAATTCGGCGTAGAGCACATGTTCAAACGCAGAATGATCTCTTCATAGCAAATGTCCCTGGGAATCATTGCAAGATGGAGGGTTCGACCTCTGCGGCTGGAACCCTCGATTCCCAGGGAGGCCCTCCTCTGCCCAGCGAGACCGCGATCTCGACCAACTCTTTCCTACTCGACTATCACCGAAGATTCCAAAGCCCATGAACAAGAACGACAAGCACAGTCACTAGAAGATGGTGGTGGGGTCGGCTCCATTGCATCTCGGCGCAGCAAAGGCCAAAAAATACAAGAAAAGGGCGCTGGCTCGTTGGACGAGTTGGGGGCATTCATCAAAGGGACGTGGGGGACGAAGAGCCAAGTCGCTGCTGAAGACCAAGACTCCTCGGAAGAGCTTCGAAACATGGAGGCCGCGCTGGAGCGGAGCCACTTTGCCAGCTCCGTCTTCGTCAAGCCGCTAAAGAACCTGCAACATCGCGTGGAAGCACGCGAGAGCTGGAGGGAGCACCACAAGACCATCTCGGCGCAGGTCTACCAAGACAGGAACCGGAGGAACCAGGACGCTAAGCCTGCCGACTGGCGCAAGGTGCTCGCGAGCATGGCCCAGAACACGCCCCAGGAGTCGCTACAGTGGATCAAGGACGGCATGAAGATTGATGTGCCGCGGAGGACCCTGGCTGCGATCCTGGACGACGTTGGCGACGACAAAATTAGTTCCATCAGACAGAGGACAGGCGCTGCTATCAAGATCGCCCGAGACGAGTCGACGTTGCTGCTGTCAGGTTCTCGACAGGCAATTAACAGGGCAACCCATGAGTTCAGGAGGATCGCTGATACAATCACAATCACGCGCCTGTACTCTCCTCTGGGTCCCGGAGAGGCGAAAACGGAACATCTAGGCAAGGAGAACATCTTCTTTGAACCACCCTTGTCTAGAGAGGAGGGTGCATTCCCTGGTCGTCGTTTTATCACCCACCACATCTATACCACGCCCATACCATTAGCCTGGACCTCCGAGGCACTGGAAGAGTATGTAGCTGGGCTTGTGGATTCTGTGGTTGCCCCTCACTTGCATTCTCCGTTGTATACATCAACCAAGGGAGTGAAGCTGTTGGATCACGAACGAGCCACTACTAGGCGCCTCAAACGGATTTTCCAGAACGTCCCGGCACAAAAGGTGGCCACATGCGCGGCATTGAAGATTGCGCTCTCGCACATGTGCGAAAAGGGAGACAAGTATCTGCCCGAGGCCAGGACGCTCTTTGTCATCATGGACAGGCGCGGGCTGAAGGTTGATGTGGACGTCTTTAATATTCTTCTGAAGGCGGCGGTCAAGACGCGCAACTTGCGCAAGTTCCAACAGATCTTGGGTCTCATGAATAGCCGAGGCCATGCACCGAACCTCGATACTTGGCTTCTCTTTCTGCGCATGTTCGAATCGGTCGAGGTTAGGTCCTACATCCTCAAGTCTATGGACAACAAGAACATATTGGCAACGCCCGAGGCCATCCAGCTCGTGGCCACAGAGATGGCCGCCATGGATGCCGAACATGCCGTCACCCAAGGCAAAAGCCTCTCTACCTACTTTTCAGAACAGAAACAACGCTATGGTGAGAACTGGCTCACGCGCGACGCAGCAAATCAAGCGATTGATGTCTTTGCCAGCCACGGCCGCTTCGACGATGCCTTTAAGCTGTTGGGCATGCTGGGCAAGCGCCACGTCGGAACTTTCAGCAACCGGCACAAAGATCGTCTGGCTGTCCACCATGATGCCAGCAGCTTCATCAACATCATATTGCATGCCAGCAGAAGAGGAAAATTACCCCTCGCCGTCAATGTGATGCGTTTGATGAAGACACCAGCTCTCGCCAGGCAGCCCAACGCGGCCATGCTCCACCTGTTGTTCGAAATGGCCTGGAAGAGCCGCTTGCGTACAACCATCGTCGTCATCTGGCGATATGCCTGTCTCGCTCGGCTCACCTCGTGGCGCATGCGTAGGCGAGTTGCTAGCCTGCTGGACGGCAAGTTCGGCGTTACAGGAGATGATCTGACAGAATCAACGTATCGTCAGCTGGGCGGAGAGGCGCTTGCACGGGAGCTCGCTGGTGGAGATGCGGCTCTGACGAGCATCAAGACTAATCTGCATAGGCTCTGGGGTGCCGGCCCCTTTCCTCGTGATGAGTTGGGGACTTTTACAGCGAAGGCTTTACCCCTCGCTTTTGAACACTTCGGCCCCGCGCTTGATATAGGCAAGGTGCTGTGTCAGTCGATATTGCTCGATTATCAGTGTCTCCGTGCAAAGAAAAGTGGCCACCTGAGCGATGTTCTGCAGAGAGCCAAGATTAAGAACCTCCCATTATGGAGAAGATACTCACATGAGGAAAGGTGGGTCGATCTTGCGCCGCTCGTGCCGGATTCATCCACCGAGATCAAACCTGACGATACGTGGCCGGAGGAGTGGGACAGTGATGGATGGGACATCCTGCCCAAAGCTTGGGAACCTGGCCACAATAAGCCGAGAGCAGCCATCTCCAATCCCCGTGGCATGCCCTTGGACCCGCCTCCCTTGTCGGGCAAGGCCGCTTTGGAGGAACGGCGGGACTCCGAAATCCCATATATGCTCGAGGGCGGGAAGTCGTATGAGTCTGCTTCCTCAACAGAAAACTCCGAGGACGAAACGGCCACGAAGCATGAATCTACATCTGCCGCAGAAGAATTGATCACGGAGAAGCAGATGTGCATTATCAACCCAAGAGTTTGGGCTGAACCGGATGAAGACATATCTGCACGAGCTCAGGAGCCCCAGACCGAGGTGCAGAAGCAGAATGAAGCAGCGATCCTCGCTGCGCTGGATGAGCTGAGAAAGGAGAAGACGCATATTCGCTATGTCATCTCAAACACCGAGAATAATGGAGACGAGGAGAGAGCAGACGGCATGGCCAAGAGCCTGGTTTTACGCTCGATCTGGGATAGTGTCATGGAGAGCCCAGCAGAAGAGAGTCCATCGACAGCGCAGGCTGATCAGCAACGAGCGGAAGAGAGACAGTCGCAGGATACCTGAGTCAATTATACGCTTACATGCTTACCCCTGCATGAACATCTACCAGTACTGGCAAGCCCTAAGACAAGTCCCGTTGCCTGCCAACGTCTTGAATAAACAGCCAATCTTCTCAGATCCTAAGACTTTCCAGATCTTCCAAACATAGTCCTCATTCAACTCACATCTTAGGGCCGGTGCAGTATACGATCCATGATGCCATGACGCAATATACCGAGATGAACGGTGGCCACACTAACCCTGAGAACTCATCAGCTCGATTATTGGCCTGGCCCTCGACAACTCTGCACTTATTCCCCCTTCAGGTTGTCTCGACAGATCCAGGGACCATCTTAGTGTTCGTAAATGAAAGATTGGGGAGAAAGTCAGTGGACCTGTTGGCAGGATAGTACCGAGATACAGGTACATCATGGCGGAATACAGTACAAGATATAGGCCTGATGGTGCCCTGCTGCCATGCCTCCAGGTCTTAAATGCAAACATGCCAGAGCAAATTGCTTTAAGCAAAATCAGCATTTCTAACAGAGGGTAATCAGCTGAGCTTTTCGAACAAAGGTATCAGCTTGCCGGGTTGACATGTCGCGTGTACATGGTACGTCATTTTCTGGCTGTGGCTTAACCCCTGTAGCCTTTAGCGTGTGTCCTTTCCATTTTCTCTTTTCTTATTCAAATAGAAAGGGAAAGCTCGAGGAGGGGCTTGTAATGAAGCTGGGGATTCCTTACAAATCTGGAAGCACAAGGGCACAAAAAAGCCAGAGCGTCAACCCCACAAACTGAAATCCCAAATCTGCTGGAAGCTTGGACCACCTATGGGGCTGGGGGTCATACATGTCATGCTCTCAGCAGTGTAGCGTAGGAGGGCAAGGAGGGTTCAGCCACGGCGAGACGAGCTGAGCTGGTCCTTTTTTCCATTTGGTGTTCTTGACCTGTTCCTCTTTCCCTCTGTTATTTCTTCTTCGCTCGGAGTGATGCCTGCAGCTTGAGTAGTATCCCATGAATAGCAAGAATTACCACTAGGAAGAGGAAAGAGATAGACAACAAGAGACGGGGGGAAAATCAATGTCCTTTGATAATGGGGATTTGTCCACGTTCCGCGCATCCCCTCTAATCACCCCTACCACCACTAATGAATTTTGGTGTTATGAACCCCTGCCCTAGTACGGATGGGCGCTGGGTACCCCGCTTCTAGAGGCTAGAGCAGAACATAGAGAAAGTACACAGTACCTGGGTTCTTGTGGGAAGATTCGAGACGGTCACATTGACACCTCGTGCAGGGCAGGACGAAATCCTTTCCACACGGATGAGATTCCCGACCTCTGGCTTGGTATTCACATTCCCCGTATTATCCACTTCATTATTGCCTACTGAGTACAAGCCACACGCCATCAACCTGTGACAGCATCACTTTTTCAGTACGTAAGGCCCAGACTGACTTTTTGTCGACCCTTGATCTGGGAGAAAGAAGAAGGGACAGAAAAGGGAGAATAAGAGGGAGAGAAAAAGAAAGAAAAAAAAGAAGAAACAAAAGGCTACCCCACCCACATTTTCGCCTCTTGTTCTGCCCACCTGACTACTTGGGATTGGGCAGCCTGACGGCTAACTTTAGGGACCCAAGGGCGACTCGACCTGATATCTGGACCTGGGCACTAGACCTGAGACGACAAGACTGCTTTTTGCCAGGCACCACACACATGCACCACAGCCGATGATCCTCAAGCATCTGGACCCCCAACGTCATTTTTTTTTCGGTCCCTTCTGTACCAGAGGCGGCTGCACCATCAGCAGGAGCAGCAGTAACGGCGGCAAACAACCACCATTACTACTACTACTACTACTACCACCACCCTACCATACTACCAGCAAAAAAACTCTGACCTAAGCCCCCCAATACATAGTACCCAAGCCACGCGCTGTTACTTCGTCAACCTCAAGTCAGAGCTGCGATCCACACCCACATCCACGTCAAGGTTGACTCAAATCTCCATTCCACCTTTAACAATCCCACCCATCTCGTCCATCCCTCTTCCCTGTACCCCGCGGTAGCCCTACTTGCTACCAATTTTCTCACCCTCTATCCTTCTCTCCTCCTGCTCCTCCTCCTCCTCCTCCACCACCACCACCACCACCACCAACATCTCTCATTCCGTGTGTCTTCGACCTCGACCTCAGCCTCAGCCTCAGCGCTCGGATCGCCAACATGGGTCAAACACTCTCCGAACCCGTTGTCGAGAAGGTCAGTTCGATTCCCATTTCCAGCCACATGCATCCTTCCCCGTTCCCCCAGCACCGCTGCCCCCTGCGAGACGGGGTCGACAGGTCAAGACGCAGCGCTGCTTTGCTCCAGCAGCAGCAGCAGCAGCAGCAGCCGCCGCCACGACGAGTTCGCGTCATACCACCGCACCGGTGACGACAGCCTCACTTTTGCCCCAAACGCGCCCTACTCCTGTTCTGCACTCGGGGACCGCAGCTGCCTGTCGCGCGCTAGCCATCACCACCATCGCCCTACCCGTTCTTGCAGACGATCCCCCCGCCGTGTGAGCCGACACCTGGACTTTGCTGACGCGAGACCTGTCTCCTCCCCTTTTTTCCTTCTTTTCTAGACATCCGAGAATGGAGCCGATACACGACTGTTCTATGGCGTCTCTGCGATGCAGGGCTGGCGCATCAGCATGGAGGATGCCCATACCGCCGTCCTAGACCTGCTCGCCGACAGCCCCGATGCCAAGGACCACACCTCCAAGCTATCCTTCTTCGGCGTCTTTGACGGCCACGGCGGCGACAAGGTGGCACTGTTTACCGGCGATAATATCCACAATATCATCGCGAGGCAGGATACCTTCAAGACAGGCAACTACGAGCAGGCGCTCAAGGACGGCTTCCTCGCGACCGACCGCGCAATACTCAACGGTACCCTTTCCTGACTTCATGGTTCCGCAGCCAGGAGGGTGGGCACGTGGCTGACAAATACATGCACCGTCCAGATCCAAAGTACGAGGAGGAAGTCTCTGGCTGCACCGCGTGCGTCGGTCTGATCACCGACGACAAGATCTATGTTGTCAGTCTGCCCCCGGTAACGATTCTCTGCTGACTGCCCCAGATCTGCGAGCTGACACTAGGCGTCTCGTCAGGCCAACGCTGGTGACTCCAGGAGTGTTTTGGGTGTGAAGGGCCGCGCTAAGCCCCTGTCCTTTGACCACAAGCCCCAGAATGAAGGTCTGCATGCACCCTGTCTATGCCTTCTTATTGTATCACGTCAATCTCCCGACCCCCTGCTAACCTGTGAGCCCTCCCTTCACAGGTGAGAAGGCAAGAATCACCGCCGCCGGCGGCTTTGTCGACTTCGGACGAGTGAACGGCAACCTCGCCCTCTCTCGCGCCATCGGCGACTTCGAGTTCAAGAAAAGCGCAGACTTGGCCCCTGAGCAACAAATCGTCACTGCCTATCCCGACGTCGTGGTACACGATCTTGCCGAGGACGATGAGTTTCTGGTGATTGCATGTGATGGTGAGTTTACTAACCCAAGCCCCCCCTTCTTGATTTCCTTCCTTTTGGTCTCGTGTGACCTGTGTCGTACGTGGTTTCTGACGGCTCTATGCGTGTGTGTTCTAGGCATCTGGGACTGCCAGTCCTCTCAGGCCGTTATCGAGTTTGTCCGCCGTGGTATTGCGGCAAAGCAGGACCTGGACAAGATTTGCGAGAATATGATGGACAATTGTCTGGCATCAAACTCGGAGACGGGCGGCGTTGGCTGCGACAATATGACCATGGTCATCATTGGGTTCCTGCGTGGGCGGACTAAGGATGAGTGGTACGAGGAGATTGCCAGGCGGGTTGCCAATGGTGACGGTCCCTGTGCCCCACCCGAATATGGTACGCAACCCGAGCGATGATCATGATGATGATGATGATTTACCTGTGCTATCCTTCCTATTGATGACCTGTCGTGAGATTGTCGGCGCTGGCAGCCTGCTGTCGGGCTGCCAGTAGCCTGGTCTGTCATTTCTCCTATGAATATTCGTACTGATTCAAATGGCAATGTGCTAGCCGAGTTCCGAGGTCCTGGTGTTCATCACAATTTTGATGACAATAGCAACTCTTATGAAAACGAGAGCGAGTCCAAGACCAAGCCTTTCGGGATGGGAGGCTACAAGGGCCGCATCATCTTCCTTGGCGACGGCACTGAGGTCCTGACCGACTCTGACGACACCGAGATGTTCGACAACTCCGAAGAGGACAAGGACCTGGCCAGCCAGGTCTCGAAGGGGTCTTCATCGGGCACCTCTGAAGACGATTCCCACCCCGAGGTCATTGGCAGCCCCGTGACTCCCGAGAAGCTTGATCCCAGCATGGATCTGGACCAGAAGACGCTTGGCTCCAAGGACGGTCCTGCCTCGGCTGAGGCCACAAAGTCTGGGGAGAGCTCCAATAAGTCGCAGAAGAAGGAAGATTAGTGGCAATGCTCCCTGGCAGAGCTTCTGTACGTCGCAGCACCCAAGACGTCTGATTATCAAGACGTCTGTGTGATGGAGGGGAAAGAAAAGGGACAGACAAGATGAACAGTCTTTTCAACAGCCAGCGATGACATGGCACAATAAGCCAGTTATGATGTCTCTAAAACTTCCCCTCAGCCTCGGAATTTCTCTGACTTTTGGAGTGGTATGGAGGGACAGCAGATGGGAACCGGCTAGAAAGAGAAGTCTTTGCATTTTTGTATGCGAGGAGTCCTGTACTATGTTTTTGTTGAGAACTGCCTGCTGAAGTCCAGCAGCCATGAGAGAAAGCGCGCACAATGGTTCTAAGGAGGCATCTTTCCCAGTCGACAGGGTTGGGCAGGGGGGTTGTCGACGAGGAGGTAGGTGTGTCTGATCTGGTCCACTGGTTGGTCGAATGATATCTGCATGAACGATCATGGGAGTCAGTGCGAAAGGGAGGGGGGGTGGGGGGGGGTTGTCAAAGGGCTGCGGAAGGAGGTTACTTGTCATAATGATTTTTTCCCGGAAACAACAACAACAGACGAACACATATATCCCTTGCCCCCACTAGTCAACCTCTGTTGCATTTTCCCCTTCTTTTCCTACAAGAGGGATTGAATAAAGAGCAGATGACACAGGCTACTATGTGGATTCTCCCTAGTGATGCTTGGCTATATGGGGGACGAAAGGCTTCAGAAATGCGGATGGGAGTGTGTATATGTTTGTGCATTCATGGTCAGGTTTAGGCTGTTAAGACTGTGTAAAGGATTGGTTGGCCTTTCGGTCTTGTCTTGACCCTGATCCCATCATGCAAATGATACATACTCAGTACCCATTCAATTGTCTTTTAGGCCAAGTAGTCGAACACCTTTGGTCTGTGTGGAGTAGCGAGTGAGAAAGACTCTGACAGCTTGCTAATAGATTTGAATGCACTAGTATCCTGCGCTCTCTGCCTTGCATCATCATGTTGGCAAAAAGTAGCTGCTCTTATCAGAATCACCCTGTCCGAATCGTTCAGAGACAAGTAGATTTACCCAAGATATCAATATTAATGACGCCATAGATTGGCCGGGGATCATGCCACGTAAAACAAAATGAAAACAAAAGAGAGACAAAGGACAGCACAGCTTCAGACAAAGGCTCTGACATTACTCGAAGCCTCGCTTTTTCCCGACCGTTCACTGCCACCAGACGCTTCTTCCAGGTCTCCTCCCTCCATCAAAGCCGGTAGCGAACTTCCACCCATCAGCGGCTGGATCACAGGGCTCTCCTCGTCCACGACCTCGTCGAACGAGATCCAGTTGGGGCCCGTGCTCCCCGCGGTGCCAGCCACCCCGGGTGTGCTCCTGGTGGTGGCAGCACTGTGTCCGGACCGGCTCGCCGCCATCGGCACGGCGGAGTGCTCCCGCAGGTCGGGCCTGGAACTAAGGGATAGGCCTAGCTCGGACGTGCTGCCCGCCTGGCTCGTCACCCACGACCCTTCGCGGTCCCCACCGTCCTTCGACGGGTGGAAGGGCGAGCTGCTGACGATGTCCTCGTAGATGGAGATGCCAAGGCCCTGTGCAGACGGAGACGGCGTCGCCACTGCGTCTGGAGTGGATGGTGCGCGTACGGCCACACCGGCCGCCTTCTTCTTGCTGGCAGCAACAGCAGAAGCAGTAGCAGCTAATGGACTGCTGGCCACAGGGCGCCGTGGGATGCCTGGCGAGTTCTGGGCCTGCTGGGCAAGACGCATCCCGCCCGCCTCCCTGCTCCCACCACTCGAACTACTCGCACTACCGTTCATGCGACCGCTTCGCCTGCGATGCCTCTCGCTGTCAAGGGCGACGGGGTCCGGCGCCGAGGGCATCGGCACGGGACTGACCGAGTCACCTGGGCCTGCGGGCTGGGGCCACAACCTCGGGCTCAGGTACGCACCGATGCCGCCACCGCCATTCTGGATCCCAAGCCCAGCCGCCGGGCTACGGACCGACGCCTGCCTGCTGCTTTCCTCGGCTCCATCGTCATCAACACTCTCCAGCACCCCACGGTGGGCCCGTTTGGACCGCCGCAGGTGCAGGCTCGGCTTCTTGCCTAGCCTAGCCAGCGTCCTCCGCGTAGGCGACTTCATGGCGATGGACGCGAGGCTCATGGCGCCTTTCGCCTGCGCGGATGTCTTGGCCGCCAGCCTGCGCGTGCGGCCGCGCATGCTGTCGATGGAGGAGATGCTTGCAAAGGACTTTTGCGAGTGCACAGGCCTTAGAGCTGGCTGCGTGCGGAGCTGGAACTCAGAGGCCGCCCTTGGCCTTCGCATTGATGACGATGACAGTGCTGCTGGGGGAGGTCTTGGCGGACCTGTGCTGACGCTGGCGCTGATGCCGGCAGCGGTGGGAGGAGAGATGGGCGAGATCGGGTGGGAGTTGAATGGGTTTCTCTCGTCGAGGGGGGAGACGGCCTGGCCTATTGTAGGCGAAGCATCGCCATCGTTCCGAGGGAGCCTGCTTTCTGAGTTCTCGGGTGTGGGAAGAACAGCAGTATTCTTGCCCTTCTTGACCTGAAGGCTGCCGAATCGGTCATTCTTGTTATGAGATCGGTCCAGCACACGCTGGAGGCTACTGCTGCTGTCTCCTCCGCCGCCGCCGCCAGGTGAGAGCGTGGGCACCTCGACCTCGAGGTTGTTGCGAAACGTGCCCTGGCTGCTGTGGCTGAGGCTGATGACAGGCGGGCCTGCAAACTCGAGGTCAAGATCGAGGTCCTGATGCGAGCCCTCGTCGTCCGACAAGAAGCTCTCCGACACTCTCGCCTTGCCACCGCCGAGGCCACGCCGTAAGTGCGCGACACGGAAGCTGCGCAACGAGTCGTACCAGCCCTTCAATTTGTTCGCTGGCGTGGTACTCTCGCTCATCATCGGCGGCTGCTCGTCGTCGACATCATCGTCGTTATAGATGTCTGCGAGTGACGGTGCGACGGGCGGGATGGGGGACGGGGTTAACTCCGTGCGGAGATTGCTCGCCTTTTTGGGCTTCGACTTGTCTTTCTCGTTGCTGAAGTGGGACGAGACTGTGTTGTGCTGGGGGTCTGGAGAGCCGACTTCCACCCCGGGTGTGTAGATCAGGCTCTCTGGTAGAGGTGCAGAGATGTAGAACGCGCTGTCAAGGTCACTCCGTGATTGTTGTTGCTGCTTGTTCTTCCTGTGACAAAACCAGAAGCAGATGCATGCGACGAGCGCAAAGGCCGCGACGGCAGAGATAACAATGGCCACAATGGTCCAATTTGGGGACCGCTTGGCAGAGGATGAACTAGTGGTGTCATCGCTGCTCTTAGACGACGACGTTGACGGGGCTGATGCTGGCCGCGAGCTCGTGCTTGAGGCAGTTCCGGTGATGGACGATGAGGACGAGGCCGACTGAATCTCGATCACCAGTTCCTGAGACTGACCTCTTGTCCCATCCCTTCTGAATCTTGCATTGGTTCTTGGCTGTGCAGTGAAGGTGACGTCGATGACTGACTCAGAGGCTGTGCGAGGGACACTGCCAGTCAAAGTCAAGGCGGAAGCGTCCCAGGAGAGCCATGATGCTACTGGTTCTATGTCGGCTGTGACATCGACCGCCGACGGGTCTGCGAGATACTGTGTCAGGTCGAAAGACAGACTCCCTCCAGGCTTGACATCCAGAGAGGGAATCGTGCTCTGGAAGAGACTGCTGCTTCCTGTGACCTGCAGCTTAAACGTGATGTTCAGGATATCTGCAAATGCATCTTCCATGGTTACCATGAACGTCGTCGTCGGCTGCGAATCATCTGGAGGCGTGCCACTAATATCCCATGACGCAGGATCGAGAGTGAGCCAAGAAGGCATACCCTCCGTCGTGACGTTGACCTGGTTTGAGTCTACCGCCTTCTGGTCAATCTGAACGCTTTGTGCCAGCGCATCATATGCCAGAGGCTTTCCGACGGTCGCATTGAGCGTGACTTCGGGGTCGCTTGTTGTCAGGGCGTGCGTCCCGACCACGATGGAGAAGTTGACCCAGGCAGCCGAGAAGCCCGCGACGTCGGATGCGATGAGCTTCATGGAGAAAGTCTGGGGGGGCTCGACCAGAGAGCTGAAGGGAGGCGTGGTCCCTGCGAGGGCGAGGGTGCCCGGGTCAAACGAGATCCACGCCGGCAGAGGGCTGTTGTTGTTGAGCATGACCGTGTAGTAATTCAACACCGAGGTCTCGACGTCAGAGAAAGTGTCGGCTGCAAAGGTGAACTTGAAGTCTTCCTCTGGGTTGCAGAGGATCGATGACGGCTCCGAGTACTTCCCAAACCCCTGTATCTGGTCAGATATGGGAATCTGGACCACAGGGCCCTGATTTCGAGACACCACCAGCGTCGCATCGTCAGAGGTCGACCCGGTTGCGTCTGTCGCCACCAGGGTGATGTTGACCCCGACCACCGTTTCTGGATCAACTATATCACCGTCCTCTGGTGTTCCGTAGAGCGTGCGACTCTCACTATCAAGAGAGACCCAGGAAGGAGGGTCGACGAGCGAGTAGGACAAGCTGGAGCCGGAAGACGAGGTGAAGGTCGAAGGGGAGAACTCGAAGGAGAAAGGCTCTCCTATCCTGGCCACAGGAGGGACCTGTGAGTTGAGGGGAAAAGAGAGCGTGGGTGCGCTGGCTACAACAGCCGCTCTGGAGAGGAAGAAGAGGGGGAGGAAGGGGAGCGAGGGCCTCCCAGCAGCCAGCATGGTCGAATATCACAAACGGTCGTGGGGTGCCAAGTCCGTGATTCCAACCCAGGCAAGCTTTGTTCTGTATCCGAACATCCACACACACACACACACGCATAGGAGAGGATGGACGAGAAGAAGGCGTGGTGGAGGAGCAGGAGGGGAAAAAGAATGAAGAGGGGGCGGGGAGAAAAGATGGCAAAGACATGACGACGTCTTGCCAGAGGTGATCACATAGCTTGCCCTATACAACAGCAAGCAAGTCTGGTCTCCTCCTGTGACTCCTGCTCCTCCGCCTCCCTTGAGGGTAGCCCGCCCCTCGCGGCACCTGGCCACCGATCATCGTGAGACCTAACCTTAGATCCAGCCCCTTGGTTGCGTCAGCCTAAGAGAAGAGACAGAGAGATAGAGAGAACTTCCAAGGCCGAAGAGTGGTGTGGTGTTAGGAGGCTGAAGTTGGATCAACATTCCAGTGGGCGGTAGGGGGGTTAAGGGAAAAGGGAAAAAGGGAAAAATCGAGGGCAAAACCAGCCAAAGGGATGGCACTTCCTGCCTCTTTCGTGGGTTGAAAATTTGATATTAAAAACTCTCCCTGTTTATTGCCTTGAGAGGATCTCTTGATTTTTTTTTTCTCTATATCATTAAATAAGTCATGTTTTTCGAGATGCCAGAGTGAGACTGGGAAAATCTGCAGATTGATTGTACGAACAAATGATGCAGCAGCAAAATGTCCCTGTCAAGTGCAGAGTTCAGTGAGTGCGCAATACAGAGAGAGAGAAAGAGAGGCAAAGGCAAAGGCCTAGTGAAGAGAGAAGGGCTAAAGAGTCGAGTTGAGTGCACTTGCCTTGAATTGATGACTCGCCGAGCGAGCAAAGGGAAGGCGAAAAAGACCGCTACAGCCAGTGATTCACGACACACACAGCAGGCGCGGCTCGCTCGTAGTGAAGTGGGCTCGGCGTAAAGCTCTTGCCGACTCGCCGGTGCCACTGCTGCTGCTACTGCTGGCGCTTGCCACGGTTGAAGTCCCAAACAATTGCATCGTGAGACAGAAAAGAAGGAAAAATAGACCTCCAGGGTTTGAAGCCTCTTGCCAGCCTTGAAGAATTCCGGGTCAACCGATCGTGCCCCCTCCTCCTCCTGCTCCTGCTGCTGCCCCAACCACGTCTGCAATCAGCAGACTCTCCTTTTTCTGCTCTTCTCGTCTGGACTGAGGTTCAAAAATGGGCGAGCCTTTTGTCTCGATGGGGTCCAGTTCACCGCCCCGTGTCTCGTCAGGCCAAGAGGGAGAAGAGTTCGACCCTCTCGCATTCGACCAGGACCTGACGCCTCTGCCTGAGTACAAAGCCGCCGGCGACACCGCATTAGACTTTGGCGGCCTACTGCCAGCACCTCTGAAAGTCCACGAAGACCTCACGTCGGGTTGTGGTGGCCAGACTTGGCCGGCAGGGATGGTGTTGGCCCGTCATATGCTGCGATACCATCGGGACGATCTCAGAGATGCTCGCATGTGAGTCTTTACACTTTCTTCTCTCCTCCTGACACACACCGCTGGGCGCACAAACACAAAAAGAGGCTTACCACTTTGACTGACAAATATTCTTCGGTGTGCGCGCGTTGCAGACTCGAGATTGGCGCGGGCGGAGGTCTGGTTGGCCTGGCTGTTGCAAAGGGATGCAGTGTCAGCCATCCTCTTTACGTGACGGACCAGCTCGAAATGCTGAGCCTGATGGAACACAACATTACACTGAACGAGGTCGAGGGACGTGTCAAGGCCATGGTTCTCAACTGGTACGTAGTGTAAATACTCAACTCCTGCTTTATATCCTCCTTCTGCTGTGTAATTTATCCCCATCCCCTCTCTTCCCCTCCCATCCCCAAGAATACAACCCTCCCACTCTGTGTCCCCACATCCTTCTTCCAAGGTCAAGCAAGGTTCATCCTCCCTCCCCCTTCCCAGCACAGCAACACGTGTGCCCACGCCTTTTGAAGAGAGCGACCAGTCACACCGAGCATCTTTTTCTTTCCCTTTTCCTTTTCCTTCTTTTTTTTCTCTCCATCTCTAACGTGAAGGTGAATATCTCACTGCTTTAGGGGCGAGGCACTACCAACAGAGATTACACAGCTCAAACCGGACGTGATTCTCGCCGCAGACTGCGTCTATTTCGAGCCGGCCTTCCCGCTACTGCTGCAGACGCTCAAGGACCTGCTGGCTCTCTGTCCTTCCACGACCGTCTACTTTTGTTTCAAGAAGAGGAGGCGCGCCGACATGCACTTCCTCAAGAGTGCCAGGAAGACATTCACGGTGACCGAGGTAGCAGATGATGACAGGCCCGCCTTCAGCAGGCAAGGCCTTTTTCTGTATACCTTTACTAGCAAGGGGGCCGCACAACCATAACGGCAAGTAGAGGGACGACGTGGAGAAATGGTGGAAGGCCTGTGTACTGTGTATGTGGGCGGCCCGGATCTCTCTCCCCGGCTGGTCCGCACACGACCGACCTGTTCAGCTTGGTGGATACGGGTGGTCGCTCAGGGGCGTAGACCGTTGCTACTTTTAAGAGGTTGTTGCTGTTGGTGCCAAACACTAGCTCACGCCCCGTGCGAGGCGCGTGTGCCAACGGACAGATTGCGAACTCGCACAGTCCAGTTAACAGAGAGCATTACACAACAGCTGGTACCACCCAGGGTTGGGCTGAGGCAGAAGGCATGGAGGACGATGAGTGGTGCACCAGCCGGAAAAGAACAATTCTGCAGCTAGGCTCGGGTCTCGGCAGGAAACTCTTTGAGGGACGGGGGTCCTATTGTCCACAGCATGCCAACCCAACCACGAGCGTCCTCGCCCGCTTTCCGCTCGGTTATCCAACAAAGATGCGATCCGATCTACTACGTAGCACAAGTGCAATAACACTACTCATGTACACAGTAATACATACCATGCATGCACAACGGAAGGGCTAAAGGAGTCATCGAAGTTTTCAAAAAAAGAATTCCCTCAACCCGACTGCATGCGCTGGTAGAAGGAATGTGTTGTACATTTTCCCTTCTGGGTGACTGTTTGGTAAGAAAAGCGGTAGCTGCTGACAAGCGCCCAAAGAAGGGAAAAACAGCACATGCAGTGTGAAAGGGGGAGAGGGGGGGGGGGGGCGGCCGACCCAAATAAGGGACTTAGGTCCAGGCCAAAGAAAAAAACGGCCCAGCGGTTGCATACACTGCGACACACAAATGAGCCCAGGGCCATTGTGCCAAAGTTGGCACACAGCCGAACTACTGTGGTACAATGGATGGCTGTTAGGCAAGCCGCCACTACTGCAGTGTTTCCGCGAGAATTCAACTACTTTATACAGTATACTGTAGACCCTGCGTGCTAGTTTTTCCCCCAACCCATCCTCCTTCTTCGTCTCCTTGTCACGATTCAGCACAATGCAGATACCATAGGGTCGAGGCCATAGTTAGGCCCGTTCTATTTCGTAAAACAAATCCACAATAAGAGAAAACTCTCCGCCATGGCAACAAATTTTTTTATTTTTTTATTTTTTTTTTGCATCTTGAAACCTTGCACTCTAGGGGGAAAATAAGCCTCGTCCCAACTTCGGACTGGCCAAGGAAGCAACATGGAGGGGGGAAAAAAGGAGGGGCGGCTATAGCAGGGGAAGGCGGAAGAAGGCGCGGGTTTAGTTTAGATCGACCGGGTAGTACCAGTTTGTAGTAGGCTGAGGGACGAGAGAAGGAAAGGGAAGTCATCCTCTGACTGGCTGGTTGCTAATCTCGGCGCTGTTGTGGCCCCCTCCCCCCTTCTCGGAATCCTCCTCGTCCTTTCTCACTCTCTCACCTCTAGAGAATCCCTTCCAAAGGCGACAGGCAACACACATGGCAACACTGGAAGGCGCACGGAGGGGCCAGGGGGGAACGTGTCTGTCAGCGATACGACGCTAGACATATACGTACCTGAATATCAACAGGGATGTGCTCCGTACCTTGCAGGTGGGAGGTGAGCTCAGCCGATCACAACATCCCGTTTACCACCCTCCCAAGCCTCCCCCCCTCCCTCTTTCCTCCTTCACCCCGGCATTGCCACGCCAGTGGTCGGTGACCTTATTGCCCATGTTCCTTCTCGGGCTCTCTCTGCGTCTCTCTCTCTTTCTCTCTGTCTGTGGTCCTTTGGCTGCCTAGACGACTTCGTTGGGATGCTTCTTGACTCCCTCGTTGCAACACACTCTGTTGCCGGAGAAAGAAGAAATGTCATTGTTATACGAATCCAAATCGAGGTTAAAGGGCAAGATGTACTTATTTATATAGTAATTGGATTTGAATCTTCAGCCGGGCCACGAAGCGGTCAAAGTGATGACGGAGAAGAGGCCTCTTTGACCACCTTTGATCACCAGCCCGTACCATTGTACCTGTGGGCCAACCATGGTTATCCATGTGCTGTGCGTGGGTGGGTGTGGCCAAGCTAAGAAAGGCCTGGGCGTCCTGTACGTAGAGTCATGGTACTGTGGAACCCTCTTCTTTCGCTCTCCTCCTGCTTCTACCCTGCGTTTTTGTTTTTTTCCCGCAGTCATTTAATCCCCGAAGGCTGAGCCGTCCTCCTCCTCCACCTCCTCCTCCTCCACAATAAATGACAGTGGCCCCCCTGGTCCGCTCACCTTCTTACTCCGTTCCTACGGATCCTGTCTTTCTTCATCAACAAATACCCTCCCTGGTCCTTCTCTGGAGTTTCGATCAACAACCGACCCTCTTCTTTGGTCACTCTCCCAACCATTCATTCCTTCCATACGAACAAGCAGTGCTTGTGTTCACCCATTTTTGCTTTCTTTTCATACATACCAACCACCACCACAGTCTCTATCCAAGACATTCTCTTACACACGCACATCATCGTTTTCATACCCCAGTGTGGCCTTGACCAAGACATTACGAGACATCACCCGGCATCAGTAGGAGCCATTCCAGAGCATCCAGCCTCAACCACAACCTCTCATCAAGAGAAGAAGAAAAGAGAAAAGAAAATACCAATTCAAACTCGACTCATAGTCAAGAAAACCCCAGCAGCAGCAGCAGCAGCAGCAGCATCATCATGAAGTCCACCACAAGTGTTCTCATTGCGGCCCTGGCCTCGACGGTCGCCGCCCAGCCTCACGGCCACGCCCACGCTCACGAGCACCTTGCCCGGGAGCACAAGCACCAGCACGAGCACGCCAAGCGCGTGCTCGAGACCGAAGTCGTCGTCGAGTGGGTGACGGAGACTGTCACGGAGCTCATTGAGGGCACGGCCACCACCTGGATCACTCCCGACGCCGCGGTCCAGCAGCCTGCCACCACCTTTGCCACCGTCACCTCTGCTTCTGCCTCGTCCTCGAGCCAGGACGCCGGCCAGTTCTACGAGGGTCCTTCCTCGTCTAGCACCCTGGTTGTGGCCGTCGAGACGCCCACAACCACCAGCACGTCCTCCACATATGTTGCGCCTGCTCCGGCTGCCACCACCTCGACCTCATCCTCCGCCGTCGTCTATGTTCCTCCTGTTGAGCCCACCACCACCAGCACCACCCCCGTTGTCGTCGCGCCCACCACCACGTCCACGAGCGCTGAGGCTGCTGCCACTACCGAGTCTTCCTCGTCCTCCTCATCTGGAGCCAGCACGGGCTGGAAGATCACCTGGATCGGACCCACCGTCGGCGCCTACACCTCTTGTGGTGCCATTTATGAGGCCGACAGCATGTATGTTGCTGTCGACCCCAGCGTCCTGCCCACCTGCGGCTCCGACGGCTCCGGCACCACCATGAGCATCACCGCCAACGGCAAGACCATCTCCGCCTACGCCATCGACAAGTGCATGGGCTGCGACAGCACACACATCGACGTTGCCACCGCTGTCTATGAGGCTCTCGGCTGGGACACCAGCGATGGCGGCATGCACGACACGGGCGACATCACCTGGACCATCGACTAAAGAAAACGCTGAGATGACAAATCCAGCATGGCCCAGTGTTCCAAAGGAATTTGGCTGGCCTCCAAGTGTCCCTCGTCCTGCGCCTAGGATATGAAAGACATCTGACGAATTTCCTTTTCTCTGTTCCTTCTATTGTTGAATCCGCCACAATAGGGACAACTTCATTTCTTTGTTTGTGTGATACCAGGAAACCTTATCATCATCATTTGGTACGAATTACCAAAACGAACAGCGTTCGCACAGCAGAACAGCGGCGTCGACCATGGTCTGGAGGGTAAAAAAAGCTTCTTGGGTTCCATCTCTTGTTTCATTCTTTCAAAACGAACATCGGGATATACGACAATGGTCTGTATGGGAGGGGAAACACGTTCCTTCTCCTCGTCGGGCAGTTGACCGTCTTATCTCGTTTACGAACCCCCGTCATTTTTTTTCTTCACTTTTATGAGACGGGGCATTTAACGACATGCTTGCATAGCCATCGCATAACTTCTATTGTGTACATATATAACGCTTAACTTTCTCTTCATGAAGAAATTGATGGCAGGTGAACCACGAGGGTACACTAAGCCTATGCTATCAAAGTCCTCCTCTTTTTTGATCGAATACTCTACTGCTGTTCCTATGATGAGCTTGAATGTCTGCGCGTATTTGTCAAACCCAACCAGACTGCTGAGCGGGCCTCAACGACCCTCCCCGCCGGACCCTTCTTCATGAATATGAATAACCAAGCGCTATTCAAGACTGACCTCCCTTCGTAACCTAAGGCTAAGACCGCGACTACCCACGTGGACGGCCTCCCAACACATATCATTTGAGCCCGAGAAAGCCCCCCTGTGCAAAGCCCCGGCGCCATGTCTCGGACAGCCGGTTCTTATTGCCTCCCCAGCCAGCCGCCGTTATGAGAAACAGTCCCGAGGGTGGGATGACTGGTATGTATCATGTTTAGGCCAGCGCCCCTGTAAAAAAGAGAAAGAAGTTTTGATGGGGCAGAAAGGCAGTTGGATACTTGCTGACTTGCCGCCCTGGCCTTTGACATTTCTGACAGCGTTTCTGCTCGAGGATACTATTCCCCCTCCCTCTTCTCCCATGGTGTCCATGCTATGGTTTTGCCAGCCGCATCTTCAAAAGCAAGGCTCCCGTGCTTGCGCCTTAGTATAGAAGAGAGAGATGATGGAAGAAAAAAGTGACAAGGGCAAGACATCCCATCCAGCACCAACTCATGCCATGAGCCCAGTACACCGTCAAAGCTGGGACACAAAATCTTTTTGGATGAGATGCATTGATCTAGACTTGGGAGATTCTATACACATAATCTCCTACTCGTAATATGCTGATGCAATGTACTCCATGCTCTGTGACCATTACTTGAGATGAACGCTTCGAAAAGCCGGATACCCCTTTACCCTGGGTATCAAGCCCCCCTTGGGCTCCCCTTTGCAAATTAATAATTGAAACCCCTCAACAAGAGAAGCCCTTTTTCATGCGCCAGCCGTGTCAAACCAGGAATCTCGTCTTGTCCGTCAAACTCCTTGCCCCGAGAAACCCTTCACCTTGGTGGGAATAAAGTCGAAAAGAGAAAGTGTTCTCTCTATCTCGCCTACTCTTCCTGTCTTGTGCAACCCGGGTGTTAAAAAAAAATAAAAATAAGATGACAAAAATAGGAGAACGCCGTGCAGTGCAGGCAGTCAAAATGTGATCAATCGATCCAACAAGACGAATAAAAACAAATAAAAACATGGAAAGCAGCATGCTTTCTTCTTCCGTTTCTAAAGAAGAAAAAGAAGCGAACAACAGTCTAGCTGCGGTCTTCAAGACCCCACTACCCCCCCCCCCCCTCTCTCTCTTGCTCCCAGGCCCGCTCTAGTAATCCATAGGTGGGTGGTTGTGAGGCGGCGAGCCGTTGGGATGGTACCGGACCTCAAAGATGTTGGTACCTTGGCCAGTCTCGCCGAGAATGAAGCCAAACTCGCACCCGGTCTTCTTGCTGATGCGCTTGCGGTATGGCTTGCGCAGCTGGCCGCTCTTGGTGCGGATGAGGGTCTCGCCGTGCTCATCCCGGATTTTGTACCTGGCCTCGCCGCCCAGAGCACAGCGGATGGCGAGGCGGACTCGCTCCCCGGGCTTCTGGGTGGAGCGGAGAGTGGCGCATTTATAGCCGTGCTCCTTGGTCCACAAGTTGATGTTGTCCAGCAAGCCTTCGAGCGGCTTCTTGGCGCCAAAGTTGGGCCGGAATTGCATACCCATGGGAGGGTAGGCCATGTCGGGAGGGTCGCGGTCCTCCTCCTCCTCCTCCTCCTCCTCCTCCTCCTGGTCCTCGTCCGCCCCAACAACACCGTTCCCACCACTACCAGCCTCGACTAACTGCGATACGGCGCCGTCGTCAAGAGCTAGGGAGGCACGCGGCCCGCCGAGGCCGACCTGGTGCTGGAGGCGCTGCTCGCGCAGGACCATGCGGTCGTTGAGCTCCTGCTGGCGGTTCATCATGAGCTGGGTGAGCTCGAGGAGTTTATTGACATTGTCCTCGAGGCGCTGGAACCGGCGGCCGTCGATGAGGATCTGGCGGTCCACATTGGGAGGGCGGCCTGCGCCGTGGTGGTGAGGGGTGGGAGGCTGCTGGATGCCCATCCCCTGCTGCAAAGCGGCAGTGGCCGTGCTGGCGGCAACCTGCTGCTGGTGGAGTGCGGCCAAGTTTGGATCCATGAGCATAGACGGATGTGTAGACATCTGAAGAATATATGCAGAGAGAAGGCAGCCGGTACGGGTGAAGTACGTTGGGGATGTAGGCTGCGGGCTGTTCAGGGCGTTATTCTGGCAAGGACCCTGACCTGTTGCCCCCAGCTAGACCTGACCAAGGGCCTTTCTAGACGCCCGCCTCGAGCGTATGAACGAGGGAAAACGAGCGTGTTGCTGCGATGGGAGAAGTTCAGTCACGACGCGTTCCTGGATGACAGTGGTGGCATTTATCGCGATAAATGCCAAGGACCTGGCCAGTGGAAAACGCAGCTCATTTGAGCCGGCGATGGCCTGGATAAAATGTTAGAATCCAACACTGTTTGCGTCACAAAATCGTTGGACGATGATGTTGCTTGCATGGTGTTGGTCTTACCGAAATGGACGACGGGACAGGGCCCCCCTTCTGGCACCCTGTGAGAAAAAAGACGCGTCTTTCTAAGGTAGGATTTCTTGACGCGTGCGCTCTCTTGGGGGGGGGTATAAGGATAGATATCACCAGTGCGAGTAGCAGGCGTTGCGCGTGTGGTGGTTGGTTGGTTGGGTGAGGAAATACGGTATATAATTGACGCACTGGGACGAGGGTGTGGGTGGTTTGTGTAACAGAGAGGGAGGAGGGTGGGGTGGGGTTTGGGCAAAGTTCGCGGGGCTCGTTGAATTTGCAAGGTGCCTTGGTGCACGAATTGTACTATGGCCATAGCAACCTGTGGGAAACCCCTGGAGCTGGGAGCTAGGGCCATTTCCCCAGCGCTGGCTGGTCACAGCTTCAGGGCCCCACGTACTGTAAGCAAGTACTTAGTGGACATGATGACGACGTGCTGGCACTGGAATTCTCTGTAGCACGAAACTTCAGAGCACTGCAGATAATGGCATATAGTTCGTAAAGCTGCTACACTGGGGATATATAGTTTCCCCTATTCTTTTCTCAGACCTCAAAGATCTCCCCGATGCCTTCCCCTCCGCCCCGTCGTCCCTCGACCAGATCCAACCTCCAGCCCTCCCAGTTCTTCAGGCCCCTCTTGACCTCCTTGATCCTCTCGATCCTGGCCTTGGCTGCGTCCTCCTGTGCCTTCCTGAATGCTTCCTCGTCAAAGTCCTCGTCGTCATCTAGGAAGCCATCGTCATCATGCTCATGCCCGTACGCCTGCTGGCCGCCAGCACCCGTCAGGGCGTTGAGGCCGCTGGCGAAGAAATCCCCGAACCCGCCCTGCTGCTGCTTTCTGCTGTGGGGGCCATGTGGTCCCGCTCCGCCCAGATCCACGTTCGTAAAGTGCCCGCCGCCAGCCTCATCCATGCCGGGCTGCAGGTTCTTCCTTCTCTCCTGCCATATCCCCCTCTTCAGGTCTGTGTTCTCGGCCTCGAGCTCCCGGATCTTGCTCTCCAGCTTCTGCCTCTCCTCGTCCTCAAGCTCGTCCAGGTGGTCGTTATCCGTGCCGCCGCCGTCCTGCGCCTCCTTCTTGCTGAGCCGGAGCACCTCCGCCTCGGCCTTCTGCAGCTTCTTCTTGAGATCGACATTCTCGTCCTTGGCGCCCGCGAGGTCTGCTTCGAGTCGTTTGATCTGGCCCTCGTCCTCCTTGTGCAGCATTTCCAGCGACACGACCTTCTTCTCCAGCGCCTCGGTCATCAGCTGCGCCTCATCATGCGCGGACTTGGCCTCGGCACATTGCTTCTCCAGCTCAGCGAGCTTAGCCTCGAGCGCGGCAGAGGATTCTGAAGAAGTCGCTGCTGTTCCTTCCACAGCGCCCGTCGTTCCGATAGGTTCTGATGCTTCAGCGGCCGCGGCCGCCTCGGGCTCCTTCTCGGTCTCTGCGGGCGCGGGTGTTGGTGTGTCTTCCTCTGCGGGCGGTGCTTCTTCCTTGGGCTCGTCTGCGGCATCTGCAGCTGCGGCCTTCTCCTTCTTCGCCTTGGCCTCGGCGGCCTTCTTCTGGGCTTTCTTGCGGGCTGCCGCGAGACGCGCTTTGTCGTCAGCCATGTTTGCTTCGCGTTCGCTCAGATCTGGGCCGTAGTGGTTGTTGCTAGTGAGTCCAGTATGTATATGTGTATGTACGATGCTGCGAATTCGAAGCTCTCTAGCCGATGTGTAGGTTTACTTTCAGCTCCAGGAAGAATGTTTGCGTGTGCGTGTGTAGAGGCTGCTGTGGTATGCGAGGGAAGGGGAAGAGAACAAGGGGTTCTCTCTCAGATACAGCTAGGTGTTCATTACAGTTACGCGGTAAGCTACCAGTTTACAGGGAGGGACATCCCACACAGCAGCATGCCAGTAGATCCTACCCCCTACTCGCCTTGCCCAGCCAGTGAATGCGCCCCTCCGACCCCCCCCCCTCCCGGGCCCGGGGACGTCCTCTAGAGACTGAGTTAGTGAGCGAAGCCGTTCTTCCAGGGCATAAACCCAGGGGTGCCAGGGGTGCCTAGCCAGCGGCTACATGCGGCCCGCCCTTCAAGCCAGCACGGCAAGCTGCAAGGTTCAGCTTGCTCCCCCCCCCCCCCTAGTTTATCCCTATGATGGTCTATGCTGACCTCAAGAGATGCACGTTACTATGTATGATTCAGTAGGGAGTAGTATTGCATCACCAGCCGAGATACGTACCCCTCCCCCCATCCCCAACCAGTTTACCCCCTTCTTCGATAGAGCAGAGTCCCTTTCAGAAGAGCCCTTTTTTGTCCCTTCTTTTTCATGTCTTATCTATCTCTAGGACATGATAAATATTTCATGAGAGAAACAATTGATACCAATTGACTCGAATCTCAAAGAGAGAGAGAGAGAGAGAGAGAGAGAGAGAGAACGAAAAGCGAGGGGAAACAAGTCTGCTTGCTATCGCGACTTGGCAAGACACGACAGTGTCATTCGACCTAGACCCCAAACCCCGCCCCCTCTGTCTCTCGAACTCACCTGGTCTGGTACTTTCGTCGTACTTTATATACCACACATCAGGCGGTCAGTTACACACAATAAAAGGAAAACTCAAATCGGGAACCATTCATCTGCGTCCTCCCTCCCTTTCCTTCGCCGCCGCCCGCCAATCAGGATCGCCAGGTTCCTTCCCATTCCATCTTGAACCTCAAACCTGCGCATCCAGTCAACCAGCTGCCAGCCAAACAAACACGCCTCCTATACTGCCATTCCCAACCCGGTCGAAAGGAAAGAAAGAGGGAAGGGAAATCCTATTGCCCTCTCCTCCCTCCTCCTCCTCCCTCTTTCAGAAAAGGGCCCCTTAAGAAAGATGGCGAGCCTACCCTCGCAACATCCTCACCTCGCCCTACACCTATCCGACCGTGCCCTCACCCCGATCATCTCCTCCTCGAACTCCTCGCTCTCGACCAAAAAACAGCCGCAGCCGTCGTCCTCCCCATCCCTACAATCATCAAGACGTCCCCGCGCTGCCTTCTCCACCTCTCCGCCGTTCTCCCCCGAATCCAGCATCCCCAGCTCGGACGAAGACGACAACGACCACTCCTCCGCCGCAGGAGATGAGGAAGAAGGCGAGGAAGGAGAAGAAATCGACCCCCATATCCTTCAGTCTCTCTCCCTCGCGCACCTGACCACCACCGCCCTCGCCTCCTACGACACCGCGAAACGCCTCGACCACGGCGCCCCCTTACGAACCATGGTCGAGCACGCCGGCGCCGGGCCCGTCGTGCTGCACAGCTACCTGTGCCCCATGTCCCTAGCCCTCGGCATCCCGGGCCGGCCGCGGCGAGGCAGCGAGGGGAGCCTGACCACTGCTGTCGGCGCGGCGGGCTCGAGCACTGCGGGGCATAGTAGTGGCGATAGTGCTGCTGATGAGGCTGGCGACGTGCCAGTGGGGATGGGCAAGCTGGCTGCCGTCGACGGCGCAGAGGCAGATCCGAGATCCGAGAGACAACAGCCCCGGCAAGTTGCACACCTAGTCCTCGAGGAGAATGGTCTGGCAAAGAACAACGACGGGGATGACGATGGGGATGGCCCCAATGCGCCGCCGATGCTCATCACTACGGTAGTCGCTCCCGGCGCAGAGGAGATACGGGACGCGAGAAGAGCCGCGGGGAGATTAGAGAGGATAGCGAGGGTCTTCCAGACCGACTGGGCTGCCGAGGGTGGTGATGCGACGTGATACGGCCCCCCTGAGGAAATCACCCCGAGGGCGCTTGCCGGGGGCCAAAGATGAGGATGCGACTATATGGCCTCATGGGTATGGAATCGACAGAACAAGTCAGGACACAAAACAAAACAGAGCAAGCAAAAGGTGTGGTGGGAAGAAAAATAAAGGAAGGTTAAGTTAATGACGGTGTATGCCAGGACGGCCTTCTGTTTCTGTACATAAGTCGTCAATGTAGGGCGACGCCGTGTCCCTACATATTAATGTAATTATGCGGAGCACATAGGCCTCGTCCTGTTCGCAGGAGGCTCTGTTGACAATCACTCCTTCTCTTGCCAGCACATCACATCGTCTCACGTCCTAGCAGCACGTTGTGAAACAAGCGCGGCATGTACCTTCTGGTATGGTGTACATTAACTAGCGTAAACACATCAAAAAGGACAAAAACACTCTGTTCTATCTTTGAATTTCTTCCCATTCATAACTACTTTCTTTTCCGGGTACTCGTCACCGCCTCTACTCTCTCTCTCTCTCTCCCGCCTTCTTTAAATGATCTGCTTGAAAGCCCGGTTCAGAGGCGACCGGATGTTAGGAACGTCCTTCCAGAAGTCGATAGTGGCCTGAGCGCGCTTGACAACACCCTCAGGGGTGAACTCGAACTTCTTGTAGACATCCTTGTAGGCGCCCGAGGCACCGAACCGGTTCAGACCGAACTGCTCGTGTGTGTAGCGCTCCCAGCCCATGGTGCTCATCACCTCGACGGACAGGGAAGGAATGCCATCAGGCAGGACCGACAGGCGGTAGTCCTGGGGCTGGGCGTCAAACACCTCGAAGCAGGGTATGGACACCACGCGGGCCTTGATGCCCTTCTTCTCCAGCTCCTTGACAGCATCGATGCAGATGCACACCTCGGAACCGGTGGACACCAGGGTGATGTCGGCATTTTCGACATCATGCAGGACGTAGCCGCCCTTGATGGCCCGCTCGATGGTGGAGCTCTCGAGCTGGGGGAGGTTCTGGCGGGACAAGGCCATGATGCTGGGGGTGTGCTTGGAGGTCAGGGCAACGTAGTAAGCGGCGCTCGTCTCGTTGCCGTCGGCGGGGCGCCACACCATGCAGTTAGGGAGGGCACGGAAGTGGGCCAGGGTCTCGATAGGCTGGTGGGTAGGACCATCCTCACCAAGACCGATCGAGTCGTGGGTGGCGACCCAGAGGGTGCGAACCTGAGACAGGGCGGACAGGCGGACGGCACCGGCAGCGTAGGAGACAAAGTTGAGGAAGGTACCGCCATATGGCAGGATGGTGCCGTAGGCAGCCAGACCGTTGAGGATGGCACCCATACCGTGCTCACGGACACCGTAGCGGACGTAGCGTCCGGTATAGTCACCCAGGCCGGTGGCGGGAGGCTGGAAGTCCACAGCATCCTTCCACCTGGTCAGGTTGGAGCCAGTCAGATCAGCGGAACCACCAAACAGCTCGGGGATGACCTGGTGGATATTCTGGAGGACAATCTCGGACAGCTTCCGGGAGGCGACAGCGGAGTCCTTGGGGGTGTAGACGGGCAGGGACTTCTCCCAGCCCTCGGGCAGCTCGCCCTTCTGGCGGCGGACGAGGTCGTCGTGCTCAGACTTGTACTTCTCGCCATAGCTGGCGAAGAGCTTCTCCCACTCCTGCTCGGCAGCGGCGCCGGCAGAAGAGGCCTTGCCGCAGCGCTCGTACACCTCCTGGGGCACGGCGAAGCTCTCCTCGGGGTTGAAGCCCCACTTCTCCTTGAGCTGCTTGATGTCGTCGGCCTTGAGAGCGGAGCCGTGGACACTGTGGGTGCCCTGCTGCTTGGAGCCGAAGCCGATAGTGGTGTGCAGCTTGATGATGGTAGGCTTGTCCTTGACGGACTGGGCCTCCTTGATGGCGGCCTCGATGCCAGCAAGGTCGCTGTCGCCATCAGCGACGGTAATGACCTGCCAGCCATACGACTCGTATCGCTTGACGACATCCTCAGTGAAGGCCTGGTTGGTGTCACCGTCGATGGAGATGTGGTTGTCATCGTAGATGGCAATCAGGTTGCCCAGCTGCAGGTGACCGGCGAGGGAGGATGCCTCGGAGGAGACACCCTCCATCAGGCAGCCATCACCCAGGAAGCAATATGTGTAGTTGTTGACCAGCTCAAAGCCGGGCTTGTTGAACACAGCGCCGGTGTGGGCCTGGGCCATGGCGAGACCGACGGCATTGCAGATACCCTGGCCGAGAGGACCAGTGGTCACCTCGATACCGGGGGTGTCGTGAGCCTCGGGGTGGCCGGGCGTAATGCTGTCGACGCTCTAGACGTGCAAGTTAGCAAAAGAGGGAGACACATCACTTTAGGATCAAGTAGGTGCGAGGCCCGAAAAATAACTTACTCGGAAGGCCTTGAGGTCATCGATGGACAGGGCGTATCCGTAAAGGTGAAGCAGAGCATACTGGAGCATGCAGCCGTGGCCGTTTCTGTTGTGGTGTGTTTCAGGGTTAGACGAAAAATTATGAACTGCCATGATACATTTGGGCTGTTCGATCACGGACGGAAATTACCACTTACGAGAGGACGAAGCGATCACGGTTCAACCACTTGGGGTTCTTGGGGTTGAACTTTAGGAACTTGTTGAAAAGAACGTGGGCAACGGGTGCCATGCCCCTGAATGAAAACATCTGTCAGTGGCCGTCTTCTGTCTCTTCTTCCTTGCCCGCCAGTTCCTCGTTTTCTTCTCCCTCTGTCTTGCACAACCTCAGGTCGACAAGATATCCCGTAGCTCAAATCAGGGTAGGGAAACGTACATAGGGGCACCAGGGTGGCCTGAGTTGGCATTGAAGGTCGCGTCGGCCTATAGAACACATTTTGGGTGAGCAATTGATCTATTTTTTTTGAAGCTGAAGCCTGCATGATGAGTTCTGTTCCCTCTCTCATGAACCATCCTCGTGGATATCAGGCAATCAGAGGGGGCAGGCTGTAGTTGTGGCCCAATCAAGCTTATGCCCTGCCGGGTTTTTTTCTCTCTGGCGCTCTGTCTCTCGCTCGCGATGCGGGGTAGTGAGGGAAGATGCTCCGGACAGGGGATGCTAATAAGCAGGAGAGACTTACGGCCAGCACCCGAATGGTGTTGATGGTCAGATCGTCTGTCTTATCGTAACCCATCTTGTCTTGCGGATCGAGTGTCGAAATTGAGCAAAAAAAGGAATGGGGGTTATTTGGGGGTTGTATTTTGGAGGAGGTAGGGTGGAAGGTCGGGAGGGAAAGAAATGATGAAGACGAGCACTGGGGTAGGGAAAACGGTTGAGTTTGTCTGGCGCGGGAAGGCGGGATATATTTCTGCGGCAGGAGCTCTCGTTTCGTCATACCCCTGTGCCGGTGCCCATCTTTCAGTAGTTGAGGCGACTTCTTTGGATTTTTGGTGGGTAGGCCACGCTCTCCGGTTGCTATGCGACTCAGGGTACAGGTGGTGAAGCACTGGCATCACTGCCCCTCCCTGACACCCTGACACGCCCTCTGACGCCCGTCCTTGGCCCCTCCAAAGTGGAGCCCTGACGACCCCTCAGATAGCAACTCGAGTCGAGCTCACTGTACTATGCTCGCTGTAACTTTCTCACCCTCTGGCCCAAGAACGTGTCACTCCATCAGGTTCCAGGTACCATCCATGTACCCCACCCGCTGTGGTGGACTGCCACCGCTCAAAACTTTTTTTTTTTTTTTTGTTGCCGCGCGGATCTATCGGAATCGACGTCATAATCAATATACATCATTTCTGTAGAGTCAATATGTTTTTGGTATATATGTGTATATATATATATACCTGGTACTTCCGATATGGCTGGTGAGCCAACCTTCTTTCTATTCCGTCTAATCATGTTTCATTATAGAACTACGATACACGCCCAGTGTCCTGACACGGGTATACTATCGTGGTACATACTTCATGGCTCCTGAGACCCGAGTCCCCGGCATGGCGGGGTAGCAACGTACCGCACAGTCAGACGTCAAAATGTATACAAAAGAGGGACCCTGCTAAGGATGGAATCTCAGTTGTCAAAATCACCTCGGGGCTTACACACCGCTTTTGCTCTCTCCGGATGATCATTTCAGGCATGCCGGTGTCGCCATGGCATGAACATACTTGGCATACAAAAACTCATCACCGTCACGAGGCGTGATCATTACTGCCCCGGTATCATCACCTCTCGGCTTCTCTCACCCCACTACCACGTTTGCCCCCTTCCCCCTTCTCGAGATACCAAAGTGGCGTGAACATGCCATGCTTTTGGGCAGGCTAGCATACATGGCACTGAACTACTGACGGCATGTGCTGATGACCGGTCACCTTTTTTTTTTCTTTTTTTCTTTTCCAACCCTCTCTTTTTTTTCTTCTGGTCGGTGTCAACTGGTGCGCGATATTGTTGTTAGGTCGAGTCTCGACCTGAACCCCGGACCGACGAACAAGTAAGTCCCTTATCCGCCGCTTAGTTCCCTTACTCGCCTATTTACCGGGTAAATTCAAGCCGCCACTCCCGTCCGTGTACTGCAAATGCAAATAGGTGCCTTAGCGCGCCGAGCAGAATCTCGTCAGGATAGACGTCGAAGGTTCAAAGAGCAGAAGAGGAAGAAGGGAGGGAGAGGGAGAAGGATCAGAACAATCTGATCACCTGTTTTAGAAACATGTCTAGCTACCGGAGTCGTTGATTACAGATTTCGTCCGTCGTCATGTTACCCGGATCTAAAAGTAGGGCCGACTACTGAAGTATGTGTGTATGTTAAAGAAAGAGGTGGCGTTTGTGCTATGGTATGCAAACACGAAGCGCCATCCCCCGTCCGCCCATTCTTCATCTTTCCCGTCCCCAAGCTGGCAAATCCAATATACTGGCATCACTGCACATCTCGCCACATAAAAGTAATAGCACTGGAGGCCGAGTACAAACAAATCCCATTCGTCTGTTGAAGAGGCATTCTAAAAATTGAGATTCACGTCGGGGCAATAGGTGGCCCTGCATACTTGGTAACAAACTGGGTATTCATCCCCTGGGGTATAAGGCCACCAACGCCAATGATGCTCCCCGAACACCGTGCCATATGACCATCCAAAAGGACTGAACCATACTCAATAACAAATCCAAGAAACAAAAGAAAACAGCCAGCTGCTTGAGGCAAATACGTAGGACTGCGCCGAACCAGCTAGGATGGCTATCACTTAGACGGCCGGCTGAGACACGCTCAGGGCTACGCTGATGGTCGCCTGCATGGCCTGCAGCTGTGTACGCATGTCGTTCGCGTTGCGAGTCGCCTCCTGAAGCTGCCGCCGCAGGTCCTCATTCTCTTCACGAAGCCTGTCATTTTCCTCTTGGAGGAACCTCTCCCTGCTGCTGGGAGGGCCTTCCCCCTGGTCATCGTCGGCGCGCTTCCGTTTGTGATTGCTGTCAGCCTCACTGCCCATCGTCACTGTCTGCACGGGGCTCGGGATCGCGCTGATGACTGCAAATGCGGCCGAGGCCACGTCGCTGTTGGTATCGTCGTCGTGATGGTGGCCCGGCGTGCTGGGCCCGGCGGACGGCAGCCGATGGCAACGGCGCAGGTGCTCCTGGAGGTTCTCGGTGCGCGAGAAGCCTTTGCCCGTGTTGCGTTTGCACGAGGAGTGTGGGCAGTTCAGTGCCTTTTTGGGCCCGCCGTGTTTGCCGTGAACCTCGCGCTCGTGGCGGAGCAGTCCACCGCTATAGGTGAAACCTTGCACCTTCTCGCAGCCCTTGACGGTACAGACGTACGGGCGCTCATGTTTGTCCATGTGCTTGCTCCACTCGCACCTGCGCTGAAACGTCTTTGCTGCCTCCTTGCAGTCCTCCCAGCTGCACTCGAACAGGCCGTCCCGGTTCTTTGTCGCGACCCGGTTGGGCTTTGATATGGGCTTGCTGCGGGACGAGGGCGGGTGTGTAACGTTGGTCACGCTAAGGAGAACGGGCGAGGAGTCGCGGATAGGAACGTTTGCTGGGTCCACGTTTGGCGGTGCGACCGGCCCCAGATCAAGGGCCGCCGAGTCGGATGTATTGAAGGGTGACGGAGGGCCATCGCCGGGGGCATAGGCTACGGCGGCAAGATCGGCCATGTCTTCCACGTTTGCCTCGGTATTGATGTATTTGTTGATATCAGCATGATCATGGTCGTGATCGCCCTCGCCGACTGGGGCGTAGGGGCTGTCATCGTGGAAACTCCTGGGTTCGTCGTATGCGACGCTCATATCGAAGGATTGACTGCCGGCGGGCGTGTATGTGTGCGTGCGTGCGCGTGTGTAAACGAGGATCGTAATTACTGTAAGGAGAGGTGGGTGGGTTACGAGACCCAACTCAGGTGTGTGGGGAGGGGGGGGATCAATCACGTCCAGGAATTCGGGTACTTTCGGTCCAGACCCGTACCAGCCCTCCTAGGGGGACCAGCTGGGGCCGAAGTGATCGTGTCTGCTCGAGATTTTTGTGATGTAGGTATGTATGAGATGCGGGCGTTATTGTCTTTGCAGACACTGGGGTCCAGAGCCAGAGCTGAAGGCCGCGTCTGTTGTTCGTTGTCGGGAGGCAAGAAAAGACAGAGAGAAAAACACGAGATCTGGTGACGACGATGAAGCCTTCCAAGAGAAATGCAATGACCCCGAAGTCAAACGCCTTGGAGAAGAAATGTCCAATCACAACCCGCAAGCTGGGTTAAGGTGTGGCCCGTGCTGACGCTAAGAACGGGATTAGATAAGGAACCAAACAAAATATGCAGGTCAGAAAGAGTCGATGCCAAGGGCAGGGAGAAAACGCCTTCTAGAAGAATAGATCATTATTCCAGTACTTCTTGGCGGCAGTCATCCCACCCTCAAGGAAGGAGGCCACGTCGCAGCGAAAGATGAGGTGGGACGCGGCCATCTGATATAAGAAAACAAGACGAGAGGCAGAGAGATGACTCCATCATCCCAACCCGAGGCGGGCACTGGGGTACGTCGGGGCAGGGGGGGCAACCTGAGATGGGCAGTGTGAGTCATGCCCCAGCAGGCGAGCGGGCGTTGTTAGGCAGGGCCAACAGCGACCAACCATTTTACTCTACTTACCTCGTTTCCTCCCTCGTTGGCGATTTTTGCATCTATTCGAGGCACGGACTTGTGCACAATTGTATGCGGCAGCGATGCCCTGGTGGCTGGTTGTCCGAGCTGTCAAAAGGGCTGGTCAGGTCATACAAGATGGTCGTCCCACCACATCATGCATGCAGCCTTGCCTGCACAGCCACGATGGCACAGATGGGCAGGACCCCCAGCAAATCCAGGTCATGCATGCCTAACCCAAACCGCCAGGCAATGATGAGGCACGACCGGCCACGTGTGGCGGCTCTAGATTGAGGGCGTGGCCTGTAAAACCTGGCCGCCACTCCCGATCCTCTGGGAACCCGTTGACACTCGCAATGTAACGAATCGCCAGATGCGGCCCGTTTCTTGACCTCGAGGTTGACTTCCGAACAACCCAACCGTGCTCGATTAGGAGATATCTTGTCCGGGCCGCAGCCTGTTGAAACGGTGTTCCGCTGTCCACTCGGCACCGGACTGAGAAGCCTACCGAGACAAGCCTCCCTTCCCCCCAAGGTCCGAGCAGGCCCCAGGAGGGAGAAGGGAAGAAAATAAAAACAAAAAATAAAAATAAACATTTGCACCCCAGATACATGAGGCTCATGCTGCGGAGAGGAAGCCAGGCGAAGAGGCCGCTGAGCCCAACCAGACATCGGGCGAGGCGGGCGCACCTTGCCCGTCTTTAGACGGGCCAAATCTCCTCACAGGCCAGAGAACGAAGAAGTTCCCTCCTTCCCTCGGCTTGAGCAGCTGGCAGCCTGGCGGCGGCGGCAAGGGGGAGAAATGGTGAGATTCTGAGGACTGAGATCACCTGGCCGAGTGACGCGTGGGTTGAGAAACGTAGTTTGGTCATCCATCACATGGTAACTCCAGACGAGAGTCGGCACTTTCTCAAATAGTAAGGGGAGAAGAGAATAAAAACTGCACAGTAAGACGCCGAGGTACAATTATTTGCACCGTGAAACAAAAGTACTGTCCTGGCGCGGGTCCAGTCCGATCTCTCGTGCAAGGCAGCAGCCCAAATCACAATGTTGAGAGCCCGCTTGCGCGTACCATCGTGACTCAGGATTGATCGTCACCGACCCTGAAGCTGGCGTTCTCAAGTAGCGGGCGGGGGAGGCAGGCAGGGAACGGAGTATTGCTCCTTGCCAAGGCTTGCTGAACCACCTCCTTGAGATCGTAGTGTTGTCGCCAGCGTGCCCGGATACAGTAAGCTCATCGCGGGTGACTCGTTCCGGTGAGAGAGAAAAAAGGAGAAAAGGAGACAAAGCGAGAGGGGAGAAAAGAGGGCAAAAAAGAAGAGAGAGGGGGTGGCACATGTGCTCTCATGCGGCGAAGTAGGACCAGATATGCCCACCACTATGGCAGCACGCGCCTAATCTGGGCATACCCCTTCGAGGAATATTGAAAGAAAAAGGTAAGGCGCATGGTTGATGACGTTTATGTTTGTAGTATGACTCTATCTAGGCAAGCATCTTGAAAGCCAGGAGGAGCAGGATGAGTGATACGTGGGTCGGGAGGCCTTGTTGGCTTTGGCCTAAGTCCGCGGGGAAGGGTGATCAAGGCATCTTTGCATCTGACTTTGGGATGCTGGCCTAATAGCCTTACGGATGACTTGCTTTTTGAGCCTCAGGCCTCAAGTCTTTTGCCACGTCCAGTCCCAAGCTTCCGTTATCGTATCTGCCTATGGTTCCAGCATCTTAGCTTATCAGAATCATTAAGCTCCCAATTAAACCTACCACGCAATTGTAGCCCAGAGTCACTTCAACTGGTGCAGCAGCTCAGTTTCCCTGTCACCGCCGCCCATGGTCATAATTATATGACAATTGCTAGTTCTGGTAGGGGAGAAAAAAAGCAGCTATTGTGTGCCGTCTCGCCTTCTAGCATCGGACTGGCAATGTACACCAATTCGTCTACACACTAGAATGCGTATCATCGATAAACAATGCGTGCTTAATTTTTCCACTTCTTTTTCCTTCTTCCATCCCTCTCTTCCTCCTCTCAGATCCCCTTTCCTCTGTTGTGCCGTTCAAGAGTCTTTCATTTTATAGCTTCTAGTTATTTGCTTGGACTCTGAGACCTCTTCGAAAAACGAAAGACGTCATAGCCATGTACATATAGCAGTCCTTCTCATAAAACCACCATACTCGTGGCAAAGTGTCGATGTCACAGACTTTCTGGGAATCAAGGAAGAAGAAAGATCAGAATATCAGCGGGAGGAAGGCACAACTACCAGGGCCAAATCGCACCACATGATTTCCCTGATGAATAAAAACAGTAGTCAATTTGATAACCCCCCCCCCCTTCTTTTCTTCTTCGTCGGCTGGAGTGGTGTTCTTTCTTCAATATGATAGGACCAGCGCCCATCGTCGACTGGTTGGGGAACTATTTCGTATGTTGATGTAGGCTCCGGCTCCACTTCCGGAGCCAGCCTCAACATTCTAGCCTCGGCCACCGACGGGCCAAAGGCACTAGTATCATGGCAGATATCAATTTTTTTTCTTCTCTTTTTTCTTCTTCTTGCTGTTCTGCCCCCCTTCCATAATTGCATTTGTGACACTTGTAACGTCTCACAATCTGCGAGTCTACCTCACGCCAGCTTGGTCTTTCTCTCGAAGCTTCAACGGCCCTCGCTGACGTCCAATTCATTATTGCTCCGGTATCGCTCAAGCCTGAAAAGACTGATAGCACACTCCTCCATTGCTCTATAGTCGAAGTATGGCAGAGAGAGTCACAGGGCCCCCGGCGAGGGGCGACAACAAATATCCAGCTGAATACACCAGCGATGACCCAGAGCAGCAGCAGCAGCAGGTCGTCGATCCTTCTGCTGCTGGGCAAGACTATCCAGTGGAGAGAGTAGAGGCGGTCTACAGGAAGCTGGACCTCCGCATCATCCCAGGTTCGAGACACACTCCCAAATGCGCTCCCCTTTGAGTCCTCCTTGATATGAGAAGGGACATCCATGGTGGGCTAGCAAAGCTGACAAGACCCGGCCAGCTTTCTGGGTCCTGTACTTCCTCTGCTCGGCCATCCGCTCCAACATCGGCCTGGCCCAGACCATGAACGCCACGCAGGGCCACGACCTGGAGCAGGTTCTGCATCTCACGCCCAAGGACGTCTCGACCGCACTGGCTCTCTTCTATGTCTCGTATGTCATCTTTGACTGCCCGTCCAACCTCGTCATGAGCCGCCTCAGCCCCCGTGTCTGGATGGCCCGCATCGTCCTCGCCGTCGGCATCATAGGCATGTGCTTCGCCGCCGTCAAGGCCGCCTGGAGCGTCAAGCTCCTGCGCTTCCTGCTCGGTGTCGTCATCGCAGGCATGTGGCCTGGCATGTCGTACTACCTGACCCTGTTCTACCCGCCCTCGAGGACGGGCAAGCGTATCGGCATGTACTTCAGCGCGGCCCAGATCTCAGCCGCCGTCGTGGGACTCGTGTCGGCCGGTTTTCAGAAGATGGACGGCATTCGTGGGCTCGTTGGCTTCCAGTGGATGTTCATCGTCTACGGCGCACTCGCTGTAGTCCTCGCTATTGTGCTCCTCTGGTGGCTCCCCGACCGACCCCTCCCGCCTGGCGAGAGGCGTGTTAAGAAGGGCCTGATGCGGTTTCTCCCAGCGCCACCCGAGGCTCTCAAGGGCGAGGATGCTCTCGTGCACTACCAAGACCTCAGAAGGGTCTATCACCCTCGGCCGTGGGCCTGGAAGGACCTAGGCTACGTCCTGATCGACTGGCGCCTCTGGCCGCTGGTCTTGATGTATTTTGGCGTCGTGGGTGTCGGCATCGGAACCCAGCTCTACGGAAACGTCATCATCGCCGCCATCAACCCAGAGTACAGCGACATCGAGGTCAGCCTGCTATTTGCGCCCATCTGGATCGTAAGTCTACTTGTCACTCCAATGACCAGCCCTTCCTTTTTCTGTAGTAAACCCCCTTCCCAAATAATCATGACAGGCTGGCTGACCATTTTCTCAAGATGGACTTTTGCGCCATCCTCATCGTCACGCCCATCTCGGACCGTTTCCACCGCCTGCGCCCGATCTTTTTCTCCTGTGCAGTCCTTCTGCAGATCGCAGGCCTCCTCACCGTCACCTTTGCCCTCGGCAACTCGTGGGCCCGCTACGGTGGCCTCTTGATGGTCGGGTTTGGCCTGGGCCCCACGGTGCCCATCTGCATGACCTGGACCAACGAGATCTTTCAGCGGCGCCATGGCGAGGTCGGCGTTGCCGCTGCTTCGGCACTCGTTTCCGGACTGGGCAACCTCGGCAGCATCACCACTACGTACGCCCTGTACACCGGTTGGCCTGCCGACGCGGCCAGCGGGCCGTATCAATACCGCAAGAGCAACTTTGTCATGATTGGCATCCTGTGTGTCAGCATCGTCAGCAGCTTTGCCATGTGGCTCCTGCTGCGCGCCTTTGGCAACAAGCCCAGTCACAAGATCTCGAGCAGCGGTAGCTCGACCACCGACTCGGTGGACGACTTCCAGGACGGGGCTGCGCGCCGTGAGCTCCAGCAGCGCGGCTTTGGCAGGGTACGATGGGGCCGGAGGTCCTAGATCTTCTCCCATCTTCCCTCCGTTCAAGCCAACATGCAGTGTCTCTTGGGAAAAAGCGGTGTGATCCCAGAGCCACGGCTGGATGCGATTATTCAACCACGACAAGTTGGTCCCCTCAACGCCACGACCCCCATTCCTCCCGCCTCGGTCTAACGACACGTACACCCAAACTTATCCTTCTAACTTACATCAAAGCCTCGCTTCTCTGGTCACTAAGCAAAGGACGTGCTAGTTGCCTACTGGCATCCTTCGCGCGTGATTACGAGATGATGGGGTGGTTGATGTCCCATTCTTTGGGTTATTGTTCCTTTTTTCTTTTCTTCCCTTGGCGTTCTTGATTTGTTATTTCAGTGATACCCCATCCGTGTTCGGATTACGCTGTCTGCGCGAAGGTTCCAACCTTGACGGCCTTACATGACTACACCGGCCCGTCCTCGCCACTTCGACAGCGACAGTGCTTCTACGCCATCGCTGAGACGGCGTTATCGTCTGACACGGGAACTGGCTGGCGACAATGCTCCTGCGCTATCGCACTTGGTCTTTTCTCGTGGGCGTTGCGTTCGTTTGTGGCTTGTCTATTTACCAAATCTGCCCTGGTTATATACATATATCTATATATTTTTATATATGTGCATGTATGTATTTACATGGTGGTACAACAAAAAAGGAGGTTCCGAAGGAAGCAGAAGCTCGGCCAGTCGGTGAATGCTAGTATTTATAGATGTCTCCATATATCTTTTTGATAGGATCTGGATACCTGAATTATATCGACTGGCACCCTCCCAACTTGTGCTCGAGAAGTACCTGGTAATTAAGTGCTTGGTAGGTATGACGTGAAAATCATTTAGCGAATTCCGCCCTGCCTCTGCGGCGGGCGTCGATCAGCTGCAGGTTGTCAATAAGCCGACAAATACTACACTTCTTACCGCATCGTCTTACAGTTCCCACCCAGTTCCCTTTGGTGTTTACGCCTCGTGTTGTCACGATGGTCATGCCCATCCCATTGTGCCTTGGCCTTGTGATGTGGTGTAATATGGTGAGCCCCAAATACTGCATCAGCCCACTGGGGAGTCCGCCGTACCGCTCGTGACTCCATGAAGCCTGCATTGAAAAAAGGGGAACGGAAATTTAAAGTCGGTGAGATGTGTAGGAGGCCGGGGGGGGGGGGCTTGAACTCAGCAAAGGGATGGTTTTTGTGGTTGGTAAGTTTTCTTATTCCAACTCAATCAAAAACAGGGAAAGAAAAGACAAGGGGAGAAAGGTGGAACGAACAAACCAGGGCAGAAGATCATCAGGAGCCGAGTCTGGTGTGAAAGAGAAGCGCCCGTGAATGCGCGCCTGTACAAGTTGTATTCCTTTAACATGACAAGAACAGGCCATTAGAAAAACTGAACCATATTCGTAACAAAAGTAAACCAAGAAAGAAATGAGCAACAAGGAGAAAATAAACAAAAGATTAGACAAGACGAGGCTATCAACGAGAGGCAATCGGGGGTCCCGAAGACAAAAAGAACAAAAGGAGAGAACAAACACAAAAAGAGAATCGAAGTATCGACGGGAATTGAGCCCGACGTGGGGGTCGAACCCACAACCTTGAGATTTCAGAATCGGAAACTCTGTAAGAGTCTCACGCTCTACCGATTGAGCTAGCCGGGCGCCGGTGAAGGCGCTTGTTGAAAGCATGTGTGGGCAGGGAGCTCATAATGCCATTTTGTTGGTCTGGCAAGGCTGGGTTGGGTGCATGACTTGGTTCGGTGACCGACTCAAGAGCAAGTCTGTTGGCGCCAACCCTACCTGCGATGAGCCACACCAACCCTGCGACGGGCCAAAAAGAAGTTTGTTCCATTGAATTGTTTTTTTGTTCTTTTTTAGGGGGGCGCTGGCTGCGCGATTCAGGCGGTTGCGCGGGCGGGACGGGTTACGACGATTGTCTCACGTCAACCATCCACTTTCCTCCTGCCAAAATTGCTCGGTTCGCTCCACTGCTCTTGTGGACTTTATAGAGCTTGATGGGGACTTGTTGTTTCTTGTTTAGCATGGTGTATCATTAGGCAGCCCCGAAAAAAGAGGAAGAAAAAGAGAAAGGATGGCGAAGAGGGCACGGCACGCATGGATACGATCAGAGTGGAAATGATAAGACAGAACTATTGCCTTTCGGCCAGCGGTCAAGGTTTGAGACGTGGACTTCCGTATAAAACGTCGTTTGGAAAGCTGGAATTTGTCAGAGATGACAGGTCTCGCCTACTCTAGGGTGACCTTGCCGAGACCCGAATGCACCGTACCAATGAAGGTTCTGCAGATAGAAGGAAAAAAGGAAGGAGAGTGGCCAGTCAGTCCAGCGGCCAAGAGCAGCCAAGAAAGAGCCAAGAGGGGGCGGGGGAGGCCCCAACGAGGTGATGTTGTTGAAGGAAAGTTTGGCACCTGAGCTTATACGCATGTGACGTTTATTTTGCCCAAGTAAGTTCACTGGGGCGTAGATCAGGGGAGCAATGGGAAAGCGAGGGGAAGGGGGGCTCTTTTGGAAGCAGTTGGATGTGGATATCCCGGGAGCGCGCGCCTACTCCTTAAGGCGCGCGCCCAGCGTGACACGCACTATGATGTTATAGGACCTAGCTTGCGAAGTTCCCTCCCATGTGTTTCCGAAGGAAAAAAATAAATCAGCCGGGCCGGGAGAGTCGTCTGATGGTTGGGCATGAAACTTATTTGTATATAGTTGAGGCTCTTGAAACGGCACAAGGGACCCAAGGAAGAAAAAAAAAAGAAGATGTGTGGTTCACACACACAGCCTGCCTGTCTAATCCAACCAAAACCAAGGACGAGAAGGGAAAAGCACGAGCAAGAGGGAGAGGGGGGAGAGAGACATAACATACGTACTGCCTTTTGCACCAGGAGGTCACGTTGAGGCACCTCGCCTTTATCTCTAACTTATGGAGTCTATTATTTTAATGCATCCCATGGTCCCTTCTCAGCATCCTTCCTGTCGACTCCTGGACTTAAAGAAGATGTCTGAAGAAGGAAGGCTAGACTTCGGCCACGACACATATGGCCAAGGCTCGGAGCCGAATGCGGCATCGGCTCCGGGTCCGGCTCCAGATCCTGGCCCAGTCCTCGGGATTGACCCGCCGGGGATCAACCACCGAGCAGACATCGCCAGCACGACACCAAACTTCCAGCTGGATTCATATCTGGACTTTTTATCAAGCCACTCGTGAGTTCACCGGCCGCTCTCTATCTCCCTGTCTCCTCTTCTTGTTTCCCAAGCTGCACCCCTTCTTCTTGTTCTTCCTGTCCCCCTCTCGACTCACCACCCAGGTCAGAATCGGACTGGACCAGCTGCGGACCATGTCGTCCTCCTCCGAGACTCCCAACCCCATGGCCGGCCTGTCAGAACCACCTGCCGTCTCCGTCATAACCCTCGCCATCACCGGTATTGTTGTCGATGTGTACGGCTTGGAGGAGGTTCCCTCGTCACTGACGCACGTCTCGGTGCTATGGCTTCACAACCCTCGGCTGGGCGACAGAGGACGCATGGCTCCCATGGCCAAGCGCACTGTGGGCGAGTACAACAAGACCAGGCCTGCCGGGTCCACACGCGGCTTGCTAGCAGTTGCTTTTGGTATGTTGCTGTCCTACTCCTTCTTCTTCTTCTTCTTCTTCTTCTTCTTCTTCTTCTTCTTCTTTCTCTTCTTCTCGCTGACCACGCCGGGCAGACCAGCGCAACCACGGCTCCCGCGAGGTCCACCACCTCGCCAACCTGGCCTGGAGGGAAGGCAACACCCACCACGCCCAGGACATGTTTGGCGTGGTCAACGGCACGGTCGTCGACACGCGGCTCCTCATCGACGCCCTGCCCGGGTACCTCTTCCTCGAAGCCGCGCCGCGGCAGCCCGAGTTCGACCAGCACCTGTGCCTCGGCGTGTCGCTGGGCGGCCACTCCACCTGGCAGACCCTGTTCGCCGAGCCCAGGGTCACCGCGGGCGTGAGCATCATCGGCTGTCCCGACTACCAGCTCCTCATGACCGACCGCGCGCGCCTGTCCAAGCTGTCGACGTACGACGCCGGCGGGTTCCTCGGCAGCAAGGACTTCCCGCCCGCCCTGGTGGCCCAGTGTGCGCAGTACGACCCCAAGGGGATCGTGTTTGGCACCCAAGATGTCGTCGTGGAGTCTCCGCTCCCGGAGGAGAAGCAGGCCCAGGTGCGGAGGGTGCTGGACAGGCATGTGAAGGGCAAGAAGTTCCTGCTGTGCACCGGTGGGGATGACAAGTTGGTCCCCTGGCGGTGCTCCGAGCCGTTTACCAACTTCTTTGTGAACGCGGCACAGACGTGGTACAGGGACTCTGGGCTGAGCGTGGACAATCGTATCTATCCGGGACGAGGCCATGAGTGTAGTGACGAGATGGTCGTGGACGCGGTGAGGTTTGTGTGTGAGGTTGTGAACGGTGCTGAGACAGGGCCGGTGGGATCTAGGATTTGAAAGATTTCGAGGGGGGAGCGGCTTACACCATACGCCCTGGATGATTCACCGAGAGCAGATTGAAAAGAAGATGCTCTTATTCTACTACAGTAGTCAAGACAGAACAGAGAGAGAGAGGGAGAAAGAGATGCCTCTCGTTTCCATCTCACCCAATGCTATCCTTCCAAGCCTCCCCATGGCCTCACTTCCCCGTCGACCAGTACTTCCTCCTCTCCATCATCCACAACCTCCGTTCCAATCCCACTCTTCCTCCTCTCGTCCTCATCCAAGAACAACGCCTGCGACACCCTCCACGGGTTCCGCCTATGCCTCTTCCCCTTCAGCCCCGCCGACTGGCCCTGCGGATCCCGCAGCCATTCCTCCACCGCCCGCTCCTCGTTCTCCACCACCTCGGGCACGCCAGGCGGATTGATCCCAACGAACCTCACCCTCTCCAGCGGGAACCCCAGCGCGGCACAGTGTGCGGAAACGAGACGCCGCCTCTTGAACGCGTGGCTGACGATGGTGAGGTGCGTGGGCCAGTGTGCGTAGTGGTCGCCGCACGACCGCCAGAAGTGGATGAGGCTGAACAGGATGTTCTGGTATGAGTCGAGGGCGCGTTCTTCTACCAGGATACGTGGGTGGGAAAGTGAGATGCGGGAAAGTGCATGCGTAGAAGAAGAAGAAGAAGAAGAAGAAGAAGAAGAAGAAGAAGAAGAAGCTGGTGGTGGGTTGGATTCGAGTGTGATTGGGAGGATGTCCCAGTATGAGTTGGCGGCGGCAAGGTCTGCATAACTACGACCTTCTGAGAGGGATGTTTTCGAGACAGTGGGGCCTCTTGGAACCTGTGAGCAAAGAGAAAAGAGGAGAAGGGATTCTCTTGTTTCCGAGTATGGGGTTTAGTTCACACACCCTGAGAATATCAGCACGGATCGGTCATCGTCGCGCAACGCTCGTAGGCCAGCTTTGATGTGTTCCGTGTACGTAGGCGTTTCGCCCTTTTTCCAGCTTTCGATAATCCACTCAGACTCATCCTGGCCTTTGGTAGGGCCTCCAGCCCAGATTGCATGGCAGCAGACAATGATCAGGTGGTTGGGGGCCTCCATGGATTTTCACATTCCAAGCCGTGAGCAATACGCAGACTCGACAAGTCGTCGTAAACTGCAGATTGGACGCTCGGAAATTGCTTGCAAAAGGATGTTTGAGAAAGGTGACCAATCACGTCACACCATGTGACAGGGAAGTTTGAGGTAGAGGTATACGAGTAAGAATATATATTATGTAGATAATTTAACTTCCTTCGTTCTTTTTTTTTTTTTCCTCTTTTCAAGTTGGAGGGGGAGGGCTCGAATTTAAGTCTCTACTGCGCATGTACCGCAACAGGTCAGAGACCAGATACAAGCTTCCAGCTACCACCACAGGCTGCCCTTTGCAGGGCGCTGCCTCCAGCACTACTTTTCCTATATTGTCCTGGGAATCATCCTCACTTTCGAAAGTCGTGGCTCCAAATCTTGCCGCGACAGCCATAATATTCTTTGGATCTTGCGGCCTCACCCACGGCATGCCAGCAACCGGTCCAAACCGCACGGCAGTAACGAGGTCACTCGGCCTGATCAGGACCTCCAGTATTCCACTGACATCTTTCCCTGCAGAGGCTGCGAGCACCCAGGTCACAGGCTGTTGTCCATCATCGCCGCGCATCTGACGGTTTACGTAGTGCGCCAGCACCTCTGCCGACTGTACATTATGTGCACCATCGAGAAGCATCTTGGTCCCATCCCCATCGAATCTCTGCAGCCGCCCTGGAATGTGGGCTTGCTTGGCAGTGAGGAGGATCTCTCCGAGCGAAGTAGACTGCTCCTTTGGACAGGCCAGGTGGTAAGCTTGGAGGGCACTCACGAGATTCTGGGCTTGATGAGGCTCGAAGCCCTCCGAGGCCAACAGCGCCGCCTCCGCTGGTGATGGAGACGCGTAGACGATGCGGGCCCCCGCGGCCTTCGCATGCTCCTCAATGGCACGCAGCACAGAGGGCTGGTTGCTCTCGTCCACGACACAAGGGACCTCGCCCCGCATGATGCCGGCCTTCTGGACAGCAATTTCCTCAATGGTATTGCCGAGGATGAACTGGTGGTCTAGGCCGATCTTGGTAATGACCGTGACCGCCTTGTGCTTGAGGGCGTTGGTGGCATCCAGAGCACCGCCCATCCCGACCTCGATTACGCCAAACTCCACATCTGCGCTGTTGAGAATCTCAAAGGCGGTGGCGGTGAGCAGCTCGAACTCGGAGGCCCCGATCTGCTCCTTCTCATCTCTCTCCTTGACTAGTCTCTCTGCGTCTAGGAAGAGTTTTTCTGACACGGGCTTCTCGTTGATGGTAACACAGTCCCACCGGTCGATGAAGTGGGGCGAGTTGAATCTCCCACACGACCTCCCGGCGGCATGTATCATAGCAGAGAGGTAGGCGCATGTCGAGCCTTTCCCATTGGTGCCGGCGACGTGGATGGCCTTCCAGGTCTGGGGGGTATGCTGGAGGAGGCGAGTAATGCGGAATAGGCCGAGTTCGATCATGATGGCGTTGGTGATCCTCAGTCGGGCCCCCTGCAGAAAAACTTTGTCTTGAGATACAATTTGATGCTCGGTAGAAGCCGTCCTCAATCAGGCCGTGGCAGCATCCAGTCGTGGGCAGTGACACGGTGAAACGCGACACATGTGAGTCATATTGTTGTCAACTTCAAAAAACATGCTGATGTTGAGGAGACCAGGTGACGAGACGGGTAAGAGGAGGTTGGGAGGTTGCCTCGACAGCCCTGGATCGTATGCTTTGCTGCTGGGAAGTTTGTGATAGGCGCTGATTCTAGTGGCTAGGAATCACTGCATAAGAATCGCAGGGGGGGCACGGGGGGTGTGCTAGGGTCAGGCTGGTCAGTAAGTCAGGCAGTCAGGGTCTCTTCAAGGGGACAAAGGCAGTGGTTGCGATTCTGAATACTTCTACTTTGTGCAAAGGGTCAAGCAAAAGTAAAGTACCTGCTAACAATATTGTAGCGCCGCAATCGACCTGCACACGGAAATAAGAAATAGGCTGGGATCTGTCGTCTTCCTACAGGACAACTCCCCATCGCCCGCCAACTTAGTTCCCACCCCCCTTTCACCTCCCCTTCAACCCTCGCCTTTTTTTTTTTCTCCATCCAAACCCTCTCCATCAACCCTCTCCTCTCCATCCTTCGTTCTCGGCCGCGCAGTGAATTTCAACGCCGGCGCAACCCTCCTCATCGCAAGGTGACCAGCAGCTGCATCTGCACAGTGTTCTTCATTGAAATCATTGTCGTTTGACACGCTGCGCTGCGTCGCGTCGCCTTGCCTTCATTTGTTATTCCTTTTCTGCCTTTGTCATTCTTGCCGAGTCTTTCTTGCGCCCTGTCAAGGTTGGGGGGGTATCTACGCTTGTTCATTTTCCCTGTTCTGTTTGGCCCCTCATCATCGCGTCCGACCGTGACACTACACTGTGCTGTCATCATGGGTCTGCCGTAAGTCTCGATTTCCTCTTCCGACAGTCTTGTTGTTGCCATTATCGTCATCATGTTCTTGGACCCGTGGCATTGGGCCCGGCAGCCAGCAAGCAGCCGCCAGTCCAAATCAATGCGCGCGCCTCTCGTGTCAGCCCAGCATCGAGTCGCCACGCGATTCATCTCCCTGCGACTATCACCTATACTATTGTCCCACCCCTGCATCGCGACGGTCGCGTCCGGCCGTCGATACCCCCTCGCGGACCTGTTTTCAAACCCCACACTGTGTTCATTTCTCATTCGCAAACCTTATTGACACTTCCGCCTTCCCTATAGCCTCTACCGCGCGCCCGTCGAGTCCGACATCAAGTCCAAGGTTCCCAAAGATCCACCCACCCGCGCCCGCTCCACCATACGTCGAAGCCGTCGCCTCTTTACTGGTGTCGAACACTCCCACACGCCTGCCGCACGCTTCCACGCCTACCACCAATATCGCAACCGCAACCATCACCACCAGCGCCCTGCCCGCAGCGCCACGCCGGCTGCTGACCCGCCCTTTCCCTCATGGTTGTACGACCTCATGCCCGACGACCAAAACGCCGCGCAGCGGGCCGCCCTCCGCCGGGCTGCTGTTCTCGCCGATGCTTCAACATATTTCCACCCTGAACGGGATAGCACCATTCCTTCTCTTCCCTCTGCTACGCAGGATGTGCACCATGTCATGCACGACGCCGTCCGCCGTGGAGTGAGCCAGGAGACGGCCAGGCTTTATGGCGAGCACATGGCCATGTTGCACGCGGCTACAAGTGGCCGTTCCTCCCAGGCCTCAGATGAGGTCACGCCAGGCGAGCGAGGGATTGCTCTTCTGCAGCCAGATCCGTATAATACCTACTGGCCTACCCCTAGCACCGCGCTCGTACAAGTAAGCGATTCCATTCACAATCTCGGATCCGATCTATCTGATCTCCCGAACCTGTCGACACTCCGATCTGTCCGCTGAGGAAACACGTACGATGCCCTCCGGCGTCGCCAATGTGCCTTAGCGGCCCGTTCGTCAAGATGCCTTCAGAAGATCAAATTTTGCATCCATGCTAACCGCGCTGTCTTAGGGGCCTTCATTGCTTATGCCTAGGGCTCTCTTGTCGTCTTCGTCGCGACAGCCTGAAGGTAGTGCTGGGGCTAGCGAAGGCCATCAGCCCGGCAGGGATGCGTCCGCTGAGTTGCGCGGACCGGACAGACGTCTCACTAGCCTGAGGCGACCAAGGCCCAGCCGTGCTGCACGCTCAGCACCTACAACTGATGATGCATCTCAGCAGCAACAGCAGCAGCAGCCAGCAGTGGATGGGCTGGGTGACCGTGACAGGAGCCTCAGCCCAGAAGACGACGGGGTCTGGGATACGTTGCTCAGCTCCATCACCCCTGATCCTCAGACGCCCAGCGTCGGAACGTCCTTTGCATCCACTAGTGCACCCATGTCGTCGTCTGCGGCGACAACGGCGCAGGAGTCCTCCGGCCTCAGCGAGCCGTATCTCGAGCATGCGCCGCTGACCTTGACCACGGTGACGGTCTTTGACCCAGATCATGCTTGCGAGTCCGGTGGTGACAACACGGACACAGAAGGTGATGAAGAAGATGAGTCGCGCGAGAACACGCTGCGGCGCTATGAGCGGTCGTACGCAGATGTCGTTGCCCATACGCAATTGCAGCACGACGAGGACGACCTCGAGATCCCGGGTGATGTGGAATCAATGCAGCGCATTGTGCGCACCCTTGCACGGCGTGAGGACATCCCGGACGAGTGGTGGGCTGAAGCTGGCCTCAGCCGCTCGCTGTCACGGGAAGCTGCTTAGAACAGCTAAAAGGGAGTTGCCCCAGCCGGACAGGAATCCTCAAGGCAGGAGGCAAACCCTTTCAGTGCGCGCAACATGGGTCACCATGTAGTTTTGGCACACAAGGATCAACGTTGTCTATGAAATCACGGCTTACGAGCTATTTGGACAACCGGAGGATGTGGAGAGCCAGGCCCCGCCCAGCTTTGTGGTGAGGATGCTATAATCATGGAAGCTGCGAGTGTTGAGCGGTGGTAAAGAAAGGATATCTTGGGTTATATAATTTCAAAACAAGGTGGGTAAAGTGGGCACAAAAAATTGAGAGAAAAAGACCAAAAAAACTGAGGTCGGCAATCTCTTTGGAAGTATCTGACAGGCAGAGTCTAGCCGTCTCCAGGAGTATGTATTTCAAAGTATGTACCAAACTATGTTGTCAAATCTCTTGCCAACATGTGCTCTGAAATTGAGTCTACATTGCGCTGTCAGAAGACATCAGACTCTCTACCTTCCTCTGAAAGTCAGTGCTGGAAATGGATGTCAAGATGAGAAGAAGCATGCCCGAAGCGCTACTGATGGAAAGGGATGGATGGCCCTCTATGTACTATGGGGTACGCCTGTCCCGCGTTGACGATGCTTCCTCCACTTAGTGCCCCGTGTGCTAGTGATCATGCAGCTATTGTCCTACGATCGATCAGGCCTAACTTGGGTGGTATAATGCCTTTGTCCACTTGTTTGGCTCTTTAAAAGTCCCATTGCCATGACACATTCCCAAATCTTGGTGTCAATGCCCAATTTCGAGGTCCTCTTCCTCAAGCCTAAGAGCCTTAGCCTTAGCCTGGCATAATGCTCCACATTGTTCTAGGGAACTGTTCTCGGGCTTCCAGAATGATCCCAGCTGGAAAGTTAGTGGGGACCCAGAATATTTTCAGCGGCTTGGGCAGGCTGGGAAGGGGGGGGGGGGTTCTCCATATTTTTTTTTTCTTTTTTCTTTTTGTCCATGACGGAACTTTTCGGTTGTTTGGTGCCCCATTCCATATTGGAGGAGATTGGAATGAGACATGACCATCCATCCCTACTTGCTACGGCACCGTTGGTTAGTCATGGTAATAGGTCTGTTTACCTTTTTTATTATTGATATGTTCTTGTTTGTTGTTGTTGGCGTTCTCCCATCTGACTGCTCAAGCAAGGCCTTGTAACGAGCGGGTGGGCTTAGGTGATTAGTGAGAATAGACTGATAGCGAGTGACAGGGCTGAAAGAAGCTACCACCACCCCCGCACTGGGACCCTAGCCCTGAAGCCAGACAGCTCCCAGCTGCAACCTTGAAGACCTGCCATACTATTGGGCGCTGGTTGCAGTGAGAATGTTACATCAGAGCTAACATTGAAACCTTTCAACCTGGTCTTTTGCAGGCCTGACAGAACACATCAACATCCGAGACAGCGACCCGCAAATTTCCCACTGCCAATGCAACTGTACTACTGATGCATTGACAAGTTGAGCAGCCCGAGGCCCACCAAATTACAGCAGCCGTCAACCTCTCCCTCATCACTCAGCCAGTGGCATTACAAACCGAGTCCAAGGCCAGCAGAGGCCGGGGGGCAGGGGATAAGCCAGCAGGCATTTGCCAGCACACGCTGATCGTCGACAAGGGGTTGGGGGGATTTGGAGAAGGAGAGAGGGGCATGCCAATACCATAGTTACAGGTCAGCACGGCAGAAACAAGTGGAGGGAGTTCACCTTGCGCTACCACCACTACCGTCACTTTGTTGGAACTTGAACCTTTTTTTTCTGTACGTGTGTGTGCGTGTGTGTGTTTGTTTCGTATTCACCTCCTCCCTACTTCTTATCGTGTGAAGGAGCCGTGTGCATTTCAGCATCGAGCCTAGGTTGGGGGGCATGTGGCTTCAGAGCTATTGATCTGCTGTTGTCATCATCATCGACGGCTAGTCAATCCCTCCCCCAGATCCCAGCAAGGACCAACAGGATCAACAATTCACCACCAACACAGCATCGTCCGCCTCACCTCCCATCCTAACCGTCCCGAGCAGCCGCCCCGCTACTGAGATCATTACCGCGAACAAAGAAGGCCCCACCTCGAATTTCCCGGGTTCGACGAACGAGCATAATACGTAGGAAGGGCGACTCGTAAGCCCCCAAGAGAGAAAACACCCAGACGACAAGGGACGTCGCAGCAGATACACAAGGTACCAGCAGGGAAGGCTACTCGAGGCTGCGAAGAGAAGGGAAGGGGGGGAGATCATTGTTCGACAGGGCTGCTGTCACACGATCTGCGTCCACTCACTCCCCCTCCCGAGGCGGCCAACCCGGCCTAGCCAGTCGGACGCCAACTGGGAGGAGCTGGAGCCCGTTTGCCTTGACGGGGAGACAAACAATTATTTTGTCTTGCTGCATCCTCCCATCCGACTCGGGCCAAAACACACGAGGCCCGCGGGCAGGCGTGCAGAGAGAAATAGAGAGAGAGACACCGCAGGATCAGCTCCGCACTCTCGCCGCCATGCGCGCAGGCAGCTCCAACATGGAGCGGGCTTACCATCCCGGAGGCAGGACGCCCGTGTCCAGGACACCGCGGAGGGAAATGGGCAGTGCCACGGCTGTCGTCGCGACCGGCGGTGGTCATGCCCGGGAGAGGGCATTACAGGATCCTGGCCTGAAGGATTATGTATGTTGTTTTGAGCCCACCCTGCTCGATGGTCACGCTATCCTGGGCTCTGGAGGGAGACGCGTCCTGCTGACGACAGATATTTGGTCCCGGCCATACAGAGACTCGGCGATTGCATCGGCAAGGGAGCCTTTGGTTCTGTGTACAAGGCCTTCAACTGGGGCACTGGCGAGGCGGTTGCTGTCAAGCAGATCAAGCTGGACAATCTTCCTAAGAGCGAGCTGCGCATGATCGAGGTTCGTATCCGCCCAACAACAATTCTCTCCGCCGTCACAACCTCCCCAAGAGATGCATCAGGAAGAGGCGAAGCTGACGATATGATCATCATCATGACAGGCCGAGATCGACCTCCTCAAGAACCTGCACCATGACAACATTGTCAAATATATAGGCTTTGTCAAGTCCCAGGACTGCCTGAACATAATACTCGAGTCTGTTGCAACCCACCCATTCGTGCACAATATAAGAAGTTGAGAGATGTTCAAGAGAGGCTGACTGATGTTGCTGCCGGACAGATACTGCGAGAATGGCTCCCTGCACTCGATATGCAAGGCCTACGGCAAATTCCCCGAGAACCTCGTCGGCGTCTACATGACGCAAGTCCTCCAGGGTCTACAGTACCTCCACGATCAGGGTGTGATACACAGAGACATCAAGGGCGCGAACATCTTGACTACCAAGGACGGCACCGTCAAGCTGGCAGACTTCGGCGTCTCGACCAGCACCCTCGCCGGCCCAGACAAAGAGGCGCAGGTGGTAGGCACGCCGTACTGGATGGCACCAGAGATCATACAGCTCTCTGGAGCAACTTCTGCATCGGATATTTGGAGTGTAGGCTGCACCGTGATCGAGCTGCTCCAGGGACGACCACCATACCACAATTTGGCTGCCATGCCGGCCCTGTTCGCGATCGTCAACGATGACCACCCTCCCCTGCCCGAAGGAGTCTCAGCTGTACGTGTTACAGAGGGGCCTGTGGAATTGTAACCTTTTTATTTTTTTGTTTCCTCGTCCATTAAGATGCTGACTTAGCTTTTTGTGACAGGCTGCCCGAGACTTCTTGATGCAGTGTTTCCAGAAGGACCCGAATCTTCGGGTGTCTGCCAGGAAACTTCTTAAACACCCGTGGATTGTCGGGTGTCGCAGGAGTGACGCCCCCGTGTCCAAGAAGCCGGCAGACTTCAACCAGGCAGTCGAAGAGGTCAAGCAGTGGAACAAGGCTCTGAAGTCTTCAGAGACCTCCTTGAGGGCTTCTTCAGGTTCTGATGGCAGCGGTCAGGCCGCCAACGGGCACCCCATGTCCAGGTTTGGCCCCGCGGGAGCAGAACCGCAGCGTCCCAGCTTTGTCAACCCTGCGTCGAAGCGGCCGCTCAGCATCACCACTGTCACAAAGTCCAAGCCTAGTGCCGAGATCTTCAGGTCCCCGGAGGTTGCTGACGATGACAATTGGGATAACGACTTCGCGACCGCAATATCTCCGAGTGCGCTCCACCTGCCCCACCTGAAACCCCAGGATAACTTCGGGGGCAAGCTCTCTGCCGATAGGCTGAAGCAGTTCGCCTCCATCGACGAGACCACGGCAAGGGACAACTGGGATGAACACTTTGAGGGTGATCTGCAGACAGTCAAGAACTCTCGGCAGTTTGCGGACCTGGACCTGCAGGAGCAGACGATACGCCCGATACCCAGGAGATCCAGCAGGTCCACCGAGTCGTCCAAATCGCAGCATGGCCACAAGAAGAGCAGGAGCAAGCAAACCTCGTCGTCCAACGTGCCGCTTTTACACAAGTCTCCCAGCAAGTCTTCGCTCATGGGGAACAAGTTCGAGCTACCACAGCGACCAGAGGCCATGTACCGCGAGCAGTCTACTGAGGACTTCTCAGATCTCTTTCCTGAGAGTGATAGCTTGTTCTCCCGGAAGATGAGCCGTGGCAGGAAGGTAAGCATGCACGCGCCAGTCCCGCCCGTCTTCCGAGCACCTTCAATGATACTTACAGTGCTTTCGTCTCTCAGGACTCGTCTCAGCTCATGCCGCCGCCCGATCTCAAACTCGAGCCTGCGAGCAACCAGCTGCTCTCGCCTGGAAGTAATGACATCTTTCAACGGCAGCGGGCCACATCCCGCCCCTCACATCTTGGTGATCAGCCGCCCATGAGGAGAACAAAGTCGCAAATCGAGATTCAGAAGTTTGCAGAGGGCGAGGATGACGAAGACTTCTCCGACATCTTTGGTCCCAACGATACATTGACAGAGAAGGAAGAAAGCGACCGGAGCTCTGAGGACGGCGGCATCATGCTGCTGTCCAAGCTCTCGAACAACTCGTGGCTAGGTGACGACGAGGAAGAAGATGATCCGTTCGCCATGATGGATCCCGAGTACAACGAGTTGGACCTCGAGGCGAACATAGCCAGGGACCGCCACGCCAGGCTGGCTGAGAGGGTCGAAGAGCAGGTCCAGCTGCTCAAGACTGGGTCCCAGATCCAAGGAGAGGAGCGTGTCGCTGATGTGGCCGAGGAGCTTCTTCATCTACTGCATGAGCATGAGGATGTCAAGGGCCTGATCATCACCGCCCACGGCCTGCTGCCTATACTGGAGCTGCTCACCCTGCCGCCAGATACGATCAGCACCGCCAAAAGCCGCCAGGATATGATCTTGTTGCTCCTGAGAGTCGTCAACAAGATCATCTTCCGTGACAGGGAGCTGCAGGAAAATCTATGCTTCGTTGGCGGCATCCCCGTCATTACTCAGTTTGCTGCTCGGCAGTTTTCGAATGAGATTCGCCTTGAAGCTGCAGCCTTCGCCCAGCAGATGTACGAGACCTCGACCCTCACCCTGCAGATGTTTGTCAGCTGCGGTGGAATCTCCGTGCTTGCTGGCTTCCTGGACGAGGACTATGATTCGTCGCGAGACCTGGTACTCATCGGCGTCAACGGCATCTGGAGGGTGTTCGAACTCCAAGGACCCACGCCGAGGAACGACTTCTGCCGGCTGTTCTCCAAGGCGAAGGTGCTTGATCCACTAGCTGAGATCCTCCATAGGGTGCTAGATCGGGACGACAGGGACGAGCTCTCCGAGTTTATCGAAGGGCGCATTGTGAACCTCTTCCTCATGTTTTCGCAGGCTGATTCCGAAGTCAAAGAGCTCATTGCTGATCGCGCCGTCATCAAGACTGTGTTGAGGGATCTTCAGACCATGACGCCTATACATCAGATCACCATGCTCAAGTTCATCAAGAACCTCTCGAGTCTGCAGACCACCGTTGAGGTACTTCATGCGGCTGACGCTATCGAATACCTAATTGCCTTGCTCGAGAAGAGTCTCAAGAAGAACCAGCACCACTTCAGGGAGATTTCGAATCAGGTGTTGAACACCATGTTCAACCTGTGCCGACTGAGCAAGGAACGACAGGAGTCGGCAGCAACACTAGGAGCTGTGCCACTGCTCCTGAAGATCATGAGGACCGATCGGCCTCCCAAAGAGTTTGCCCTCCCCATTCTCTGCGACATGGCGCATTCTGGGAGCAAAGGTCGCCGTTCCCTGTGGCAGAACAAGGGACTGGACTTTTACGTGTCGCTGCTCGCGGATCAATACTGGCAGACGACCGCTCTAGATGCCATCCTCGTCTGGCTGCAAGAGGAGACAGCCAAGGTCGAGGGCCACCTCCTCAGTGGAAACTTTACCTCTGCTATTCTGTCATGCTTCAGCGTCGCCAAGGGCAATGCCTTTGCTTCCTTCGATCCGACCCTCCTCGAACCCCTGCTCAAGCTCCTCCGGCTGAGCCCAGCCCTCTCATCGTCGCTGGCCAAGCCCGAGATTTATATGGGGATTGCGGCCAAGCTGGCCCACAAGAAGCCCGACGTACGGTTGAACTTGCTGCGTCTTGTGCGGACGATCCTGGATATGTGTGAGCCTGAGATGGGCATCAGCACTGTCAAAGGCGGTGCTCAGCTGCAAGCTCTGTTTGAGTCCATCCAGATGCTCGAGAAGGACCCCGCCGTCCTGGTGAGGAACCTTGCACTCGAGATCATCAAGACACACATCGAGGGTGATTGCTTCGAGGTCAAGTCCGTCGGCAGCGGGTCCAACAGAGGCCACGAGTCGAGCCGCTCTGGTTCTGGCAACTCCCGGCGGCCCATTAGGTACATCACGCCGCCCAGTCGGACCTTTGCACCTCCTGGGCAGGGCAACAACCCCTTGACGCCCACACACCCACAGATCCGTCACACCGAGTCCGAGTCCGCCGTACATCAGCTTGCCCACACCCCGAGACGGACGCAGGTCATTCAACAAGACGCCATGTACCAGCGTCCGCGGAGCAGAGACGGCGGGCTTATGTCACCGGGCATCTCCTCCCCCAGACGCGCAAGCGGTGAAACAGGGACACCGGTCCGAAGCAGGTTGCCTAGAGGATCAATCTCGTATATTCGGCCGAGCCCTTCCCTCAGCAGCAGCCACCCGCCTCCGCTGCACCATGGACGTTCTGAGAGCTCGCTGTCGAATAAGGAGAACACGAGCTCGGGGCGCACATATGCGGTCGGTGGTAGTGCCGGTAATCTAGGTGACTCGCTCGAACCGTCGCGGTCGCCGGCAGTGGTCAGGGAGCGGTCCTCCATGGCGATGATGAAGCGACGAGGCAGCCGGGTGCCTAGCTCCGAGATCAAGATTGTCAATGGTAGCAGTAACAGTTCGGGAGAAACCAAGTGGTCTTAGGACGACCGCCGCGTAGCCAACCTACTGGACCGCTCGGGAACGGCTGGCGCCCAGAAGAATAGACAAGCCAGGGAGAAGGAGACGAAGCAGCACTATCGGCTGAGCACTGCGTCGGTCACCGTCCCACATGTTGATACATCGCAGGGGATCACCAGCGACACGTTGTCACAGTCCAGCAGCATGGCAGCTACCTCGTCGCTGAAGGCGCAGCTCGATGCCGTTCGACATCCTGGCAGCCGTCAAAAACAAAAGACGCAGCCGAGGCGTGCCATCTCTACAGCTTTCACCCCTCAAAAGCGACAGCATCATGACCCACGCACAGCACCTACCTTGACCGCTTCGTCTCCGTCGAAGGTTTCGGGCTCGGGCAGGCAGGGACTACTGCCAGGCGCGGGCTCGTCCTCTCTGCATCCGAGCTCAAGCCCCAAGCCAAGTCCGCCCAAGCAATCGACACCCACCAACAAGATGAAGGTCAGAAAGAGAGCCTCTGCTGCGCTCCGGAATTCGCCGCTCACCAAATCACCAGGCAATAAGTCGCCCGGCAAGACACCGTCCAATTCTCCTGCCGGTGATCAGGGGAGGCGGAGCCGGGCGGAGACTGGGCCTCGAGAAGCGGCGACGGCAAATAATATGTAACATTGGTAACAGGGTCGTTCCTATTTACGACTTTTGCCGCGAACAATGACCAGCATAACACAACATGGCACCTGAAATGATGGATATATATCCACCACACGTGTCAGGTGGTTTTTTTTCTTGACAGAGGTCGACACTCCGTCTTGGCTACTTATGCCGGTTCATAAACAACACAGCCCTTTTCTCCCCTTCTATTTTTTTCTCTTCATGTTCTTTTATTTTTCATTTCTTTTTTCCTTTCAGTCAAGCATCTGCATTAGATTCCCCTTGGGTCTTTGGAGGCATACATGGCATCGGGTGCAAAAAGGGAAAGGGCACGGAAAGGATTTTCTTGTTGTTGATGTTGCATCTTTGCATGCATGGGCGAGGTGGACGCAAAGGATTTGTGAGTGCGCCCGCACGGATACTATTTGTTAGGCAAGCCCATACATGTTCCAGGTCTGTATCGGAAGGCCGTGCGTCAAGATGTATGCGTCTTCTTCTCAAGAAAAGGGAAGTTGTTGTCAGCATGCTTGTGAATAGGCAAGTTCCCCTAATGGAAGTCGGACACACGAACACCGCATCAAGAGCATTCAGTGGCTCGGGGATTTAAACAAAGAAACAATCCATTTGTTTTTAATGGTACAAGCTCGCCCCTTATAGTTGCACGAAGACACAATTGATTATCAACGCCAAAAGAGAGACATGGAGAGGCAGAGACGTCGTTATGACAAAAGCCAGAAATCATAAACGCCTAAACGCCGTCCCTCACTCTCCGCCCAGAAAGGAGACCAGCTCAAACTCCGGCTTTCCCGATGAACCTGTTCCCATGCCGGCCTCAAGCAGAGAAAGACAAGAAAAAGAAAAGAAAAAAACATAAAGCAACAGAAACAGAAACCCCAAAAGCTCAATTAATCAGCAGCACCGGCGAGGAAAAAGCACGCGTCTAGTAAGCCTCGCGCTCACCATAGGCGCCAGGCGCGTAGCGGCGGACGAAGGGGAAGGCGAGGCCCAGGCTCTGGTCGTTGGTGTTGCTGTTGGAGCCACCCTCGTTGGTACCGCCGTTACCAGCGCCGGCACCTGCACCGCCGGAGGAGGTGGAAGACTGGGAGCCGGAGCCGCCGTCGCCAGCAGTGGTGCTCTGTGCGGGGGGGGAGTGTCAGAAAGAGGAAGAAACATAGAGAGAGAGAGAGAGAGAGAGAGAGAGAGAGAGAGAGGGAAGGAGAGGACATATAAATTGGAGAGGGGGAGGGGGAGAAAGGAAGAAGAAAGAGATGGTGGGTGTGTGAGTGTGTGTGAGAGAGAAGACTTACGCTGCCATTGCCGCCGGCGGAGGTACCGCCAGTACCGTTCGCCTCAGTGTTGCCGCCAGTGTTGCTGCCACCAGCCGAGTTGGTGTTGCCCACGCTGCCGGACAGGCTCAGGCTGCTGCCGTCGCTGGCGGATCCACCGTCGGCGCCCGTGGCAGACTGCGTGACGTAGGTGACGCAGCTGCCGTAGCAGTCGGTGTCCTGGCCGTTGGTGTTGCTGCCCGCGCTGCCGCCCGTCTGCTGGCTGTTGGCGTTGATGTCGATGGCGCTGCCGGCGCCGCCATTGCCGGCGGTCATGTTGGAGCCGGAGCCGCCGGAGCCGGAGGCATCGCCACCATCACCGCCATTGCCGCCTGTGTTGGAGGCGCCGGCACCGCCGTTGCCGCCCGTCTGGGTGGAGGAGCCACCATCACCGCCTGCGCCGCCTGTCTCGCTGATATGGGTGTTGGTGCTCTGGGAGTCAAACAAGGCGTTGGCCTGGAAGGCCAGCAGGGCGAGGACGAGAGCCTGGTTGAACTGCATTTTGGAAAGAATAGTGTTGGGAACAGAAGGAGATGATGATGATGGAATATCAAATGATAGAAAGTGCAAAGAAAAAGAGTGTGTGTGTTTGTATGGTAAGGTAGGGAAAGTAAGAGAAAGAAAGTGGGTGTGTTGTTTTAAAAGATTGTGTTTGAAGAGGAAAGACCTGCTTTCTGTAAGTGAAGTGAAAGACAATGCTGAAAGGGAAGTCAAAGTGTTTGTTGATGTGATGATGATGGAAGCAAGAAGATCAAGACAATGATAATCAGATGAGGACGACGAGGTCTTATACTCGAAAGACACGCCATCAAGAAACATGCCTCTCTATCTTTCCCATTCTGGCTCATCGTGGCCATATGCCATGGCCATCTCTGTCTGTCTGCGTGTGCGCGCGCGCGCGAGAGACAGAAAGGGAGAGAGAAAGACGCCCATCAGCCGACACATCCGGCCACATCTTACTTTGCATCTCAAGTTTGGTCGCGCAGACTGATGGACCTCCTCAGGCCAGGCCTGAGGACCCGGAGCCATGCAGCCAGCTCAAGTTCATCGTCTCCCAAAAGCTCTGATCAAGTGTGTCCATGGGCCTGGACCTTGCTCTCTCCTCTCTCTTGGCAGTCTGGGTTCTCACCCTTCTTTTGGCTGATGTAAAGGCCCCGGCGGGCCATGAGTTCGCCTGGCGAGGTTCAAATGTGGATTTATTTTCCTTTCTTTTCTGTTTACACGAGATGGTGGCGTGCTTACATGATTGTACCACGTTTAGTTAATATGCGGGCGAGGGCCCGAAGAAGGGGCAAGTGATAGATCGCGGGCCGGCGCTGTTTCTTGCTTAGATGATGAGGGAGGGTGAGGTAGTGTTTGTGTGTCAGCATTCATAAGTTAATACCAACTTTCAGGATTATGTTTAACGACGGCCTAACACCTTTCTTGGGACGCCAAGATGTACGAGGTGAGCAGTCCACAGCTTGGCAGCCAGGTCCAAAGTTCATGTTAATAGTAGTGTATGGCTTCTTTTTTTTTGAGGGAGGGTTCATTCCTTCTGAGCTGTTCGAGTCGGCTTAGTTGACTGCAATCCACAAAAACTGGAAGCCTTTCCAACCTTATGAGGCGCACGAGATTGCAGCCGGTAGACTCGAGAACTGTTCATCACACACTTCGAAGGGAGATGGGAAAGCTCTCCTCTCTCTCTCTCTCTCTCTCTCTCTCTCTCTCTCTCTCCATATTTCACGTGTTAGTAAGCTGACAGGAAACTTAAATGCGGCCAACTCCCTGCTTAATTTACCTACAGTCAGTACCTACTTATTCAGCTCAAGGTTTGCTAATCAGGACCTCGCCAAGATGCAACTAACTGAGAATCTCCACTTGAAACTCAGTCGTTGCTCCTCTGGTAAGCAGCCCTACAACCTGATCTCGCGGCCTAGGTGCATGCAAGCTGGGGCCAAGGTTACAGTGCAGCTTGGAGCGACAGTCGTTGTGGTTGCTAGGGTCCCGATCTGGGGCACACAGTAAGCTTATTTTTTTGGTTGACAGGGCCCGATGTTACAGCTTCAGCAGGAACACTAAGCAGGCCTTTTCTTTTCCCTTTCTCTTCTCCTGTTGGACCAAAAGCGCAAATCATTATGAGAGGCTGTCTCATGTCGGTGGAGGTTCTCTCCATGTGGTTAATGATACCAAGGCAATTGAGCCCACGGGGTCTTCTTTGAGATTATGTCTGTTGGTACTGAAAGCAGCTCTTGATCCGCCTGTCATCTGTCCGGGATTTGAATGGTTCTTGCTATGGTCCGGATGTTGTGTATGGTGGGCAACAAGCTTTTAGTTTCTCAGACCCGTTGGCAATGTAGAAGCAGATCAATTGCCCCTCGACCATCTCGCCTCTTTACCATGGTACTACTCACCAAGGACATACAGCATTTCTGACAAGCCTGGCAATGACAGCTCGAACAATCAATACTCAGAGACATGGTTAGTCAAAATAACAAACCGGTCTCCTTTGTAAATATAAAAATTCATTGAAGCCCTGTAAAACATCGTGGTCAAGATATGCCTTAATTGATAGGAATAGCTGGTTTACATCCATACTTTTGACTTCATACCACCTCGCATAATATCTGCGGTATTTGATCTATTATTTATCATGCCTTGCCCGTTATTGTATATTGAGAGAACATGGACCGCGTTTTCATGTGTGGACATGCATGTTCTACCGAGCAGTTACAATATTCGCTCAAGACTCAACTCGTATAGTTGGTATCTTGACTTGAATTAAAATAAATGTTAGAATAGTCAATATTTATTGCATATATCAGATGACATTGAGTCCACTTTCAAGTCTATCTCTTTGAACATTTTCTTTCCTCTTATACTCGACCGGGAGGGGGTAGAAGTATAGAGCCAAGTCACTATCGCCATTTAATCATCACAATACTGCTCGGAATGTGCGAGCCGCATAAATATCAGAAACCCAGCATGCCAGCGGTTGACGGCCTCAACATAATTACGATTTATTGCGCACGACTCGATCCATCGATAATTGATACAGTATTTGGAATGTTTTTGCATTGTCTTTGGCCTTGGTACGTATGCTTTCAAGCCAAACTTTGGATCTTCTATTCTATCATGCTCTAACACTCAAGGCGACTCTGCTGCACCAGTCAGCGCCTCGAGACATCCATCATATGCAGCCTTCTTGACCAGAGGTGTGTCAGCGCCATCCGGCTGTAGGAAGAGATCAGCATAGCCTTCGTCTGTGAAGGTGCTTGGAATCCATGAGTAGGTATCTGCAGAGGCACACATTAGACAACAATTTCCCAAACCTCGAGGTCCGGGGTTTCCCCCTCCTCGCTCCCAGGCGGGGGGGACACTTCGGCTGCTTTACTCACCATCAAAGTCCCAAACAGTGATGCCAACACAGCCAACAACATTAGCGCACGCAGCAACAGTGCTATAGTAATCCTGAACCTGCTGCGCCTCGGTCGTGGCATTCGGGGCCAAGGCCAACCTCATATCGAGCTCCGTGACAACCACATCAACGCCGAGCGCGGTGAAGGCGTTCATGTTGGCCTCCTGCGCAGCCTGCGTAGGCGTTTCGCCCACGATGAAGTGCGACTCGAGGCCGACGCCGTCGATCTGGATGCCCCGCGCCTTGAGCTCAGACACGAGCCCTTGCGCGGCACTGGACTTGTTGCCGGCGTACTCGATGTTGTAGTCGTTGTAGTACAGCTTGACGCCGAGGCCGTTCGCCTGCACTGCCTTGGCCGCGGCGTCAAAGGCCAGGAAGAAGTACTCGGGCCCGATGGTGTCGTACCACAGGTTGCTGGTGAAGGCGCCGGCAGGGTCGTCGCTCAGGGCCTCGTTGACGACGTCCCACGAGTAGCAGCGGTCGCCAAAGTGCGAGACGAGGCTCGTGACGTGGTTCACCAACACGGCGCTCAGCGTCTCGTTGGTCCAGTTGACGGCGGGCGCGGTGACCCAATCTGGCAGCTGATTGTACCAAATTAGGTTGTGGCAGCGGACGAGCTTGCCGCTGGCCTCGGCGAGGTCGAGGAAGTAGTCGCCGCCGGTGTAGTTGAAGACATTTTGCTCTGGCTCTGTGTATTCAAACTACAATGGTGCGATTCGTCAGTACTGCTCTCTCTGTTCTGGAACAAGTGGTCATCGGGGGTTTCGCTATGGCACTGACCTTCATAATATTGGCCGGTGTTGCACCGCCGAAATCATGGGTGTTGTTGAACTCAGCCATATAATACTCGTCGGTCGATTCACCCGTGCCTGGGATGTCGGCAGCGGTTCCGAACCAGAGTTTACCCGCCGCCTTCGCTGCATCGTTGAGACCGTATCCAGTGGCAGTGGCGGTGGCTGTCAAGGTTGTCGTCGGGTTTGTGTTCGTAGCCGCAGTGGTGGTGATGGAGGTTTCACTCGAGTCTGTGGTAGTCGCAGCAGATGGCGAGGCTGAACAGTCTCCTGGTGCTGTGACGGTCACAGTGACCGTCTGGGAGCCATAGCTATAGCTGTGATGGGGCGAGGCCATCACCACGGCCTGAGTGGCCAGAAACCCACATGTAAGGAATAATTGAACAGACATGACTGGATTATGTAATTATTACACGGAAGCTCAAGATGCCATCAACCCTTGGCGATTATGAGAAAGCTGAAGAGCTCACTGGATTAGAGAATATAGGGGACAAAGACTGAAAAAACAGAGGGTTTGCAAGTCTAGTCATATCATTATATATTCGTGCAGGTCTTGCCTAACTTCGACATGCTACTGATCAGCGCAAGCTGAGAAGCCTCACCAGTAATACAGCCGGTGAAGAGCAGCCAGGGTCTGCTAGAGCCCGTACAAAGTTGTCGGCTAATATTGCGGTACGCACAAGAACCTTGTCTCATCAAGAGGGCGAAGGGAAACTCTCGCCTCACGGCAGGGCTCGACGGGTGGAGAGAGAGGGAGAGGAGTATAATTTGACCAGACACTGGCGTACAGCCGGGACAAACACCACGCTCTTTCGCCTAGTCCAGGCGTTTAGGCCTGGGATCAATGCAGAACGCCCCCGCGGAGACCAGGCCAGGGGACAATGGTTGGTGCAATAAGTTTCGAGGATCACGCTTGTTAATCCGCCATAGAGAAGGTTGGTGATGAGCCGGCTAAATTCAGTAGCATTAGTGTGAGCACGGGGGGCATAGTGTGAGGGCACCTCGGGCTGGCGGGTCGGGGCTTGGGTAGTATCTTGTGGCGATGATGGGCAAAAGGGGGAAGGGGGGAAGGAAAGAGACTACGTGAAAGTTGCATCTGGGTCCGGTTTGACGAAATCCTCATCTAACGAGAAGAAAAGTCTAAGGACAGAGTACTCAGGATCGAGTAGAAATGACCAAACGATGACTTCTCGACTTGTCGACAACAACTATAACAAAGATCTTTCACCCAATCAACGTTCTAGTAATGACGAGGCTGGGAGAATTGATCTGCTATTCTCAAGTAATATTGGACCGCTGGACTGCATTGAACATCCTGCCGTCATGTGTGCTAGGTATGATCACTGTATGGTCTTCTGGAATGAGGGGGTAGCCCATACACGCAGCAAGTCCGCAATGAGTCCTGAACGGACCACCATCCATCCTTTTGGCTGCTGACGACTTTCGTATGCACTATTGGCCCTTTTGCTGTGAAAGATCGACGCAGGTCCTACGCAAAAAGCTTGCCAGGTTTGCTTCCGAAGCCAAGACTTGCACAGCAAGACGCCCAGTCTGACGCTGTTTTCGGCGCCTCGTACACAAATATGTTTGAACTGCTCTGTCATTGAATCTCGCATCTTTCTTCCCATCAATTGATGTTAAGGGTGCGCAACCGAACAATCCGTGGTATCGGGCGCGCATTAAAAAAAAAGAAGAAAAATTTTGCAAGTAGACTGGGGACTGAAGGCGAGAATCGGCAATGATCAGTCCCCCAAGATGCTAACAGCCGCTGAACCCGTGAACGCCAAACGCTATATGAGTTGGGCCCGAGGTCGGGTGGCTTGCATAACATGGATCAATATCAACTCTCACTTCCGCCTCCCGTCTCGTTTCGTTGCCCTGTATGGCATATATGCGTGGGCTTGGTGAAATTTTGGCGGCATGCTGCACCAGCGCTCATTGTTCCGCGCTGTCCTGTTCTGTGACAACCAAAGTAATCCTATGAACGAGCGGTGCAGTACGCCGGCTCGTCTCTTCAAAACTGGAAGATTGAGAAGGGGACCCTCTCCAGAATCCTTGAGAGACCATTCATAAAAGCGGCCTGCATGGAGATGGCCTGGGGGCCAGAGATCCATGTTCAGGCCGTGTCGTGTGGTATGACTTTGCATAACGGCCTGTCATTCGTTGACTCATCAGCCAACTCATCTGGGGTTGCTGTGTCGATGACTCGGAGTCCGTCGATCGTTCTGTTCCTCAGAAGTGATATGCTTCGTCCTTGGGCTCGGCCTCGACCGTAAAACCCAGCCTCTCAGTCAGTCTTCCAGTGGTCGACCTCGTCCTTGCCAAGATACAACTCCACGGCGTAGAGGGCCATAGTCGCTGCGACATTGGTCCAGCGCCACGCATTGCCGCCGGCGTCGCCCCCTCTAAGAGTCCATCCGATGCCGTCGCTGTCGATACCACCGTCCGCAGACACCGAAAAGTGCTGCAGCAGCAAACTCGTATAGACCGCAATCAGGATGGACGGCGAGAACCAAGACACAAACGTGAACAGCTTGTTGGCTGCGTCGGAGGAGTCGTCAAAGTTGGAGGGCTCGTCCATAAGGGCACTCGCACCAGATTCGCGGACCGCAGGAATGATGCGGGTCGCGCAGTAGAAGACGATAATACGGTAGACCAGAGAGATGATGACGCTTGGGGTGATGGTTTGAAAGGCAGCCCACAGAAAGGTGAAGGAGTCGCTAAAGGCGCCTGGCAGCTGGCTCAGCATGTGGAGGAAGGTCGCGTACGATGCCATTATAATGGGGGGCAGCGGTGGAAATTCGGGTTGTGATGCGGCGGCCTGCTCCTCCGCTGCGGCCTGGGCAGCCGCAGCAGCCTCGGCTGAGGGCAGGTAGTCGGTGAAGATCTGGTAGACGCAGAGGACCACGTATGCGAACAGGAGCGAGGACTCGACCGGGTTGCCCCGTCCGCTGCCGATGCCGAAGGCGCAGAGAAAGACGGCGGATGTCATCGTGACGCCGATCAGGGTGGCATCAAGGTTGCTGATCTGCGGGAACCGGGCGACACGCCAGAGAAAATAGAGTGCGCTTGCCATGATGGAGCCGGAGAATACGACGAGGATGATCTGCAGGTTCATATAACTTGGTTAGCCAAGGCACTTCTCCTCGTGGCAGGGAAAGAAAGGGAGAGGCTTCACGACGAGATGCCTCCGACACTTACTACCCACGTATCACTTCGACCCCTGTTGACCAGCCATCTTGTGATCTGCCCAGCGGCCTGGATGACCAGCAAGCTGCAGAACCCTTCGAGAAGCTGGAAGACAGGACTGGAGTAGCGCAAGCCCTTGTCCCAAGCACCCAGAGTGAGGTGTTCCAGCAGGCCGCCCTGGCCAAAGAACCACTCATGCCAGCTATCTGTATGTTTCATGACGGGGCGGATATGGCCAAGAGTCCTTGAGACCCAGTCGGAGGAGCCCGTATCGACAGAGAAGCGATTGAGAGACCAGATCAACAGCGAAGGCAGGACAATCCACTGGGCGATGCGCAAGATGTTGGTCAGGGTCCAGCGCACGGTGGACTTCTGGGGTGTTATGGCCTTGATAAAACTGTAGAGGAAGTAGAAGAGAAATATCGAAAGGCTGTAGGCCAGACCAGAGTCGCGACCCCCAACATCGAAGGCTATAGGTATGGAGAGGACGATAGTGAGCAGGTAGACGGTGCCGGAGAGGACCCCGAAGATGGCCCACATGATGACAGGAGGAGGACGAGAGAGAGGTTGAGAGAAAGAGGGCGGATCAGGAGCTGCTGGGTGTCGAGTAGGAGACTGAGATTCGTTGAGGAGATGGGGCCGAAGAGCGAGGTTATCGCAACCCAGGCTGGGCGGTATCGGGCCGTCGCTCGGGGGGGTGGTTCCAATAAGGTTGGAAAATGATAAGTAGAGAGACTTTCCAGGGCGATGCTGTTATGGGGGGGGGGGGGAAGCTGGTTGAGGAGAGCACCAGGCTTGATGAATGCATCTGCAGCGGGGCAGATTATTGCAGATGTTGCCCTCTTCGTGCTTGTGTGTGCTGGGATCCTGTTTTCACAAAGGTGGTGGTGTTCAGCTTGGCGGGGTTTGGAGGAGCTCGGCCCTGACCTGAGACCCTGACAGCGGTAGCTCTGCCTGAGCTGTGTGCATGTGACAACAATAACAACAACAACAACCCAAAAAAATAAATCCCCAAAAAAACCCACGACACCAAAAGAGGAATCAGACCTCTAGGATGCGATCCTTCTCAAAGAACTAATAGATACAGGAGAGGTGGTCTATAGAGAGCAAGCAGGAAAAGAAAGGGAGGGAAAGGAAGAAAGAAAAAGAAAAGCTAGCAACAGATTGTACGATCCTTGTGAGAATTGTGGGCAAGCAAAAGGTGTCCAGATGAAGTCAGTCACATCTAATCAAATCTCCAAAAGCAGGTTTGAAATTTGGAGATGAGTCTAGACGCCTTGTGCCAGTACCGCAGAGCCCATCCCGGTGGCTACTGGCGTTCTCCCCTGTTCCCCTGCTACCCTGAAGCCTGCGACAGCATGCCACCCACCTACCACAGGTCGCTACTATGCAAGCTATAGTACTACGTCGCCTGCACCATTACCACTACCTGTATTAACCTGCAAATTGCCAGGGCCCTGCTGGCGGGCATTGGTCTGGCACGGACAGGGGTGTCCCATGACTCTTATCTCCTATCTTATCCGTTCTCTCTGGCTTGATGCCGATGCTGACTCAGCTGGATGTTGTTTGGTTCCTGCCTTGTTTACTTCCATGTCATTGCTTGTCTCCTGGTTGACAAGTCTTCTTCCATCTGCTGTGCATGAGAGAAGCGCGCAAAAGAAAATGACTTGGCAATGACACACACAATGACACATCTGGGGCGTCTCATGGCTCCAATGGAGAGGATTCCTAGGTTCCATGTTCCCAACCCGGCGGATCGAAACACACTTTGATGGCCATCCAGCACATGGACTGAAAAGCTCACCCTGTCTCTAGGAATGTTCTGTCGATCAATGCTTTTAGCTGGGAAACTGGCACAGATATCTTCTTTTAAGCTTATTTCGATGGTTCTGGTCAACCTAGCAAATATGGCTAGCACTACTGGGTGTTCAAAGTTGATGGTCAGACCATCATTTCTCTGCTCAAGATTCTATCCAGCACTCTCGACAACTTTCCTTCGCAGTCATCGACCCTCTTGACAGACCTCCACGCCACATATCGATCAGGACGGACGAGCACACACCCGCTATCCTCAACTCCCCTGCGTGCGTACCACTGGCGCTCAATGTCCTGCCACTCGAGCCCGAACCCGATCTTGTAGCTGTTGATGGGAATGCCCGTCTTCTTGCTGATTGTTGCGGCTGCGTCCTGCCAGGCATCTCCACCATAGCCTGTGAAGAGGCAGAAGGCTCCTTTTCCAGCCAGGTCATGTGTCGAGATTGCTCTGCGCCGCGCGGGTACGTCCAGCCATGCGTGCGGGAGGCGAGTCCCAGGATACGTGCACACCTGCAACTCGACGATGGGATCCCCCTGGATTTGCGGGCGTGGCCCTGTCTCGTCGTCCAGATAGATGGCGTTCGAGGTGTACCACTGGTTGCCGCACAGGCCCAGACTCTTGCCTTCGATACCCTTGACCTCGAACGCCTCATGCAGCTTTCGCCTCTGCTCTTCACCTGCCTCCGTAGCCGAGTTGAGCAAGGGCTGCACTTGGGAGCCCTCCTCAGGACTTTGGCCCAGCAGCCCCATCGCATGCCACAACGGCACGTGTTGAGTACGGAGGCCAGCATTTGCCTCACGGACCAATTGAGCGGCCACGGGCTGCCGCTCTCCATCATACGATTGGAGTAACCCTGGACCGGCGAGACCACGCGCCACGAAAGCGACCTTCCACGCCAGGTTATACGCGTCCTGGACACAAGTGTTACTGCCTAGCCCATAAATGGGTGGATGACGGTGGGCGGCATCACCAAGCAGGAAGACGTTGTTGTCCGGGTCTAAGTGGTCTGCGACTGTCTCGCGGATCACCCACGGGTCGAGACGGTGGATCTTGAGCGGTATGTCCTTGGTCAAGGAGTTCTCGTCGAGCCCGAGTGCCTCGCGAACGTAGGCGACGAGCTCAGGGCTGTCTGGCTTCAGGTTTTTGAAAGGATCCTGGCTGATGTCGATTCCCGGTGTCACGGTGACTAACATCCACTCGTGCCAGGGACGGATCATGCGGATGACTTGAGAAGAAGGCCTTCGTTAGTATCCATACCACCGTCCATCTGTTGCCTTGCATACACCTTTGAAGAGCTGGGGTACAAGGAACACATACTACCGCCAATGCCCAGGCGAGAGTTCGCCGTCGGGTTTACTACCAGCCGGTCAGAGGTGAGCGTTCGTCTTTGTAGCCGTCGAGTATTGGCGACCCACCAATTGTGTGCAGTTGTGCCTGTCTTCCTTCTATCAGATGGGTCACATCGCAAGAAAGAAGTATGTTACACGCCACGCCTTGAGACGGCATTGATGTAAATTTGGCATTTGTGAATCGAGCAACTGTACTGTGCCCGCCGTCGGCTCCGAAAAGAAATTTGGTGCGGACTGGACCATGAGAAGTCAGTTTGTCGTCTGGCGAGAAGGCCTTCGAGAGGGTTACGTTAGAGCACGTACTGACGTATGAGTCCTCCCGAACACGATCCTGCACTCTACACAGCCATTCTCCAGAGGGAGCCTTCTCCACTGACTCAAGCTGGGTCGAGAAGCGTACGGCAAAGCCATTGTGGGAGGCGTTATTGACCAGAATGGGCTCCATGTATGATTGTGGGAGATCAATCCACCTGCTGGGCGTGGACGATTTGACCTGGGCCTGCGTAATTATTCAGCATGTTGGGGACCATCATGCGGCAAGTCATGGGGCGTGGTAAGGAAAGGGAAGAAAGAAAACTCTCTTACGGCTATTTCGGGAACCCCTTCCCAGTGGAGGACTCTACCCCATTCCTGCCCGAGCAGGCTACGACAGTATCGGAAAGCCCCAATCAACTCAGGGGCTACAGACATTCTTGTAGCATCGTCTTCGAGGCCGATATCACGGAGACATTCTGGTAGTGACACGGTCTTTTAGCAAAACCTGGGCCTAGCTCTTGCAACACCTCGCGGCCAGGAGCAGAGAAACATGACGGCATTGGACCTCACCCATAGTGAAGGGGTTGACGAGATGCGCTCTCGGCGTGTCCGTCGAGCCTTGTGCATCGACGATCACGATGCCCTTCATACCTATTCACATTTGGTCAGCCATAGCCTTATGAAAGCACGCATGTTGTAATACCCTCACCATTCTGTCCGAGAAAGCATGCCAGAGCAGCACCGGCTGGCCCTGCTCCGACTACCAGAAAGTCTGTCTTAATTTCGGATGCCATTTGGTCTGTCAGAAAGATACACTTCCAGAGTTTCAGTGATAGTGATGAGTTTTGAGATGAAGAAAGGCAGGTCTTGAGCAAGCGGCCTGACTGAGGCAGAATGATTCGCAGTTGACAGAATACAGGTTCAGTATACGCAGCGAGGCGAGATCAATTTATATTATAGTACCTATGGCTTCTTATTACTGACGGGGGTATATTCGAGGTATTTGCTCCATAATCACTTCGCGCCGCGAGACAAAAGCGTACACATTCAGGAGTTGATGCATACGAGGCTCACGCAGAAGCTTCCTCTCTTCCTCCATCAGGTACGTACCCTGCACGCTCCTATTGGAATGGGAGAGAGGGGGGCGCGGGGAAGAGGCAAGACCACGGTCCCATTCCGGGGGGCGTGATCAAAGGTGTGTTGGATTTCGAAGCATTGCAAATCCGACTTGCCCAGCTAACGCCAATTCGCAGTCGCGACAAGCCTTTGAAGGGGCTGCTTACCATTACATTGTCCACGGTGCTGACGTATGTTACCTACCACGGTAGTATTATTGAGAAGTAAAATGCTACTCAGGGAGCTCCGGACCGGAATTATACACCTCTACCGAATGACTCGGAATTGCATGTATGTCCGGGTCACATTTACAGCCTTCAATGTTTGGGAGAGTCCCAGAGCATTGTCTCTGGCGATCAATACCAGATTTGGCCCCTATAGCCATCTTTCTATCGCAACCCAGCTTCCCCCCCTCCCCCCCACTTTAACACTAGGGAATTCAACATTAGTGCGCCAGATGATGACAACTAGGTCAGCGCTATCGGGGGCTACAACAGCCGCACTGTAACTAGGGCTGTTGGCGAATAAGCAACTGCTGCTCAGGGGGCTGATGTGAGCCAATCTGTTCAAATATGTCAACTGCGCACTCACCTGAATGCTTACTAGTATTTCTCAGCCTCTCATGTGGTGGAGAAAGTATGAGTGGTCTGGATACTTGCTGAAGCCCTTTTCCCGTGTGCCACCTACGGAAACTAGGCAATATCTGGCTGAACAAGTACAAATGTATAACCTCAATTTTTATATTACCAACCTCGAAACTGCATGAGTGTGTGTTTTCTTAAGGAAGAGAAAGGCTCATTTTCTCGAAGCCTACTATGTCATGAACACAAGTTGGATCAAGGGTTTCACACAAGCAATGTTTTATTCATTTTGGATTGAAGCAAAAAAAATGTATTGAGTGGTATCAAGATTGATTGCCATACTAATTCAACACCAAAAGTACAGACATATTGATAATGCTAATGCACAGGATAAGGATATCTTGCTATCTAGTATCTTCGATGATGGAGAAAGAAAAATATGAGCAGGAGAAGAAGATAGAAAAAGGATGAAGCACAATGCAGAAGAAAAGGAAAAAGAAGAAAAAAGCAAGAGCCTGGAAAAGGCTGGTAACAAAACGACGCTAGTCTAGAGCATACAAGGTTAGGGGAAAATTGGGTATGTTCTTTCATGCAAGCACCTTCCCTCACCATCGAAACCCAACGGGAAAGAAGGAGGAGCTCGGATTCAATCGTCTCGATTTCATCCTTTCACCCTCTCTTTGATCTTTTTTTTTTTCTTCTCTCGCACTCATGAATTGTCGTCGAGGATTTTTTTTTTTTTTTTTATACACTGGCCTTCTGAGCCCAGCCGACGCGCTGCTCACCACCATCAAAGACCACGTACGCAGACTTGAGAGCGATATCGCCAAAGATGGAGAAGCCAATGGAGGCGTCGCTCTGCAGGCCACCGTAGCAGGTGGTGTTGGTGGTGTCGACGGCAGACCAGTTGATGTAGTCACCGGGCACGGTGATGGCACCATCACCCACACCAAAGGAGAAATCGGGCATGGTGCTGTCGCAGGGGAAGACGTAGCCGCCCTCGGCGGTGCTGTCCTCGGCGCCTGAGACCTGGGCGTAGTAGGCGGCAACGACGTCGTCAGGCAGCATGAGCAGGGTGGTGCCGGTGTCAGCAATGCCGGTGATGGTCTCGTCGGTCAGGGTGACAGCGCGCTTGCCAACGGTAACGGTGCGTGCCGAGATCGGGGCGTGCTGCTTGGTGGTGTGCGAGGAACGGGCCTCGGGCTTGCCCAGGATGCTGCGAGCCCACTTGAAGAAGCCGCCGCCTTGCTGGTCGCTCTCTGCGTTGTCGTGGTTGTGGTGGCCTCCGCCGGCCTTGGTGTTGGTGGCTGTGGAGGTGGTGGCCGCCGCGGCAGTGGAGGTGGTCGTGGTGCCGTCGCCGACGGCATAGCCTGTGGACTGGAAGGTCCAGTAGCCAGAGAGATCCTGGCTGGTGTTGTACAGGTCGGCATAGAGAACAGTGCCGGTGAAGTCGATGGCACCAAAGGTGTAGGTACCGGGAGCGTCATGGTTGAGATTGGCCACGAAGAGAGGCGAGGTCAGGGTCGACTTGATGTTGTCAAAGAAGGTGTTCTGGGCGGTAGGGGAGACGGTGTTGAGGCTGCTCATGGCCAGGCCGACGAGGCCAGAGTTGGCAGAGTCCTCGGTGAACTCGTCCGAGACGGTGGTGGCGGCCTCGACTGCCTGGGAGGCATATGTGAGGTTACCAATGGTGACGGTGTCAGTGTAGACGTTGCCGCTGGAGGAGCTGCCGTCACCGTAGCTGATAGACCAGGTCGCGCCACTCAGCTGCTTGGCCGTCGTGCTCGATGCCGCGTCGTACGTCTTCTGGCCGTTGACCTCGTCGCTCGGAGTCTCAGAGCTGAAGACCCACAGGTCGCTCGAACCGGTGTCGAAGTCGAGAGGGAGGGTCTGGGCGGGGGTACCGATGGCCACGTTGGTGAGGTATGAGACATCCTCGGCCTCGGGGGTATTGGTGGCGGTTCCTGAACCGGCCGCGCGCTTGGAAGTGCCGCGGTACGCCTTGACGATGGCGTCGAGGTGTGCAGGCATGGTCTTCTGGAACTTGTTGACGGCCTTGGCCATGGCGAGGGCAGGGTGCTTATAGGATGTGGCGGACCGGGGCCTCACGTTGACGGAGACGGAGCCGGCTGGGGCGTCGCGAGCCCGGATCATGTCCATCTGGTAGGGCAGGGCAGAGGCGAGCTCGCTGCTCGCGGCCAGAAAGCCGACCAGGAATGCGCCAAAGGTCTGCATCTTGAGATCCCTACTTTCTTTTTTCCCTTCTTGGGGTTTTCTTTTTCTCTTTGTTCTATTCCTCTCTCAACGTGCTGAGGTAAGATCAGGAAGAAGATGAAAGTAATGGTCTGAGATCAGCTCAGAGCCTCTCGGTTGAGGGAAAGTAAGAAGAAAAAAGAGAATAAAACTACCACCTGGGTAGGTATATTGTTGAAGCTGGATGCAGGGAATAAGAGAATCGAAGAGGAAGAGAAAAGGAAAAAAAAACACTCCTTCCCAAGGAAAAGGAACAGGTGTGAAGATGTGTTGGAAAACCTGTTTGATGAGGAAAGAAGAGATAGGAAGACCACAAAATGCAGGGAACGGAGGCATCCTTATATATCAAGACGAGCGAGGGCATCCTGCATACCATACGGAGCAGGCGAGAGCAAGAGCAGAGCAGCAAGCAGGCAAGAGGATGCCGTATCCGATCTAGAGGCCAGCCCCTGGGCTCCACCACTAGGCTGGGCAGCGGGTCATCGGCTTGCCTCCCTCAGTCAAAACGGACGCGAGAGGGTCTAGACAAGGGCATACTTTCCCGTCAAGGGATCAATTGTGGCTAGACCTTTTCAGAGACAAGGTGATAGAGGAGCCGCAGAGCAAAGGATGACGCAGCCCGGGCCAGCAAGAGGAGAAGGAGAAGGAGAAGGAGGCTGATTCCGCGGAGGCGGACTTAGACACACCACACACAACACTATGCATGCGATTAATGCAGGGGTCCCTGTCCTGGTTCCCATAATGCCCTCCTCGAACGTCGTCAGGAACTGACGTGTTGTGACTTCAGACGAAAACAGCAAAACGTCTCGTCTCTGCTCCCAAAGTGTGCCAAGGAGGGCCAAGGAGGGCTTTGCCCTGCGGCGCCTCAGGAGGATCTCCATGATCTCCCAAACATTCCCATCATCCCATCAATGTGTGTTGTTTCTCCTCCCATGGCCAAGAGAGATCTTCACTGGGTTGACGATGTGGCTGGGCAGTCATGACTATAACTTACACAACCAGGCAGGTGAGCCTCGTCCGAGCCTCGTCCGAGCCGCTGACATGATAGGCTACCCAGGGTGCTGGATTTTTTGTTCGGCTCGCCCGCCAGTGACAGAGAGGTGAGCTCAGCAGGTCATCCCACACGCACCTTTCAACTTGTCAACTTTGACAGAAGGACGATGAGTCAGTGCTCAAGCGGGGAGATGGGTGGTTGTTTGAGGCGGGCGGCAAAAAAGGAAAAACGAAAAAGACAACACAGAGAAGGGTGAATGGTTTACCGTGATAGATCCGAGAAAGAACAAGCCCCTGACGTTATTCATCGTCCACACCCCCTCCGCTTTTTCCCTCCTCCTGCTAGGATCTGTATGATCTTTGAACATAGTATGATACTATGTTCCATAATTACATGCATTGCAACAGGTCAGGTAAGTCAAATGTCCTACACACGCGCATGGGCAGCCCCTCCGTGGTGGGAGAGAAAAGAAAAGAAAATCGTCCCAGTCCCAGTCGCTGCACCTCAACGGCAGGCCTATGCCGAACAGTGTGGGGACCCGACCCGGGCTGAAGGGGGCGCAACTGGCCCTCTTGTCCAATCGATGTGCCTGGACATTTCTGAAACATAAGATGAGAGTGCCGGGGCGTACGCGGCGCAGACAACCACAAAGGGTTCAAGTGGGAGGGAATCTGTCCACCCTTGAAACACGGCCTAAATGATTTTTTTACCTTTCTTTTTTACCCCCTCTTCATTTTTTCCCCTCCCCCCCCCTTGATCGGGGCCAGCCAGCCAGCCAGCCAGGACCTATTCGGAAAGTCTCATCGATCAATTCTTCATCCGCTCCCCATCAAAGAATCGGTGGCAAGAGATTCGAGCCTATCTGGCCGCACGAGCCGAGGGGCCGAGCCACAAAATCTGGGGCGGCAATTCACTATGCTTGGTGCCTATGCTTTGTATTACTATGAAATTCTGTATTGGGTAAGTCAATTAGCCTCACGTTGAATCTCCCATAGGCACTTAGACGGCAAACCTTGAGTTTCCTCCCCGACTGACTAATTGACTTACTCTCACATAGACAATAATTGCGCGCGCGTAACGCACACATGCACACATAGAGCCCATTGACAAAAAGAGCAGCTTTGTCTGTGTCGCAAGACCCTGTTCTTCCTGCCCCTCCCCCTCCCCTTCCCCCTCCTCCCTTGTGTAGACATCGAGGCCAGACCATCTTACCTCTACAGAAAAGAGTTCCCCGTCCCTATTGTCTTCTGCGGAACATGTCTCTGGCTCGGGGTCCACCGGCAGGCATAGTCCAGCCTTGTCAGCGTCCGGCACGTCTTTTGTCTCAGATGTTCTTTACCTAAAAAGGACCGTTGAAGGGCCTTCCCGGGGAGGGGTCTCACGTGCGCCAATGGCTCAGTATCCTTCTCCTCGGCGTTCGGCAAAATTCATACTGCACATCATCTCAAACCAAGGTGATTCTTCGGCGCCATTTGGTCATTCCGGTTCAGACGGCGCCCTGTCGGCGAGGCCCGACTTAAAGTTCGTGTCGGCGGCGCCGGACCATCTGCCGACCAGAGGAGGGTCTTGTCTCTGAATGACCTAATCGATCTTGTGTTCTGGATTTCAGCAGACGCACACTTCAGTCTTTTTTGCGGGCTTAGCAGGTCCACGTCATCCTGCTTAGTATGTGGGGTTTGATTCGAGGTCACATGGGGACAATGTGTGTTCACTTGAGATTTTGTCTGGTGATGAGGCCTGGACTGTTTGTTCATCTCGTAATATGAGATTGTGGTGTCGTCCCCAGACAAAGTGACGTCTGAACGTACGACACTATAATCTAGACCAAGCAACGCATCTTTTGATACCATATAGAACATCAACTTGACGCCTGCTTATGCCTTGTTATAGATACTCGTCACAATTGTCTTCAAACAACATTTGAGAAGTGATTGTTCATTTTATTCTTGCCAAGGCAAAGGCTTTCTCTCCTTGGTGGCAATTCTCGAGGCACATAGAGGTTGCCAAATGTCAATTATGACCTCATCTCTTACGCAATGATTATGCGGTACAATTAACAAGATGGAACAGTTTAAGGGCTGTAAAGATGCTTTATCCAAGTTCGTATGTACTTCTGAGGAGATGTCACTTGGCAGGTAAGTAGCAATTGCAGCGGCCGAGATGGAGAAGGGGAGAGAGGGCGGGGAACAGGACCAGAGACAAAAAGCAAAAGTATAAAAAAAAAGATTAGAAATTGATGCACAAAAAAAAAAAAAAAAAAAAGGCAAAAAGAAAACAAAGCTACACAATTCTCATCCTAACATACTTTAGACACAAACAAAATCGGCGGGAGCACAACAACAAGGCGCCAACACAAACGCCAAGGGCGCGTTTCAAGCGTGTGTCGAACCGCAGCGCAGATAAGAAACACCGCTTCTCGTCTCATGTCCCCGGCCGCCGCAGGGTGTCTGTCGGGGACAACAAGTTACAATAGCAGTCAAATGACAGTATTTGAAATCTATTCCTAGCATATCGAAAGGTTTGTTTTACCCTATTGATGGGGGGGGGGGGGGGGGAGCGACTGTTTCCCTCTTTTCTTGTCACAGAAACCTATCTCCCTAAAACCAAGAAATTCTATGAGCCCGCCCGAAAGCGCTTGTTTGGAGTTGACGCTGCGGGTTTGGAACACACTTGCCTCCTGTTTCACAGCACAAGCTGGGGGAGAATGATTAATGAAACTGACACAAATTTGCTTCTTTTGAGGCAATTCTGTGCCGGTCTCTGTGTATTTTGCAATGCGATGACAGATGGCCCGTGAGGCTCGGACGAACCACAAGATTTCGGGCGAGAGGGACAGCTAGGTATAATTAATTCACAACTCATTATTCCTCTGAGCCTCTGACAAGCGTTTCTCGTCTCACCTTCCCCAGTCAGGGGATAAATATCAAACTCATGGCCAATGGTTCTGCATCTGACCGCCTCCCACATTGTCCACTTCGATCCCTGCCCTGAAAACTAACGCTCAGACATTGTCGAAAGAGTGTTCGTCTCTCGAGCAAGTTCAAAACACACAAAGCCTCCTCCACGAAACATTGGCAGGTGAAGCTCTCCATGTTCGTGCTCGGAGGTATCTTCGATTTCCCCTTTTTTCAGCCTCGGGTCTAGGCTATGCTGTGTAACGTACATGGCTTGTCTATATGTCTGTGTTCCTGGGGGGAGAGACAATCTTTGATTACTAGCACAAGCAGGCCAAGCAAATAATCACTGCATTCACTTACTCGCTCCTCGACGATTCGTGCAAGGTCTCAAAAAGCAAGTCAGGACCGACCCGACCCGACATGCCCAGCAAACACCCACATAAAGATATTCTTGGGCCTGATCGGCTCCGGGGGGTGTTGTTCCCAATCAAGCCACAGGATCTACGCATGGGAGGTGTCATGGTGTGGGCGCAGTCCCCTGGTCGATGTCTACCATAGTATTGTTTCCTCAGCCTCGGCCTCTTCTTGTGGGGTGGGGGGGGGGGGGTTCATGCGTGCGTGGTTTTAGCTGGTAATCGTCCCACCAGATCTCTCGCCTATCTATTTTTGCCGATGATCATTATGCAGCCTAGGGCGTAGTGCCGACACCAAGGTTTGGAGACTCGGACACACTTTTAAGTGAATTACTTGTATTTGCGTTCAATGTGCATTGAGAATGGAGAATGATTTATTCTTTTAATGAAAAAAAGGGAAAAAAAGAAGGCCAACTTTGGAAAAACACATCAGACTCCCTTGTGGCTTAAAGCTAAGCAGTCATCTTCACTCTTCAAGTGCGGAAAGTGAATCTCAAAGAGTCAATCACGTTTGACACGGCAGTGATAAGAAGTATGCACGCGCTGAATCGCTACAGCTCCAGTAGATCATGCTCCTGTAGTAAAAGTTGAGACCCTCATATCCAGATGACGACATCCTGCATAGTACAAGTCCGCGAGACCAGAAACACGACAGAGTCAGCTCCTCCATCTATAGTCCAGATCTCCCATTGTACCCAAAGCAGAATCCCTCCATATCCCCAACCTGCCGTCCAGAGCAGTCGAGATAGTATGTTAACCGTCGAGGTGTTGTTTTGTGAGTGATCGTATCGAATGGGTAACGAACGAGGGCTCTGTGTGGTTCTCGTGAAGAGGTTCCATGAGCTCCCGCACCACGCCGACGAGAAGTGATTGCTGTCTCGGTATTTTGTGTCATGCCATTTGTCTTTGTTCATAGGGTGATACTCTCTTACAGAGGAAAAATGTAAGACCGTGTCAATACATTGTAGTCAAATTACCCGAATGACTTCGGGGGAATGGAGTTTTCTGATTTTATTATGTTTCTATCTCAGGTACTATGCGAGGGCAAAAGGGCTCGTATTGCAGTGCGCTAAAGAGAAGAGAAAAGAAGAGAAAAACCACGAGGGCAACTAACTGAGGCTATCAACAGGTCTGGCTGTTGGCTGGCTGGCTGGGCCGGAGTCACTGGCCCTCGCACAGGTACTGACTGACATGGCGCCAAAACCAAAGTCCAGCGCTCGAAAATTACCAGATAAAAAATCCCATCATCCCAGCCCAGTCAATGTGAAATCAAGCGACCAAAGAATAGAACTCCTGCTATGAAAAAGACACGTCGTGACTCGTTTAATGCGTCTAGCACCAATTATTTTTGGGACACTTCCAATGTTAGTGCCGCACCACGGCTTGGTTCTAGTAAGTCTCCGAAGGTTCATCCTGTCTTAACGACAAGAGCAATATACTGAACTAATGAGGTACAGTATTGTGAGCAGAAAGGTTGAGGGTGTAAAGATATTCAGAACACTCGATCAGCCAGCGACGACTGGTCGGACGGCGAGTGTCCTCTTGATGTCCTTGAGAGGATCTTGGGTCGTCATTTGTCCGTCACGGCGGATGAGCATAGAGGGAAAACGTATTTTTGCCTGCGTCCGTTTTCATGTCAGTGTCAGCTACAATGTCCATTTCCTCCCCTCTCCTCAACGATACTATCGTCGTCGTCGTCGTCGTCGTCGTCATCATCATCATCATCATCAGTCTTGGGAGTGGAAAACTTACATCTGCAAGCGAGCTGGCATACCTGATGCCCAGGTCCTGCGCGATGGACATCAGGCGGCCTACAACCCATTCACGCTGCTCGTCCGTGGAAAAGTCACAACACCTGACGGTACTCAGCGGCCACGACGCCATGAGCCCACCGACCATCTTGGACTGCATGTCGGCACCGCACAGGAAACTGCCCTGGTTGATACCGCGCAACGACGGATGCGGCGCCGCGTCTCCTTCCCCTCCGTCAAAAGAGCTCAGCATGAACGGCACGGCCGAGATCAGATCGGAAGTGAGAGTCTTGATGGTCTGCACGGCGGTCTGGTACTCGGGAGCGAGGCGGTAGTCAGCAGGCGAGCAGATCCAAGCCGTGACGCGGACGAGAAGAGAGCACAGGATGATGCGCGAGGACCGCATGCCGTTCCACATGGACGCGATGACGACGTCTTGGTACACATCCACGCGCCCAGGAAACACAGGCATGCTCTTGAGCCCGCCCTTTCCGACAGGCCTGTCCTCGTAGTACAGCGGGCGGCCCTGGTGATCGGCGGGCAGGGCAGCAGCCCAGGCGGCGATCTGGTGGTCGAGGTGCTTGATCCTCTGGAGCATCTCCAGCATGAGCTCGAGGCTGTCGTTGTTGCGGGCGAGGGTGGCCATCAGCCTGGTCACCTCGACGCGGAGGTCGCTGATCTCGAGACAGAAACGCTGGAGGCGCACGCCGGCTGGGTCGCAGAGCTCGGCATTCTCGGTCCACCAGTTTGCGCCCATGGCCGGTGCAGTACCGGAGGAGAGCGAGCGCGCAATCTGTTTCAGGTATCAAAATCAAGCGTCAGCAAAGGAAACGGAAGGAAACGAATGGGGACAAGAGAGAGGAAGAGAAAGAAAACAAAACGACAAGAAAGAAAAGAAAGTGCATGTATAAATAATGAAACCAACAGAAAAAAGGAGGAAGAGATGGTGATGATAATGGAGACATACAATATTCATGCGTACAGCATTAAATAAACGCATCGAGTACTTGTCCTTGAGCATCTCGTGCCCTCGCTGATGGACAATATGTATAGCACCTTCGATATGGGTGCGCCATGCCAGCAGCCCTGTCTCCTTGCTTGCCGTGATTTTCTGTGCGCCGTGTCGAGAGAGGGAAAGTCAGCCCAGAGTGTAAATGAATGATTATACTTGAAAAATAGTTAGACTGACCTCAAAGAAACATAGCAGTAACACAGAGGCCAAGGTTGCGTCCGTCTTGCATCGTAGGGGATCCTGAAGCGCATCGGCCACAGCCCTGATGGCCCTCGTGTGCTGAAGAAACGATATGTCGACCAGGTCTCTGTTGGTGGCCCTCTCACGGTTGCTCATCGCAGCAAGGCCACACGCGCTATAGGCGAGCTGAAAGGGGCCATTGGGATCGGTCTCGGACTGGAGCAGGGGCACCAGGTAGTCCAGATGCCCAGGCCGCCGGCCAGACTGGCTAGGGAGCATGATGAAATGAGATGCAAAGTAGTGCGAGGCATGCTGGTCCAGGGGGATTGCCGGAGGGGCGATGGGAAAGGAATTCTCGAGGGCCAGCTGGCGGGACGAGGCGGCTGATGCCGTGGACTCTGTCGGCGATGGTGGTGGTGGTGGTGATGATGATGATGATGATGATGATGATGAGGTTGCTGATAATGATGCCGTCCTCGTCGTCGTCGTCGTCGTCAACTCGAAGAGGGGTGCGGTCGATGGTTCCCTCTTGACCTTGTCCTTGCCCTTGCTGCTGCTGCTGCTGCTGCTGCTGCTGCCGGTCGTTGGGACAGCAGCTTGGAATTGTATGATGGTGGTTGCGTCGTCGCCGCCATGCTCAGTAGCCTTCTTGGCGGCCTTCTTCTCTGCCTGTCGCTTTGCACGCCTAGCCGTGGCTTGTGTCTCGTCTCGATGAAGAATGTCAAAGTCGGAGCGGTATCCGCTGCAGTGGCGGCGAGACTTGATACACTGATTACAGACGGGCTTCGCTTCGTCACACTTTGTGTGTGAAAAGAGAAGATGAGAGATCAATTGTTAATCTGATAGTCCCCGAAAGGGAGGGAGGAAGGAGAACAAGAAGAAGGGGAAACAAAAGTCGTCATTATCATCATCACCGTCATCACCATGAACGTGGACGAGGCGCACCTTTATTCTTCTAGTTCGACATGTGCGACAACCCATCGAGGGCTTCCCGCAGTACACCATTTTGGGGGCGGTTGTCCGACCCACTACACTGAGTAGGACTCCCTTACGCCGCCGCTCTAGAACGATGGTTCAACCACCACCAGAGCCCGAGAGAGCTGGTTCCAGAGGGGGTGACCTCTAGAACGCAGCCACAGACTCAGCAAGAAACGTTTAAAAAGGAACACCTTCAGAAGGGGAAGAAAGATGATGTAAGCTTGAAGGTACAGCACGGTGTGAAGCTTCCATATAACGATCATAACAACAGCGCTGTATGAGTCGTGGATTCTGGTTAGAGTTGAAAGGTAAAGAAGAGAGAGGCCAACATGAAGGCCAACACGAGAACGAACATCTTCTCCGGCCCCTTCAACAAGCAACATCCAAAAGTCCTACTATCTCACAGGGCTAGGCTCACTCCAGCCGGAAAACCCGCTGCAGGATGCGCACGGATGTCGTCAAGGACGCAGGAAACCCAGGATCTCAGGGGGTGGAGGGGCCCTAGCCAATTGACAGCTATGTGCCTGGCTAGCGATGGGCATAGTGGGGGAACCTCTTTCTGCGGGCTCTCAAGGTCGCCGACTCCACTGTCGGCGGGTCGACAAAAGCCTTGTCTACAGTTGACGGCTCACTGATGGTCCCTATGCGGCATTTGAGAGCCGGCGGCGAGGGAGAGAGATTGGCGAGATTATCTTGAACAAATAAATTATTGAGAAGAGAAGGGGAAAAAGGGAAAGCGTAGATTTCTTCCCTTTCTCCCTCGCCGGCCCCTCCCCCACATTCCTTCATTTCTTTTGCTTCCTTTTTTTTTCTATTCTTTTTAAAGAAAAAGTAAGCACGCAAATTTTTCAGCTACCAGAGCTGACGATGGTAGTGGGTTGGTGGGTGGTGATAGTAGTTCGGTCTCAGCCGAGACACTCATCTGATTTCTGTGACCTGGGTGATGTTTCGGCATGTCAAGAAGAATACTTATTGCGTTCCTGTTGGTAGAATCAAAGAGTCTCTTGGTGTTGATTCTTCTTCTTTTCCTTTCTACCGTTGCCTACAAGGTAAAAAGAAGGAAGAGAAAACAACAAGAAGCGGAGGAGGAGGGAGAGGAAGAAGAGGGTGGGGGGGGGGGCATTTGACTGCTCTCAGGCAACATGCCCTTTAGCCGTCATTGTCGCAATCTTCCATGACCGGCAAATAGAAACAACACCCGCCCAATCGTTTCGTGGACTGCCGAGCCTTTGCAGCACACTGTATCTTTTAAGCCTCTCTATTAAGGTTCTTTCTAAGCGTCTTTTTTCTTCTTCTCCTTACCTTTCTTTCCTTCTTTCTGCACCCAAGCCAACTGTTAGAGCGACTTGGCTTTGAATTAGCCACATTCTCAAGCTCGAGGCGTCTAAGGAGGGGATCGCGATATACATCAATGCACGTGCGAGATGAGATCAGGTAGATCCCATGGTCTGGCCCTTGCAGGCGAGGAATGATCCATCTCATTCTCGTTGAGCAAGGGAGACAAGAAAAACCATGTGGTGCAGCTGAAAAGTGATCCCCGGCGGGAATAACATCGAGGACCAAGACAAGATGGCGGAAGACTACCGCCCTCTGTGCATCACATTGATTACAGTCCATCCTGTAAATAGTGACCATGATTGATGAACCGCTGGGGCATTCGTGAAGGCGGATTGTGACCTTGCCGAGTCACCGCTGCTAACCGAAGGAGACGGGTCTGGAATCCCCTCCCGCCCCCCAAAATACACGTCGAGAAGCGAAGGATTGTCTAGTGTATGTAATGCGTGCTCCTCGTCTGCGCAAATCGCTTCCCTGACTGACGAGCGAGGTTACTCACCGGATCGGCGGTGCATCACATCTACATAAGTGCATTCGGGATATAAATCTGGCCAAGACAAAGACAGATGAGTAACCGAAGGATGCCATCCCCAGCGCGTCTGGCTGGAAAGGTATGGTCTGGTGTAAGCTGAGAATTTCGCACACAAAATAAGAATTGAATGGAAGCGTGGGCGTGGAGCACATAGGCAAATGGAGTCGCCCATTATTTCATTCCCTTGTTTTCTTATCTTTTTTCTTCTTTTTTCTTCTTTTTGGTTCACTTGCTTTTACACGAGACAAAAAGCAGTTCCAAAACACAATATCCCGGCGGTGCTGTCAATATTCTTTTGCCGTGGGCTAGTGAGAGAAGATGACAGAACAAGATCGACGGATATTCTATGAACCAGTAAAGGAGACAGTATCATCTGCCCGAGGAATGGTGAAAAGCCCAATTCTTGATAATTATGAATATCTCCTGTGAAAAACAACATCCTTTCAACAAGCAAAGAATTACGTGCTTGCACATCATGTCCCTTGCTAAACTATAGGATCACCAAAAGTAACGTTGACATTCTCTGTCACTTGACAACATTCTCAAAAAGGAAGGCTTTCCTGCATTTACAGCGTCATCATGATCATTTACGGTTGGTAGTCTACAAGAACGGCTCCAAAAAGGTAGGGCCCGCTGCAGGGGATACGCGTCTCTCTCCCCCGCGTGAGGTTGAGGTGCATGTGTGCTGCAAGTCGGCCCGCACTATTGCCTGGCAAACCTATAATTTGAGCGGACGACATCACATCCTATCCATGCTCGGTAATTACAACAAAGGAAGGGTAGTTGGTGGACGTACAGCACACGACCAAGTCGCTTTCTAAAAGACTGTATAATATCTGAGCAATTTCACATACTCACACACGTCATGAATGCAAACGTATCAGTATATATGTATGTGAACACATGGAGGTGTGTGTGTGTGTGTGTGTGTGTGTGTATGAAATCCATAGTATATGGAGCAATCCAAATCAAAATTGGCAGGCTAAAAGGCTCCTAAGAACCTTTACAACGCGTAAGATTGGGCACGACTACATGCCTGCAATGCAACCAACACTCGGGCCATACCACTACCGTGACAACAAACATCTAGTACCGAGATCCGTATCCCACAGAGCACGAATGACTGCTGATCAAGTGGATTTTCTTCCCCACCCCATTGCCTGGTCCGATCCGGGGTGCAGGACAAATCTTGATCTGTTGACCTGCTCTTCCCGCTCCCCCACACAGCGGCTGCACGTATGCACGTCTGCCGGCCACATGACGGGCAAAAAAAAAAAAAGACCTAGATCGAGACATTGTTCTGTGTTTATTGTATGTATGCCCCCATCCCCACTACACCATAGAGGAACAAGACCCTCGGGATCGTGCAGTAGCACCTCACCAAGAACAGGTCACGTCTCCACGATGGTCACCAGAGAAGACAGAGAGGGGTAAGAATGAATTTTTTTATTAAAAAAAAAAGAGCCAAAAAAGCCAAATCAAGATGCATCAAGAGGAGCTATGATCTCGTATGTGTATATACCTCGGTATTATTACGATCTTGTATCCCCCGAGGATGTGGAGGTTCCAATTTACCACTATTGTATGCAATATATGATGATGACGGTGGATACTTAAGAAGTCCACTAAGTACCGTACATTAGCCACATGCCCGTGCTCACAAAAGCAAGTATAGCTAAATGTAAACTTCCTGGGAAGAGGGGAAAGGTACACATGCACACCGCCGGTTCGGACCTTGGCGGAGAAAGAAAAGAGATTCTTCTTCCCCTCGTTGTTCTTCCTGGTTCTTCTCCTCCTCCTTCTATCTGCTCTCCACTAGAGAATTCATCATGGTTAGACTTCGTGGTTATGTTGGGCTTGCCCTCGCAAGTCTCATAGGTTGTCTCAGCCGACAAGTTGAGGCCGTGGACGTTACTGTCAACCTGAACTACTCGACCTATGTAGGCACGGAGCAGCGTGGAACTGGCGTTACTCAATGTAAGTTTTTTTTTTAAGGATATGTGTGTGTGTGTGTGTGTGTGTGTGTGTGTGTGTGTGTGTATGCGTACACAATGTATGGAGTGGTCTTGTTGCTTCTTCCCTTCCTTAGTTATGTAGACCAGGCCAGTTGAAAACCGACTCTTGGCCAACTCTGTTATTTCTTTCATTTTCTCATAGAGTCTCAGCGAAGAGATACAGGATTTCTGAAGGCTGAATATATATGACTGTGAATTAGGGCTTGGAATACGGTACGCGGCGCCTCCTCTGGGGGACCTCCGTTTTGCTCGTCCTCAGGATCCTCTGTTTAACAGTACTGTACAAATCGCAGACCAGGTAAGTAGTTTACTTCCTTCTAGCCCAGCAGAAATATCAAAGAAAGAGAGGGAGGGGGGGAGAGAAACATCATCACCACCAAGACCAACAGAGACAAAACCACAAAGACTTACAAACAAATATCTAAGCATGGCCCATACTGTCTCGGCACAAACGTGCCATCCGACAACACAGCCACATCAGAGGACTGTCTATACCTCGACGTCTACGCGCCCAGCAACGCGACCACCAAGTCCAAGCTCCCCGTCTACCTCTTCATCCAGGGCGGCGGCTTCAACGTCGACAGCAACCCCAACCTGAACGGCACAGGGCTCATCAACGCCAGCGGCAACAACATGCTCGTCATCACCTTCAACTACCGCGTCGGGCCGTACGGCTTCCTCACGGACGGCGACGCCATCCCGCCCAACAACGGCCTCTTTGACCAGCGCAAGGTGATGCGCTGGGTGCAGGCGCACGTGGCCCAGTTCGGCGGCGACCCAGACCACGTCGTCCTGGGCGGCGACTCGGCCGGCGCGGCGAGCGTGAGCCTGCACCTGATGGCGTACGGCGGCCGCGACGACGGGCTGTTCCACGCCGCCGCCGCCGAGTCCGTCTCGTTCGCGGCCGTCTTCACCGTCGACCAGTCGCAGTGGCAGTACGACAACCTGGCGATCCGGCTGGGGTGTGTGGGAGGGGCCAGCCACACGCTGGCCTGCCTGCGGGCCAAGACGGCCGTCGAGATCCAGGATGTAAACTACAACATCCCGTTTCCCGGCGCCGCCGCCCCGCCCCTGTACATGTACAACCCTGTCATCGACGACGACCTGATCCGCGACGTGACCTACGAGGCCTTTGCCAAGGGAGACTTCATCCGGGTCCCCGTCATCTTTGGCGACGACACCAACGGCGGCACCATCTTCACCCCGTCCAACACCAGCACCCTGCAGGAGAGCAACATGTTCATCAAGAACCAGTTCCCCTACGTCTCCCTCGCCGACCTGGGCCGCGCCAACACCCTCTACCCCAACCCCAACACCTCCTGCCCCAGCACCGGCTGCTACTGGCGCCAGGTCAGCAACGTCTACGGCGAGATGCGCTACATGTGCCCCGGCCTGTACATCTCGTCCAAGTATACAGAGTACGGCGTGCCCCAGTCCTGGGCCTACCGCTGGAACGTCCAGGACCCCACCCAGGAGGCCGAGGGCTACGGCGTCGAGCACACCGTCGAGCTGAACGCCATCTTTGGGCCCGAGAACACCAACGGCGCCTCGCCTGCGAGTTACTACCCGGGCGGCATCAACGCGCCCGCGGTGCCTGTTGTGCAGGGGTACTGGACCTCGTTTATCAGGACGTTGGACCCCAACACGTATCGCCTGCGTGGGACGGCCGAGTGGGTGCCCTGGAATGACACCGCCCAGGGGAGGCTGTTGTTCTCGACCGGAGGAGGCACGGGGATGGAGAACCTTGCTGGGTCGGACCTGATGGAGAGGTGTGACTTTTGGTATGGTATTGGGGTAGATATTCGACAGTAAGATAGAGAGAGGGGGAGGTAGGAGGCGAAGTTGATGATCCAATGTGTGAATTCATAATGATAATAATGAAATGAATTGTTACAAGAATGGGAAGAAAGACAGATTTGAAAATCTCTTATACACAAATCGGTTGGGCATATACACACACACACACATACACACACACACACACACATATATATATATATATATGTCATGATGCCTGAAAGCATAGTAATACATGACATGAGGGAACCTCCATTGGGGGTTTCTTCCTCGGTTTCAATTGTTTCTTTCATCGGTGGTAAAGAAAAAGAACAAAAAGGTTGTTGTAGTTTTGAGGTTGGGGGGTTGGGAGGGAGGGATGGAGACACTGCATCTGGGCGTTTCCCTACAAGGTCCAAGGCCTGTCTGATGCACCATTTTCTCTCATAGAATAGTACATCGTCATGGAACCAAGTTATTTGAAAGAGGGTGAGAAAAGAAAAGGAAGAGAGGGGGGGGGGAAAAAAAAGAACCCCTCCCTCCTTCAAGTCATCAGCACCTGCGTGCCAAACACCCTAGAACAAGCAGCAATATCCCAAGTCTCCATGTCGAAGCCGTTCATGTCTCGCAGCTCCCACACCCTCCTCATAATCCGCATGGCCTCCCCGACGGTGCCAAACTCGAGCAGCGGCCCCATGCAGCTCGCCATCTGCGTAAACAACTGCTCCTGTTCCCGCGTCGCCAGACACCCCAGCACAAAAAACGGCCACGACAGGCTCCGCAGCACGGCCGGCGACGAGATGCTGTGCAGCAGCTGCATGGCCACGGCGATACTGCTGGCAGCGGCTTTGGTCGCGGCGGCCCAGCCCGTGACCACAACGCCCAGGTAGGCCGTGGCGGCCAGGGCCCAGATGCGCGTGACGTTGACCTGCTCGTCGGCGCGCATCTGCGGGCCGTCGGCTCGGTAGAACGACCTGAGCACGGCGGTGATGTCGTTGGGGATGCGCCGGCGGAGGCTCTCCCTGTCGAGGCGGGCGAGCCCCTGCTGGAGGCGGCTGTGGAGGTGGCTGCCGTGCTCCAGCAGCTCGTCGGGCCGGAACTTGCCCTGCGACCTGGACTCCTTCTTCCACGCGTCCAGGAGGGCGATGTCGCCGATGGTCATCAGCACCCAGCCCTGGCACCCAAAGAAGTTCTCCATGCGGATCTTCTCGCACGGCGGGCTGCCCTCCTCCTCCTTCACCATGATGCTGTGGTACTTTCGGAGCCGCGGTGGGCCCTCCAGGCACGTGCTCGCGATGATGTCTGTGAAGAGGAGCACGGCCGTGTAGAAGCGGAATGCGCCCTGGTCGCAGTGCCACACCACGCGCTCTGCCATGAACTTCTGCCACGACGGCCTGCTGAGCGCCTGCACGGCCAGCACCATGTTGGGCTTGCCCGTCTCGTCTGTGCCGTACTCGTCAAAGATCTCCTGGAAGATGGCCATGGCGGCCGACAGGTGCACGTTCCAGTCCGAGGTCCTGGCCATCGAGTGCTCGAGGATGAGCAGCTGGATGATGCTCTCCATGGTCTTGCCCTTCTGGAAGATGGTGGACCGGCCGTCCTGGCCCCTCTTGAGGTCCTCCATGTCCTGTTGCATCGCCTTGACCGCCGTGTCCACGTGTGCCACCAGCTTGTTCCAGATCTGCTGCGAGCACACCTGGTGGCGGTCACCGCCCCGCAGGATCACCGTAAAGAAGTAGGCGCTGAGGCTCATCCCGGAGTGGAAGAAGGCCGTGTTGCCTCGGAGCATCGCCAGCAGCCAGCTCCGCCCGCCCTCCAGGATCGACGGCTGGTAGAAGGGGTAGATGAAGGGGAACACGTAGTCCAGGAACGTGATGGTGAAGTCCGTCTCCACGTCGGCCGCCATCGAGCGGTTCCTGTCGTTGTCCAGGCCCAGCAGGTTCCACACTGTAAACTCGTGGGCGTGCACCGAGGAGAGCGGCGGCAGGCCCACGTAGCCATCGGCCACGCAGTCTGGACAGACAGGCCTGGGCGAGATGCCCGTGGCGGACGACGGCGGGCTCGAGTCTGGTGTGTGGCTGCTGGTCATCGCCGTGGCAGGGTGCATGTTGTGGTTGCTGTTGTTGTCGAGGAAGCCCAGGTCGCTCTTGTCGTCACGGTCTTCGGACGAGGACGAGGGATGGGCGCTGTTGTTGTTGGTGTAGTTGTTGCTGCTGTTATTGTGCAGCGACAGCAGGCTTGGGCGCGATTGCGGTGCAGGCCTCTCCTCGGGCTCATCCATGCGGACGCGGTCCTCGTGGAGCGTCAGGACCTGGATGTACTGCCTCTCGCGGCGTGCCTCGGAGCCCTGCCTGACCTCGGCCTTGATCACCTTGGCCATCTCCTCCTGCCTCTCTCCGCCGTCCATCCATTCCGGCCTCGCCTCGCTGTAGTGGCATGTGATCTCCAGCGCCGCACACGCGCTGCATCTTGGTTTTGTCCGATCACATTTCTTGCGCCGCACCCGGCAGGTCCAACAACTTGGTGGCTGCTGTTGGTGTGGTTGTTGTTGATGAGGAAGAGAAAGTTGTTGTGGTTGGTGTTGTAGAGACATGGGGTGCCAGTCTCCTCAAGAAGAGAGAGAGAGAGAGAGAGAGAGAGAGAGAGACAAAAGAAGAAACCAACAAAAAAAATAAAATAAAAGAATATTTAGATCAAGGATAGGTAGATGACTGATGGATGAGGAGTGGTTGTGGTGGTGGTAGTGTTGAGTGGTGTGAGTGGTGACCGCAGGAGGAGGGTCGAGTCAGCCACGAGGGGCGTGCGCCCGGAGGATACAAATTATAATAAAGTGTTGGTGTTGTCGGGCACAAAGAAGCTTTTTTTCGGTTTTCTCTTCTTCTTCTTCTTCCTCCCTTCTTGCGGTGTATGGAATGGTGATATGGCGCCGAGGTTTTGATTTTTTTCTTCTTCTTTTTTTGTCTTTGTCTTTCTCGTGTCTCTTCGTCTTTTTTTTTCTCCAGGAATCCCCGAGATTGCGCCTCAGCCTTCCAGATGTGCCCATCGCCAATGATCCAAGACGATCGATGTGATCCTCGGGGGGGAGGCTTCGCAGCTGAGCCCCAGCCTTGACCTAGCGTCTGAATAAGGTTTGTTATGCATTGGAATGCGAAACGAACGCTTCCCCCATCTGCGCCTCCTGCCAGGCGACGGGCAAGGTAACGAACAAACGAGCAGCAGTGCCTTGTTTCAGGGGTTCTGAACTTGGGACTGATCAGTAGGTTAGTCAGAGTGCCATATCGTGAGAAATAAAGTGTGTGTATGAGAGAGATAGAGACTGCGTATGACAAAGCGCAAGAGATAACGCAGTACATACTATGCAGCGAGTAAGTGTGTAGTCTGAGGAGTGAGAGAGTCAGGTAGTCTCCACTCGTTGCCACACACACGAACACTCACATACCACAGTATCTCTTTCTATGTATCACTTTTCCACCACGGGCAAAGACAAAAAGTGATACACATCTGCTCACTGTTCCACTGTTTTGTCGATGACCTCTAAAACATGCTGCTGTATGTAACATACATTCATCCTTCTACCACAGTAAGTTTGGACCTGCAGCAAGGGTTGCCACTTGGGTCATCTCGCTAAACTGTTCCAATTGTCTCCTCTGAGGGTCAAAGAAAAAACGACGATGTTGATCTGAAAAGAGTCAGTCACATACACACACTCGCTCTGTCTCTCTCACTCACACACATACACATACGTGTGCAGTCAAGTAGAGTGAGAGAAAAGGTTGTGCGTGCGTGTAACGGAGACGAACAAAAACGGCAAGAGAAAAAAAAAATGGTAAAAGTTAAAATTAAAAAAAAAAAAAACGCCTCGTCTCCTTACCGGAGAAAAAAAAAAACGGAAAAAAGAGAGATGCAAGAAGAAGGGAAAAAAACAAGGAAAAGAGAAAAGACTAACTTACCATCTCGGACACCAAGCCTCTCTCAACCATCCTGGTTCCCATGTGGCGGCGTAGTGCGGGCGGCAGACGACGTTGGGAATGGCACCGCAGCATTATCGTCATGAAAATGGTGCAACCCACCTCAACTGAAATCTCCACCACCAGTACGACTTTTTCTGTGTGAAGAGGAAGGGGGGGAAGAGAGGGTGCCACACGGCTTAGCAAGCCGGTGTCCCAGAAGCGGGTCTTTGTTTCCTTTTTACTCTGTCTCTCTCTCTCTCTCTCTCTCTCTCTCTTTGTCTTCTTTTTCCTTGGTATCCTTCTTGGTCTTGGCCCTAAGCCCCCCCTCTCCCCTCTCCCGCTCTCTCCCGCTCTCCCCCCCCCCCCACCCCTCCTTGTCGTAATATCGGCGACGCCTACCGAGAGTGACATGCCGCGACTCAGTTCACGGGGGAGGATTTCAGCTTGTGGTTGCTTCGACCTGCCAGAAATCGGATGGCGTTCGAGCTTGATCCAGGGTCAACGGTCGGAACATGTGGGTACACGGGATAGGCGGTGGGCAATGCTGTAGGGGTATAGGGTGGAGGTGGGCCCTGTGCACTGTAAATAGGTTTTTGGACAAAGCTAGGACATACTAACGATTGTATGTATACGGGGTTTTTTCTCGTTCATAGTTGCCCTGACACATTCTCAGAGGAACGACACGACAAAACTTGCCCAGAGCTCTCCCTCCTCCCAAGGCTGAGCCCCAGATTTAACCTGCGAGTGGTATGGTCTTGGTTGTTGTGCCCCTCAACTCGCACTCCAGATTGAGTGTCCGATGACAACTCATGTTTCCCGCTCATATCTCCGCTCACGTTTCCGACAATGTCCTGCTTGCTCGAGTACGGTCAAGACTGCTTGTGTGTGTGTGTGTGTGTGTGTGCATGCCGAGCTGGTATATCGCGCTGCAAACCACATCTTCGTACGGACGGGAACGGCCGCATGTCGGCGAGAAAGTTAGTAAACCTTGTCGCTCGTCGCGGCGTTCCCCATCTAAACCCTCTCTCTATCTTGTCTCTTCTATGTTGTTGTAACGCTACGGTGTCGGATGGGGCCTCAGGGCTCCAGATGCAGACATGTCAAACCGAACATCTAAAACCGGAGATCTCAATGCTGAACCTCCTCCTTGAATCCTTCTGAACCTTACTTGGTCAGAAATTTCTGGAAGCTGGACTGGTCGATGATCACGTTCCCGATGGCATTCAGCTTCTTCCTCCCCTCCTTCTGCTTCTCCAGCAGCTTCTTCCGCCTCGTGATGTCGGCCGCGTGCAGCTTCTGCAGCACGTCCTTGCGGAACGGCTTGAGCGTCTCCCTTGCGATGATGCGCCGCCCCACCGCCGCCTGGATCACAATCTCAAACATCTGCCGGTCCACGTGTTCCTTGAACTTGGCCGCCCAGTGCCTGCCCAGCCGGTCCACCTGGCTGGCGTGCACCACCCTGCAGATGGCGTCCACCGGCTTCTTGTTGACCAGCAGCTGGAGCTTCTGCAGCTTGCTCTCCCGCCACCCCGCGTCCTCGTAGTCCAGCGTCGCGTAGCCCTTGGTCGCGCCCTTGAGCTTGCCAAAGAGGTCGTCCACCAGCGCCGACGAGGGGATGTCGTACTTGAGGATGACCTGTGTGGCGTGGAAAAACTCGAGGCTGACCTGCTGGCCCCGGCTGCTCTCGCATAACTCGATGACGCGCCCGAGGTATTCCTCCGGCAGCGTGATGGTCGCGTGCACAAAGGGCTCATAGAACGTAGCTGCACGAGCCTTGTGGTTATCGTCGCTCGGGAACTCGGCCGGGTTCGTGATGATCTCCTCCTTGCCGTCTGTGTAGACAATCCGCGAGGGCACCGACGGCTCTGTGATGATGACGCTGGCGCCGTGCTCCTGACGCAGCCTATCCTGGAAGACCGAGCAGTGGAGACTGCCCAGAAACCCAAGACGCCAGCCCGCGCCCAGGGCTTCCGAGTGATCCTTTTGCAGGGTAATGCTGCGGTCGTTGAGGACGAGGTGGCTGATGCTCTCCGACAGCTTCGTATAGTCAGACTGGTCGGTAGGGAACGCCCCCACAAACACCATGGGCTTCGGCTCCTCGAAGCCAGGATACATCTCGACCGTGTCCTCGTTGCCCTGCGTCGTGAACGTGTCCCCAATCTTGGCGTCCTGTATCCTCTTCATGCCGGGGTTCATGAGGATATATCCGACCTGGCCTGCCCGCAGCACGGACTGTGGTACCGGGTGGGGATACTGGATGCCCACCTCGCCCACGGTGTATTTTTTGCCCGTAGCAAGCGAGATGATGGGATCACCAGCCTTGATAATCCCATCAAACAGCCTCACGAGCAGAATAACCCCTCGGAACGTGTCATACCACGAGTCGACAAGCAGTAGCCGCAACGGCTTGCTATCTTCCCCCTTGGGCGCCGGAATACGCTCAATGACAGCGGGCAGGAGAGCCTCGACATTCTTGCCGGACTTGGCGCTGACCAGCACCGGCCTGCCGCCCTCGTGCCCCTCGACGCCTAGCTCAAACGTCTCCTGGAGCTGCTCGATGGCCCTCTCGACGTCCGCCGTGGGGAGGTCGATCTTGTTGACGACGGGGATCATGGTAAGCTCCTGTGCAAAGGCCGTGTAGAAATTGGCAACGGTCTGCGCCTGGATGCCCTGCGACGCATCGACCAACAGCAGAGCCCCGCCACACGAGGCGTACGACCGCGTCACCTCGGCACGGAAGTCGACGTGGCCCGGCGTGTCGACCAGGTGGAGTAGATAGTCCTCGCCCTTGTACTTGTAAATCATGGTGCATGTTTGCGCCTTCACGGTGATACCTCGTTCACGCTCGACATCGAGTTTATCCTGGACGCCAGCAAGACAAGAAAGATATCATTAGCACCGGGAAGCTTTCCTCGAGACTTCATACTGTCCCTCTCAACAGAGTAGTATGACGGAAAAGGGGAAAGCATCATACAAGAATCTGTTTGTTTTCGTCACTCGCCGAGATGGTTCCCGTAATCTCCAGTAACCTGTCACTGAGCGTGCTCTTGCCATGGTCGATATGTGCGACAATGCAGAAGTTGCGAAACCGCTCGAGTGGGATGGCCGCAATTCGCTTCTCGAGCTCGCTCGGCTCCTTCCTGGACAGGTTGTAGCCCCTCCAGGTCGTCCTCGAGGGACATGTCTGTAGAATATGTTGGAGGGATCGAGGGCTACGAGGAAGCCACCAGCTAGGGCGGTGCAGGATCGAGGCGCAGCGGGCGGTCGTTGATGTTGAGGAGGACAATTCGCCCTGAGGAGAAGAAGGAAGTCGAATGATCTTCTTGTCATGACCCGCGAAGCTGCGCAGGGCGCGGCTTGTTCGGAAGGGTCGCAGACATTGTCGCATCGAAGCCAGCGACTGAATAGACCCGCGCATCCAATCGACGAAAAGGGAGGCGCAGGGAATGGGAAGATGTTAGGAGGGACCAAACATGGCGTTTTGTGTTCAACTTTTTTTTGGTCGTTTTTATCGGGAGAGTCGTCCAAGTTCCGAATCGGTTCCTCCAAATTTCCTCAATGTGACGACGGGTAATTTCTTATCTTATCGCGGCCAGGGTATCCCCTAATGATAGCCTCCCAACCAGCACTTGGGTTGAGTAGTACTTTCTATCAGTCCTTAGTACTTTAGACATGTTCAAATTGACATCACGACGAGTGCCAGTGTGAGGATAGAATTGCAACCTGGCATATGAACAGCAAATGCGGATTTGTCATTGAGACTGTATGCAGTTCAATGCGGGATATCTTCCTTCATAACACCAAGATTCAAACCCATCATTCGGCACCCAAAGAAACCAAAAAAAAAAAAAAAAAAAATCTCCCAAGGTTGATAGTGCCTCGCCCTGGGTGTTCAACTTCGTCGCCCGTAGTGCCCGTTATATAGATGCAAAAGAAGATAAGACGAAGACGAAGAAGAAAGGAAAGGGGGGAAGAAAGAGAAAAAGAAGAAGAAGAAAATATACGAGATAGCCATGCATCTTCTTCCTCGTGCCACTGAAGCACGTTGTAGACAAGACAGACAGTCCAGAACCAACTAGACAAGCACCCATTCACTTCCCCTTTTGATAAACTTGTCCAACAACATCGTCAAGTCCTGGAGCACAAAACGGCAGACATAGAAGGCAAAGAACTCGGCAGCGTGCCTAGTGCTGAGCTCAAGGCCCACCTGTGTCTTGTCTTGGTGTCGGAGCCCAGGGTCCTCGACTTGTCGGGCGATTTGGTCTAGAGAGAGAGAAAGAATCCTTGGTCAGCAAGGGGTTGATTACTCAAGAAGATGTGAATCACATGAAGAGTGAAAAGAAGGAAAAGAAGAAAGGAAAATTCTAAAAGAGCCACAAACGTACCTATGCATTGCGCTGCGTCGAACAATTTTGCCAGCGCGGCCATGTAGTGAGCATTGGGTCCGCTGAACTGCACCGCCTTCACGTCTCTCTTGCTTGGCTTAGAAGTGGGATAGTCCGTGAACGGCAGCGTGGCCAGCAGTGCCTCTGCTGCACCTGACTCCTTCCGACCTGTTCCGCCCTGGTACGAGTTGCTGATGGTGGTCGAGCTGGTCTTGCTCCGGAGCCGCTTCCAGCTGAAGGCCCCCTTTTGGCTGACCGAGTTGTTCCGCGGGATCGCCTTGCCATCCTGTCCATCCATGGCGCCGTCTGCGTCCTTGAACATGGCGCCTGCAGCCTGCACGCCCACATCATTGCCCAGCCGCCGGGTCAAGAACGTCTGCACCTGCTCGAGCACGGCCTCCAGGCTCTGCATCTCTTCCAGCACGGCATCTGCATCGTCCGTGTTCACCCTGTCGAGCTTCTGCAGGGCAGCGGTGAGCAGGTCGCACTGGCTGATCTTCTCCTCCAGGTTCTTGATCTTGACGCCTTTTGTGCGCCAGGCATCCCGCGGCACAAACAACTTGTTGCTGACGTACCCGCCCTTGGGGTGGCAGAGGGTCTGGTACAGCGCCCGCATCAGCCAGAAGGGGCGTAGCATCGTTTCCTTAGGACATGGCTCCAGAGGTACCGGAGCGCCATCTGACGTCACCGAGGGCCGCTCAGTCGGCGACCTGGGCGTATGAATATCGGCATCAAACAGGTGGTAGCCGCCAGCTGCTGAGGTCATACGATCCCGGAAGGCAGTAGCCACAGGCGTAGGGAGAGAGGGCATGGCGGGCAGGCGAGCCGCCGAGACGCTGTTGAAAGGGTTGGAGATGGGCGTGCCCGGAGAGATGTCCGAGTACTCGTCCATGTTGGAGACAGAGAGCTTCCGCGTCTTCATGTTCTTGAGAGAGCTGGAAGAAAAGTTCTTGCGGAGGGTGGGCGGCTTCGACGCGTTGGACGACGACCCAGAACGGCTGTCCGAGTCTTGGAAGCCGGTAGGCACAGGCGGCGTTGGAGGTGCCGCTTCGATGGAGATGCCAGAAGGGATGGGCGACGGCCCGCGGTGTGACGAGATAGATCGACTGGGGGCAGCCATTAGGGTCTGCCTCTGCTGGGTGATGAGGCCGGCGGTCTGGGGTTGCATAGTGTTCAAAGGCAGTTCCGGATGCTGCAGCATGGGACCCGCGGTGGCCGGCTCCCTGATCTTAGGCCCAAGCTGCTGTGTCTCGATCTTCAGCTGCTTGGCGTTCTGCCCAGACAGCCGACGGTCCCGCACGCTGTCTCGGCCACCAGAAGCGGGCCGCTGGGGCGGTAATTTTGGCAGCGACTGCGTCGGAGGTGGCGCAATTGGGCCCTGGTTTTTGAAAAGGGACGGAACTGGCGCGTTCTCCGAGACAGTGGAAAGGGTCGTGTTCGCCGCCGTGGGCGGGTTCGACGTCGCGGAGCTCTTCCATGTGCGTGACGCCTGCTCGCTTGAATCGGACTCGCGGGGAATGCGAGGTTTGGATGACTGCTGGCCCACGAGCGCGAAATCCTCGATGGCGTAGCCGTCGGTCATCTTTTCCAGGATACGCTCCTCGTCGTCGTCGGAATCAGACCCATCGTAGAATCCTTCCGGCAGCGTCTGTTCCTCTTCTTCCTGCAGAGCCCGCATCCGCTGGTCCCTGTCGCTCGCAAGCCTCTGCATCTCCATCTCCGACTGGCGGACACGTTCCTTGGCCAGCTGCACCTTTCGCAGTGCCTGGGCAACAACATCGTCCTCGTCGATAATATGATCGAGATTCACTTGCCGTGGCTGCTCGGCGGGTGGTACAGGTTCGTACCCATCATCGTATGCGGCCTCTATTGCGTCGTCAAGCGCTGCATCGAACTCGGCCTCGGTGTCGCCGCTGACCGCTCGAATGTGCTTTCTCCTGACGCCTATCGACGATGATCTCGAGTGTACCGATGACGCCGACGAGCCTCCCGACTCGTCGATCGGATCTAACCAGGAGATTGACTCGTGGCTATTCGTCCGCTGATGGCCCCTCTGCGAGGACAGATCAGGGGCCAGACGGTTCTGATCACCTGCGAATTCGTTTCGGCCGGGCGCATCCGGACTCACGCGACTTGGGGCTCTCACAGGGGAAATTGGTCGTCGCGGGGAAAGGGGTTGTGGCATGTACTCATTCTCCATGGGTCGGGCTAAAAACATGTCCTGATCCGCAGGCTGCGCACGGCGGGGTGAGCGATGGGAGAAGGAGGACTGAGCTCGGTCAAAGGGCTCCCCAAAGTTATTGTTGTTGGTAGTCGATGTCGTCGTCGTTGTCGTGGATCTCGGACCGTCATATACAGCCTTTGGGCTGCTGCCCGTTGTCATTTGGGACCGCCAGGCAACAGATGTAGGTCTGGCGTAGTTGGGCACGCTCTGCTGGCTGCGGCCAGTGTCCGACCGTTGTCTCGCTGGCTGTTGGACAAAGTCATCGGTGGTCGAGGCGACCGAGGTGGCCCTGGTCCGATAGCCCGTACTGGTACTTGCTGGCGTTTGGGGCAGTGCCTTGCCATCTTCTGCGTCTTCGGGGAGCATCTGATCCAGCTCCTCGATTCGGCTAGAGTACGTCTTGCGCTTCAGGTCGGACACTATGTGTCAGTATTGCTTGGCATGACCAGAACAACAACCGCAGATCAGAAGAGAAAGACAGGCGGGGGAGGAAGAAAAAGAAGGGCAGGAAGAAGACTTACGATGGCCTCAAGCTTTCTCTTATCATCATCCCCAGGGGTCCGCTGCAGGACCTGCTGCAGTAGGTCACAGGCCTCACAATAGGCAGTGCGGGCGCCGTCGATATTCTGGGCATTGTCGAGCTGGACGGCGGTGTTGGCCTTCTGCAGGGCCTTGGAGAGCATCGCCTTCTGCGAGGGCTGCTTGGCCCGGTCCCGCGTCCTGGGCGAGGACGCACTGTCGGTGCTGCTCTTCAGCCCCTGTGAGCGGCTCCTCTGATGGCCGCGGACAAAGGTGGAGGACGGGGCCTCTTCGGTGTGCGTCATGTTGGCGTTGACGTCACGATAAAAGGCAGACGTGGGTAGTGTTGGATCCGGCGTGGCACGGGCGGACATGGACAGGTATGAGGTCTCGTGGGCCCGGACAGAATCATCACCGAGGCGGCCCCCCAGGTCGTTCTCGGCCCTCGATTCCTGCCTCGACAGCACAGCCCGCTCGAAATCTTCCTGGTCCAGAGACGGCAGGGTCAGTATGGGAGGTAGGGTCTCCAGCGGCGGTATCGAGGTCTGGCTCTCCTCAATTACTCCGCCGGCGGTCGACGGACGGCCCTTGTGTAACCTCCTAGGAGACACGGCCTGGTTCGACTGCGAGAAGAGGGTGGTGGAATCGATGCTCATCCGCCGGGAGAACCTGGGCTTTGTCGAGGGTGTGGCATTCGAGGCACGGCTCGAGGCGGTGGAGATGGACCAGCGATTGAGATTTCGAAAGCCGTCGCTCAGGCCCCCCAGGCTACTCGAGCGCGAGTGCGTCCTGGAACCACGGCGCCGCACGTTTCTGGGAGAGACGGGCTCGTCGTCGCGTTCGTTCAATGGCTCGGCAAAGGGGGAGGCATTGAAAGGGTTGTAGAGAGGAGGTTGTTTGCGGCTGCCCTCATTGACGGTGATGCGAGGCGGTGGGAGCAGGGATGAGGTGCGCGGCAGTGCCGAGGCGGAAAAGCTCGACGACTGGGAGGGAGGGGGATAGTTGAGGGCGGAAGAGATGTGAGGGGCGGTATTGACAATATGTGAGGGCTTATTGTTGTTGGTTGGATAGGCGGCACCGTAGGCGGTCCTCGAGACGGGAACGGAGGAATCGTAGAGCGGCTGTTGTGGTTGATATTGTTGTTGATATTGTTGTTGTTGTTGTTGTTGTTGTTGATGATGTTGTAGAAATTGCTGCTGCTGCTGCTGCTGCTGCTGCTGCGGGTAGAGGGGTCTCCTGGAGGAGGAGAAGGTGGTCTGGGATGCAGGCGTGGTCGAGCGGGACGTGGAATTCGAGGCGGAATAGGAGGCAGAGGTTCCGGACAGATTGGAGGTTGAGCCGGCAGCGTTCAGGTGGAAGTTGTATGCAGAGGCGGGAAGGGATGTGGTAGCCGATGCAGAGGCGGGCTGCCGTGCATGTGGTGGTGCCTGGGAGTATACATGAGGTGAGGACATCTCTGCAGCCGTCTTGGGGGGATCGGCCGAGGGGGGGACCGGTGTCTCCCTCTTCTCCCGGCTTGTGGGAGAGAGGAAACGGTCCCGATTCCCTCTGCGTCACAAATTCTCGGTGGTTTATCTGTCTTGTCTGCTGCGTCGCGGCTGTTTGGGCGCCCTGGGTAGGGAAAGGGGGAGGGCGTTGTCGTGCTCGCTGGGTTGTGCCGTCTGTGACTGTTTCCGTGCCTGCGTATTTCTGAGAAGGACCCTGGACCGAGTTTGGCAAGTCTATGGCGCTTCACCTATCACGTCTTCTCCTCTCTTTGGGGGTTTTCTTTGTGTCTGGGCCTTTATCTCTTCAGCCGAACGATCAGACGGTCGATCCAATGCGAGTGGGCGGGCTGCAGCTTGCCGACCAGAATGCGCCCCCCCAGACAGGTTTACAGTAGCTGGGACAGGGAGGGCTTGAGGTTGCGCTTGGGAGGGGTGAGGGGTGCGAAAGAGGTTGGGAGATGGCTGCCGGCCAAGAAGAGGGCCGACAGAAAACAGCAGGTCGAAAGGAAGATGAAGAAGGCGAACGTGTGTTGTCGTTGTCAATCCTAGCAACCACAAGCGGTAATCTGTGCCGGAGAAAGGACGTAGATCAAGGAGGGAACAAAAGGCGATCGATCTCTCTTCTCCTGGTGTGTGTCTGTGTCTGTGTGTGTGTGTGTGTGTATGTGTGTGTGTGTGTGTGTGTGTGTGCGCCTTGTGCCTGTCTGTGCCTTGCGCCTGGGCCTGGACCTGGGCCTGGACCTGTAGTGGGCGCGTGCCTGCGTGAAGTATGGGGCTCTTGGCTTGTTGGGTCCAGGGGTGCCTGTGTTGAATGCCGACCTTGGGTGGCACAGAGATAGAGTGCGTGCGTGTTGCGTGTGCGTGAAGTGGCAGGGCTGAGGAGAATTTGAAAGTCGACCCTGACGAACAAACTCCCTCGAAAGTCCAGCGACGTTACAGGAGGGAAGACACGGGAGGCGTCGCAAGGTCGAGACAAGAGGATTGGTTGCTGAGAGCCTTCTTCTGATGCAGAACAAACGGTCTGCACTGCGCGGCGTTGCTGATCCTGCTGTTCCTGGTCCTGTGCCGTGACCCCTTGGTTGGGCTGGTGGCGGAGGGAAGGAGAAAAAAGGTGGGTGTGTCGCGCCTAAATGCGACAGGTTGGATCTGGATCCCCTTTCTTGACCTTGATAACGAACAAAGCTTCCCTCTTTTCTTGTCAGGTGGTAAATCCTGCGTGCAACACAACGTACCGTATCCTCTTGCAGCCGTCACAATGATGACCGTTGCGAGGAGGGTTCTATTTTTCCTTCCCTTTTTTCTCTTTTCTTTCTCCGAAGGATGCCTTTTGGGGGCCAGGGGGACCGGCACGCTGCAGGAGGATGACGGTTCCGGGTTGCAAACTGGTCTACAGCACGTGTACGGGTACGGGTACAATTATCGAGAAAGGGGTCCACCCACACTTCCGTCAAGCCTTAGTCTGGGTATCGGGTTCAGATCCAGCACAATGGTGATGTGGTGCTATGGTCATGGCTGAACCACGAGCGCTGAAGGATGGGCGCCTCCTCCAGTAGGTGCCACCACCACTTACTGTATATAGGACTGTGCCTGCGCGGCAGTTAACGTCAGTGGGGCGGGGCGCAAGGGGTGGTGGCCAGGGGGGCGCACACACAGACATGCCATAACTACTGTACTGGTAGTACTGTACCATGTACTGCAGTAGTATAGTCTTTTTGACAGCGTCTGCTATAGGGGTTCCAGGAGGCACAGACGTGCGCTGTGGGGTGGGCGTGGGGTCAGCCGAGACTTTGGTACTACCACATAGTATACTCTGCTATGGTTTGTAGTACTACGTATACTTGAGTGATCTGTAAGAGGCGTGTTTGTGTGCGAGAGAATGAGAGTGGTATAATTCAATGAGACTTGGCCATTTTCTCTTACGATTTTTATCTAATTAATTACCGGTATCTGCTGCGATTAGGTGCAGGAGGGACGCTGAGGCTATAGAGTCAGTATACTGCTGCAGTGTATATCTAGGGAAGGGGGTTGACTGGCTGGTTCGCCCTTCCTGTTTGTTGGGTCGCCCCTGGCGAGCCCTCCTCTCCTTGCCCGAAAGTGCCTGACCCAGTACGCCCCCCGCCCCCCCCCCTACCCGGGTGATGGCGTGCAGCGCCAATCTACGACCCCAGCTGCAGCAGTATCTGCAGTGGCTTAGGTGGCTGCAGCATGATCTTTTCCCTTCCCGCAGCGGGCGCCTTGTGTCTGCCACCACAAAAAAAAAAAAAAAAAAAAAAAGACTGCAGATCGTAACCCACCAGGCATTGTGTGTTACGTATGGAAGAGGCGCTACGCCTCCTGACTGGCCCGTAAGCACTGCTAGCCAGGGGCACTTACTTCCGCATCCAGGGCCCCCAGAATGCCCACCCAGCAGTATATTGGTAAGAACGGGAAGATGGGTACCTGCAGGTACTCTCCTATAGGTGACTCCGGCAGTGTAAGGGCTTGGACTTGTCAGTATGGCCCCTTTTCCCACGTTGTTTGTCGAGCTTACTCTCTTTCTCTCTCTTTTCCACCTTGGGTTTCTTCATATGCAATTGCTCCTGCCTCACAAAGTTGGTGAAGATTTGGGCCTAATGTGAGACTCCCTCGAACCTTTTGTCCAGAATCCTTGATCATCACTCGGATGCACCCTGCCAGAGCATGAAGACACAAGACTTCCTCATTTCCACCCGCCTACCCATATGCCCGGCCAATGCCCTCCCTGCAGCGTAACAGGGAAAAAATTACTTTCCAAGTGCCGAACCTAGTGTGAAATGCAAGAGGCTTCACTAAGGACACTAAATAATAGGCAACCAGAACAGTCCCGTACTTTAAAAAAAAAACACTCAGTCCAATTGGGGGCCGTCCAAATATCGTCAGCACCAAATGGGAGATGCAGGATCTGGTGTTGCCAGGTTCGGCGTATTGTTCAGCTTCAGAGAAAAGGGGACGATATTTAGGGCTGAGGGGCAGGTTGATTCCTGCAAGGGGTCTCGTGGCAACACTGCATCATAATGATGATGATGATGATGATGATGATGATGCTTGTGGCTTTGCATGGCGTATTGAGAGAGTTCCTCTCCTCGTCGTACAAGTTCACCTTGATTCTACAATGGAAGAAAGTAAGTACTCCTTCATTATAGTACCCCTAACATTAATTGCGGCCAGCCCAGCAGGCAATCCCCACCAACGTCGGTACTCCTTGTATTTGGTGGAGGGGTTGCTTGTCCAGGTCCAAAGTCTCTTATCAAATACTGCAGCAGGGTGAAGAGATTCGGTATCAAAACCTACGGTTGGCCCTGGAACGCGCTCCCTCCCTAAAACAGAATTGTCCGGCTCTGTCAGCCTGCTCACTGGAATTTCAGCCAAACTTCAAAACGATCCCCCGTTTCACAGGGTCAAACCGGCTTGGAACGTCACGCCACTGAATACATCATGTCTACCATACAGTATTATTCCCGAGAAACCTCGCTCTTCTCATCCCCGGCCTTGCAGGTTCGCGTGTCGCCCGCCGCGCGCTTCGGAATTAATCAAACACACCTCGCCGACGGCCTTGTAAAGAAATCCGACCTCGAAATAGCCGGGTGTATACATGATCATTGATCTCTAGGCCCGTTTTCATTCCTTCTTTGTTCTTCTTTCCCTTCTCTTTTGTGACAGTTTGGTCGATCCCCACGGCTATACCCACTATCATGCCACACATGTAGTATACAGGCGTGACAGGGCAACACCCCAGCTTGGTCATTGCCGGGACTCGTCGCCGGTGTGAGCCTTAATGAAACAGGGTAGCTACGGGCGCGCCGTCTAAAGAAGCTCCCATGATCTGCGAACTCTGCTGTTCGTTCCCACCTCGACCATACAAAGACCAGCCATGCGCGCGCCCAGTCTGCAGCCCGGCAGCCCCGTCACTTGAAGTCGTCCTTCGGCTCGGCACGGCAGCAACGCCTTCCGTCGCTGGGGCCTCTCTGGTCTGATCTCCTGCGAGGCTTGACTTCAGACCAAAGTTAGGCCAGCCGGAACTTTCCTTTGCCCTGTGACATCTGTTCTTAATTATTAATCTTAATTTCAAGTCCCCAGTCTAGACATATGCTCTCTTGTATCCAATCCCTGCCTCGAGCCATCACTGCGGGCAACTCGCAAGTCGTGGGTCAAGCATTCTTTTACCTTGAGGCGCTGTAGTATATGCAATGAGTTAGAAGCAGGTGGCCCCACTCCCGAGGTCTCATACTGAAAGATCTTCGATATGATTCCAGTTGACAGTCACAGGCGTAGAATGGAGAGGTCTTGCATGAGAGCAGGAACTGTTATTATGAGAAGGAATTAAGTAGAGGCCAAGAGAGACACTCACAATACTTCTCCAGAAAGCAAGATGGACTACTAGGGGCTCAACCAGCAGCGCACAAGAGTATTACAAGTTTCTTAGCATTACTACTGTAAATGAGTTCCTCAAGCAACAGTCCACAGGTAATGAGCACAATGTGGTAAGGTCTACGAGGAAGGACAAGCCAACCCACGGCTTGTCATGTGCCATGTAATACAATGTTACCTGCAACAATACTATATCAACCACACAAGTCTGTCAATCAGAGCTACTGGACACATACTTGAGTAGCTAATCATCAAAGCAGCTTTCCACTCAGTTCCACACAAATATTCATGATGATTCCGGTCTTCGGGGCTGCCCCATCGGAAGTATAGTCCGACCAACTCATATCAACACACAGGTGCGTAAATTTATCAGCTCGACGCAACTGACCATTGCACCACCCTGAGAATGACGATAGCGGCATATGGAGGGGCTTCTGAGTTGCTGACAAACTTGCAGTGTGCTCACCTGCATACTATGGAACTTGGTAAATTATTTCAGGGAAATATTGCGCAGTCTGCGGCTGAAGACTGAATTAATAATGGATGCACTACCGTACTACACTGCGTTCGTCGGCGGGTCATCGGGCATACAGTACTGACACATCATCCCCGGCCGGGCCACCTCGGTTCCTGTGGCCTATAATTCCAATATCTCAAGATCGGAAACTCTTGAGTCTATATTACTTCCTACCCTGCACAAAAATAAAAATAAAAGAAGAAGGCGACTATCAGGCTATACGTTACGGAATTTTTATTTGCTCCTCGGCCGCCAGAATTCATCCAGAAAACACCTCCAGCAGGTGTGAAAGAGAGAGCGCGAATGGAGAAGCTCAACGAGATCCTCGCAGCCTACGTTGCCAAGGGAGATTCGACCAAGGGCAAAGTGCTCGGAGCTGCCTTCACCGTCGTGAACAGAGATGGTGAGCCTGAACAAGAAGACATCCCCCATCGTCCGTAAAAGAGTAAACGACAGGCAGCTAATTTTCGGGCAATTTTCTTTTCGTCTTTGTCACCAAAATCAAGGCGTTCTATTTGAAGGCTCAGCTGGCCGTGTTGATATACCCCGAGACTCAAGCCCGTGGGGCTCCGACACCCTGAGCTGGTTCGCGTCCATGACCAAACTCGCCTCGGCCATCTGCATCCTCCAGACCGTCGAGCGCGGCCTCGTGACCCTCGACGAGGACGTCCGGCCCCGGCTTCCTTTTCTCCAAGAGGTGCAGATCCTGCGCGGGTTCGACAAGGCCGGCAACCCCAACCTGGAGGCCAACCCCTCGCCCATCACCCTCCGCCACCTGCTCACGCACACGACAGGGCTGGGCTATGACCTCAGCGAGGAGCCCCTCATGAGATGGCGCCGCAAGGTCGGCAAGGACAAGATCAACATGACCATGACCATGGAGGGCTACTCGACCCCTCTCCTCTTCCAGCCCGGCACGGACTGGATGTACGGGACCTCGGTCGACTGGGCCATGTTTGTGCTCGAGAGGGTCACCGGCCAAAAGGTCAGCGAGTACATGGCCCAGAACATCCTGGTGCCCCTCGGCATGAACGAGACGGGTTTCTGGCCCAAGACGCTCGGAAAGGAGCCTGTCGGCATCCCGTATCGAGGGTCCGGCGGGGTTCTGGCCGGCGCCCCGTTCCCCGTCCCGGAGGAGCACCCCGTCGAGAGCGGAGGCGCGGGACTGTACTCGACCGCGAGGGACTACGCCAAGCTGCTCCGCGCCGTCCTGCAGGGCAAGCTGCTGAGCCAGGAGAGCATGGACCTGCTGTTTCAGCCTCAGCTTGACGAGGAGCTGCAGATGCGGTTGATAGACAGGGTGGGGCCTGCGCAGTTTCTTTATTGCCCCGAGTATCCGCCGGGGATGCCCATGAATTTTACATTCGGCGGCTTGACGAATCTCGAGGATATTCCGGGCAAGAGGTCCAAGGGAAGCATCATGTGGAGTGGTTATGTCAATCCTCGTTGGGTACGTTTCATTCTTTCTTTTCTTGTTCTTTCCTCTTGCGCCTTGGTTTCTCTTTATAAGAATCTGTGAATAATCTCCTAACGCAATTGTGTGCAGTGGATCGACCGAACGAACGGAGTGGCAGCCGTGCTCCAGGTATCCCTTCTGCCATTTGCTGATCCCATAGTGGCCAGATTGTACGATGAGCTGGAGCGTGCTGTGTATGAGGGCCTAGTGGCCAAATAGAGAACGATTCAGGGCGGAACTTTTCTTCTTATTGCAAAGAACATTTAAAGAGGCGGATTGTTGTCCTTGGAGAGGCAGCAGTCAATTTCGTTACTTCTTTTCTGCGCAGAAAAGTAGATGGGCTCATTCTCTCCTTTACACAAAATATTTCCATACAGGCTGGGGGTTTAGAATTTGACCAAAGATGCACAGTATAAGCTTGATACTTAGATTAGGCATAAAATCCATATCCTGAGCGCCAAACAAGCCCACCTCAGAGTGTGTTTGGAATTGCATGACATTCAGGACGGGCTTTAGCCCAAGCACTTGATCTTCCTATTCATAGATGACAAGAACCCGCACCTCAATACTCTGCCTATCTTCTCCACCATCATACGCCGCATCTCTGAAAGCAGAGTGCGGTGCCCGTCGAGCTACCGAGGTGTCCGAGTCGAAGCACTTGATCAGCAGGACCTCATCGGGCTGCTGAGCGCCCTTGTAAAACCACCGATGGTCAGGGTTCGGTCTGACAGTCCAGGTCTCAGCCACCGAGGTGGGTTTGATCACCGATGCCGCCACCAGATCATCATCGCTGACCGAACTCGCATCTGCCACCGCGATAGGGTCCTTGAAAATGGTCTGGATAGGACGCCAGATCTGAGCTGAGAGGTTAGACTCGACAAGGAAGCGCACTGATTGCGAAATTCAGACTGAAGATAAGTGCTAGGAAATCTGACTGACATTGATGATCTGGTATCTTTGCCTGAGGAGATCATCTGCTTCGTCCGGCAGATGCTGTCGCAGGGCCAGCTCAGCACCAGCATACGACTGGTCGACATGGACCCTATGAAGCGGTCCCGCGTTCAGACGGTTGTTCTTCCCCAGCTTATGCCAGTCCGAGGGTCCGCGGCGGACTTTGTGGTCAAAGAGAACGACACGAGAAGCGCCAGTGCTGCACCACGTCGAGATCAGATCATTGACCAGATAAATATTTAAGTATTACTGCAGTTGTGATATGTGCAGGCTAAGATCAGTGATAAACTCTCCAGTGAAGCTCACATCTTCTTTACCAACTGCTGGACTTCAGCAAAATACACATTCTCGATTGACGTCTTGTCAAGGAACTGCTTCTCGCTGCTGTTGTGTCTGACGAAGCAGAAACCGTGGTCATCAAGGTTGAACTCAGCTTCGCAGCCAGCGACATCCTTGATGGTCACATCTACTTCGATATAAGGACGTTCATTTGTCACGGTGTTACTGTTCAGGACTGTTAACCTTTTCACAATCTAGACTCATTATTCAATGAGCATGAGCCCCAAAGAGGTGGGAAGTCTACTTGCTCGCCGACCACAACAGGAAGAGGAAGAGTTCCGTCTCCTGGATCGTCATAGTACTTCAATTTGGTGCGCACATCCCGGCGATTCTCCCTTGGCGAAGTCGGCATTGCGATCAATATAAGCATCTCATGTCGTGGGTGCATGCGAGCTACAGAGCGGCAAAGGCCAGAGAAAGAGACAGGTTCAATTCGCACAGCATATTCCCCATGCTGTGCTTACTCAGCGCTTCTGTATGCCTCCGCATGATTGTGAGTACTACAGTAGTAGCCCTATGTGCATACCTGTTTTCTCTCCTCTGTTTCGTGGCATTCACCCGCTCGAGCCAGCACAATAAACATGGTCTGAGGAGATCAATGTGGGTGTGAGTTACCTGTCTAGGTATGTCATTGGTGCAAAATAAGACGTGTGAGAATCGAGCTGGTGACTATGATCGAGAGGAATCTCTCTGAAGGTGCGTTGTCAGCGATGCAATGGAGCCTTGGCACTGATGACGAGGGGCTCCGAGGGCGCACACAACCAGCAGCCGCCTGTTTTGTTTTACTTGTATTTCCCGGCTGCGATGCAATGAACTATGCAATTCAATGCACTGGAGTGTACTTATCAATGTACGGTAGGCATACATGTTCTGAAGAACAAGATTGTGCTCTGCTTTCTCTGATTGGTACAGCAGTAACCACGCACCTCGCTGGGCACAGTACATACTGTACACGTATTCAACTCCATATTGGCCCTCAAGTTTTCGAATTGTCGCACTTCCACCTGGCCCATACCCAATCAATGACCAAAAGCCCACTTTACTTCTGAGCCCATCCCATCCATTCGCCCTTCTTCCTTCTCTCCTTCTTTTCAGCAGAGCATCAATGCATTCGTTGGTTGTCCTACCTTCATCTACGTAGAAATGCCAACAAAACAGGGATGACACCCCATTACATCACCGCCCTAAGCCACGCCCCCAGCACGCTCACAAGCCCACCCCAGCCAATGGCGTATTATACATCCCAGCCGCCATGACGTCGTCCCGAGGCGAATAACCTTAGGGGTCGCGATTTCAGGGTTCTCCCGCCAAAGATTCAGGGTCCTTCTCTCTCCCCGTCATGCGCTAAGGCTGGTTACCAACAATGTCACCCGGCCAAAAAGACACACAAACAACACTATATACCCTGAAACTTGGACACGCTGGCAAGCCGTCAGCTACGTCTAACGTAGGCTAGCCCCGATTCTACCTGCCCAGCCCTGCCAGCCTGTTTTTTTCTCTCTGTTCTCTAGTTGTCGCTTTCTTTCAAGGGTTGTACGAAATGATGGAAGGCGCACGTCAGGATCCTGGGGCAGGATGCGATAAGCATGAACTGGCCAATGAAAATGGGACCAGGGTTGATGTTCTCATACGCTACTTGGCCAAGAAACCTGGGGGGCGCGTGCACAGCTCACGGTCTGGAACATGAGATCGACGTGTCTGGCTCGCCTGGCTGATGTCAATGGTCGTCATGAGAGAGGGAGGAGATGGGGCCGAAGAGGCCTCAACTGTGTGACGCCTGTATCCTCAGCTGAAGATATAAACTCTGCCTTGACCCATTGTCTTCATTCAAACTTAAAGAAAGACATCAACACTATAGACATACAACCATCAGAACAATATTTGATAAAAGAGTTATCAGAAAAGATCTCTTCCTTGATACACCAGACTCCTACCATAAAACACAAACCACACACAACACATCCACCCCCCAATAAATATCCAAAATGGCCCACCATCACCACCACAACACCCGGTCCACCCGCACCACCACCACCACTCGCAGACGTGGTCTCTTCGGTCGCAAGAAGGTTCACCACCAGAAGCGCAAGCCTACCATTGGCGACAAGATCGCCGGTGCCATGAAGAAGCTCAAGGGCTCCCTCACCCACAACCCAGCTGAGAAGGTACGAGACAGACCACACCGTGATCACCCCATCGCCATCATCCTCAAATACCCTGCGAGGAACAAATAGCTAACAAATCCGCTTCTTCATACAGGCTGCTGGTACTCGCCGCATGCGTGGCACTGATGGTCGTGGTAGCCACCGCTACTAAACACATCTGTTCAGATTGTATTATAAAAACTTTGTACGATATGAATGTGTCCACATCTTGATGGAGAAAGGAAGAGCGAAGTCTCGGGATGAATTAGCGGCATAGCGGAACGATACCCACGAGTACACGGTCGTGTTACTTAACTCTGTAATTATACTACACGTCATCAAGAATACACCACAAATGTGATTCGGTCACCACCTGATCGCAAGATTATTGCATCCTTCACTTTTCTGTCTCACGAAGTCCATTTCCATTCCCGCTGAAATAAACACATGCATGTCGTGAGATGATACATTCGAGTCCGCCGGCTGGCCCCCTGGAATCTAACAGATTCCTAAAATATTGATAGAGGTGTAACATGGGAGAAACTGGAGGCCTGACATCAAAACCAAGTCTCGAGAGTGCCTTATTCAACGCATCCTTCCTCTCCTTCGTCGTTCACTTGACCTTCTTTGTTGAAGAACTCGGCTGAGGATTATACATTCCTTTCGACAATTTGTTCAAGCTGCCGCAATGTTGACAGTGGCGGTTGATGTTGTAGAGCGAAACGTCCCACTGCAACTCGTCCTCCGTAGTGGAATCACCCATATTAGCCGGGTAAAAGTCTCGGGCAAAGGCAGTGTCAGTACGAGAGCGGGAAAGCTGTCTGACAGGCTGCGGGATACGACTGCGAGCCTTGATCGATCCCGATGAAGTGCCACTGGCGCCAAGTCCCTTACGATGTAGCGTTGGATTGCTGGCAGCGGGGCCACGCATCAACTGATTGCTATCGCGAGGCGACAGCGTATTGAAGTTGGGTTGCCCTGAGCTAAAGCTCATTCCCAGCTCGTCCGGATCCCTGAACATGCCTAGGGCGAGGTTCTGCTCCATATACTTGCCAAATATTTCAAGCTGTCCCTTGCTTGGCGATGGATGCTTCTTCCGTGCTAGGCTCGTGACGGTGTCTCGGTGTCTGGCGGACGCGTGGAAGGATGGGACTTTTTTGAGGCAATCTATTGACCGTGGAACGCGTCGGATTGTTGAACCAGGGGGATATGAGCTCAACCTCGTCGAATCTGTGGAACGAAGAGCACCAGCACCCAAGCTTAGCCCACCTGCTGCGTGGCTAGCTTTCCGGCCGGCCTCGTCCTTCCTTATTTTCTCTCCGCAGCTCTTACAAATCTCACGACCCCTTGCTTGTCGCTCAGATTTCACAGGAAGGCCAGTGGGTGGCACGCCATACGAGTCGGGCCCGTGGAGTGGCAAGACGCGTGACTTCTTGGTAGGAGTTTCGCAGTGACCACACGAGCCTGCTCGGCGTCGAGGTGTGGAGCAGCCGACTGGGGGACTGGCCAAGACGGCGTCGACGCTGGTCTCCAGGAGACATTCGATCTGGAAAGGGTCGGTGGGAGACGTAGACTTTCTGGCGCCCTGTTTCGACTTCAGGAGAGCCTTGAACTCGTTCGAATGACGTCCAGGAGGTGACTCGGAAAATGGATCCTCCAAATTCTGGCCGCTGAGGAAGTCGACCTCATTGACTATCGTCAGGGGCCTCGTGGCTCCTGCAACGGTCCCAGCTGCGCTCGGCCTTTTTCCCTCCCAATCCAGCAACAGAGCCTCATCCGGGGAAACCTGTCCGGGATTTGTGGCAACCTGGCTCTGTGCGTAAAGTTGGCTTGACGGCAGTCTGTTCCATGACGAACCATGGACGACGTGTCCTGTAGACACATCTTCGGCGGCAGATGTCGACTCGGGGGGCTCTCGCCTTCGAGATCCCTTGATGCCGAAGTGGTCAGTAAGCACGCCGGTGAATTTAGTAATAACATTTCGAGCTCTGGAGCGCGACGTCTTAGACGGCCGGTCTGAGTCTGCAGCATCTATAGCGCTGCCAGTGAGATCCTGCGTTGTGAGGATGGAAGTGACCGAGTGACTGATCTTGTCAGTCTCATTGCCGCCCTTCCGAATCGGACTGCCGCCCTTGAAACGTCCGGTGATTCCTGGCCAGACACCAGAGAAGGACTGCGAGTTACGGTGCTTGTCACGGCCTACCAGGTGTGCAGAGGCGCTCTGGGACTGGGGTAGCGGTCGAAGGAGCCCATTAGAACTCTTCACGGGCGAGGTCGTTGGGTTGTCATGCGTCTCGCTGCGAAGATTCCGCGGTAAAGGCCGGCGGGGGATGTGATTAGAAACATGGGCTGCAGCTTGGGACTTGGACGTCGAGGAGGATCGACTGGAGAGAGGACCAGAAGGTACAGTGCCAGTAGTGTGGCTGCGAGCGAAAGGATGAAACTATTGAGAATTCTGATTAGCGAACTCGTCTCTTTTGTAGCTCATGAGTGGTATCAATTGTTACCTGGCCAAAGTGTTCTAGAGCTCTGTCCCCCTGGATGACCTCGCTCTCGGCAGTGGTGTCGAGAAATGCGCTGACGAGCCTGCTGTCAATGTCACCCTGGACCGTGTTACGAGCTCTGTCGGCACCAGCTGGGCATGCTGATGGGACGACGTTGTAAATGTCAGAAGCTGGGCAATAGGATCGGTCAGCACAACAGCATGGTCCTTGTGGGATTCCCAGACCAGAATACCACGTACCTGTATCTGAAGTCGAGAGGAGTGGGTGAACTGCCGTACCCTCATCTCGACGACGACGGCTACCCAGCGCAGGCAGCAGAACCTTCTTCCACCCGCCACTGGCCATCGTGGTTGACGGCATCTTGGCGACGTAGCAAGAAGCACCAGGTGGAGGATTGGCGTTAATATTGTTTTGGAGGAAGAAGAGGACGTGACAAGCGTAAAATGACTGGGAAGCGCGACGCAAGATAGCGAGAGCAGCCTGAAACAAACGAGTGTAAGAAAGTCTCGAAAGCTCACTTCTGTGGAACGCGAAGAACACAAAAAGGAGGTATCGTGCGAGTCGCGACAGAGTGCAGAAATGTCTGGCTGATCGATCAGTTGGGCGCTGCGTAAAGGTGGTTGAACCAAGTGCGAGACCGTAGAGAAGCTCACTCTGAACGGCCGGCCTGAAAGCCCTCTCGCAGTGCCATCTGCACGCTCTGTTAATCGCGAAGCAACACGAAGGATAGAGGATGAAGGGTCCGAATAGGAACGGGGCAAACGAGTGTGGAGGAGATCAGGCTCATTGGAAGAGTTCAGATTAGAGAAGGTCACCGAAATTGGAAAAGGCAGGCAAGACAGGGAATTTTGGGTAGAAGTCGTGCCTGCCCAGGGAGATTCAGTGAGGCCTGGCCTGACATTTGTCGATTCCTGGGCTTTTGTCCTTCTTCTTTGAGGTTGATTTGAGCATGATATCAGGTGCAAACGACAAGGCAGTGCTAAAAGCGAGGTGGGAGGTGGTAGCGAGTCCTGAGAAGGAAGCCACGGCATGGAGTGAGGAGCCTGTCAACAAGCTTCCTCGTATTGGCAAGACACCTGACCAGTGACTTGGAATGCACTTATCTGTCGAGGTCACAATTTCTCTGCCTGACTTTCTGAAGGTCTTTTGCCTGGCTGATGTGTATAGAAGGGGCTGCAAGTCTTGAGCATGCCCTCCCTGCCTTTCTCTTTTTCCCAAGTCTCCTTTCCCTTCTTTCAGTTGCAATCCATATTGGGCAAAAGGCATCAAGAGTTATACCAGGCACAATCCATTGGACAGGTATAAAGCAATAATCTCTCAAATTCGGAGAGGAAACAGCAAGAAGAAGAAGAAGGAAAGGGTATATTGCCACACTTGTCCATCATCCCATAACGTTAGGGGGATTGTACTTCAAAGTTCCTAAACGAGCACTCTTGGGCTGAGCCTGATGACAACGCTCAATCGTCAATTAGGACGGAGGAAGATTTGAGGTAGACAGATACGCAAGCAGTCACACGGCTATAGCGTCAAGAGGACTGCACCTAGGCGCGATGAAGATTCATCAATTCGTTATAACAAAAGGAGATCAAGAGATGAGGGCTAACACTTGTTACAACACCTGGCAGTAAGCTGTTCATCCATCGCCGTGGACAGCGACTTGCTGACGTTGGGGCTGAGAGTAGTATGTGTGTGCTAGACTGATTGTACTGTACCTAATTAATTGCTTGTCTGCCTTTTGGACAGTCAGTCTGTCAGCGTGTATCTTGACCAGATTGGGAAGCATGAGGGGGTGTAGTGAAAAAGGCACTCTCACCCAAGCCGGTGTCTCCGTATACGGTGCTGAGCGATTAGTGTTGGAACGACTCTCATTCGCCTGTGAGCGGGTTGGCTAGGCGTTGGCCGCCCCACCTCGGGTGGCCGAGCCTTCTCCCCTTCTTGTGCCGAGCAGCGACACGAAGCCGATTTGGTTCAATTCGAGACTTTTAAAGTGCGGTGCGCAAGACGACCAATTCGATCCTTTCCTCCTCTTCTTCCTCTGGTTCCTCCACGCCAAGCACCGAGTCCCACAGCCTGCAGATTCTTATCTTGTGCGACACATCATCTTCGGAGGATTGATTATTGTTACCTCGGCGCTGCTACCATAGCCTGCGGTCGATTTCACGAATCCGAGACCGTCCTCCACAGCCCCTCCGTATTCGCCACTGCAAATCTCCAGCACAGACATACTGCGACAGTATATTGTGTCAGATATCCTCCACCCCTCCCAAGTTTCCAATCGTTATCGACAAGTTGCCTCCTTCCTACAGCTACAAACGAGAATCATAAACAGGAGAAGAGAGAGAAACAAAAAGATTTTAGAAAAAGAAGAGGGGAAAAAGGATTCAACAAGCACAAAGATACCCAACACCGGTTCCCGAATTGACTTGCGATCACCTTCGAGCGACCTTCTCCGCCACCGCCATCATGTCCTTCTCTAGCCTCGTACAAGATCTGCCTATGCGTGGCTCGGCAGCTGAGGCCCGGCGCCCTGGCCTCCGTGGTGATGCCTCCTACACATCTGCCAGCTCTACCGTGGACGCTGCCTCCCGAACCTCCCACATCTCCCGCGCCATGTCCTATGCAAGCACGAGTGCGACCAGCGTGAGCATTGCTGGAGACATCTCTAGCCAGCTGCACGGCGGCTACGCTCATCCTCTGGCGCGGCAGTGGCAAGCAGAGAGGCAGCTCACAAAGGTCCGTACAGCCTCCTCTACGCCGGCAAACTTCTCGTGGACAAGAGCATAAGCTGACAGTTCCTCACACAGTCTATGTTGATCTACCCGCTGTTCGTGTCCGACCAAGACGACGAGGAGGTCCTCATCCCCTCCCTCCCGAACCAGTACCGCCGTGGACTCAACAAGTTGATACCATTCCTCGAGCCGCTCGTACACCGAGGCCTCCGCTCCGTCATGCTCTTCGGCGTGCCTCTCAACCCCGGGACCAAAGATGCGCTTGGCACCGCCGCAGACGACCCAAATGGCCCCGTCATTAAGAGCATCCGTCTCCTTCGCCAGCGCTTTCCACAACTCTATATCACCGCAGATGTCTGCCTCTGCGAGTACACGTCGCATGGCCACTGTGGCATCCTGCGCGACGACGGCACGCTGAACAACCAGCTGTCCGTCGACCGCATCTCTGATGTGGCCATCGCCTACGCCCAGGCCGGCGCCCACTGTGTGGCGCCGTCTGACATGAACGACGGTCGCATCCGGGCCATCAAGCTCAAGCTGATCGAGGAGGGCATCGCGCACAAGACCCTCCTCATGTCGTATGCCGCCAAGTTCTCAGGCTGCCTCTACGGTCCATTCCGCGACGCTGCCGGCTCGTCGCCTTCCTTTGGCGACCGCAAGTGCTACCAGCTGCCCCCTGGCGGCCGTGGTCTTGCGCGGCGTGCCATTGTGCGAGACATTGGCGAAGGTGCTGATGTGATCATGGTCAAGCCTGCAAGTCAGTACCTGGACATCATCAGCGATGCCAAGGAGCTCGGCAGAGACCTGCCGATTGCGGCATACCAAGTGAGCGGCGAATTTGCCATGATCCACGCCGCTGCAAAGGCTGGCGTGTTCGACCTCAAGACGATGGCCTTCGAGTCGACTGAAGGCATCCTGCGGGCAGGTGCCACAATCGTCATCAGCTACTTTACGCCAGAGTTTTTGGACTGGCTGTCCACCTAATGTGACACACGGAGTAAGAATGAGAGAGAAGGAGTAAAAAGATGGGTGGGCAGGCGTTTTCACGGTGTTTTTTTCCCTCCTTTCTTTTTCTGTTCTCTCTCTCTTCCTTGTTTTTTTCTTCCGCAAGGAATCTCTGAAGCCTCGGATCGATTCAGTGGCCACCTATAAATACGCCCGAATACCAGTATTATACCCTCATGAGGGGCTGCCGCCAGCAAACTATACGTAACCGTCAAGAAGACGTTCAATGTGCATCTGAATCGTGAAATCTCGCAACTCCAAAAGAAGTACCACACTCAGCTGACGGGGGAACAATCTCGGGTTGTCGCTGCGAATTGACTTCCCATACAAGTCGGTCAGGCGGCCAGAGAGCCTTGTATAGAAAGGCCTGGGTGAAGAACAGTTTTGGGAGAGGCAAACCCAGCTTCAAGTATTTCCTTTTGCCTTGGCCTACGCTGTCTACTCATCACAGACAGGTCTTACAGACTGGCCGCTTCACCATCCGGACGGTTTCCGAAACAGCCGAATAGCGCCCAGTCACGGTTGCCGGCAAAATCTGTAACACAAAGGCCGTCAGGATGTGAGGGCCCTTGCAGATCAGTGCCCCGGAAAAGCCAAGACGGGCCCCCTCCCCTTTGTCCGCAACCACGGCGGTCCGCCGTAACTCTAACGTAAAAACCTTAAAATTGGCCAAATCAGGAGCCAGCTTCGTTTCCAAGAATAAAAACGTGTGGCTTACTGGAGTACGCCGTGTTCGTGTCGGGCGCATTCCTCTACACCAAGGCTGGTTCGCCTCCAGCCGATCACATTTACCTGAAGCCGCGAGTCAATGCCTCAGGACCGCCTCTCCACACCATTGCATCACTTTGGTGCCTGGTCTCGCAATCTTTGAGGAGCCGCAGCCAGCCGCATCAAGAGACTTGGGAGAGGAAAGGAGATGTCGAGTGACCGCCTACCTTCTGCTTGTAGCGATGATTGTCAAGGTCGAAGTCGAGGACGCCACCTTACTAAATTGATGAGGTTGTTGAATCTTCGCAGGAAAGTGCAGATTCCACAGATTCCAGATTGGCACACTTGTCAGCAAGATCAGCAGCCGGACCCTCGCTGGGGACCTGCGTATTTATTATACATACCATTATGCTCAAATATTGCCGCGCTTTCTGGGCGTGGACCTTGGCTGAGTGGATGTCCCACCCCTTGCTTCATCCGGTCTCCAGACCTTTTGCCGCATCTCACCACTGGGACTTTGAAACATCTTTGAGAACAGACGGTGTTGGACTTCCCGAGAGGTGCAAACAGCGGGGCGGTCGGCCGCTGGATGTTCTGCTGCAGAGAGGGGCAGGACACACCCTTCCCCTTACCAGCACACCCAAATCTCTCAACAGGGCCCTTGGGACACTTCAGACGGGCCTGTGCATCATGGCATGGTGTTTCCGTTCATTGTGCAATGAGGGATCATGTGTCAGACTGAGAGGGAGGAAGAGAGAGAGAGAGAGCGGGGGGGGGGGGGAGGCGAAGAGGAAGAGAGAGACCATCTCCCATGTACCAGTGCTTTCTCATTCTCATTTCTGTCTCTCTCGCTCTTCTTTTTTCTCCCTTCTTTTTCTTTTGACTTCATGCTAATTACTCTAATATTTACCTTATCAGGATCATCGTCTCCTTTGGTTCCAGAACAGTATACAAGCTCTCTTCCTTGTTCCTGTTCTTGTGCCTTGTTTGTCGATCAGCGGTCAAGGGAGATATGCTGTCACCCTGACTGGAATTCTTGTGTTTTTATTTTTTATTTCCATGTCTCTCCTATGATTCCTCTGCTCTTTCTCCAGCGAGGTCCATTCCGAATATCAAACTTCCCAAACGCAATAACAAAAGGACCTCGTCACAAAGCGGTCGTGTGATCTCTCTCTCTCTCTCTCTCTGTGTGTGTGTGTGTGTGGCTTTCTTATTTTTTATTTTTATTTTTTTTGGCTGCCTCGTGCTGCGATCCTCCACCCTCCTTTCCCTCCTACCAACCTTTGCATTGCTGGACAATGAACGGCCATGCCTTCTCCAAATCTTCTCTCTCCTTTGAGGAGAACATCACCCTACTAGATGAAAAGTCTCCCTCGGAGATCGACAGCGAGGCAGGGCGCGCAGACAACGACACGCGGTTCCCCTCGGGGCAGGAATGGGCTCTCTTCAGCAGGCGAGTCGTCAGGGGCCTCGCCGTGCCGACTCGGATGCCCTCCAAGTCCTGCTGTCGCGCGTTCGCCATCCGCACGTTCCTGTTCCTCCTCCCCTCCTTTGTGGCCTCACGGCTCTCGCCTGGCGGTGCGGCGGCACAGACGGGACGGTTAAGCGCCACGGCCTATCTGGACGGCATGCGTGGGCTCGCCGCGTTCATCGTCTTCTTCTGCCACTACAGCTACTCGTCCTTCGCCATCGCGGACGGCTGGGGCTCCCACGAGGAGAACTACGACCTCTTCAAGCTGCCGTTCCTGCGCCTGGTGTGGGCGGGCCCGCCCATGGTGGCCATCTTCTTCATCATCTCGGGCTACGCGCTGTCCCTGAAGCCGCTGAAGCTGGCGCGGTCGCGGCGGTGGGCCGACTTCTCGACAGCCATGACCTCGTTTGTGTTCCGGCGCGCGTTCCGCCTGTTCCTGCCCACCATCCTCTCGACGCTCATGGTCGTGGCGCTGCTGCGCGTGGGCGCGTACGAGTGGAACCGCGAATGGAGCCACGACCGGGCGTACCACTGGAACGTGCAGGAGACGGCGCCGGAGCTGATGGAGACGACCGAGGCGCAGCTGCGCGACTGGGGCTGGCACATGTTCGACTTTGTGCACATCTGGACCTGGGACAAGTACGGCGGCTCGACGTACTACGACGTGCACCTGTGGACCATCCCGGTCGAGTTCCGCGCCAGCATGATGCTGTTCCTGACGCTCCTGGGCCTGGCCAGGCTGCGCACCGGGCTGCGGCTCGTCTTTCTCGCCGTCATCATGGCCTTTTGCTACCGCAGCGACCGCTGGGAGATGGTGCTCTTCTACGTGGGCATGCTGTACGCCGAGCTCGACATCATCCGCGGCGCCCACAGCGACCCGGCCACCACGGCCGCCCTGCCCACCATGCACTCAGAGCCCAGGCCCCTGATGGACTATGTCGGCACTGGCCAACACGGCCATTCTCATCACCACAACCAATTTCTCCAGGACCCTCTCGCGCCAACATCATCATCATCATCATCATCATCAACTACAACAAAACTTCCTACAGGCGGGCGATCAGGAACCAAGCAGCTGCGCCGCCTCGCATGGGCCCTGCTCGCGACCACCTCCCTCTACCTCCTCTCCCAGCCCGACGTGAACAGCGAGAACACGCCCGGCTGGGTCTACCTCAGCGCGCTGATCCCAGAGTGGGTCGACGACAAGTACCGCTACTGGCAGTGCATCGGCGCCGCCCTGTTCGTCTTTTGCACCGCGCGCATGCCCACCCTGCAGCGCGTCTTCAACACCACCCCCGTGCAGTACCTGGGCCGCATCAGCTACGCCATCTACCTCATGCACGGCCCTGTCCTGCACACGGTCGGCTACGGCATCGAGAGGTGGGCCTGGGGCGTCACAGGCACCGAGGGCGCCGCCCACCACTGGGGGTTTTTCCTGGGCGCCGTCTTTATCGTGCCTGGTGTGGTCTGGGCTGCTGATGTGTTTTGGCGCGCTGTGGATGCGCCTGTTGTGCGGTTTGCCAAGTGGCTGGAGTCGGTGTGTGTTGTGGCTGAGGAGGGCCGCCCGTCGCATGGACGGTCATGAGGGAGAGAGTGTGTGAGAGAAAAGAAAGAAAGAAAGAAAGAGAAAGGAGACAGGAAACAGGGTTCTTGTTCGTTCTCCTTTGCGTTCATCGAGAAACCCGAGTCTTGCACTTGCAAATCTTTTTTTGACTGTATCTATTGATTGCGTTGCTGAGGATTTTCTTTTTCAACTTGGCTGGTGTTTCCTTTGGGGGGGGGGGGGGGAAGATTAACTTGGGCGCATTGCGGTGTTCTGGGCATCGAAAGGCGTTGACTGAACAACAGAGATTCATGGTCTTTTCTCTTTTTTGTCATCAATGATTACAAATGAAATGAAAATTGCAATCAAATATATGTTGCCTCAACTTGTGGTGTCGCCTGTGGTTTGGAAGATGTCATCGCTGTGCAGAATATCGAAAGGAGTAAGAGAGGCTGGGAGAGACAGGGAGAGCATGTGGTATGGCTGGGAAACTGAAGACACAAATATGTGCTAGGAGCAAAATTGGTTTACCACACAAGGACGGACAGCTTTATTATTTTCTTATATGCCGTCGTCAAAGCTCCACCACCAAAGGCTGTCTGTCGTGTTTGTGCCCACATCTTCGTCTCAGTATTGCACTGAACGGCCCCTGAATTACGCGGCCGGCCCATATGGTATGCACAGTATTAGGTCATACATATCTCTACTCCCGATCAAGCAAATTTATATATATACTCACATGTATAAGTCACAGGAATAAATTGGAATGGTTCCCTGGTAGTCACAAGGGCTCGTCTTTGGGTGCATATGCTCATGCCGTACATACATGATTTGTCTCGAGTCGTACGAAATCATGTCGCTCATTTACGCTCCAGACGTTTTTATGTATACAAATAGAGTCTCGTAGAACTTGGAACCATTCACTTCTACTTCTAGTCTTTCCATTATATGCGTGTAGTCGTTTGATCCATGCCATTTACACAAGCGGTGCAGTCTTGAACTCGAAAGAGAACAAAGAGGCCCGCTGAAAGCCCATCATCCTCGTGCCCTCTCTACACGTTCCCGCAGCTTCGAATTATCCAGTTCCTCCACAGGCCTGTACCGATCCGCCAGGATTTCATCCACGCTCTTGTCCAGCGCCGCCTTGCCATGTCTCCCCTCGTAACGCTGCTGCAGCACGCTCTCCACGTCTGACACAGACGATGCCGCCTGCACCACCTTCTTCTCGATCTTCTCCTCTGCCAGCCCGACGGCCGCCTTCGCCTTGGACGCCACCTCCTTGCCCCTCCTAAACCCTCTCTCCCAGATACTCCCCGCCGCCTCCTTGGCCTCCGCCGCCCCGGCCTGCACGACCTCCTTCGTCCTCACACCCGCCTGCTGCACAGTCCCCTGCGCCGCCGCCGCCCCATCCACAACCGCACCCTTCGCCCGCTCCGCCGTCCTCGCAACAGAAGGCGGTTCGCCCCCAGTTACCCGCGCCCACACCCGACCCGCCGCGTCCTCGGCGTCCTCCCGCGCAGCGACCCAGTCCTTGTCCGCCGCCCACCGCACGGCGCCCTCGATCTCGGCATTCCACCTGTCCTTGGCGCGCTGCACGAAGCTGGCGTCGCTGCCGAGGCGCTCGGTCCTCCGCTGCTGGGCGCGCGCGAGGAGCTCCTGCTGGTGCTCGAGGAGGGCGAGCTCCTCGGCGAGTGTCTTGGGCGGTGGCGCGGACGCGGGGATGTAGGAAAGCGAGTTGAGGACGTAGGCCTGGGCGCGGAGGGTTTCGGCCTGCGACTGACGGGTGCGCTGGTGGGCTTGGAGGGTGAGGTAGGCTGCACCGAGGACGAGGGTTACGCCGCCGGTCTGTGTGGGGGGAAAAGAGGGTGGGTGTTAGTAGAGAAAGAGAGAGAGAGAGAGAGAGTGTGTGTGTGTGTGTGTGTGTGTGTGAGCTGGCTGGTGAGGCCAATGGATGGAGAAAGAGGGAGGGGGATCACTTACAAGACCTGTTGTGAAGCCCATCTTTTGTGAGGGAGATTATATGTCGCGCGCCGCGTGGAAGCAGCACGCGAGGCCTTTTTAAAAGACTTTTTTTTTTTTTTTTTTTTTTTTTTCGTGAGCTGGTGAATAGAGGACAATCTCTTTTGTGTTTTAAAGAAAAAGGAATAGCTGTACGAGGAGGAGGAGGAGGAGGAGGAGGAGGAGGGGATGGTCTCGAGGGTGGGAATGACCACAAGGTCTTGAGCTGCTGTTTGAGGATAAAAGAGTGTTGTCGCAGAGATAAATCGATGTCCTATAGCGGATTTCGGACTGCAGTCGAGGATGAGGTCAGGGGTCCGGCTGTAGTGCCTGGGTTTATGCAGAGTAGCTCTCAGTGCAAGTATTCTCATGTACCGAGGGGTAACATGAGGGAAGACAGGGAAAAGCAGCACTGGCTTAGAAATATACTGAAACTTTGATTTGAAGGTTAAACAATATTTATACACATACAAGCCATACATGATAAAGTATGATCATCATTTAAGTGACTATGTGGCCTAGAAGTGCTCCTAACGTGTGAGTCGAGATACCAAGGCGGTACTTCTTGACGAACGCTCCCGCCAAATCTTGCACCTCTAAAAATTCCATGACCCGCCAACATCAATCGACTCAAGCAAAGAACCTTGGGACCAGCACAACGACCACCATCCATCCTCCCCACCCAACCTGGTGAACCCTCATAGAGAGACCAGAACCCCAGCACGACACACAACACGCCACAGGACCCGAGAGTGCAACCCAAGACTGAACACAAAAGGGAGGCGCCCCACGACCACCAAACACCAAAAGACAGCTCGATACGATGGACGGCGCATTCCGCGCAACGCTGGCGAGGATGGCAGGTGGCCACATGAAGTACCGCACCCTCGGCCGCGACTCGGCCCACAGGCAGGCCCTCCTGCGCAACCTCGTCACCTCGCTGGTCAAGCAGGAGTCCATCCAGACCACCTGGCCCAAGGCCAAGGAGGCCCAGAGGCTAGCGGACAACCTCATCACCCTGGCCAAGAACAACAACGAGACCGCGAGGAGGAAGGCACAGGCGATTCTCTACGTATGTTTTCCCCTCCTCTTTTCTTGATCTACGAATTCGAAATCAGGAGAGGACCAGCAACAAGGTGAATTGACGGGGGCGTGCCCCCCCCCCGCCGTTCTAATGTACAAATCCCTAGACACCCGACCTCCTCCTGCCCAAGCTCTTCGGCGAGCTGCGCGAGCGCTACGAGAACAGGCCCGGCGGCTACACACGCGTCCTGCGCACCGAGCCCATGAACAAGCACCAGCAGGACCAGGCGCCCTCGGCCCTGTTATTATTCGTCGACGGCCCCGCGGACGTGCGCTTCGCCATGACCGCCGCCACCGTGGCCCGGGACGAGGTGCTGGGCAAGAAGCGGTCCAACAACCTCACCATGATGAACGTGAAGAAGATGCTGGCGTTCAGGAAGGGCGGCGAGAAGGAGTTCAGGGACCTGGTGGAGAAGATAAAAAGGCAGGAGAGGAACAACTTTATCAAGCAGGAGGAGGAGCAGACGGGGAGGCCGTACAAGTTCCAGGTATAGGACACTCGAGACGCGTGGGGGGGGGAGGGGGGGAGGGGGCGGTAGGGCAACATGGGAGGAGGGGGAGGCGTTGTGATATCAATCATCAATTACCAAGTAGGCGTTGACCGGGTCTCGGCTTGGAAGGGGAGGCATTGAATTTGGACTGTAACATACGGTCGTGCAGACACCAACAGGAAAAGCACTACTGTGTGGGTGTCACCAGGTATATATAGTTGGAGAACGCTCCTGTGGGAGCTACTGCTGAATGCTGTCTCTCTACTTCAAAAGTAGTCCAACCTTCTACACAAAGTCAAACGTGTCGCCCCTCTCCCGAATCATCTTTCCAACCCTCTGGGTGCCGACAATCCTCTCCAGCTTGAGCACATCGTACTTGGAAAACATGACCCTGACAGCCCCTTGTCCCGGCTCTATCCTCAGGTCCTGCTCGGCTTTGGCCAGGGTGGCACCGACAATCTCCTTGTAAAAGAAGGGATTGTCGGGCAGGCTGTACATGATGATCCTCTGTACGCCCTTGAGCACATATCTTCGGAAGTGGTGCGCTCTTTCGGTGTATAACAAGACCTTGTGCCGTCCTGCAAAGAAATGGGACCGCGCTCTCGAGGCCTCGGGGATCGACGCATACTCTGAGATGGTGCCGAATGTGAGGCTCTCCGCCGTCGCGTTGGTGGCGAAATAGTTGCGCACGCGCACAAAGTCCAGGTAGGACGGGATCAGTATCAGTGTGCCCATGCTGTCCTTGGAGCGCTTGGCCAGCGACGGTAGGATGGCCTTGGTAAAGTACGAAAATCGGGCCTCCGGCTCATCCTCGAGCGAGGACGCCTCGAAGCGAGAAAACGTCTGCTTGGCCTTGACTCCGATCTCCTGGATGACGCCGGTATGGTCTGGCTCTATGCGCACCTTGCCTGCCCAGTTCTGGCAGTGTAGCCGGAAGAGCTTCGAGATCTCAGGTGTGTTGAACTGGGTCAACAGGATAGTCTGCCGGAAGTACTTGGCCTGGTCTTCCAAGTACCAGTTCCGCACCCGGGCAAAGTCGGCGCCATGGTCGTCCTTGGGCTGCAGGTTCAGGTGTTCGAAGATGTACTCCATATGCTCCCAATTCTGCATCAAAAGAGCATCGACCTGGTCAACAAGGACGATCTCGATAGAGGTGAGGAAATCATGCTCGACCTTCTTGCCGTCCTCTGAGCCAATCGCCATCCTCAACCCCAGCGGGCTAGCTATGAGTATGTCAGAGTTGTAGAATTGAGCAAAGAACTTGATGGTTTTCCTGGTAAATTTAACACCGATCCGGAACATGTCGTCGTCGTTGCCAGCAAAGAGGTCCTTGAAATCCGCGGGTTTGTCTCCAGGTATCCTGTCTTCCTTGTCGTGGTACGAGTCGTCGAATCTCTTGCGGTTCTCCTGCGTTTCAGGCTCGCATATTGATGCCATCATCTCGACCATCTTGTAGCAGGCCTCTCGTGTCGGGAGAATCATCAGGACTTTCGGTCTGGTGAAGCCTTGATCTCGCAGCTCCAGATCCGCGTCAGGCTGTTGAGCAAGCTTGCCGTTATTCTTGATAACACGGTCTCGGGTCCTGTGATGTTGTCAATACCATGGGGCCCATCCTGAGAGCAAGGAAAAACTAACTTGAAGACATGGTTGAGAGCATGTAGACATGCTAGACGCCGCATACTCTTCCCATTACCCATGTTCCGGTTGCAGAAGAGCAGGTCCTTGTAGCCGAACATGATTGGCGCAAGGGACTGTTCGACAGCATCAAACTTTGCCTTTTTCCCAGCCATAGAAATTTGCAGGCGTTGCTTGAGAGATAGTTCTGAAGCGCTGGGGACGGGACCCGGCACGGTGATTTGGTCGCTCTCATCCCCCGTATCTGGAGAGTTCAAGACCATTTTTGCCCCCTTCAAGGATGCCAAGGACGCCTTCTTCAATGACCATTTGCCCTCTTCAATCGCTCTGAGCCTTCTCGTAATGCTGGCCTCATCAATCGCAGCAAAATGGCTCTCAAAAGGATCCGAGGTGCTGAGCATCTCGTCGTCGTCCTCGCCGTCTTCCTCCTCATCGATAGCAGCTTCTGCATCAGTCTCGCCAGGAGCTTCCTCAGCTTCATCGACAAAGTCGACGTCTTCGACCTGATTCCTTTCTGGTTCTGCCGTTCTGCTCTCTGGTTTCTCACTGGGTGTTTGTTTGTGGTCCAGCTTCCTCCTCTTGGCCTGGGGCGCACCGGAATCTTCAGTGAGGCTCTGCATGAGTGCCATGTAAGGTCGTGCAGGAGCTTTGCTCTCCTCTTCATCTTCCGAGGCATCTTCTAGCTCCTCAATATCGTCATCCTCGTCCTCCCCCTCCCCCTCCATATCCGAGCCCTCTTCTGCAGACTCATCTTCTGAATCACTATAGATTGAGTCAGTCAGATATCATTGAAAGTATGAGATGGATTGCAGACCAACCTGTACTCTATTCTGGCACTGTCGAAAGTCGGTCCTCTGTGAGCATGCGATACGCCTCCTCTGCCTCCTCGACTGCCTCCTCGACTACCACCTCGATTACCGCCTCGGCTACCGCCTCGAAAGCCACCTCGACTGCCACCACGAGAGCCCCCTCTGCCTCGCCCTCCACCTCTTGAGCCTCCACGAAATCCTGCTCGACCTCTTGGACCCATGATCTCAGATCGCCTGAGTATCTCTCAAGCCTCGAATTGAGAGTAAGATGAAAAGATGAAAGGCCTCTCAAGCCAAAGAAAAAGGGTATGAAAAACTGTCTTAAGAAATTCAACTGGCTGCCTTTTCGAAAAATAAATTCTTATCTTATCGCGAAAAGGTACAGAGAACCAGGGTAAGAGACTGAGGACTAATGTACAGAGGTACTTGACCCCTGCGGTTTAGTGCCCACAAAGAGCGCAGGTGCCGCCCCACATTTTGGCAGCGACAAAGGGAATTTTGCAACACGAACAGGAACAATCATCGCGGGGTTGAACGCACACTTCAACAAACGAAACCTCCCCCAACACCCACCTGCACCCCGAACCTCCGCCCTCACCCTTACCGACTGCATTCCGCCAACGAGATCTTTCAAGATGGCGATAGATTCGGAGGAATTCCTGCACCTGGCCAGGCCTATTGCACCCTCGATGCCAGGCTTCAACAGCAACATCTCACCCATGACCGTCAACATCCAGCCACAAGTACGTCGCTATTTCCTCATATGTGTCTTGATCTTCTCTCAATGGAGCTCCAGCTAATGAATGTATCCTTTCCCCAGGCCATCCTCTCCATACTCGACCATGCCACGCGCAGCGACGATCCACCCACACCCAACTCGACTGGACCCAAGCCTCGCGTTATTGGCGCCCTGATAGGAGTCCGCAGCGAAGACGGTACCGAGGTCGAGGTGCGCAACAGCTTTGCAATCCCGCATGTCGAGAACGAGGATCAGGTCGAGGTGGACGTCGAGTTCCAGCGCACGATGCTGGCCCTTACCCTCAAGGCCTCGCCTCGGGAGACCCTGCTGGGCTGGTACGCCACCGCCCTCGAGCTCAACAGCTTCTCCTCCCTCATCCAGAACTTCTTTGCCGCCCCGGAGACCGGCACCTTCCCTCACCCGGCCGTTCACATGACCATCTCCACCGAGCCGGGCTCCGACATCGAGACCAAGTGCTACATCTCCGCACCTGCCGCCGTCAACCCTGAGCGCGCCGCTGAGTCGTGCCTGTTCATCGAGGTCCCGCACAAGCTCTCCACCGGCGATGCCGAGCGTGCTGCCCTCGAGGCCATCGCCTCCGCCTCAAACAATGAGAGCCGCACCGCGCCACTTGTGCCCGATATCGAGGGGCTGGCAACCGCCCTTGCGCAGACCGAGGACCTGCTGGAGCGATCGAGCGGCTATGTGGGAGAGATTCTGGACGAGGAGCGGGACCCTAACCAGGCCCTGGGCCAGTATCTGATGAACAACCTGTCCCTCGCGCCCAAGGTCGACCCGAGCGCCATCGAGCACGACTTCAACAATCACATCCAGGACGTGCTCATGGTGAGCTACCTCGCCAACAGCGTCAAGACGCAGATCGACCTCGCCCAGAGGCTGGCGACCGCGCCGCTATCGGGACCCCATGCCGAGGGCGCCAAGGATGGTGAGGACGGCGCCAAGGAGGGCGGACGCGGTGACCGTGGTGGACGTGGTGGAAAGCGGGGTGGACGAGGAGGTGGTCGCGGCGGCGGTCAGCAGAGGGAACCAAGAGAGCCTCGTGAGCCCCGCGAGCCACGGGAGAACGGCGACTGAGCGATGAGTGTGTTGGACTTGATAGTTGTGCAGACATCAGACCTTCTCTCCATCCATATACAGTGGCCTGTGCAGTATCGCCGGCGAGGGACTGACCAGGACCGCGATTCGGGGTCATGCTGTTGCGGTCTGATCTCAAGGGGGGATCACGAGGCGGGACCGCCTTGGGGAAAGGGAAAAAGTGACAGCCCGACAGGCGTTCAAGGGGTAATAAATAGAAATCGATGGGCGCGGAAAAAGAAATCTCACGTCATTGACATTTTGAAGACTCGCGCAAGCATCATGCCTTGTACAAGTTGCCCTCAAGAGCCAGTGGTCGCTTGAGTGCCCTGATCACAGCTAAAGAAAGTCATGGAAGGAACTGTGAAAACTGTATCGTATTATGGATGATCTAGTATAGTAGTATCATCCCTCTAGCAAGTGCGAGTTTTTTTTTTTTTGTTTGGATTCCCCCTCCACAATGTTAGTGTTGTAGTCGAATCCTAACTACCTGGGCCTGATTCTGAACGATGGCCCCACTCATGCTATGATTGACCAGCCCTTCAGACCAGCAGGAACCCCTTCCCCCTTGCCTGAACGCCTGTATGCACCGAGAAAATTCCGTACGCCTTTATCATGATGATCATCCGTGTCCATCCGTGTGTGTGTGTGAGTGTGTGTGAGAGAGAGAGAGAGGAGACCAAAAAAGAAGAGAGAAAGAATGAATGAAAACACCTGTAGATGCACGCACGCACTTGCTAGGTTGTGGGTTTCTGCGGCAGGGCCGCCGGGTTGCCGTATGTCGGCAGGTTGCTGAAGGGTGGTTGTCCGTGTCCCATGGGTGGCCCTTGAGGCATTGAGGGCTTGTTGGGAATGTGATGGGGACCCTGAGCAGCGGGGTGGGGTGGGAGCTGGTGGGGGACATGAGGCGGATGCTGCATCGCGGCAGGCGGATGGTGGTAAGGAGGGAGAGAGTTGTTCGATCCCTGCCGCAGCATGCCGTACCCTCCATTGCCGTAAGGCTGCTGCACCATTGGCGGCGCGGTCTGATATCCTGGATAACCCATGTGGGGAGGTGGCACGAGTTGAGGACTATCCTGCCGCGGAGGCATGTAGTTGTAAGGCCCAGAAGGAGGCGGCATGGGTGCCATGCCGGTACCAGGCACGAATGACTGCGTCTTCGGGTTGAATGCATGGCGGTTGAAGCTGCCAGGGATGGGATGCTGGCTCTTGGGGTCATGAGGACTGACATTGGCCGGAAGGGCGCCGTAAGGATAGGGTATACCTGTCCCTGTCACTGGCGTGGCCCGAGATTGGTACGGGCTCTGGTTGAACGTGGGCGGCGGTGGTTGCTGCCATCCGTGCTGCTGCTGCTGAGGAGGAGGAGGAGGAGGCGGAGGGGGAGGCTGCATTGGGGAACCGTAAGGTCCAGGGGCGATGGAGCCCATTGGAGGCTGGTATCGAGGCTGGCCAGGCGGCTGTGGGTACTGTTGACTTGTCAGCGATGGTCCTCAAGATCGAAAGCAATGGTTGAGACACTCACGTTTGGCATGTTGTTACACTGCACTCCATAACCGCCGCCGCCGGGCATCATAGGTGGGCACGATTGGGCCGGAGGGCCGTACATAGGAGGCATTGCAGTCGCGTATTGCTGTGTAGCGGGAGCATTGAATTGCGCGCTCCCTGCCGAGACGTACTGCGGTTGAACCCAAGTGGGTTGGTGGGAGTGACCATAGGCCGGCGCATAAGCAACGTAGTTGGACCGCGTCTCGAAAGTATCAGAGTCGCGTCGCCTCCTCGCTTTCTTCCCACTGTTGGCCTTGTCACGAAGCGACACAGAGCTTGCCCGAGACACCCCAGTGCTGTCTTCATTTTCTGTTTATTCATCAGCCCTGGAAATTTCATAAAAAGGAAATCGGAAAGGGCATATGCCATACCTAGTGTCGACGTCTCCGTAGACGCCGTCCCGAAGATGCGCTCACGGGCCTTGTTGTAAGCTTCTTCCCTCTCTTCCCTGGACATCCTGTCGCAACAGACACAAGTTAGCTTGGTGCCTGACGCGTAGGCTGTGTTGAGCACTCACTTCTCCTTGGCAGCTGCTTTATCCTTGGCATCGCTCCCGGCCTCGGACGTTGGTTTGGATGGACCGGAGCTTCCCGGGCCGAAAAGTCCATTCTCCCCACGCCTCATGATCTTCCTGGGTAGCACTGCTGGAGGCGGCGTGCTTGCAGCCGATGAGCTCTGCGCAATGCTGGCCAGCGAAGGAGGCACTCGACAAAAGGGAGTTCTGAAGATGCGAACAGCTCCAGCATTCGCCTCGAACGAGTGTGTCATGTGGTAGTAATCAGCTAACTTGTGCGTCAACATCCTACAGAAGGAGTTGGAAGGAGGTAGGTCCATAAACGGCTCCCTGCGCCAACCAGTCAGCGACAGTCTCTTGAACGACACTGGTGTCTGCAGGGATAACTTACTTTGAGTCCTGTACGAATTCGATAACCGTCTCCTCCAGCTTCAGCAGGAATAGCCGATCCTTCTGGGACGACATAGCCTCGAGGAGCTTATCATCAGGATTCTGCCCGTGCATACCGCTTGGGGTGGACGTCGCGCTCACGAGCGCAATCTTGGCATCAGTGACCGGAATTTGCTCCGATGAAGCGCTCTGTGGGGTGACGACGCCTTGGTTACCAGATTCGACAATGACATGTTGATGGGAGACGCTTCTCGGAGGCATGTCGCCCAACTGAATGCGCTGAAAACGAGCAGCCACCTCTGAGCCCATCCGTGAGCCTGCGACTAGCGAACCTCGGACCGAAAATGCGTCGTCGTCCTCCGCCGCAGCCTGCACGCTTGCACTGTCATCAGGTCGAAGCGACTCTTTCTCGTCCAGCGCATTGAAGGTCGTCCCAGAAGTGATGCTCTTGCCGTCGAGGCTGGGAGGTTTGGTGCCGAGATCAGAACTGGAGTCGCCTTTCTGAGATGTGTCATCTGAGGGCGTCTGGACCTTGGAAGATGTACCCGTGGATGTGGAACTAGCACCGTTGGCCGCGAGACTAGGAGAAGCTTTGTCCTCCACCCTCAGCTTCTGCAGCCCGCCGACAAGCTGAGCTTGACCTGAGGCCGCAATACCGTCCCCATTTGGCAATTTTATTGTGGCCGTGGCGGCTACCCCGTCTGGCTCCATCATCTTCCCCTTCTCAGACACGGTTGGGCCGAGTTTTGTGGAGTCGGCTTGCGGCTCGTTCTCGGGCACAGCGCTGGATAAAGGCTCTCGAGCTGATGAACTCGGTCTGTCAGGTGTGGCTGCCACAACCTTTGCACACGGAATATCATTAGTCTTCCACATATATATAAGTCGTACAGGCTTCGCTACTGGGAATACCTTTGCAAATGAAAGCCTCTGAACGTCTGTCATAGTCGTCTGTACAGCCGTCATGTCTGCGCCTGCTGGGTTGTAGTCTGTCAAAGTGAAAACTGAAGCGTGTGTGCCTGGTCCTTCGCGTCAGACAGCGTATCGTCTGCTGCGAGGAACGAGCGCACCCAAGAAGTGGACTAAAAAAAAGATGAACAGTCGAAAGGAGGTCTAAGAAACAAAACGAATCAAGGCGGTCCCGGTCGAGAAAGAGGTACAGGTGCTCATTGTCGAGATCTGAGGTCCATTCGATTTGGGTGCTTGGCGAATAGGTGTAGGCCGAACTTGTCGAGATGCCCGGCAGGGTTATATGATTCAATCTGCCAAAGGAGCCGGCCGAGTGATGGCCGTTCGACGGTGTTGATCACGGAATCTGCCCTGTGGGATAGGATGTGCCGCGGCTTGTCGAGAGATCTCGCCAGGCTACAGGACAGTGAATGACCACGTCGTTCGGGGGCTGAAAAACAGATTTCGGTCTCTGCCGTCGAAGTTCGCACACAAAGAGTGGAGAGGGTTTTGGGGGGCTTGGGTTGATTGCGATGCCGATTTTGACTTTCGGTCGCACCGAGGTGTGTGGTAAGGATTGGGTGCTCCTTTTGGGGGGGGAGCACAGGCTCAGCGTGCTCCGCGTGCTCGGTCGACGGGTGGTGTGAAAAGCGGGCTGCAGCGCTGGCACCGTCTTCAGCGGGCCTCTGCTGGTCGATCCGTATGAGGTCGGGTCGGCCGCGTTATCGAGGTCGGATATGGTGGTTGTGATGGTTGGTGATGGTCAAGATCGAATTCGAGGAGGTGACAAGAATCTGACAGCGGGTAGCGCTTAGACGACCTGCCTCAAGGTTTCCGCGTCGGGCCTCTGTCCTCGATATTGACTGGGAGGGGGGCCAAAACAATCAAAAGAGGAAAAGGTGATATTGAGCCGACTTGCCAGGCGTCAGAGTGATCGCGTCCCCTTTCGTAGCCTCGTCTACCGCAGATGAGGAGTGAAGCTTCGTCAGGCACTAAGTTGCACTTCAGTCCATCACTCCCAATCCAGACCATTGCAGTAGGGGGAACAACTTGGGCGGCAGGGGGGCAGGGCGGCCAGGGCGGGTTAGTGCTCAGGCTAAGCCTCCACCACAAGTAAATCTGATGTTTGGTTACATAAGCGGATTATCTACCATGGGACACGGGAAAACCGGCTGTTGGTCAATCAAGGGGAGGACCGCTGTACTCTCACTTACCTCATACTCTAGAACATATTCTTTTCCCAGCACGGCATCTCTGGTCTATCAAGGGTCATCCCGAGATACATCTCACACAACAGCCACTGGCATAGCCTCACCGATTCCAATGACAAGTTTCTCCCTGTGCAGACAAGGGACAAATCACCAGGGCTAGAAGGCAGGCAGACTCAAAATCTTTGGTGCCTTGCACCCCCAAGATCAAGGCATCAGGCACGGGACAGCAAGGCTCAGCAGCACGTTCAAGCCATATCAGGGAAGCCTTGCTTAGTTATTGTGCTACTGTCCATTCTCTGGGTAGTTCAAGGTCACTCAGCCTTTAACTTTCCGCCTCACCTTCTTCGCCTTGACAAGACGCACATTACAGTCATGCATGCGTGGAACCGAGGTGGAGGCCGGAGACAGCCTACACCAACCAATGTTCAGTGTCAAAAATGCCTGAAGCGAGGGCACTACTCATACGAGTGCAAGGCTCAGCTACAAGAACGGCCATACAAGGCCCGGCCCTCTCGGACGCAGCAGCTGCTCAACCCCAAGCTGGCCCCCAAACTCACCAACGATGTACCTGGTGATGTCACAAGAAAGTAAGGGTTCATCTCGTCAACTCACCTTCTCGGCATAACGTCTTGCTAATTTACATTGTATAGGAAGGGCGTAGCCGATGAGGAGTTAGCCAGGAAGGAGGCTGAGAGGGCACGAAAACGAGAGCTGGAAGATGATGATGAGCCACCAGCGCGGCAACCCGAGCACAAACGCCCACGGTCACGGTCACCATCACGATCACGGTCAGCCTCTGTTGATTCGATGTTATCTATCTCAACAAGATCTGGGAGATCACCACCGCCACGGAGACGAGCATCGCCGTCGCCACGAAGTGCCCGCAAACTTTCGCCTCCTGCACGGCGGGTGTCGCGGAGCCGGAGCAGGTCTTTCGATTCGGTCAGCGACGACCGTCGCGGGCGATCTCTGAGTCCAGAAATGAGCCACCAACTTCATGACAACAGGAGAAGATCGCCAGGTAGCTCACAGAGATACGTAGATCGCGATGACCGCGACACAAGATCCCCCACGCCATATGACGAGCCACCATCCCGAGGATCGGGGCGGGAGGACTCTCTCGACCGAGAGCGCTCTCCAGTACGTCGTCGAAGGTATTCTTCTGACTCGAGAGAAGATGGGCGCCGGGAACCTGTGAGACGCCGAGACTCGAGGTCACCAGCAGGTCGTCCAGCGCAAGGTGGCTATGGTCGCTACAGGGACCGGAGTCAGGATGGATCATACAGGACTGAAGAGCGCCAGCGAGGTCCTCCACCACGGGATCCAGAGCCACCAAGACAGCGCAGCCTGAGTCCCTTCAGCAAGAGATTAGCTTTGACCCAGGCCATGAACATGAGTAGATAGATCCGGGTATCAATTCGCATACTGTAATGCAGGATAAAGCTTTTTCTTCTTCTCCCCAACCGAAGGTCCAGTCTCAATCCTTAAAACGCCTCTCCAATGCAGTAACGTCCTGGAATGTGCGGCCCCAATAGATTACAAGCCTTCATAGTTCACTCCACATCGATAGCCTCACGTTCCCTCCGCTCCTCCTCCTGCTCCTCCCTCTCCCTCAGCCTGATAATCTCCTCCAGCTCCCCGCCCTCCAGGCTCGCCGCGACAGCTTCCCCATCGGTGGCGCCAGAGCCTGCCTTCTGCGATTCAATTTGCTTTGACTGTAACCTCTCTCTCACCAGCTTCGCAATGGCGTTGTCCGTCCTGACGTTGAGTACCTCCAGCTTCTTGTTGAGCTCCCTCTTGAGATCCCAGTTCGGCTTCTTGGGCTGCAGCTTGAAAAGATCGATGCCCTTGTCGTCCTCGGCCTCCTCAGCCGCCTTCTTCCGCAGTTCCGCCTCCAGGTCCGCCGCCTGGTCCTCCAGCGTCTGTTCGTCTGGTCCCAGCGTTGGCGGTGCCTCGAAGCCTAGTTTCGGACCCTTTGTCTCGGCATCGTAGTTTCGCCCAGAGAGGTGTATCCGCGAAACGTCCTTTTCGATCTGCTGCTGCTTTCTTGCTTCTTCCTCTTCTTCTTCTCGAGATGCATCGCCTTCGCCTCCTGTTGCGGAAGGCAGTGCTGCTGGTGATTTTTGGCGGTCTGATTCTGGAGGTGCGATCTCGTCTTCGGGTTGTTTGCGCTTCAGCGATTTTAGTTTCGCGAGCCGTGCTTTGCGGTCGTCTGAGGCGGCACTGAGCTTGGTATGTGGTGTCGACATGGTCTCTGGCGGAGAGATCAGCTCAATAAGTTGTAAGATTGAGTTGAAACTCGAACGATAGTCGCGTGTGAGGTTCCGTGCTGAGTACTTGGGAGGGATGATTATTGTCTGGGACTGGTAGGTGTCGATACTGAGGATGTCGAGGTTGAGATTCATGAACTCAAGAGGCGGTAGATCCCTGCATTCAAAGCGGTTTTCTTCCGGCAGGCAGCACCAGTAGTCGCTAGCCTGCCCTGAAGCTTGAAGAAAAGACTAAACTCCGAACCATCAACCCGCGCTGGATTCTCCAAAGAACACCAAAAGACACACAGTCGAGATGCTGCGCAATACGATATGAAGGAGGACTTGCCGTTGATTAGACGGCATCCACGCAAAGAGAGGCGAACCGAGGAGTATGCAGTACGCCTCCAGTCGTTTGTGCCTCCTGCGACTCGGGCAACCACGGCAAAACCAGATTAATCCCATACGACATCTTTTATCGCCCCGTCTCCCGTTTCAAATCTCACGCCGAGAAGCAGTACATGGCGTGGCGTCGAATACCGAACAAGGCAGCCATGCAGTCTTCGAGGAGCAGTCCCAACATGAAGGGGCTCCTACCCCGACGACAGATGCCGCTGCCCTATCACCAATCAGTTGGGGCTCTGCAAATCAGCCGCAAGGTGATGCATCTCGTAGCCCCTTGGACACCTCATATCCTCCTTATGGGGGAGACAAGATGACAGTCAGACCGGTGTATGGCCACGAACCACCAAAGCCTCCATTTCCCCTCCCTACACCATCGACCTCCACGCTCACGCCTAGTGACACGAGGCTACAATTCGTCAAGGAGGTCAAAAACATCGAGGACGGTACTTTGAAAATGGCCTCGGTCATTCACAGATTCGACGATTGGGAGCGATTTCAACGCAAGCGCCTGCAGGCCCTCGCCCCGGGAAGCAAAACGAGGCTAGCTTTCGGCGAATTCACCGCTTGGAAACGCTTCGTTGGGCAGTTTCGAAACGCACCGCCAGAGGATTCAAGACCATCATCTTCAGTCGAGAAGAATCAGGTACGATGGCTCCAAGGATGTGGTAATGTGGAGGAAATGATGGATTCCATACCACGGTTTCAAGGGAAGAATCGTTCTCTGCGACGACGGAGGGACAGTCAGTTGATATCCGTCGCGCTGCGCTTTGTCCCCGAAAAGCTCCGCCCTCTGCTGGAATGCGTCATAAGAACCCATGAACCACCATATACGCCCGAATTCTACGTGGTCGAAGACGTCCTCGAGATACTGGCAATGCGTATGAGCGTGATGGAACCGTCTGAGAGACCTGCCGTTGCGGCAGATTTGGCTCTGCTGGTGACCAATGTGCTCAGGAGCAGTCGGGCAAATACTGTTCAGATCAACCAGGCCACCATCGTGCGAATACTAGAAGCTCTTCCCGAAGCCTCTATCGGGCCTTGGTATCAGCAGCTCCGCGATACTCATTGCAACCTGCACACCAATACCGAGCTCCAATTCGCAAGTCGTCTAGCCAAGTCGCCATCGACAAAGAAATTGAGTACTCAGGTGCTGCTCGGCCTCACAAGCGCAGGCACAGTGGACATCAACAGTCCTGTGGCGGCCAGCGTGTGCACTTCAATTTTAACATTCAGAAAGGAAGATCTCGCAGCGCTAGATGGTCAGTCTGCCACTCCCGCAGACTTGTTTGGCACTCTCCACAGTATTGGAATGGTTCCCGACGTCGTCACCTACTCTGCTATCATGCGGGCCCTCTGCTTGAGGGGGGATCTCAAGGCGGCTCTAGACGTTTTCGAGGTCATGAAACAACACGGCGTGCAACCGGACGCGGTCACCTTCTCCGTCCTAATTCACGGCTGCAAGATGTGCGGAGACTTTGACACTTTGTCTGAGCTCACGATCCAGGCGTGCTTTGCAAACATTCGAGATCCTATCGTCTGGAATGATGTGCTTCATGCCTTGTACATAAGTTGCTTACGCGCGCGCAAAGACAGGCAGGGACCGCGTCGAACCGCCCTGTTCGCCCTGAATTCGATCTACACCCGGATCTTCGATCCCAAGCCTATCAGGCCGTTCATCACAAAACGTCTTGTTGAGATGGGTGATTTCGCAACGCTTCAGAGTTGGGTTCCCGAGAACATGACGCGCATAGCTGCGGAAGTCCCGCCTCTTCCTCCTCAAGAACTCGTGCAGCCAGGATCGGACACGCTCGCCATCATGATCCTAGGGCTCATTCGGTCCCTCCCGATGCCAGCAGACGTCGTCATATTCTACTCCCACTTCAGACAGATGCTCGCAGAGGGCCATCCTGTTGCAGAGCTTATGGTACGAGAGCGGGGGACTTTTGTTCATGACGTTGTTCTCAGAAACTTGATCAAGTGGCGAGGCACTTTACGAATCGCGCTCGACATCATTCGAGATATGGTGAGGGATGTTGGCCAAGACTCCACTTCGGAAGTCGGGCATTCTGATTCTATGTCGACTACTCGGCAGACGTCGGGTAGTGAAACACCGTGCCCAGAAGCCCATCAAGCTGAGGATGGTCAAGACACAGACGCCATGATGGAAGATTTCGGACTTCAAGCAGAAGCAAAAGAATCACCCAACAACGAAGTCCTCGGCCGACGGAGACCTCCGATCCGCCACCCAGCCCCAAGTGTTTACACCTGGAGCATCCTCATGCATGGATTCATGAGGCACAAACAACCTGAGGAAGCTGAGCGTGTCATCAGCCTTATGCGCGAGCACGGGGTGGAGCCGAATGCTGTCACGTGGAATACCCTCGCAGCTGGTTACGCCAAGATGGAGAAGATACCCAAAGCAGTGGATGCAATGCGCCGTCTCGAGACCGAAGGCTTCCAGGCTGACGACTGGACACTGCGTGCGTTTTCGTATATCAACCACAAGGCAAAAGCCATAAAGTTGATGGAGGCTACGGTCGAGGCCAACAAGCTCAAGAAGATGGCGTTAGAGCAGCAGCAGCAGCAGCAGCAGCAAGAATACGATCAGGACATGGCATTCGAGGAACAGTGGCCAGCCGAGCAGGTGCCGGACCAGACGCAGCAAGACGATGGGGCTGCGGACGTAGACGCAGAGACGGAGGAATGGCAGCACAGTGACGATGATGAAGAGGCCTTGGACGAGGAGCTTGAGACACGCCTGCTCCAGCTGGACCCGGCCCCGGTGCCCGAAAACGTCTCAAGAAAGATGCTCCTTGAGGCACAGAAGATGGAGAACATCGCGCCGGTCAATCAGGGGCCACAGCTCGCCGAGTGGGCGCGCATCCGGCGAGACGGCCTTAGTGCTGTGTCCGGTTCCACAACGCCGCATGGCGTGGAAAGTCGGTCCCCGTTGGGTGGACTGACACCCACATACACAGAAGATGTAAAGAAGAATGTAGGGCGGGGGCTATAACCTGGAATATACAGCTGTACATATTATTGAATAGATACCCTACTATCTTACTTTTTTTTTTTTTTTTTTTTTTTGGTGGACATCAACCAATAACAAGCCATCGCCAATGTGTCTCTGCTGACGGCGTATTTGCCGCCAAACTCCGTCATTAATTGGATTCAAGCTGAGAACCTGAACGAGCATCGTGTTTATGTGACGCAGGAAAGGAGGGGAGGTTGAGGAATATGCAGAGGGCTCCCGGAGCAAGGACTTGCTCTCTCTTCAGACCGCTGGCTGATAATGATGGAGCCGGCGAGTTACGAAGTGAAGCGGAATATGCCCGTCATCAAACCTAATCAAGGTACGACAAATCGGTAAATCGTAGAAGTGCGCCTCTCAGTCTCTCGTATCGTTCCGAAACAGCTCAGGTCGCCCTGTGTTCTCAACAACGACATCCCAGCGTCGCGATAGGGAACAAAATTCTCGTCATCAGGCACTGTTCCCAAAGAACTGGGTGATCTTTGGTGTTCCGGTTCCCTTCGCCTTCATGGGGCTCTTGGTCCCATTGCTCGTCGCACTGGTCGACCTCCCGCCTTTTACAGCGGACTTTTTCGGCGAAGGAGACGGCTTGGCCTTGAGGGGCGATGAAGCCACAGCCTTCTTCTTCCTCGGCGGCTCTTCATTTCCCGACCCCATATCGTCCTCACCATTTCCCTTCCTCTTCTCCCCAGCAGCAGCCGCAGACGAGACGCCCATACCGCCGTCATCTGCATTCTTCACCACCTCGTCGACCGACTTGGCCTCTTTCACGGGCGACGAGGTCGTAGCCTGCTTGACCTCGACATCCTCCTCCCCCTCCTTCTTCGGCTTCTGGGGAGAACCCTGTTTGGCCTGGGCATTGGCAAAGAAGTTGGCGATATTCGATTTGTTCTCACGGCTGGCGACCGGGATGATAAATGACGGAGAGTTGTTCCCGACTTTGCCTACCTCCTTGCTGACGGGATAGACCTCCAGCTCGCCTTCGAAGGGCTTGAGGACAGCCTGAAGGTCCTTGTCCCACTCGTACCGGGATGGGTCGAGCCATGTCCGCATCTGCTCGGAGGCAGGCTCGAGGATGACGGGCATACGGTCGTGCAGGAATTTGAGCTGCTTGTTGGAGTCGGTCGTGATGATAGTGTAGGTGTAATTCTTGTCTTCCTTATCTGCAAAAAGAGGAGCATCGTTTTCAGCAGGGAAGAGCTTGTGTGTGTGTGTGTGTGTGTGTGTGTGTGTATGCAGACGCAGGGAACCAAAAGACACTCACCCTCATACTTGACGCAATCCCAAAGCCCAGCAAAACACATCAGCCTCCCGTCCTTGCGCTTCACAAAATGCGGCACCTTGTCCCTGCCGCTCTTGAGCCACTCGTAGAACCCCTGCGCGACGACGATACACCTCTTCCGGCCCTTCATGGAGCTCCACATCCCGCCGGCCTGCGCGAGCGAGTCGTCCCTGCAGTTGATTGTCTTCATCACCGCGGCGTAGTCCGGGTTGCGCTTTGTCCAGAAGGGGATGAGACCCCACCTCATAGACTGCAGCTTGTAGTGTGTCGTCTTCTTCGTCTTTGTCTTCTTCTCGCCATCACCTTCTCTTTCTTCTTCTTCTTCTTCTTCTTCTTCCCCCTCCTCCTCCTCTACGATGCCCTGGTTGGCCGTGTCCAGCTCGGTGGTGTTTTCAGGAGCAGCGGCGACGGTAGGCTCGCTGGGCGCACCGCCCTTCTTCTGCTTAGCCTCCCTCCTGGGGCCCGCGCCCCAATCCGGGACGTCTGCCCTGTACACGATCCCATGATATCCCGGCGCGAAGTTATAGCTCTGCCTCGGAGCGCCGTCGCCCTCGTCGGCAGGCGCATCGTCGACGAGCATGTCGTCATTCTCGAGCATGCGGCGGACCTGCGACGGGCTCTGTTGTGGAGTTGGGAAGGAAGGTCTTGGTCAGCTTGGTGTGTTACAGGTGATTTGGTTGATGAAGTAAAATAGTGTGTGACTACTGTACTTGACGTACCAGGGCGAGCACATATCTTCCACACATGTTGTTCAGACCCTCTCGACGATTACGAGACGTTTTGACAAGAGAAAAGTATAATGCATTCTAAGGACCTCAATTTTTCTTTTTCTTTTGAGGACGAATACTGTAAATATAGGTAGCTGTGGGAAATGTTAAGATTCAGAGGAAGGTCTGTAGTGGTAGGCCTCCTGCAGTACGTCACTTCATTTCAGACGCGGCTAATACGCGCGGTCACGGGATCACCAACAAGCAGCCATTAAACATACCATGTACGCACTCTTGGAACAAACCAGACAAAGTTGGATAATAATTATTCATGTCTTTATTTGGTCAGAACACGGTGCCACAAGGCGATCGTCTTTTGGATCTTCACCAAGTGATAAGAACAAGAGGGCGAAAAGCTCCAGCCACCAGAAATTCTGAGGTATGAATTCGTCCTGCCTACTGAAGGGCAAGCGACATTTCCCCCTAGAATAATACCAAACAATCAAAGATCGTCAAAGTCCAGTGCAGAGATAATACGAGAGGAAACCCCGAGAGCGCTAGCATCAAGACCCGGAACTTTTTCTCCCAAAGGATGCGCCCTTCTTCCCTAAGCGCACGCAACCACCCACTGCACCTTGTTACTGCATCTTCTCGTAGGTAGCCATGAGGGAACCTGTAGCGATGTGGTTAGCGAATCGATTCCACTGCCCAAGAAGTTGAACAGATTATCTGTGAATAAACACTCACCAATGAAAGTCGTCACCAGGCGAGACCGGACCTGGCAAATATCCTCAGGTACCAGCCAGATAGTCGCGCCCATCTTTCTTGCGATCGAGATACTCAGCTTGGCGTTCATATACGCATCGTCATCGCTGTGGCCTGGTGTGACGAGGTCGTAGTCGACGTAGCTGCTCTTCATGCCGTTAAGTACATCCAGCAGGAAGACACCAGTGCCGATGCTGTTATCCTTGAAGGATCGGATCGTCGAGCCCCTGCCACCCTGCCGAGACATCTCGTTGGCCCACTTGACCATCTCGCTGTCGGTAATTTCGCGCTTGCCGAGGCGCTGCGCGAGGCTAGACAGCGTCAGGGTGATGTTCTTGCGCATGATCTGCCATACCAGGCCCAGTGTCAGGGTCTTTTGTCCGTCGGTAATATCGGCTCCCTGGATTCCGACTAGCGAGAACCCATTCTGCTTGCCTAGCTCGATCGCGTAGTTGGTGTTCTCCACGGCCTTGAACCGCAGCATCTCGCCGCCGTGTGCTGGCGCCTTGTTGACGTGCCGCCAGTTGACAGAGCCCTTGATGACTTTGTCGTATGCCTGCAGCAATATTGTACCGTCGCGGAGATCGTCGAAGAAGGACTGCACCAGGGGCTGGACGTCCAGGCTGTTGAGCCACAGGGTAAACACCCTGGCTTCGCGCTCACCCTCTGCGTCAAAGTCCTCCACTTCCTGCTTCTCCTCTTCCGTAATAGGGTCGAGGCAAGGGTGTGTGTTGAACAGGTTCGCCACGAAGGCCAGGTTCAGCTTGGGGTTTCCGGCGACAAGGGACTTGGGTGTCAAGAACTTGCGGCAGCCAAGCCTGTCAGCATCCTGCAGAACCAGCTCCGCACGCTGCAGCAGGTCGCGCTGCTGGAGCGGCGCCCTGGAGCAGCCGTACTCAGAGCCGATCTGTGCCTGGAGCACCGCGTAGTTCTCGCCATCCTTGACATCGGTGGAGAAGTTGGTGACCCGGCGGGGCCAGTTGGCAGCCTTGAGGTGGTAGTTGAACCACCGCAGTAGGATCTGCTCTGGAGGCAATCGCAGGAACTGCTCCAGTGTCTCGTCCTCCTCGAGCAGCCGGTACAGCTCAGGGTGAAGCTTGATGTCGATCTTGCCCAGGAGACCTCTGCGGATTATCTGCCAGATCAAGCCCAGAATCAGATGTTCCCGGACCTCGATGATGTCCCCGCTACCGATGTTGACCACAGAGCAGCCGATACCCTTGGCGGACTCGATGACGATGTTGTTGTTCTCGGTCATGTGGAAGGCATTGAGCTTCTTGATTTTCCTGCCAGGCACGTTCATTACACGCTCGTCGATGGTGTCCGGCACGCTGTCGTTAATGAGCTTGGCTAGCACCAGGCCGTCCTTGCACTCGTCGAACATCTCGAAGGTGTCGGTGGGAAAGGGCAGGCGGTCGCCAATGTCGGCATCTCCGGCGAGGACGGCGTTGATGTGGCGCGTGAACTCAGTGCGCTCGTCTTCGTTGATGGTGTGAGTGATGTTAGCATTCGAGCCCTGGACTTGAATCTTGCCGCTGATGCTGCTCTTCTGGGCGTGACCACCTGTGCGCTGTGACACGACGCCGGGCGAGGCGGGGGCAGCACCACCGGTGGCCATGCGCTGCTGGGCTGGTGAGGACTCTCGAAGTTTGGCGACGAGCTGCGATACGACCTGGTCAGTTATCTCACAGATAGGTGACTTCCTAGAGTAGGATAGAGGGTGCCCATTCGACGTACACCAACGTAATCCTCAAGCTCGACCCGCCTGGACGAGTCCAGCTCGACCTCCTTCAGTGCCTGTCGCACAACATCGTAAGGCTGACGCTCGCTGGCCTGCGTGGCCTTGATGGCAGTGGCTTCATCGAGGTATCCCTTGTCGTCGACGTCGAGCTTGCGAAAGGCATCTGCTAGGCCGAATATGTCATTCTGTTGGAATTGAGGGAACTTCCTGTGTTGGTCGCAAAATGGTCAGATCTGGGAACAAACTCCTTCTTCTCCTCTCCCCCTTTTCGCTAATGCCGCACTTCGCTGAGGAAACGGGCTGGAGATGATGCGTACCTCTGAAGTTTGAGGACGTTCATGATTGCTCTGCTTTGGGCTACTCGAGTGATTCAGAAGTGGTTGTAACCTCAAGAGACGCTGAGGAAGTTACTCGATGGAAAGTTAAGACTGCGTACGATTTCGTATTCGCAGGATCAATGTCAAAAGAATGTTGGGCAGGGAAATCAAGATGGAGCGAGAGCGAGCTTCATAGCCTAACTATGTCATCGCGGGGTGAGTCCAGGTCTCCACTCCCTGGGCTGCAAGGGCAGCTGGGGGGGCACTGGGCGCCAAGCCCCAAACACGTCCTCCTCCCAGGCCTCTTTCAGTGACTGCCTGAGCAAGCCTGGTCAAAGCCACAGCAGGCTTCGTCAGTCCTAAGCCGCCAAGAAAATACCAGGATAGGCAGACACAAATACATCCAATAACACATGATCGCCATGCAAATCGGAGTACACACCCCTCTTCCCTTCCCATTGCTACCATAGTACGAGACTACTGTAGAGTGGACGCAAACGGGCCCCACTAAAACTTTTCCTTCTCGGCCCTCCACCACCATGGAAACAATGATCAAGTTGCCACTTGGGTGACGGGAATTAAGTAGTTGTGGTTCACGATCTGAAGGCAACAAGGGTAATAGGCAGTCCCAAAGCGAGTTCTGACGCTGTTCATCGTTCGGTTTACGGATTCATCGAGAAGAGAGGAATGTTTTGAGTTTTTCACTCATCATCGCTACATAGTAAGATCGATCACCTTCACTTCCTCTTTGCCTTTTCTCACATGCCAACTTGCCCTTGCCACGGGCTCGCCGTCTTCTTTGCGTCTAGCATTGTCGTTCTCCACCTTGATGACTGGATTCACTCGGATGGCGAAGAGCGAGAAAATCCTGTTCCTAGTTTGAGGTTTTTTTCTTCTTCCCTTCGGACCCGATTGCCTCTCGACTCGGCAAGGCGGACCTCAGACTGGGAGAACATCCCATGAGCATCATCTCTTGACTCATTGTCAGCTCGTCTCGATCTGTCGAGCCACTCATGGCTAACCAGTAGACCGGGTCTTTTTCTAACCAACCTACAGATCATATTGTGATGCCAGAACCAACCTGCAAGATCTGCAATGAGCCCCTCCTCGTACCCGTCGAGACGGACTCCGATGACGATGACGGGTGTGGTCAGCCTGGCCCCTCCACCTCCTCCTTGACCGCCGAGACCGTGCCGGACGACCTCGAGTTCCCATGTGGCTGTCACTTCCACTGGCAGTGCGCCCTGGATGAGTCTCGCCACATAGCCTTCCACCTCACCTGCCCATCCTGCGGCGCCCACCTGGTGTCCAACGCCCCGGGCCCCTCCGTCACCAACCCCGTCTTCCACATATCCCAGGCCCCCGTCGCCATTCTCTGCCAGTACACCTCCGACGGTGGCGTCGAGGAGAACCACGACATCCTCCCTGTGCTCACCGAGGAGGCTTACCTAGCAAGCCACCCAGGCGAGCGCCGCCCTCGTGCCTTTCTCACCATGTGCGGCGAGGGCGACGTCCTCGGCGCCGTCGACCTCCTCAAGGACGCTGCCTCCGAGGGTGACGACGTCAAAGCCATCGTGCTGTACCGCGACGCCCTGCAGCGGAATCGAAGCGCACTGCAGATCGCCCTGGAGAAGTCCCAGGAGGAGGCCGTCTGGCTGCTGCTGTACCTCGGGTCGCCGAGGCTGCCGGACGAGGCGTTCCCCGAGGAGGCACTGGTCGCGGCCCGCAGTATGGGTGTGGACAGAATGCCGGCCGGACACGGCGGCGAGGATATCACGGCGGTGAAGGATGAGGAGGGGCGCAGTGCAGAGGACTATGCGAGGGCGATGGCGCCATTATGGGACCGCCTGGTCAACGCGGGTGTGTTGAGGCCTTGAGTGAAAGGGAGAGAGGGAGAGAAGAACGGCCAGAGCATTTTAGTTGATGTAATTGAAGGCGGTCATGGTCTACTCAAGATGGTAGAGACATGGCTTGTCCCTACCGCTACCAACTAGAAAGCACTTATGCCACACTATTTTTAATTACCCCGAGCCTTTGGTCTCACAACAGTAATCCTTCTATGGCGAGTCACTCAGAAGATATAAATCTCAATGGAAATTCGATGCTGTCGTTATAAGAATGGGCTCGAATGTGGCGATGGGATGAATCAGCTCACGGTTTAGATGTTTTTTCACAAATACGAGGACAAGGCCTGCAAATGCAAATCAAGGCCTGGAGTTCCAATTTCACTGTCAAGTTGAATATTGCATTTACAAGAGAAGTTGCAAGCCGCAAGCTGATAAATAATGACTAACCTACAGCCGAAACACCGTCCATCACCGCCCCAGCCAAGGAACCTCTACGCCCATGCCAGGAACTTTCCAAATGTGATGCAAGAACTATGCGCCGTAGGTGAACCCGCCCCGGTCTATCTCCCCGCGCCATCGCTTTCTTTCCGAGACAAGAGTTGGGACATGATGAAATGGGCGACATCTTCGTCGCCCCAGTACTGCAGGTGCGAAGCAATCGTGCTCAGCGGATTGAAATCAAGAGCACCCCTAAGCACTGAATGTTAATTTTCATTCGATAATCATCATAAGGTGGTAAAGGGGACACGTACTCTTGAATGCTGTAATCCACCCTGCCATTTCTGTTGAGAGCCCGCACTTTCATTTCCTCCCTCCTCAATCGTGCAGCCTGGTTCTCCTCCTGCGCCCACTTTTCGCGCGATTCTGCGTCGTCGAACTTCGAGTCCTTGTTAGAATTGGAACGCCGCTTCTGAAATCGACTGTAAAGAGTCTCGAGGTCATCATCCAAGAGTGTAAAGTCGTTTCCGCTGATGCTTTTGCGGCCGCCTTCCATGTCTCTGAAGGACTCTTCGGCCAACTGTTTCTTGCGCTCCGCTGCTTTTTGAGACAGGCTGGTCACTGAGTTGGAATGCGAGACCACGCCAGCAGATACGTTTGTACCAGCGCCAGGCGACTGTTCGTGCTGCTGCTGCTGCTGCTGCTGCTGCTGTTGCTGCTGCTGTTGCTGAGAAGCATTGATTTTTGCGACGTCCTCTGAGGTCAGACCCAGAGTACGATTGAGCAGATTGCTGGCAAGGCCAGCGCTGAATGAGGACCATAACCCACTCATGCTCTGCCCGACTTTAGCGCCGATGCCTGAGATGCCTTGCGGGTGCACAGAAAATATTCCCCTCTTGGTGTAAGGTAGATTCTGGGGCTTAAGAGTAGACATGGCCGGGGAGATAAGAGGCTCTATACGGTATGCGATCGGGTCGGAGGGGTAGAAAACATTGAACATCTGTAAGACTTTGGGCGATGAGACCGAATAGGGCAGACCAGTAATGGGAGACACGCGGTGGTTGTCTACTGTCAAAGGGGCTTGCAAAAAGGGATCATCCATGAAATCCGGGTCGAAGGGACTGTCCGCAGGTCGTCCATCTGTGAGATGGCGAGCACTGACAGTTCTACACCTCTGCGTGTCAGTCGACACAATCAATGACGATCAAGGAATATATACTTACCGGCCTTTGAGCATCTGAAACAACCCGATGGGGGACCCCAGACAGTAGAAGTCATCAACCTCGAAATCAAATGTAAGGTCACGAGGATCCTTGACTTCTGATCGTGATGGTTCGGCAGGCCAGATACGAAGCGGATTTCTTGACATCTCTGCCTCTTTTTGCCTCTCCCTTTGGCGACAGAGAATGTCAAAGAAGATGGCTGATCCCAAGCTATGTCCAAGGAGGTGAACTTTGCCGTCGAAACCTGGATTTCGTTCTTTGAACAGCTTATAGATGTTGTTGGCCTCCTTGAAGACAATCTCAGAGATCTGCTCACGGTATGCGCTTTGATACAGTAGAACATCTAGGGCAAGATCGGAAATGAGGGACCGCGCGAATCCCGCACCTTCGATAGCGAGGTCCTCTAGCGAAGGATCTGCAGTTTGTCAGTTGGGTGATGACGGAGGGAGGAGACATGAAGTGTGCATGGGAATGACACGGCGTAGAGCCGGGAAGGATCGATCATTCCAACCATAAAACTCACATTCATCTTCCTCTTTGGTTGCAAGGCCAAGGTCCTGCTCAGACTTCTTCTCTTCCCGCCTCTTGGGAAAGTCTAGAAGGTGCCGCCAGCACACGGGCAGCACCTGGACGCGAGAATTACCCGGGCCTCCGCCGATCTCCGTGTTGAGGGCTCTCAGGTCTTCAGAAGTGGAGTAAACGGACTTGATCGCTGCTAAGTGTCAGCACACTATCTCGGACAGTGGACAGCTTTATTTCAGAAACTTGCGGAGTTGTGCAGGAAGGAGGAACGCAAGTCAACAAGAACTACTAACTCTTTCGCAAAGTATTTACGTCGTGGACGAAGTTTACGCTCTCCATCCTAAAGAAACTGCATTAGTACATAGGCCAGTCACTAATACAATATGGGGAGTTACTTACCTCAAGCCCAATAGCTGACCAATGCCATGGGTAACAAGGACAAGATGCTCAATTTCTCGTCCTTGGGTCTCGCCAGCAGGCGCGTTATAGTCGTCTTGTATTTCTTGCTCCTCTCTTCTTCGGACAGCCTCTTCCTCACTCTCGACGTCATTGTCATTTTCAATCAGCGAGGACAGTTGTCGCTGGAGACTCTCGCCCCGACTTTCGAAGACTGCTGGCTCCTGATCTGTCGCCGGAGATGCATCGATCGAGTCAGATCTGGTTTGTGGCGGCGCTGACTTTCGCTTACGAAACTTTCCCTCTGACGAGTCGGCCTGCTGCTCTGTAGGACTTGAAGGCTCCTTCTCATCTTTCGGGTCCTTGCCGCCCTTTTTGCCAGGTTCAGTATAGCCGCGAACCACCTTGATGCCACTCATGTATCCGCCGCCAGCAAAGCGCTCATACACAGTTGAGGTTACCCACGACAACACACCGTCAGAGTTCAGCCATGCTGTGGCCGAGTCCTGGTAGGTTGCTACGGAGTTCATCCATGCGCCGAAGAGCCTGTGTGTCTGTGGCGTGGGGGGCGGTCCGGCAGGCTTCGAGTTCTGGGTCTGTGCCGCTGCCTGTGCCTTGAGATTCTCTACAGACGCCTTTGGAGTAACATCCCCCTTTGATTTGGATTCGCTGCGGAGCCTCGAGGCTACCCAGTTGTTAATTTTTCGTCGTTTGGATGGTTGATGATCCAACTCACCAGCGTAGAGCCAAGGCCTGCATTTGAGGTAGCCCTCCTCGAGTTGCGCAGCCAGATTTTCCTCACACGGACGCAGGCTCGATCCTTCCTGGTAGAACCAACTGCCCCGTCGTACGTCGTAGATAGGGCCCAGCCAGTAGACCGGTGCCAACTCGCGCTTCTTGATGTCCACGTCGAACAGGAAATCCTCGTTCACAGCCACCTTGGTTGCCATTTCATCGTCACTACTGTCGGAATCCCTTCTTGTGGATGTTCTGTCATTTCTCTTCCTCTCCCTGCCCTCCAGAATGCCTTGGTATACGTTCTCGATGGACCGAGAGTCGTGGGGTGAAAATGACATCCACTTCTTGGGAGGTGCAGGTGGTGTCGAGTCTTCTGGTTTCTTCTTGCCCTTGATAAGCTGGGGTTTGCGTTTCGGCACCTAGTGACCATTCGCCCGGTTAGCAAAGAATTGTTGTTGGGTCAAGAGCAACCAGGTGAACGGGAATGCACTCACATCGACAGCGTGGAACCACTGGACTTTCAGGGGCGGGCAATCCGGCGGATACCTCTTGGCGCTCAAGCCGTATATGAGGTTGATACTGTGATCAACCCCTGAAGTACTACCCGGCTTCGGTGGCGTTGGTGGCACCGGCTCTTTTGGAACCGGCGTAGTACTTCGGCTGCCAGCCCAAGGGTTGATGGAATCGACGGCAGAAGCCCATGTGGACTTCTCGGCCTTCTTATCGGTGGATGTCGAAGCCATGATTCTGCGCCTGTGATGCCACGCATGGGAAGCTCCCAGAGAGGACCAGCTCCTGGTTGAGACGCGCTTCGCCTGCCTTCTCACCACCCGTCTCAAGGTGGGAAAAAACTCGGTCGTCGTGGATACTGACTTGAGAAGGAGGGAAGACAAGGTCAGACCAAGTTGAGATGAGGATGGCAATGATCAAGTCGCGCTGCGCACGGGGAACGCTTAGTCCGAGGCAGCTCTGCGGACAGGCTTCCAACAGACGGTTGAGAGGAGGAGGACATGAAAAGTAATTGGAAGAAGAGACTCATGCAATAAGTCAGCTTCAGAGAGATTCAGAACAGACCATGGTACGCGGGTTGATGCATAAATAGAATGTGTTGTCAGACGGTCTTGTTTTGGGTACGGAGGAGAGGCCATTACATGTGACCCCAGTTCTCACTGTGAAGGTGCCTGTGAACCGGGGGGGGGGGGCAGCTCATAGGTAGGAAACAATGACGCTATGTTTCTCCGACTACTACCCGTTACGCCCGACTAGGCGATCACTCACTGGGGTCCCCATCTCGGTACAGTCTGATCCCTGAATTAATCTGTGTCTATGTACTACGTAACTTTGTCCACTGAACACACTGTTATGTATAAGTACATAGTAATGTCTGTTTTGAAATTTTACGACAACTGGCAATATGAAGATGATATTGAATCACTTTCAGTCTTTCATTCACTGTATCTGGAATCTTGCAGTCAACCCATTTTTGATGCGCATTACATCTGTGTACATAAAAATGTAGAGGAAAGATGAGGAAAAAGGAAGCAAGAATTTCTTGCAGTCAGCATGTAATACCTGATCATTAATTCAGGGACAGAACTGTAGTCTCCGCATCGTTGGGGGCTACTGCGAACCGGCATCTCCCTGCCCTGCAGCTCCTAAGCATGCCCCACCCTAGCCTTGCAGTGAGGTGGGGTACAACCCAGGTTTTTTTCTATTTCAACCTCAACTGAATGACTCTGCGACTCTGTGCCGCCACGCCGAAACCGAATTTCGGGGAAGACTCATCAAAATACTCACTGCCGAATCCCACGATCGTTCCAATACGCACACCCTGCACAGGTCGCCCACAGACCTAGGCGATACACTGTCCATGAAAATGAAAAGGTCTACAATTGGCTGCATTCATCAACGGTGACAACAAGCAGTCGCACGCAGCGCACAAGATGGCAGCCGTCGTCACGCAAGGCCATGGACGGCCTGCTACCATCAAGGAGCAGGTTGTCGATCATCTTCCAAAACGCTTCAAGGAGATGAAGTTTGGTATCCAGTAAGTTTAGCCTCTTTCTCAGCACCCCTTCGCAATTCAACCTCGTCTAACTCCAATGCGTCTGCAGGTCCATCCAGGATGTTGTCAGCCAAGGTGTCTTGGAAGTTGCCCAGCGAAATCTCTATAATATCGACGACCCTAACAACAGCCGAGCCCCCCTCCCTCATGGAGCTCTCGATCCTCGCCTCGGAATCTCGAGCAAGACTGGAAAATGCGCCACCTGCAACCTGCCACTCCAGAACTGTATTGGCCACTTCGGCCATGTCAGGCTCTCCCTACCGGCTTTCCACATCGGCTACTTACGCTTTACGATGACCATATTACAGAACATCTGCAAGGAGTGCGGCAAAGTTCTCCTGACGGAACAAGAGCGACGGGATTTTTTGAAAGAGCTCAGGCGGCCGGGCATTGACAACCTGCGACGAACGATGATTTGCAAGAAGATCAATGAGCAATGCAGGAAGTGCAAGGAATGCCCATACTGTGGTGCCATCAACGGCCAGATCCGCAAGCTGGGGGTGATCAAGCTGGCGCACGACAAATTTTCTACCTTTAACAAGTCGACAGCAGCAAAGAAGGTGGCTCCCGAAAGCAAGCTTCTCTACGATGCCTCCTTCAAGGAGGCGAAGAAGACCAATGCCGACCTTGACAAGCATGTCAAGAAGGCCATGGAGGATCTGAACCCTTTGAGGGTGCTCAATCTCTTTAAGCTGATCAGTCCGACGGACTGCGAGCTGCTCGGCATCGACCCAACCGAGGGACGGCCAGAGATGTTCATATGGCAGTTCATCCCTGCTCCTCCAATCTGCATCCGGCCATCTGTTCAACAGGACAGCTCCAGCACAGAGGACGACCTCACAGCCAAGCTGGCAGAGATTGTATGGTTGAGTGGTCTCATCCGGGCAGCACTGGACAAGGGCCAACCAATTTCCTCCATCATGGAGCAGTGGGAATTTCTGCAGCTCCAGATCGCCATGTATGTTAACAGCGACGTCCCGGGATTATCACAACCCGGCTACGGAAAGACTGTCAGGGGCTTCTGTCAACGTTTGAAGGGAAAGCAGGGCCGGTTTCGTGGTAACCTGTCCGGGAAACGTGTTGATTTCTCAGGACGGACCGTCATCTCCCCGGACCCCAACCTAGGCATTGACCAGGTTGCGGTACCTCAACTGGTGGCGAAGAACATGACCTACCCTGAACGAGTCAACTCGACCAACATCGACGTCATGAGAACAGCCATCCGGAACGGTACGAAGGTGTGGCCGGGAGCAAATGGGATCGTCAAGAAGGACGGTGGCTATAAGGTCAATCTGAAGTTTGGCAACAGGCAAAAGATCGCCGAGGATCTTGAGATTGGCGACGTTGTCGAGCGACATCTAGTGGACGGCGATATTGCACTGTTCAACCGACAGCCATCACTGCACAAACTCAGTATCATGAGCCACTACGTCAAAGTGCGGCCTTGGCGGACTTTTCGCCTCAACGAGTGTGTGTGCACACCATACAATGCTGATTTCGACGGAGACGAAATGAACCTGCACATTCCCCAGACTGAGGAGGCTCGAGCAGAGGCCATCACGTTGATGGGCGTGAAGAACAACCTGGCGACACCGAAGAACGGCGAGCCCATTATTGCAGCAACGCAAGATTTCATCACAGCAGCGTATCTGCTCAGCAGCAAGGACAGATTCTTCGATCGCAAGTCCTTCACCTACGCGTGTGAGATGATGCTGGAAGGGAGCGGTCATTTGGATCTCCCGCCTCCAGCTATTATCAAGCCCAAAGCCCTCTGGACCGGCAAGCAACTTTTTAGCATCCTCATCCGGCCCAACAAGCAGTCGCCGGTCAAGGTCAACCTGGATGCCAAGTGCAGAGACTACAAGGCTCGGCCGGGCATGACGCCCGATATGTGCCCCAATGATGGCTGGCTGGTCATCCGGAACTCCGAAGTCATGTGCGGCGTCATGGACAAGTCTACTGTTGGTGCAGGCAAGAAGGATTCCATCTTTTACATCATACTCCGTGACTATGGTCCAGAGGCGGCAGCCGGAGCAATGAACCGCCTGGCAAGGCTCTGTGCAAGAGCGTTGACGAACTGTGGCTTCTCGATCGGAGTGGGCGATGTTTTTCCGGTGAAATCTCTGACGGAGGAGAAAGAAGATCTGGTGAAGGATGCCTACCAGAAAGTTGACGACCTCATTGCAACATTCAAGGCCGGCAAGTTGGAGAAGGCACCTGGCTGCAATATGGAGGAGACCTTGGAGAACATGATCTCCGGTATTCTCAGCAAGGTTCGTTCAGACGCTGGAGACAAGTGTGTGAACTCGCTGAGCCGCAACAACGCCCCTCTCACTATGGCCAAGTCCGGATCCAAAGGCTCGGCCATCAACGTGGCTCAGATGGTTGCTTGCGTCGGACAGCAAATTATCGGGGGCCAGCGTGTGGCAGATGGATTTCAGGACCGGACTCTACCCCACTTCCACAAGAATGCTCGTCAACCAGCCTCCAAGGGTTTCGTCCGGAACAGTTTCTATACCGGTCTGGTGCCCTCGGAATTCATCTTTCACGCTATTTCTGGACGAGAAGGTCTGGTCGACACTGCAGTCAAGACCGCTGAGACCGGCTACATGTCCAGGCGATTGATGAAATCGTTGGAGGATCTATCGACAACCTATGACGAGACGGTCCGCACGTCATCAGGCGGCATTGTGCAGTTCCAGTTCGGTGCCGACAATTTGGATCCAGTGGACATGGAGGCATCAGGAAAACCCGTGCACTTTGACCGAACCTGGACGCATGCTGAGACCCTCACTTGGGACAACACCGAACGAACCCTGCTTCCACACGAGATCATCGAGGTCTGCCAATCTATGCTTGATTCTGAACGGGCCAAGTATCAGAGGAAACGATTGACAGATGGAAAGAAGCTGGATTACGACGATGACAGCAACCTTTCTATCGATGAACATGAGAGCGCTCGACGCTTCTTACTAGAAATTGATGCATACGTCACGGCTCGGGCCAAGAAGCTCTCGAATGCTCGGAGAGAAGCTGGTTTGGACCCAGACGACGGCAGTGGCATGGCCATTGATCCCACGCTCGAGGACGAGACCAGCTTGGCTCGAACTGAGCGGGTAGCCAAAGTTTCGCGAACCACACTCATGAAGTTCATCAGATTGTGCTTGGACAAATACAAACAGGCTCACGTCGAGCCGGGCCACGCTGTTGGTGCAGTGGGCGCTCAGTCCATTGGCGAGCCAGGCACACAGATGACCCTTAAAACATTCCATTTTGCTGGTGTCGCAGGCATGAGCATTACCCAGGGTGTTCCCCGTATCAAGGAAATCATCAACGCCTCGAAGACGATCAGCACTCCTGTCATCACCTGTCCCTTGGAAAACAAGAAACAGATTGAAGTCGCCAAGGTCGTCAAGGCGCGAATTGAGAAGACATATGTGTCTGATGTCATCAAGCACATCGAAGACGAGTGGCTTGCTGATCGTGGCCAGCTCATCCTAGAGCTAGACATGGCAGCCCTGCAAGACATGCATTTGGGCATTGGTCCCAGCGAGATCGCAGAAGCCATCCTGAAGCACAAGAAAATGAAGATTGCGCAAGAGGACGTCCATGTCGGGCCAACCTATGTCGAGATCTGCGTCCGCAACACCTGGCAAGACATAGCCGAGCAGAAGCGACTTGCGAGAAATGGCAAGCCCGCTGCTATGGTCGAGAGCACGTCGGATCTCTTGTTGCGGGTCAATTACCTCCGCCGCATGCTTCCGACTGTAGCCATCTGCGGATATCCTGAGGCTAGCCGAGCTATCATCCAGACCTCGGAGAACCTCGAACATACGGTGCTCGTCGAAGGCTACGGCCTGCGTCAGTGCATGACAACCGAGGGCGTGATCGGCGTACAGACACGCACCAACAATGTCATGGAGGCCCGGGACATCTTGGGTATCGAGGCAGCACGCACGACCATCGCCAACGAGATTGGCGAGGTCATGGGTGACATGGGCATCGATCCACGACATATGCAGCTGCTCGCAGACGTCATGACCTACAAGGGCGACGTACTCGGCATTACACGATTCGGCCTGCAGAAGATGCGCGACTCGGTCCTCCAGCTCGCCTCCTTTGAGAAGACGGCCGATCACCTGTTCGAGGCGGCGGCAGGCATGAAGACAGATCGCATCGAGGGCGTGTCCGAGTGTATTATCATGGGCCAAACCATGACCATCGGCACCGGCTCCTTCAATGTAGTGAGACGGATGGGCCTGATGGATTACGATCTGGAGCAAAAGCCAACGCTGTTTGAGGATGCTTGGAGCAAGAGCGTAAAGAAGAAGAGGGAGGCGCGGGTTGTCAAGCTCGGAAAGGATGTGTTGAGACCGGTGGCTGCTGCGGCCTAGGAGCCACAGCGGTGCATAAGTTGATAAAGGCTGGAGACTTGCCTTACCTTGACTCCCGACGACATGTGAGGATGTAGGACTTGGACGATACGATACTGGACCTTGCAAAGAAATGCCTGTACATTCCTTTGGCATTCGCCTTCATGTCAGGTTTCATTCATAGCGTAAGCGGGATCAGGATTTGTCCATTCGATCAATGACGAAAACAAGGCTTCATGACACACAGAACCGCCCGACCACACAAGCATGAAGATACCCGATATACCCAGTACTATATTTAACCATGGCATAGCTACAGTCAAAGTGAACTCTTTTCTTACAAGAAGTTAAGCTTATCTATCTGTGGGTTGCATGTCGGCCCCAAGCTGGCGAATGAGACATACGAGGACTGTACTTTCCCTATCGTAGTCTCCGACAAACCACTCAGACTTCAACGAGGTTGGTCACAAACCTAGCGATGGCGAACCAAGCCTACACCATCCGACCTGGCCGCAACACTGCTGTTCGCGTTGCTATTCGCAGGCGCCAGGGCCAAGATCTTTTCGGCCGCATGCTCGGCCGCAATGACGATGGTCGCGGAGGGGTTGCCAGTCAGCTCGCCGGGGAAGATGGACGCATCGACGACAAAGATGTTGTCTGTGCCGTACACCTTTGTGTTCAGGTCGACCACTGCCGTGCCGTTCTCGAGGCCTGAGTCAGAGCCGATCTTGGCGGTGCCTTGACGTTCAAGAAAGACGATCAGCATCATCGCCATCGCTATCGCCATCGCTATTCACATGGGGGAAGTTGGGGGCTTTGACAATAAGAGAGATAGAGGAAGGTAGATAATACGTGTGAAGACTGAACTTACCCATCCAGTGGTTCGCCCGCCGTCCGTTGGCGGTGACAAGGAGAGAGTCGACGTAGTCCTCGGCGGTCTGGTTCGGCATCGGCCTAACCCACTCCAGTCCCTCGACATTGGCCAGGGCAGCCTGGAGGTTCTTGATGCCCTGGATGACAGCTTCCTTGTCGCCATCGTTGTGGAAGAACGGCTCGGTGGTGACGGCCATGCTCAGGTCGGCGCTGATGGTCGTCCGGCCACGGGAGACTTGGCCGCGGCCGAGATATTGAGACATGGTCATGGCATCTTGACGGGTGGGAAAAGAACCCTTGTCAGTCATGGAGAGGTCTTGGACGTATGATGGAAGAAAATGATCAAGACTGTCGCTTCAGTCGGTGACTTACGGGTTGAATTTGTGATGGTGGAGTCTCCTTCTACGCGAGACGTCCACTGGAGCTGGCGTGTGGTGCCGTCTGAAACGGTGATCAAGTCCCACATCTGTGAGGAGGATAATGTTAGCGACAAACGACGATAACGACGGAAGAACTCAGCACAATGTTAATGAGGGGCAGGTTGTCTATGTACCATGGGCCCGATGTTGGGAGCCGCCTGGGTCAAGATGCCTGTGCGGTTGTCGAGATATGCGTCCTTGTCAGCCTCGATGGGGTCGGTCCATGCTGCGTAAAAGTCATAGAAGACCACGTCGGGGTGAGTGATGATTGTGTCGGTCTGTCGAATGGTTAGACAAGGACGAAAAAACATACACAAACGCCGAGGTTGGTGGGCAAAGTTGCTAAGGACTTCAGAATACTTACGTTCATCTGTTCGGCAAGATTATAACCAACAGGAAGATCGATCCACTCGCTGCTGTCAACCATCAAGTCTGCATCCGCTGAGCCCTGGACAACAGCGAGCTGGTCTGTCGGACCAATGCCGCCTAGAACACAAGAACAGAGCAATCGTCAGCTCGAAACCCGCAGCTCGTCTCATGATCCCCTCTTTCTCACAACAAGAACAACAACAAGAACAAGAAGAAGAAGAACATACTCCTGAACAGCAACTTGGGCGTGCCAAAAGTACCCGCAGAGACAATGACCCGCCCAGTACCAGGAGTCAAGTTCACAGTGCCCGAGTAACCCGTCCCAGCCGAGCAAGACACATCGACGCCCGTGGCAGCCGCACCGTCGCGTACGATGCGATCGACCGCCGTGTCCATCCACAGCGAGAACTGCGACCGCGCCGCCGCCGTCGCCAGATACGTCGCCAGGGGCCCGCCGCGCTGCCCGCCCGCGAACATGAACTCGGTGTGGCCAAACGTGTGGTTCTTTTGCGCGGGCACGTCGTTGGCCAGCACGTACGCCCAGCCCGAGGCGTTGAGCCCGCCCGCGAGCATGTTGTAGCCTTGCGGCAGGTACAGCTTGTCGTCCATGGAGGGGTGCCATGTGCCTGGGATGCGGGAGAAGACGCGGCTGGTGGCGTTGACTACGTCGATGGCGTGCCAGCCTGTGGGGAAGTTCTCGTCCCAGTCAAGCGGGTTGGGCTGTTGGTTGTTTTGATTAATTCCATTAGCAAGTGGTCAGCCAGCTATTCTGCTGGGCTCAGTCCATTTTTATACATGGACTGGAAAGGAGGAAGAGGGGGGTTGATGATAGTTTACCTTCCACCACAGTCCAGCATTCACCGCAGTGCCACCTCCAAGAACACAGCCAGCCATCTGGTCGGTATCCGTACATGCAACACCGGCTTAAATTGGAAGGGAAATACCAAAAAGTGTCAGAACGATGAAGAAGAGAGACACAAAAGCCATTGTACACCACGTTGGAATCGGTACAACTTACTTGAATTCACCCAAATCTCATTACACAAGCCAGGGACATCAAATCGGGTCAGATTCGTCCCGTCCAGCCAGTCTGGGCCCATATCACCACCCCATTCAGCAGTAGATGGAGGACCTTTCTCGATAAGCAAGACACTATGGCCGGCCTCGCTCAGCTTGTCTGCCATGGGAATCCCCCCCGCACCACCCCCAACAACAATATAGTCGTACGTCTTGCCAGCAGGAATCGTCTGGCACGCCACGCTGGTCGTGACAGTGGCCGTCACTGAAGATGTTGTCGTCGTGGCACTGCTGCTGCCGCCGCCGCTCGTCGTGGTGGCTGCGCCACACGTCGCCGCCGTGGTGGTCGCCTTGGCAGCCATGGTGGCATACGCAGAGTACGACGCAGCCGTGGCGCTGGTGAGCGGCGCGCCATACTGCCCAAACGCCCGCGAGTGGTACGGAATCACAATATCATCCGGACACCCCGGGTTGCCAGGCGCCTCGTCCGCCGCCGCCCGGCCCAGGATCGCAATGCCGCTGCTGGTCGACACGTTGCCCGTCGCCCCGTCCTGGTCCCACCGCCAGCAGTTCTGGCAGAGGTACACAATCTCGAAGAAGGTGTCGTTGACGGAGGAGGCGAGCGTGGTCAGCGTGGCGTTGCCCGTGTACAGGTCCGGCGTTGCGTAGCCTGAGGCGTACCGGAACGAGGTGAGGACTTGGTCCTGGTAGGGCCAGGTCATGAGCAGAAGGGCCTGCGTCATCTGCCCGGACTGGCCGTGGGAGAGTCCACACCATGCGTCTCCGGCTCCTGCGGGCGTTGTGCAGCTCTGATCATATCCAAGGTGTCAAGTTCAGAAATGTGTAGTTTCTTTTCATCATTGCAAATGTGAGAATAACAGGGCCGGTTCACTTTTTATGTAAACTTACCAGGTAGCCGATGTAGTCATACTCATCAGTGGTGAGAGCCGAGTCTGGCAGGATCAGACCAAAGGTGTAGCCCTCGCCATCATCGTACACGGGAAAGGTAATGTTTGTCAGGGGATCTGTGTAGGATACAGCAGTCTGTGCCCGACATCTCTGTCCATCTTTTTGAAGAAGCCAATGTCAGCTTATTCTGCTTGTTCAGCCTGTCACTTGGCACTTCCAGGAAACAGAGTATACGTACACAATGCCAACGCAATAAAACCGACGCCGAGACTTCGGAAGAACTGCATCATCTTGCGGTGAATGTCGTCTCCGTCCCGTGTGGAAAAGAAATCAGAATCAGCAAGAATGGTGTCGAAAAGTAATTACATTGATTACACACACCACGGGGCGTGAGCGATCTTATGGATGGAGGGCTCTTTTCTTGTTTTATTACTTCTACGTTATTCACTCAAAGCATGCCCAATTTCATGGCTTTAGCTTGACAGCTTCAAGACAGTGCTGCCCGCTACAAACAAGGTGCTCACAGTCACGAGATTAAAGTTGAGAGGAGGAATCAACATGGCTTGTCATGTGGCGATCCTGATAGGTCAGGTCAAGGAAAGAAACCCCGGAGGCTTGGTTCCATTATTTAGGTGGAAGATAACTTGACAGTCCCGGGATATAGCCCTGGGCAAGAACCATATCTATTTAAATAAATCCGTCATTCACAAAGCTTAGCCTCAATCCTTGATCATGTCCAGCCGACCTACGGCTCTAAGGAAGGAGATGCCTTGTACGAGTCTTGGTATATCATTACATATGCCTTCAACAGGGACCAGAGGAATTATCAATTAATATCCACCAGACACTTGCAATTATGCATGGTGGAGTCGACATAATACCTGGTCATCAGTCGTCATGCTGAGAGATTCATGGTTTACACTCTTATGAACCTCCAGATCGCAGCAATCAGCACGTATTTGTCCGTCCTCTCTACCCGTTAGATGGTGAGACGACCTAAAGCAGAGCTGGGGGCCGTCTTGATTTCAGGAGCCAAGGAATAGATTAATTAATCCGTGATACCCTAAGCGATGACTGATATCAAGCCCTGTGGTTAGCTCTGGGGATGTAGGCCGTGGGGGGGGGGGGGGTGTATTGGCCATGTTAGTCTGAAACCGACAAGACAGAAGGAAGTATTCAACGCACTACTATGTTCAGCTGAGACCTACAAGCCTGGAGAGTATACTTGTCTGGAGCGATGTTAGAGGACAAGTACCAGGGGTGATATAGATGTACGGGGACCAGAAGTCCGCCAGTCACTCACTCTGGATAAATCGCCGGCTATAATCCAATCCCTCGATCAAAGATGCTTTCTCTCCGTCGACTTCATACAGTGCTTTATTGCATACAGCCGCGTATATTCCCTGCCCCCTCTCTAGTGCCGCAGAATAATCACGCCGCCCCTGTGAGTTCTTGATAATGATTCACCATCTCTTTTTAACCATATTGGTAGTCCTGAAGCCATGTCTCTTCTAGTTGACAAGATTGTAGTCAGGCTCTTACATCACAGTATTGAGAGGTTTAGGCTATTGCCATTGCCCAGGTGGTCCAGGCTGTATACAGATCTCGTTGTTCTACAGCAAAAGAAGGGATAGGGGATGAATAGGAGGATAAGAATGAAGAAGGCACTGCAAGTTTGTGTTCGCAAAAGTTCCAGCATACCATCGACTACTGACGTTTGGCATGACTTCCACTCCTGTGTTTAGGTCTTTCAACTTACCAGAAATAATCAGCAGTCAGAACGTCACAACTCAATGCGATTCGATGCCACTTGGCTGACACCATACACATTGATCCTCCCATCTGACAGCGTCGATCAACGGAACGTGCTCGCCGAGGCGGGACCTACAGTACTGGGAGGAAATAAGAGCCCGCCTCTTTTAGGAAACCCGCATTTTAGATCCCGCGATCGAGACTGGGGTCCTCTTGCTTGGTTCCTGTCAATCTGATGCAGACTAACTAAGCCTTGTGTTCTGGCGTGGGTTGTGCGCTTGTAAGTAAGTACCAACTGGAACACCCTTGGACAAACTTACTTAGGCTCATGTCACTGTCCACTGATTCATACTGGGTTGATAGTAAATACTTAGGCTAAGAATCATCTGTGGCAACTTGGTGGATATCGATATTGGACGTGACATCCGTGAACCAAAAAAAAACCATTTGTCCATGAACCAAACTCAATAAGCAGCTCTCTCAATGGACTTGACAGATGGTACCAACGCCCTTCCTTGGTTATAATAGCACTTTGAGAAATCATGCTTTCCCATGCATAGACTTTGAACAATATCTTTTGCCACATCTATCGCAGGTATATGGATGCCATGACACCCTCTATAGATAATATAAAGACATTCCTACCTCGTACACAACGTATGTAATGTGACGCTACTTGGCCTGGCATCCCATCTCAAGTGCAAGGCTCATCTCTCATCCTTCCCAACCGAGCGCAGAAATTCCCATCGCCGTTTCACCCACATCTGCTTGTTTGTTTCTCTGTCTGTCGCCAATGCATTCCCCCGTATTTGCTCTGGCCTTGGCTGGTCTCGCCTCTGCCGCGAGTATCCCTCGAGGACTCGTACAGAGGCAGAATGCCACTGGCACACTCCAATATAGTGCGTGGCCCCAAACCATTGTCCCCCCATCCTCCTCCATACTGACTGTAAACGCTCTTCCTCTCCAGTGGGGACCAACATAGCCGGCTTCGATTTCGGCTGCACGACGGACGGCACTTGTGACACCACCAAGGCATACCCGCCACTGACGGCGCTCGGCGGCCCAGACGGCGCAGGCCAGATGAGCCACTTCGTGAACGACGACAAGTTCAACATCTTCCGCCTCCCCGTCGGCTGGCAGTGGCTCGTCAACAACCAGCTCGGGGGCCAGCTGGACGCCACCAAGGCAGGCCAGTACGACCAGCTCGTCCAGGCCTGCCTGCAGACGGGGGCGTCATGCATTGTCGACATCCACAACTACGCCCGGTGGAACGGCCAGGTGATTGGGTCCTCGGGCGGCCCCACGGACGACCAGTTCGTCTCGCTGTGGACGCAGCTCGCGACCAAGTACGGCAGCAACACCGAGGTCATCTTCGGCGTCATGAACGAGCCGCACGACCTCCCCTCGATCACGACGTGGGCCGCCACCGTGCAGAAGGTCGTCACCGCCATCCGCGCCGTCGCGCCCGACAGCATGATCCTCATCCCCGGTAGTTCCTACAGCTCCGCCCAGACGCTGCCGACCGAGGCCGGCCCTGCCCTGCTGAACGTGTCGAACCCGGACGGCAGCACCACCAACATCATCTTCGACGTGCACAAATACCTGGACGCAGACAACAGCGGCACCCACACCGAGTGCACCACCAACAACATCGACAGCGCCTTCCAGCCGCTCGCAACCTGGCTGCGGGCCAACGGGCGTCAGGCGCTCAATACCGAGACCGGCGGCGGCAACACGCAGAGCTGCGAGACAGACCTGTGCGCCCAGATCGACTTTGTGAAGCAGAACAGTGATGTGTACCTGGGTGTCGTGGGCTGGGCGGCCGGATCGTTTGACTCGACCTATGAGCTGGTCGAGACGCCTACCGAGCAGGGCAACACCTGGACTGACACTGCACTGGTTAAGGCATGTCTGGTGAACTAGACTCATTCGTGAAGACAGGTCAGGTGGTAAGAAATTAGGGGGCGTTTTGGGTGTGGATCATCTATTCAGTTCTTTGTGGATTAGCTGCTCGGCTTGGTTGGTATATATCAAACCCAATAGGTGTATCATTGGATAGCCGTATCGACGTAGAAACCCTCATGTCATCATGGCGCCGAACCTTTGCTTGTCTGTTTCAAACAGGGGTCACACACTCTCTATCCAGTCTACAACAATGCCATACCAAAAGCGAAGCTCACAAGGGCGGGTATCATCGTGGCAATATGTGACAGCTCTACCCTCTTTCCACCAGAGCTGTCAGGCAGCTCCTTCGCCACGCTGGCCGTAGCACTAGCAGATGCAAGGAAGCAGCTGGCTGTGCCACAGCTATACCCAGTGGGACAACACCCAGCAAGGGCGCCCGCGCTCGAGGGGCACATGGACCAGCCTCCCGCACAGGTTCCTGTCGTGGTAGTAGGAACATCGCTCGCCGGCACGACGATGGTCACGCCGCTGGAGATGATGGTCGACGATGCTGTGGATGGACAGGATGTCGTCTGGCAGTCTCGGCCGGTCTGGCAGCAGCCTCCACCGTATACAGCTGAGCACGCATAGAAGCCTATAGGGCAATATCCTGAGCTGGTGGAGGACGATGAGCCCGAGACTGAAGTGGGGCGGACTGGTGCTGAGGCGCCGGCGGTAGTGTCTGTCGTTGAAGTTACGGTCGTTGCGGTTTGGCTGCTCGTGCTGGTGGAACTTGTCTTGGTCTCAGTAGTTGTACTCTGAGTAGATGTGGCTTGAGAAGTACTGCTCGTCATGGTCATTGTAGCTGTAGCGACGCTAGTCTGTGTGCCTGTGTGGTTTGTTAGATATCAAGACTTTCCTCCTGGGGAGGAGACAGGAGGGAGCTCTGCGAATGGACTTACACCCAACGCTTGCGCATGCGAACCCATCGATGCAGCACCCTCCACCAGACTCGGAAGAACACCCCTGCTGGCTCCCTGAGCATGCGATCGAGCCCGAGCAGGACTCGCTGTCTGGACAACACCCCACAGAGCCCAAGCCCGTGTCTGTGATCTTGACGCAGGTCGTTCCCGACTGACAGCAGCTGTCGGGGTAGCCGATTGACGAGCAGTCTGACGTCCCAGTCGGACAGGCATAGGCCCTCTTCCCTAACCTCACCTCGATGAGCTTGGCCCTCCTATACAGATCCCACACGTCCCGAGCATCTCTGTCCTCCAGATTCTCCTCCACGCCTGAGAAGAAGTGCGCTGCGAAAGGGGCGCGGAAGGGTATCGATGCTGATGCGTTGGCTGCCAAAGGTTCCTCCTCTTCGGCCGTGAGAACGCCTGAGGCCGGCACCGCTGCTCGTGCCTGAGTACCGACCTGTGTGACCTCGTCGCCGGCCGCAAACCCAAGGTACTCATCCAAGAACTTCTCTCCTGGGTCGCTGCCCATCTTTCGGATGGCTGTGGGCAGACCTTGGTCGGCGTTGATGTCTTTGACCTGTGCCGCCAGAAGCAGCAGCAGGGAGACGGGAAGCCTCAGTGATGATGATAAAGCCAGCATCTTAGCTAAGGATCGCCGTCCAAACAATGGGGCTCCAGCGATGTATGTGCGATATGATGACCACGGTGAGCTTTTCTGAAGGTCGTGTGAGGCTCTCGCCAATTAGGCTGACCCACTTCGGCCGCCCTAAAAAGAGAAGGAAAACAGGAGTGAGAGTTGAAAAGATAACGGTTATCGCTGAATGGTATCCATCATGTTCGATTTAAGAGGGAATGATGATGATGACAACGACGAGGTTGGAAGGGGTTCGTGAAAAGTCGAGATATGATGTCAATATAGTTATAGTTGCTTGGGCGAGTGGCACGTCAGCGAAATTTGGTGGTTGAGTGCGCTGCGGGAAGTCGGCATCAGTATTCCAGGTGGCTGGTGCTGGGGTCAAGAGCCACCCACTCACTACCCACAACCAACACTGAAGGAAGAATACACCAGACTCCTTGAGTGACCCCCCAAAGAAAAATATATTAGTTTGTAGAACCAATAATCTCTCTCAGTATCATATTTACGTATACATACACAAATCGTCTTCAATTTCATCCGACCAGGTGTTTCAAACGTGAATAGAGAGAGGCTTGTTCAATAAACAATCGGGAGTTGCCACATGACAGGGAATTTATTAGGTATATTCACTAGGGAGATATTTCTTGACATGCATGCTATTTGTTTAAAAAAGCGCTCCGGCATCCTCGACGCCGCTGTCAAGCGCTTGACTCTTTCCCCTGACAAAGGCCGAGCACAACAGGCCGGTGGCCACGCTGACATTCAAGCTGTCCACAACCTTGGATCCCGACATGTTCGCTATGCTGACCTCGAAATCTGCTGCCCTTCGGAGCTGGCGCGAGAGCCCTTCCCCTTCGCTGCCCATCACCAAGACGCAAGGGTCCTTCAGGAGAGGATCCGTCTTCTCCACGGTCCGCGTGTCCACCTGCTTGCGCTCTGACCCTGGCTTGGGCGGCACAGCGGCATAGATCTTCCACCCGTTCTCCTTGGACTCGTTCACAAAGTCCACAGGCGAGTCGACCATGAACATCGTCAAGTTCTCAGCAGCACCTGCCGACGCCTTCAGCACCACCGGCGTCACGGGGGCAGAACCCCTCCTCGACACGGCGACTGCTGTGACCCCCATGAAGCTGGCTGTCCTGATGATGGCACCCAGGTTGCCTGGGTCCAGGACCTGGTCCACATACAGCACGAGCGGCTTGTGTGCGCCCGGCTCTGTGATGATGAACTCCGAAGTACCGTTGATGGAAACTTCTTCCAAGGACTGGTGCCCCACAGAAACCCGGAAGCCCGGCCAGCTTTCCTCGGCCGACACCTCACCGAGAGCTCTGATCGGCAGCTGGGGCAGAGGCGATGCCTCGAGAACGTAGCCGTTATGCGGACGAGTGCCACTCATCTTGTTCATCAGTGCGAGCCCGTCTTCTCCGACATAGTCAACCTTGACGCCTCTCTTCCATGCCAGCTCCGACAAGTACTCGTCCTTTGCTTGGTTCCGCCGGTTTCCACCCTGATAGATATACAGCTTGTAGAGTTTCCGACGGCTAGCCTCCAGCGCAGCCTCGACGGTGGAGGTGCCGTACAAGAATTGAGATGCTGCCGTGGTGTAAGGTAGTGACATGGGTGGCTCGTACTTTTTCTTCTTCTTTTCTGGCATCTCGCTGGCCGTATAGTCGTCCTCTTGATCTCCATCTCTTCTTCTTGTTCGTCTCTCTTGAGCGTCAGGAAAAGTCTCATCCGGCAGCTGCGACCACTCATTGTCCCGTCGGACCCTGGGACGTTCCACTTCGAAGTCATCCTCGCCACGGGTCCTGAACCTATCAGACTCGCCTCGGTTGGGTCTGCCAAAGTCGCGTCTTTCGTCGCGAGCCTTCTCAAACTCACGCCTCCTCTGACCAAAGCTGGGTTCGTCGCGGGAGGTCTGTACACTGCGTCTGTCTCGGCCAAAGTCTTGTCTGCCACGAGGTCTCTCCGTATCCCACTCATCATTCCCAAGGTATACCGAGGACCTGTCCTCCGGATGACTATGCCGCGCGGGTCGAGCCTCTTGACGTTCCGTCTCCCAGGGTCTAACTCGTTCCCTCCTGCCTGGCGTCTTGCGAGAATCCATCAGCTGCTCGACCTCTCTAGCCAGCAACTGCCTGGAGAAATCATCGTGCTGCAGATTGCCATCCCCACCGAGCCCGCCCTCTTCCCTCAGCTCCTTGACAAGCGTCCCGGTTCTAAATTTCTTCAGGAGGCTTCCAGACCCGAGGGGATCTCGAGGGTCAGACAAGCGGGCTGCTCTTGACTTGCGCGGCGGCCCGGCGGGCTCTGTAATATCTTTTTTGCCCTTCCGGATTTTGTAGGTGATAGGGTTCTGCCGCGCCAGCGCTCGTGCCCGCAGGCGTTCGGATGGGGTCATGTATGGCTCGTCCTCGGGTGCCCGGCGGATCTCCCTGGGGCTGGAGCCTTGTGGTCTTGCGCGCTCGGATCGTCTGAGACCATCGTGGATACCGGAGAGGCGGGAGGCGTTTCTGGCGAGGGTGAGGGTGGGGGGGAGGAGGAGGAGGAGGAGGGTTGGTCGGATAGAGGGATTGCACCCAAGCCCAAGCAAGGGCAATTTGTTGATAAGTCTCATCGCATGGTAAGGGGCAGCCGTAGATCAGACTCTTTTGTGGAAGACAATTGCAAGAACTGCAGAAAAATTTGGCTGTGAGAAAGAAGATTGTCCAGTAGCACATGCTGCTAAATAACTTTTTGTGCAGGGGTCCCTGGGAGGCATTCAGGGATCATGTCTAGCGCATGTATGATGCAACAGTGCTACAGTGTACAAGTACAAGAGTACCTCTGTGAAAAGACCCCGCTCAGTACCTGCTGCTGAGGTGGGTAGGGTAAATAGGTAGGGGCCCTTCTTAGGCGCGTCGCGTCTAACTTTGGTCTCGTAATCAATTGAACGACAACCTTCACTCAAGGCATTGGGTTTATAACAGACAATAGGAGATCTGCGCTCTGTCCTTACAACCATGTGTCCATTCGAGGTTTGTGACAGTTCCCCGACCGTCTACAGGCCAGCTGGGGTAGTCAAAATACTAATTACAAGCATGTGCAGGTGAAGCACTGTGATTTTCAAGACCTGCCTCCACGATAGGCTGCATTGCGATCAGACAAGATGGATGAGCCTCAAAACTCGGACGAGGAGCTGCTGGCCATGCTTCAGCCTCCCAAGATGCCCACAGAATTCGTCTTCGAGTCGGCCCTGCCCATGACTGCAGATACATCAGATGATGACAGCAACAATGAGCACCTACCAGGTCCAGCGCCGCCAGCACCAATGGCCCTGATGGCACCAATGGAGTCGATAGAACAACATGTTGATCTGGAAGAGAAGGACAAGGCTGCAGCCTCACTGCATGCTCCTGGCTTTGGGGTGACAAATGGCTCAGGCAATACCCAGCTTTCGTCAGGGAACGGTTCAAAGGACCAAGAAGATGATGAGGATGAAATTGCGTACGAAAATGCCAAGGTTGTCTCCCGAACACCTCGATCAGCAAAGGCCAGGTCAGGCCGGGGACCTTCAAGCTCAAACCGCAAGCCCAGGTCCAAATTGAATCTTTCAGAGAGTTCGAGATCCGGATCCCGAGACAGACCCAATTCGATGCCGTTATCACCAGAGCCCAAGGTTCAGCCAAAGCCAGAGTCTAAATCCTCAAAACCTCCCGCCTTCCGCTTTGACATCGTCATCAACCCTCTGCCATCGCAAGTTGCGCGCGAGTATCAGCCCATTCCTCCGGGCGACGAGATATACCGGGTGCTGGAGAAGATCTCCACCGGTGTACCAGGGGAAACTTGGCTGTCCGTTGAGTTCGAGGACGGTCACATCGATCAGGTAAGCTTCTTCTGCAATAGTACTACGAGCAATTCATTCCCTCAAGAAGAAGTCTCTGTACAGGTTGCTGGAGAAGAATGCTGGAGCAATGTTGCACGTGCGAGCCTTACATGCGAAGCCTCCGTTCATGCCTCTAATCTTTTTCACTTGCACCTGCTTGACCCTGCCCCCCCCCCCTCCCCCCTCTCTTTCACCTGCAAGACTTGAGCATAGGATGTCGCCAAAAGGCCCTTTGCTTTCTTGTCTGGCCTTTTTCTTTCTTTCTCTTGACAGGCAATCTTTCTCTCTGTCCCACATTCATCGCCTTTCTCTCTGTCCCACATTCATCGCCTTTCTCGACTAGTCCCTCCCTCCCCAGCTGAAACTTGCATCACGACCTTTCCCCAAAGCTCAGCTTCTCTCATCCCATCTCTCAGAGGCCAGCTGTAGTGATTATCATCTTTTCTTCTCCAATAGCATTTCTCAGACGCGTTGAGACGCATCACCCTCAGAAACAGCCTTGTTGCAGCCAAGCAGTTATGCTTAATTCTTGAACTGGCTGTTCACCATGGTGTGCCCCTCCCTCTCTGAATATTTCCTCGCTGTCCCACCACAGCCTCTGGTAAAATCATCAGCGACGCTTCACCTTTCCCCCTTCAAGAGCGATTTGTCTTCTTGAAGCATCACTTCCTCACCTGCCCTCACCTTCATGTGCATTTCTGCTCTTCTCTCCTTTGTGCTATTTGGCCACTGCCATTTTAAGAGGAAAGAGCCCAATCAATTGGCTTCACCCTTGTTCTTGCCTCAGGCGCTGGTCGTTTCTGCCACCTCACACGACAATTTCTTTGACCCATTCAGCAGTCTCAAGCTGACGTCGACTTTATCAGGTCCCATTCGACCAGCTGTCGAGTTATCCCAACGGTCGACAGGCTCTTGCTGAATACCGCAAGCCTAAAGCTATGGATGACCTTGAAGACGAGACATCCCTCGGGTTTGGCGGTCGACCCAAGCGAAAGACTGCTCCTGACCCGGATTATGACTTCACTGGTGACCCTGACGAGGATGTCTTTGATGAGGATGAAGAGGATGAGGATGACTCTGGATTCCTGCATCCCGCCAAACGTCGCCGTCTGCAGCGAAAGAGGAATGCAGAGGCTGCAGGCCTGCGCCGCAGGGTCAGAACTCGATCTGCGCTGCCAAGCGCCGACGAAGAGGACGAGGACGACGAAGAAGAGCAAGATTCTGACGACGACGACGACGACGACGACATTGACACCCACCGAAAGGGCCGCTTCAATCTGCGGGGAAATCCTGGCAAATCGCGACGTAGCCGTCATATCATGGCCAGCGGCGGTAATGACGCTGATGAGCTTGGAGATGGTGATGACGACTTCTTTATCGTCAAATCAGACATCACGCCGCACAAGACACCACGAAGACGTGGTGGTCATGCCGTCAAACACGGCCACGGCAGGCTTAAGCTTTATCAAGACAAAGACGATATCGAGTTCGAGGCCCCTCGACGCTCGGGCAGAGCCACAAAATCCACCAAGACAATGGCCGATCCCGCATGGGATGAGGACATGTACGCCCCCGAGGAAGAGAAGCTTCCGGCCGCTCCGAGGGTTTCAGGAGCTAAGGAGATCTTTCCGCCCACGCCAGAGGGGCTTTTCAAAGACTCTCACTCCACGACTTGTGGCACATGTGGCGGCAACGACAGGGCCCCTAACAAGGGCATTTTTGTCTACTGTCAGGGCTGTTCCATGGGTTACCACAAGGTCTGCCTCGGCTTCCGCAGCACTCGCGACCACCTTGTGACCAAGGTGGGCTCGAACCACTTTGTGTTGCAGTGTCGGGATTGTGTCGGCGTGAAAAAGAAGAAAGATAACCGCTCTCCAAGCCTTGATGTCTGTCAAGTCTGCAAGATCAAGGGCCGAGCTTGCGAGGCCTTCGCTCCAAAACGGACCGCCAATGCAGAGGCGAAGCTCCGAGAAGAGAATGGTGGCGAGGACCCCATCACGCCTGTTGACGACAGTCTAATCAACAATCCAGACAATGTCCTCTTCCGTTGCGTCAACTGTCACTGTGCCTACCACTTCGAGCATCTGCCACCAGCCGGCGTTAAGCGCGTCGAAGGCACTGTTCGGGCTGATCGCCTTGATGAGTACTCAATTGACTGGAAGTGCAAGGACTGCCTTGACATGCGCTTCAAGATCTCGACACTCGTGGCATGGCGGCCAGTCAACCGCGATACCTATGTGTCAGGTCAGACTGTGCTTGACCTCCAGGAGGATGACAAGGAGTACCTCATCAAATGGGAATCAAAGTCCTATGCTCACTGCGAATGGAAGCCCGGTCCCTGGGTCTACGGCGTCACAAACGCCGCGATGCGTAACGCATTCCCGAAGCGCAATGAAGGCGCAAACTTGTTGCCCAAATTCGATGCGAAGGATGCCATCCCAGAGGAATACCTACTGGCTGATGTGGTCTTGAACGTACGGTTTAAGGGACACTTTCAATTCGAGTCCAAAAAGGACGACATACGAAAGACGTATTTGATCGACCAAGCACTTATCAAGTTCCAGGGACTTGACTACGCCGACGCCGTCTGGGACGAGCCTCCCGAGCTCGACTCGGGACACCGTTGGATAGCTTTCGTCACGGCCTACTCGGAGTTCCTAAACGGAAAACACTTCAAATCTGAGCCTGCTGCCAATATTAAGGATCGCCTCAGAAAGTTCCGCGAGCTAGATTTCCACAAAGAGGTCGAGTTTAAGGACGGTACTAACGGCAAACAAGAGCAGCCTCGTGCTCTGACGGGCACATTGATGAAATATCAGATCCAAGGTACGAACTGGCTCCTCCACAACTTCTGGCAGCAGGTCAGTGTTGTCCTGGCAGACGATATGGGCCTTGGAAAGACAATCCAGGTCATCAGTTTGATCTCTGCGTTGGCCCTTCAGGGCCCTCGCTGCTGGCCATTCTTGGTCGTTGTACCCAACTCCACCTGTCCCAACTGGCGCCGGGAGATCAAGCAGTGGGCTCCCGACCTCCGAGTTGTGACTTACCACGGCGGCAAGGAGCCCCAGAGGCTTGCGTACAAGTACGAGCTCTTTCCCAACGGCTCAAAGGAGATGAAAGCCCACGTGGTCATCATGTCCTACGACTCCGCCCAGGATCCAGAGACCAGGCTGCTCTTTAAGAGCATACAGTGGGTTGGCCTCGTTGTAGACGAGGGTCAACGCCTCAAAAACGACGAAAACTTGTTGTACGGGGCACTTCGGGCGATGAAGATACCCTGGCGCCTCCTCCTTACCGGCACTCCCTTGCAAAACAACAAGCGGGAGCTCTTCAACCTGCTGCAGTTCATTGATCCTTCCAAGAATGCAGCCAAGCTTGACGAGCAGTACGAAGAAGTCACTGCAGAAAAGATTCGCGAGCTGCACGCCATGATTCAGCCTTTCTTCCTGCGACGGACCAAGGCAAAGACTCTCAAGTTTCTGCCCCCAATGGCGCAGATTATCTTGCCTGTATCTATGTCGATTGTGCAGGAGAAGCTCTGCAAGTCGATCATGGCGAAGAAGCCTGAACTCATCCGAGCCATCTTTGCCAACAGCAAACTGAAGTCCTCAGAGCGCGGCAGCCTCAACAATATCCTGATCCAGCTGAGAAAGTGCTTGGGCCATCCGTTCCTCTACAGCGGCGCCGTCGAGGACAAGAATGTTGATGCCGAGACAATGCATCGAAATCTTGTTTCAGCCTCCTCAAAGCTCGTCCTTCTAGAGCAGATGCTACCGAAGCTCCGGGCACAAGGCCACCGCGTTCTGTTGTTCAGTCAGTTTCTCGGTATGTTGGACATTGTGGAGGACTTCCTGAGCGGTATGAATCTCAAGTACCAACGTCTCGATGGGAGCATCTCAAGTCTTGAGAAGCAGAAGCGGATTGACGCCTTCAACGAGCCCGGCTCTGAGGATTTCGCATTCCTCCTGTCGACCCGTGCTGGGGGCGTGGGTATCAATCTGGCGACTGCAGACACCGTCATCATCCTCGATCCTGATTTCAACCCGCACCAGGACCTCCAGGCTTTGTCGCGAGCCCACAGGATTGGACAGAAGAACAAAGTGCTCTGCTTCCAGCTGATGACGAAGGGCAGCGTCGAGGAGAAGATCATGCAGATCGGCCGGAAGAAGATGGCACTGGATCATGCGCTGATTGAGACCATGGATCGAGAGGAGGACCAGCCAGTCGACGACCTGGAAACCATCTTGAAGCACGGCGCCGAGGCCCTGTTTAGTGGCAACGATAAGGAGGCTATTAAATATGACGCTGAAGCCATCGACAAGTTGCTTGACAGGTCGCAGATTGAGGACAACAAGACCTCAGATGATGACCAAGGCGGTTCCGAGGAGAAGCAGTTTGCGTACGCAAAGGTTTGGGAGAATAAGACCGGTGGTCTCGCTGACAACATCGAGGCCGAGGAAACCCCTCAATTGAGCGTCAGCGTCTGGGACAAGATACTCAAGGAGCGAGAGGATGAGGCCAAGCGCCTGGCCAAGTTGAACAAGGAGGTACTCGGTCGCGGTGGCAGACGACGCCAGGTAAGTTCACCATCCCAGCTTGGTGTGTGCTGTGTATATTCCCAACTGATCTGCTGCTAGGCCGTCAAGTACAGTGGCACGGCCATACCTGATCTTGAGGACCCAGTTGAGAACGCGGCCGAGAACCCAGAAGGCTCCGATGTCGATGAGGACTTCATTAGCAGCGATTCCTCGGACGATGATTCGGATGAAGATGATGCTACTGATACCACAGGTAACTCACCGAGAAAGCAGGCAAGCAAAGGTACGCCAAAGGCAGTTTCTCAAACTCAAACATCAAAGCCTGCCTCTCGCAAAACTGCCAACGCAATTAACAAGACCAAGACCAAGACCCAGCAAACTTCAACCCGGACACCACGCAGCACAGTGGGGACCCCACAGAGAACCGGAGGCGCGGCCGTCCAAGACAGTACCTCTTCGGAGACCAGGACGAACAGCGCGCAGGAAGCAACAACTCAATCCGAGGCGCCGACACGCCCATTTCCGGCTTATATGGCACAGCAGGACAAGCCGCGCTTAAACAGCATCCACAACACAATGCCACCTCCGTTGCGTCTATCTCGTCACCAGTTGGCCCCCCGAACCCCCGGGCCGGACAGCCGTCCTACAACCGGCAGTCAGAGGCTGGGGCAATCTCCGTACCTTCAGCCTCCTCAGGCTCGGCCTCTGCAGCGTCCTACAACCGACAGCCAGAGCATGGTGCGACCTCCGTTCCTTCTGCCTACTCAGGTGCGGCCTCTACAGCCACCTGGGGCGGGCAGCCAGCCTACAACCGGCAGCCAGAGCATGGTGCAGTCTTCGTACCTTCTGCCTCCTCAGGCGCTGCGTCTGCAGCCCTCGCTCGCGGAGCCACAGAACAGTGTTCCCAGCAGCTCCAATCCGGTCCGAATGGACTCACCTTCCAGCCGCGGTTCAACACCTTCCTTGGTCGCGTCGTCGGGCCAGTTGGAGGACAAGGACGATTCATCGGACAACCCGGGCACCCCGTCTTCCCCCAAGATGGGCTATGGTCGCTAACCCGCGACCCCTTTTCCAATGTTCCTCCCCTTCCTCCTCGTCCTCCTGGCGCTAACATGCAGTTTTCGATGGGAAATCCAGGGCTCAACCACCCAGCCGACCCGTCAAATTGTATGTATATTCTCACGGCCTCGATTGTAGCAGGTGCTGACCCGCCATCTGTAGTCCTTCCCAGTCAGCAACAAGTGCCAGCCTCGAAGCCCAAGATCCCATCCCCGCAGGCTACGAACATTGGTCCTCCCATGGAGCCTAGCCAGTGTACAAAATGCCTCCTTTATCATCCGGCAACGATCAGGTGCCCCTCCCTGACCACAGAGGGGCGGATACGTCTTGCCCTTGACGAAGTCAAAAAGCTCTCAGGAGGACTCCCCGTTGCGACCCAACGGAACCGGGAGCGCCTGCAGCAGCTTCTAAAATTACGAAAGAATGAACGACTCGGAGAATCTGGAAGACCTTCCCCACGAGCCCCGCAACCACGACTGCAGCAGCAGCCACAACCTCGACTGTCAGCTCCTAACGAGGAGGGCGGCAGCTTGCATCAAGAGACGCATCAAGACAACACGCAGTGAGACTTGCTGCTCTACAATCTGGTTGTAAAGCAGCATACGACGGGCATTTACTACTACTGCCTGGGTCTGACAGGCTCTGTGTTGCTGGCAAACATTGAAGAGTAGTCTCTTGGGCGTGGGGACAAAATCTCCTGGCCTCTTATTGATAGGCCCTTTTTTGATTGCAATGTTTTGCTGATGGGCCTAGAAGTAGGCAAATAGGAAATTCTGAGTCACATGAAACCAATATTTCTTTTTCCACCATGCATTGCAACAAGTAAGTTGGGGCTTATTGACAGAAGAGCTGAGTGTAGCAGCAATCACGTGGGAGGTACAAACGGGACCTGCGGGCAGCCGTTTGCTGCATACCACCCGGGAGCCAGACCTTTGATATCGCCGTTTGCTCTCCTATGCAAGTGGCTTGACAACGCATCAACACAGCGGATTGAAATGGACTTGGGCCACCTCTGCCTGAGAGAAGCTCTCGGTCCAGTGTCTGGGGGTCCCCGCTGTCACAAATTATTCCTGATCTTTCTGCATTGGCCCTTGGTGGTGCTCTATTCTGGCCTTTGTCCCCTGTTCTTGTATCCATGTAGTGACCACAGGGCCTTCTTCCACCAGCATATAAAGTCGGTACTCAGAGACCTGCCTCCCGTGTTTGGACTCACCTCCTTTGACAACCTGCCACCTTCTGAAGCACTTGATCAGATTGTTGTTGACATCTATATGACTTTAAACCCTCTTCCTGACAACAGCAACATCGACCTCATTCATCTCCCTGCCTCTTCTCATGACCACCCAACGCGTCTGTCTTTCTGTTTGTGTACACAAGGGTGACATCACCAGCCTTGTCAACACACCACCGTCTGGTGACAACACACCCCCCTTGGACCCCCAAAGAAGCTGGCCCATACACCCAGAACCCTTCTCACCAACATCGTGATGGAGCATCAGTACAACTACCCTTTTCGGTCCATGAGTGCCCAGTCTAGACCCAGGGGTACCACATTCCCTCGTGATATGCGAATTCCCGTCCAGCCCAGCACCGGGTTAATGAGACCTATGGGCGATGGGGATCATGATGCAAGTCACACTCCCTCTTTAATCACCAACCATGCCACCACCACCACGACAACAATGCCGAATGGTGGACTACTTAATAGCAGAACTGCTGTTGGAAGGTCTTCCACACCACTCGCCCTTTCTTCCCCCAATTATCAGTGCTCTTCCTCTTCCTCCTTCTGTTCCGTTCCGCGTAACTTGCCCGCAAACAACTGGCGAGCTTCCACCGCGAGCTTGGACAGCCAGGTTTCTTCGTCTACAGCATCTGGCTCGTCGTCGCTTCACTTCAGCCACGGCAATACTCTCCTCGCTAGCAGCGGCAGCTACGTCCCTATCACATCCCAAACTTCCTCGCGCTTCCAACACTCTGTTTCTCCCTCGACCTTTCGCGCTATTAACGACAACATTGACACCGCCCCGTTCGCACCTTTCAGCAACAACCAAACGATCCCTAGGAACGTCATAAACATGTTTCCTCCCCGCGGCATCATCGTCTCCGATGGCGACATGGACCAGGCCATGTCTTATTGCTACGATCGTGGTGACGGCCAGTTCACGCGTCTCGTTCCCGTCGACAGTCTTCCTTTCTCTCTGAGAAACATGCCCGCCCGTGTCACCACGGACGAGGGCATGATCGTCTTGCCGGTCCCGCGCATGCGTGGCCCCGACGGCCAGCCTGCTGACAGCCAACTGGTGCCTGTCTCTGTCGTCACTGTAAGTGCATCTGCTGCTGTTTGCGTGTTTACCCACCCCTTGGTCTTGAGGTTACCTTCAGGGTGAGACGGTTGTGATTGTTGTGTCACGATTTCTTCTCCAGTTTTAGGCTTCAGGGGCGCGTGAGGGTATTACTTCTTGTCACTTTAGTCCTTTTTCTTGTTCTCTTTCTCTCTTTACACATGGAAACCGAGCTTCTGCTAACTATGCTTTCTTTTCTCACAGCCTCCTGCCAGCCCTATGGACAATGCCTCGAATGATATCATCCAAGTAGGTCAACCTCGCAGCTTCCCAGATCACCAAGCGGAGCCATTCCTGCCGTCTATATTTCGATACAGCTATGATATGTTGCAGAATATGGAAGGAAGGACTCAACCTGGAAGAGAGAGAGCAGCTGCACTGACAAGTTGTGACTGCCGACAGTCTCGAATCGACTCTATTGTCGCCAGCACTCCTCCCACCGTCGCTGTGGCCCCCGTCTCCAGCAGTGCTGTCGTTCTCGCCCGCCCCAATGGCCCTGGCAACCGAGGCCCCAATGGACCCCGGCGGGAGAAGATCTATTGCGACAAGTGGATCCACGACGGTACCTGTGCCTTCACCCAGCAGGGTTGCAAGTTCAAGCACGAGATGCCGCAGGACAAGGAGACCCAGCAGAGTCTGGGCCTTTTCCACGGCTACCCAGCCTGGTGGAAGAAGCACTGCGCCGATCAGCAACAGATTCAACAAGGCGAGGAGCGCCCTATCAATGTCGGTGGTGGTTACGGCGGCGCTGTCGGATCTCGCTTCAACGATGGTGCTCAGGGCTCCTCTCGCTATGGTGGTGGAGGCATCTCTGCTCCCTCCTGGCGTCGCATCGAGGCGGCTCCCACGACCGAGCTCTCTACAGCTACCGCTACTTCTGGCCCTGTCTCTGGCTCCGGATCTGGATCTAGTATCGCCTCTAGCGGTGGTCCTGTGGGTGGCTCTCATAGTCGTGGCCGCGGCACCCACAGTGATCAAAGTGACCAGCCTGGCCGCCCTGTGGGTAAGTTCTTTGTCTGGAACCAATAAGTGTCCCATATCCATTTCTAAAATAGCTTGTTCCCTCCTCCTCCTTTCAAGAAAATCCTGACTGGTTCCTCACAGCTCGCTTCTCTCAGCCAACATTTGGCCCGATTGCTCCCCCTGCCAAGCGTCGCCAGAATAAGGGCGGCGAGGTTTCTAAGAACACCACCCCATCTGAAGAGTCCGATTCCCGCGACTGCTCCAAAGGCGGTGTTCCTCTAAACCCTTATGAGGCCCTCGAGGACTACGGCGCCATGTTCAACAAACATCCCGACGCGAAGCCCAACAAATCCAAGTCCGAGTATACCACCACCGATGAGGACAACGACAACGACGGGGATGATGCCTCCTCGGCCGAGTGAAGGAGCAGCTTCTCTTCTGTGGTTTCCTTGCATCTTATGAGGCCAAGCCCTCGGCAACCCCTTCTCCAATGCAGATTCTATGAGTACGATATTTGGACAATGACCATTGGTTTTTCCGAATCGCCGTTCTTTTCTCCTCTCTTTTCTCTTTCTCTTCCTCTCTCCACATCCACGAATCTCCCGCTTAGATCACGCACTATCTACCAGCCGCAACGAGCTATACTTGGGGTTCCTTTGCGTTGCGTTTTTTACCTTAAATTTGCTTTTATTGGAAGTCCAGGTTACATTCGCGATGATTTCTTCATTGACCAAGAGAGAAAACAAGATGAAGGGAATGGAGAAGAAAGAAAAATGAAGGCGTGAATGAGAGAAAGGGAGAGGAACGAAATGAGCCTTGGGAAAGGGGGAAGTTGGAAGGGTGGATTTTGTTCGTTTCTTGCACTTGAAAATTTGGGGCTCAAGTGCAAACATATTTTGACTCAATGAAATTGCGGTATGCCTTGCATTACATTGGGATACATTCATGTGGCTTGTAATATAGATCGGAACTATATGGCCTGTCCATAGGAATTGACTTGCGACGTGATGCTTTCAGAGGGCAGAGGGTGGAGCAAGTTAGCAAGGGGGGGCATATGGAGGAAGATAGCCAAAGACAAATGTGGTCTGTTTGGTGTTTCCTGTATTTACCTATAGCTTAGGCAACATCCGAGGTGGTAAAGCTCGCCACGCTAGGACAGCTATAGATCCCCAAAATCAAATAATGAGGTTTGCCTCGTTTCTTCTTCTTCAAAGCCACCTGACACTCCAAGTGTTCTTGCCCTTCCTAAAAGGAACAACCTCCAGCCCTTCTCCCTTGATACTGTCCACAACCACCTCATCCTTCTTCTCCACAACAATCCTCTCGGTGCTCGGTTCCACGCCGTAGAATCTCCGCCCCCACGCGCCCAGGAAGCCCTCCAGCAGCTGCTGCGTGACCTGGCCCTCCTCGATGTCGCCGCGCGCGATGGCCTCCTCGAGAGCGGTGAGCACGTAGGAGACGGCGTAGGGCTGGGTGAACACGCCGGCTGCGGTGTTGCCCTTGCCCTTCTTGGCGGTGATGTCGTGTGGGGCGCTGTCGGTGCCCAGGAAGAACTTGCCTTTGCTGTTGACTAGGGCTTTTAAGAGGGCGAGGCGGTCGTTGGGCATCTGGTGAATGTGAGTATGAGCAGGAACACATAGGGAAGAAAGGAAGAAGGGGGTTCTGTTTTGGGGTTCTTCCGTACCTTGGCCACGGGTTTGCAGTAGTGAAACTAGCAGTGAGAGAAGGGGGGGGGGGGGGGAGAGATGTTAGTATTGTTACACGACGAGCCAGCTTTTACTTATCCGCTATGCGGCGATGGCTTTTTTGCTCCAAGGGGGGCGTGTGTAGATGTCACGCAAAGGGCTGTAACTTACCACATCGCCTGCCCAGTCGTCCACGATCAAAAACCTGTGGACCATGAAATGGCCGCCATCAGCACAACTGGCACCGTCCTCTTGTTTTATATTTGGCACACCAGCTCTCTACATGCAAGGGGGAAAAAAGTAGAGAAAAACCCCCTCCGTCATCATCTTGAATGGATGAAAATTAGCCAGTCAGTCAGAAAGAACTCACAAATGATGCGCGGTGATTGTCCCCACGACCGTCTCGCCACAGGCCTCGACGGCGCGCACGGCATCCGCCGTGGTACAGTGCTCGAGCACGATCCGCAGCCTGGGGAACCGAGAGTGGATCTCCTTCAGGGTAGGCAGGAAGCTGGCCTCGGCGTTGAGGATGGTGATGTTCTTGGCATGGTCGCTGGCGCACTCGCCATGGATGTTCAGGACCAGGCCCTCCTCCTCCATGGCGGCGAAGACCGGGTAGAAGGCCTCGTAGTCTGTGACGCCCGAGTCGGAGTTGGTGGTGAGGCCCTGCGGGTAGGACTTGATGCCCTCCAGGCCGGCCTTTTTGGCCTCGCGCACGACCTCGGGGGTGATGGACGGGTGCAGGTAGAGGGTCATGAGGTAGGTGACGGTGGGGTCGAGGGCGTGCAGGCGGTCCTTGTAGGCGAGGGCCTGGGCGACGGTGGTCACGGGGGGGACGAGGTTGGGCATCACGTATGCCACGCTGGAATGATGGGTGTGTGAGAGGTTGTATGAGAGGAATGTCTCTAGTTGTGGTGTTTGGCCTCGTGAGAGGGGGCGCAGAAGAGGGAGATGAAGGAACCTACTTGACGCCGCCCTGCCGGATCGTAGGTACAACAGCTGCGGACATGGCACCGTCTCTGAGGTGGACATGAAAGTCCGCTGCTGCTGGCAGCTCATACTTGGTCGGGAGAGGCATGACGTTTCAATATCTCGGTGGCCTCGTTGGGGGATAATTTATAATGTGACTAAATTCCTATGCAAAGTATCAGCTGCCGTTCATATAAAAATAACTAGTAACGTCTGTTTTCCCTCTTCTCCGTCTTCCTTTTTTTTTTTTTTTTTTTTTTTTTTTTTTTTTTTCAATTTTCTCCCTTCCATTCTGATTGGCCATTGCTTACAAGCTCAAAATGTTCTGTAACTTCAGAAGTACCGTGCGTTGCTACAATGACTTGTCAACTCTGGTCATCTAAAGCCTTTGCCTCCTGCGGACAGAATTGCACCCAAGTAAGGCAAAACTGTAAGTGCAAATTTATGTTACATATGAAATATGAGCTTGGACTCGACAAAATCCACCCGATGTAGTTCAGCGCCGGCCAAGAAAAGTTAGCGTCTTGCGGCTGTTCTTCGGATGAGCCTCATCTGCAGCACTGGAGGAAATTTAGAGATCCTGGACTGTCAAGCACAATTGTTACTTTTCTTCTTTCTCTTTATCCGACGCATAAAGAAGGAGTGAATGAGTGAGACCCCTTTCCTGAACCCTAGGAAAGGTGTATGTACAGAATATAGCAAGAAGAGGAAGAAGAAAAAGGAGAAGAAAACAGTAGGGTTCATTCATCCTCGAGCTTTCTTCCACGATGCTTGCTTACGTATAATTACAGCTAACTGTAGACAGGTCACCTTAGATCAAGTCATGACATTTGTATTCATCTTCAATAGAATTTACTTTAGATTTCTGCCAGAGAAACACTCGAGAGTCAGCTGCGTTCAGTATCCATAACAATTTATGGTAATGGTGGTGAGATATTCCATAGAACGTGCTTACTTTTCCTTCATGAGTTATCGAATACTTCCACTGCTAGTGAGGGGTGGGTCGACCCCTGCCGGCCATCTGCCTGGTGGGGTGAAATGGGGCTAAGGTGCCCGCCTTCCAACCGTCCGGGGTAAGCTATCATAGTACCAGCAACAACACCAACACACTCTCCACCAACGTCACCTCTACAAACCAACCCACTCCTCGTCCTCCACAGCTGCACGATTGCAGCTTCCTCTCTCCTCTTTCTGGACTGTCGGGATCAGAGTCCATTCCTTGCCCGCCACTGAAGTATGCTTCTCTGAGAGCGACATCATTCCTTTTCCTCCCCGATCTTTCCTCCTCACAGATTCATAAAAGGCACCCCCACGGCGCTGCGACCTCAAAACCTCAACACTCGATTCCAAACTCTGAGAACCCACACCCACACAAATATCTCGACCTACCGAAGCTCCACCATGGGGGACGCGGCCTCTATCCTCTTGGGATTTCCTCCCGAAACCTCCTCCCCGGACGAAGAGTTCTACGATCAGGCTATCAGCCTTCATATCAAGAAAGTCGACGAGCTGCTCTCTTCCAGGAAAGCCGCGGTCCAAGGAGACGAGGCCATCCGACTCCTCAAAGTGCGCAACTCCCCGACAGACCCCCTCACGTTCTCAAAGCTAACCCCTCGGAATCCACATCGGCAGCTCCTGAATCCCGCCGCGCATTCCATCTCCTACCTTGCGATCCTTGATTCCCTCAGCGACTATGACGGCTTCCCAGTCGAGCAGAGAGCCCAGGCTCTGATCGACTTCTTCCTGGCCTTCGACCCTAGACAGATACGCTACATAGGTAGCATGTTCTCAGAATGGCTAACACGCGTGAGCTCGGAGAGCTTCCCCCTTCCGGTACGCAACTGTCTCCCACTATTCTCTGTTCCCTGTCATACGGCGCTCCTTCTAACACTGTATCATCTCTTCGTAGCACGACCTCAAGGTCTCCTTGCTCGCCCGAGCCATCTTAAAGCTCGACCCCGCCAACTCGATGCTCACCTCCCACCACCTCACCCTTGTCAATCTCGCCTTCGACACCGATAACCCCGAGTCTGCCTTCTATGTCACCGATCGACCGGTTGTTTACTTCCCTGGTATGGCCAGGGACCAGAATACCTCCAGGCCCAACAGACCTCTCTGCGACATGACGCTTCCACCAACAGAGTACATCACCGAGGAGACCGGCCTCACCCTGAAGCTAGACGTCGAGCGCGTTCTGGAGTACGAATTTGTTTCCGGCCTGCTGTACTGTTCAAGAGGCTACTGGGCGAGCGCACGTGAAGCCTTCGAGCGGGTCATCACGCACCCTACACGTGATGGCGGTGTCAGCAAGATCATGACGGATGCTTATGATAAATGGCTACTGACTAGCCTCCTCGCAAATGGCGCTGTGCCCGAGACACCCACTCACGCCGGCGCCAATGCGCAGAAGGCGTACGAGACTCTAAGCCAGCCATACCTGGCAGTCGTGTCTTGCTTTGAAGAAATGACTGCTGTGGAACTCAAGGAGGAAATTGAGAAACATGCACAGATCTGGCGAAGGGATCGGAATACTGGTCTCATGCAGGAGGTCCTGGCGGCCCACCAGAAATGGCAAATCATGGACCTACGCGATGTTTACTCCAAGATCTCCCTCTCAGACATACATGAGGAGACTTGCAGCGCAGAGACCGGCGAGGCCTTACCAGATGTTGAGGACGTCGAGGCCCTGATACAAAGCATGATCCAGTGTGGCATGCTGAAGGGTGTCATCGAGAAGCCCGACGGCAAGCCGCCCTACCTGAGATTCCTGCCGGTGTCGGAGGATCTCTCTGAGGCCGAGTATCAGCGCGAGCTGGCGTCTGCTGTGCAGAGGATGAAGGAGCTGAAGGACATTTACACGACTACGAATGCCCGGTTGAGTACCGATCCCAACTGGATCAAACATTTGATCCGCGAGCAGAAAAGGGAGAAGGAGGGCGCTAACCAGGGCCCGACCGCGGGTTTCGAGGCTCAGGTCGAAGATGAGGATTTGATGTCGGGCGTGGTATCTGGTAGCGTATAGAGTACCGGGCCAGTGGCGGCCGCTCTCCCAGAGCTCAAGGGAGTGAAACGCAGATTCTCATCAGAGATGGAAATGAGTGACGAACACCGGTCTGACGACTCGTAGGCCGAAACCTGGTCTGCCTGCCTCCCCATAGAAGACGTGAAGCCTCGGAGACCGAAAGTGGCACGTATCAACATTCAACTTGAACACTACCTGTCGCGCATTCAGGTTTCGGCAACGTCTTTCTCTCTCGCAAAAACATCACCCCAGCTTGCGGTAAAAACCGAATCGAGGGAAGGAAAATGTGTGGGCTCCCTCAGCGACGTAGGGGGGGTTTTCTTGGGGGGGGGGGGGGGGGTGAGGGCAGAGGTGGTTGGATTGCTTTATTGTAATGATGCAAACTCAGCTCGGCGTTCAGAGGGGGACTAAACCAGGAGCGAAGCATTCCCAAAGGGTGTGCTCCTCCTGCATTGACTATTGGCTGTAGGGAGCCTGACCGGCCGAAAGCATACACATGCTTTCTAAGAAGCTCAGGTGGAGGCTACAAGCGAGGAAAGATTAGATGTGGCCTTCCCAGCTGTGGTAGAATGGGATAACTGGAACCATAGGAAATTGAATTACAAATTCACGTACAACATGGTTTCACGATAATCTTTGCGGGGGAGGGGGAGATGTCTTTTTGTAGCACATCTGGGACCTCACTGTCAACCGCGAGGGAATCGGTAGTCTTCACATGGGGCCAAGACATGAGACGTCAAATGTGGGCAAAAAACGGAACATGGGTTCATTCGTTCTCACTTTTACTACCGTGGACATCTCAGCTCTCAACATGATGTGCAGTACCAAACCAATTACAAATTTGCCTCTCCTTTTTCCCTTCTCGCAGATGAATATCAGTAACAGACTAACAGCATCTCAGTGACCCTTCATAACAATGTAAAAATCAAAACAAGCAAGCCGTGTCTCGTACTTCGTTACGAGCCGGTTGATGCGAATACCCCTTCCCGCCCTCAGATCATTTCATACTGCTTGATCATCTCGGTCAGCTTCTTGGCCTCGGCAACATAGTCGAGCGGCCCTGCACTCATGACCTGGTATCGGACGCTGCCCAGAAACATGTTAGTAAGTGATTTCATTGCTTAATCGAACAAGACTCTCTCTTGTCTCCTGGAAAGACTTACCGAGGGGTGTCCTGGAAGGTATCCATCTTAGCCCTACATCTAAAGCTCAACTTTTTGCAGTTGGCTGCCTCAAACTCGGCCGCGAACTGCGTCTCGTCCTCATCTCTGAGCGCCATCAGTTCGTCTGCAGACCTGCCCATGATGACCCTGCCCACGTCATCGAAGCAGCTCAACCACAACTGACCAGTGTGGTCGTTCACATTCACCGACATGATATAGCGGTACTCGGGTCGATCATGGGTGACGTTGCACTTCTCGCACCGCCAGCCTTCGCCGCTCGAGTTGTCTACCTTCTTGTTGCAGCCCTGCGTGAGGCACGCAGCGTAGGCAAAGTTCTCCTGCTTGATATACACGACAGTAGCCTTGAGTGTGAAGTAGGCAGTGTCCTCCATGCCCAGGTTCTGGTCCTTCACTTGGAAGATGTTCTTATCCTCGTCCTTGCGCCCGGCCGCGTTGCCCATAGAGGACATGTTGTGCGTGGCGAAGTTGTCGTTCCGGCCGGAAGCATCATACCATCCCTTCAGCTTGTGGCACTCTGGAATATCCGGGTCGACAGCCATGGTCCCCGAGGAAAGAAGCGACAGAGACCGACCACCAAAGTCGGACACGCGCACACCCTTGAAAGCGATGACGGACTCGGTTCTGGCGTCAAAGTTAGTGGCTGTCTTGCCCCAGATCGTCACCCTCACAGAGTAGCCGCTGTCATCGACGATAGTGAGTTCCCGCTTGTCGTATGGCTTTTGAGTAGTCTTGGACGTAATCTGGCTGACTTCCTGCGCCTCCTTCAACACACCGATCACGTCGACCGTGGTATCCTTCTCCACGTCGTTCAAAGCCTGGATGCCACAGAAGTTGAAGCGGACCTGTGGGACGTTGGACTGGTCCTCAGCCTTCTCGATGACGGTGTCGCGCTCAAAGGTAAGCTCATAGTCGTTGGGAAGATTCGAAAACTGCTTCTTGGCGAGCCGAATCGAGCAAGGGTTGGAGATGTAGTAGACCTGGCCCTCCTGCAGGAGGTCGTGGAACTGATCCACCTGGTCGTTGAAAGCAGTGGCCTTGATCTCGCCACTCTCATCTAGCAGGTTCACACTGAAGAGCTTGCCTTCGCCCGTGTTCTTGTGCCATGTCTTGATGTCTGACTTTGCGCTCACACGAGCCTTGATCGTCCACTTGTGTGCATACGGTGACAGGGCCTCGATGGGGTAGATGACGTTGTTACTATTGTGAGATCCGCCCCCTCTCGTCGCCTGCATCTCCCTCCTGGGCGCCGGGGCGGGTTTAGTATCTTCCTGTTTTGTCCCGTAGAAGCCAGTGCCAGCGATCGTGTTGTCGGCCGGTTCTCCGGCCTTGGACCCGAAGGAGACGGGGTCGCCCAGCTTGTCGGGCGTGCCGAGGGACTCGATGACCTCAAGGTCGAGGATGATCAGAACACTGTTTGCGCGAAGCTCAGTCAGTTGCAGGTCTTCGGCCTGGCAGGGGGGTTTAAGGTTGTATACTCACTCCTTGTCCTTGACCCTGGTGGGGTTGTAGGACTTGACGCGCACGATGGAGCCCTTGACAAGTTTGCCATCGTGAACGACATGATTCGTCTGGGTAGCAAGCATGCACTGGCAGAAGTTGATGGTATCGCTGAGAATTAGACGATAACGTTCACCACCACCACCCTGTTGCTGTATCATAGGCTTGAGCTGTAGACACTGCAGAACGATGACCGGAAGCTCTCTGCCCGCCTTCTCTGCGTCGCTGAAGATGGATCTGCAGCATATCATTCAGCGTGAGCATAAGACACAATCGGGAAAAGATGGCCCAGCATGGAGGTTAAAACTTACTTCAGGGCGCCTCTGGTGATATGACTTGCAGCGTTAGCCATCTTTGTCGACTTGAGCCTTGGATTTGTTGATGATCAGGTGGTTGTGTACGACAAGGCAGCAGAATGAATGTTTGGTGGGGAGCACGATGCGGGAGGGGCGAGGTTGTTTAAAAAGGCTTATTGGCCCAGCACCCGAGATGAGACGCGTCTTTGGAGATGCCCAAACGCGTCGGCTTAATTGTTCGATTTAGTGGCCGCGTGGGGCGAGGATAGCACGACAGGGGGTAGGGTACAAGGCACTATACAGCACCGATGGGCACTAAGCCGGCCTGTGAGGGAGGGGCAGTGACGTACCTCTCGCCTGCCAGTGACACGCGGGGAGGGGTGCACCGCAATTAGAGTGCCGCGTAGCCAGGAGGTACTCAAACCAGCATCGAGCCACTGTCTCATGTTTCCTTCGTCTGTCTGTCCCCATCTCAAGCTGCCGTCTTCTTCATCGTGCATCGGCCAGTATCCAGGGCTCGTTAATCCATTCACTCACACCCAGATTAGCCTTTCTTCGTACTCTCTCGAAGCCGACCATGGCCGACGCTGATGTTGCGACCAAGGCGCCTGAGAGCGATGCTCAGGAGGACGTCCAACAGCCTACCGATTCAAGCGCTGCTGAGGAGGGTCCAGCACAGCCCAAGATGGGAGAGCACTGTGTGACTGATAGACCAACTCGTTCGTCCCCTTTCTCCTCAGAGTCGTCTTTCTCGGGAAACTGCAGCATCAGTGCGCAATCTACATGCTGACTGTAGACTTGTTCTCGCAGCGAGCGGCGAGGGCCCAACTGGAGAGATTAGGAAGCTCAACGACATCGACGTGAGTCACTGTCCCTAGGAACCCACTTTCCAGGATCAACATACCCATTGACAAGTCTTCTTCTCGTTCAAGGTCTACGTCTCCAAACCCAGCGAATACCCCCACGTACCGGCACGACTGCTGCTGCTTCTGACTGGCGGGACGGGCCTGAAATCCGCCAACAATCAAATACAGGCCGACAGGTTCGCCAGCGAGGGCTACTTAGTGGTGATGCCTGACCTTTTCCAGGGTGATGTAGCGCCCAACTCCACAACGGTCGATGCAGAACAGGCAGCCGAGGGCACCAGCTCTTTCCTCGACACTTTCAAAATCAAGGCGGCCGAGACTGCCAAGAGCTTTCTGATCGATATGTGGCTGGCAAGGCACACCGAGGAGAAGGTGCTCCCCATCCTGCACAAGGTCATCGATGGGGCCAAGGATGAGTTCGCGGATGCCGTCTCAAACGGGGGTGGGATTTATGCTGTGGGGTACTGCTTTGGTGCAAGATACATCCTACTCTTGGCTGCGGAGCGGAAGCCGGTCGTCAGCGGTGGATTCCTGGGTGGAGCGCCCCAGCCTGCAGATGAGGAGGCGGGTGCTTCTGCGAATAACGGCCCCTTCATCAAGGCGGGCGCGTTGGCCCACGCGACTCTCGTGGCAAGGGAGGACTTCGATGGGCTCAAGGTCCCAGTGAGCCTGGTCTGCGTGGAGAATGATCCTATGTTCCCAGACGATGTACGGACGTACGGCGAGAACTATTTAGCGAAGACGAGCGTTGAGCACGAGGTCCAGGTCTACCCGGGAGTGCCCCATGGTGAGCTACACCCCAATTGCTACCCCTATGCAACATCCGAATGTGAACATCACTTAACTTTTACATCTAGGCTTCGCAGTTGTTGGTGACTATGAGGACGGCACCATCAAGGAAGCGCAGAGGACCGCGTTTGAGCAGATGTTAAAGTGGTTGAAAGATCACTAAAACCCCTCTGGGACATGATTACAATGGGACGCAGGTATGGCAGCTTTCAGCTATGATTTGAGGGTTGCTCAGGCTTTCCAGATATGGTACCCTCGTGAGAGACCGAATTCATGATTATGGTCAGCACTTTGTGCTTCCAGACTTGTGTCATTTTACAGTCGAACACCGCGATTGAATTACAGCACAGCGAGAAATATTCTGCTTATTCGAAGCAAATGAGAGTTGATAGAATTCCAGCCAAGTAAGCTGTTGTTCGCCTCGACGTCGACATCGTGCACTATGGATAAGCCTTGCGAACAAACATCGGTTTAAGTTGAAGAATATGCTCAGGTCTAAATCGTGAGGAATTCGCTCGCATCCTAGCGAAAAACGCTCCTGAGATTCGCGCCACTTCATCTTATCCAGAGTACACTTTGAACCTTGCACAGTCTCGCAGGCTACAAAGCCCCCACGAAGCAAGCGCTTGCCACGACACATACATACGAGGAACCACTTGTGGCTTGCCGCGCAGGACAGTAGTCATGATCATCGAAGCCCATGGGATAGGGTAGCAGCAGTGTCACTTGCGTAAGCAAACATAATATCGTGGGGACGGACAGGGCTGAAAAGACGACTGCAACCCTATGTCCTGTGTTCTTGGCCATCACTAACACCACCGGCCGGATGCAATCAGGCGGACAAAAGGGCTGGTGAGATGAAGGGAGGGAGGGTGCGTTGGGCCCAGTCTGGCCCAGAACAGCCCATCAATAGTTCCGTGACACAAGCCGCCACCAGGCTAACCCACCCCATTGCAGGCTGTGGGTACACACACACACAAATGATGCAGCGCCTTTGGCCCAGCCTGTGTGGTGCATACTGACTGAGCCCCCCCCCGCAGTGAGGATCACAGGAAACTGCGGCAACAGTTACTCTTCTGTTCACGCAAACAATCCCCAGGATAAAGTAAGTAACTCGTATATACTCGATCGAAACACACAGTACGAGGCCAGCTGCCCCAAGAGTCCAGCACCACCACCAATATCTTAAAAGGCTAGAGGTCTCCATGGGGGGCGCAAGTGGTACAGAAGACAAGTGACCTTTGGACGGAACGGACGGCCGCCCGCCTCTCCCCCGCGCAAGCCTCTTTCTTTCGCCACGTTGTACACCGTCGGGTCCTAGCTGGAGTTTATGTGCGACGGAAAGACGTAGGATGGAACGCGCCGCCAGGAGAAAAGGGGGGGGGGGAGGGTGAGCAGGGATCCGAGGTTGGATTGGGCGGCAGGAAGGATTTTCTGGGGGGAATGAATTCGTAGAGAAGAGAGGTCTGTACTCGAAACAGAGGAGATACGTTTTGCGGCACCGTTGCGCCCCATCTCTTCTCCGTCTGTCCGTCTTATCTCTCTCTCTCTCTCTCTCTCTCTCTCTCTCTCTCTCTCTCTCTCTCTCTTCCTCCTCGTGCCCACTCGGTGGAACAGAGGACAGTGAAGTCAACATGTGCAGCCCTCCCTCCCGGCCCCAGGCTTAAGTAGCCGTTACGCACTCAACGAGAGGAGAAGGGTTACCGAGCATCGATGAGCGGGCGCTACGGGGATGTCTACGAGGTAGGCGGCGCTCGAGCATCAAGGAGGAGAAGAGCAACCTGGACAGAATTTTCTCCCCCAAGATGGCTGGGGTGAGTAGTACATAAAAAAAGCCACAGGATCTTCTCCGTGTACAGATCGACAAGGTCTCGCCTTGGGTTGCGTGCGTATGCAAGGAGGATCTTCCATGGTTGCAAAGGGCGGACACGACAAGGGGGGATGGGGGAAGACGAAAGGGCTGGCACACAAGCTGTACGGCACCGTACACAGTATTTCTCTGCAGCTGAAGGGGGGGGGGGAGGGGGTCTCTTACACAAGGCATGTCCGACAATGGGTTGGGCAAGTTGAGTTGGGTGGGACCCGTTAATCTATCTGTATGGCCTAGGCTATTGGATGATGGTTTGCATTGCGTGTGATGGTTATAAATTGGACATTGAAGGGGGGAGGGGGCGGTAATGGTGAATGAATACTGTTATCACAGACATGGATAATGCATGCCGACAGCACAAGTCATGATGGTAGTAAGCCATCTTCTTGGCGTATAAGCCCAGGGTTCAGAATGACAAGAGTTGCTTCGTAGTGGTGGTGTTCTGGTGTCCATGTCCTTTGCAAAGAAGCTAAGACCCCCCACGACCAGCACTGTGTCTATCAGTCAAATCAAAATGCCGGACTTTGCAGTACCTACTCTAGGAGCTGTTTAAAATTCCCCATGCCCAAAGAAACCTTCCGTGTGCTCCCGTATCTTCCGAGACGCCATCTGAAAAGAAAGAAAAGAAAAAAAAGTTCTAGTCTTCTTCTCCTTCTTCTGAGATATTCAACACCGCGTTCTTCTATGCAGAAGCTATGCATCTACCCCTTTCCCGACACGCGTGTTCATGCTGTGCTCTCCTCCCAAACAAAGCCCAAGACCTGTACACAAGCTTAGTAGATGACAGGTCGTGACGCACAAGGCCACGCGAGGCAGTAAATGCACTGAAGAGGAAGCCCATACTCTGCAGCAAACAATGCATGCTCAGTGACAAGTAACAGAACACCTCAGGCAGCCAACGACTTGCGGGTGACGATGGACCGGAAGAGAGGAGGGAGAGGAATCGGGAAGGGGAGAGGGGAGGCGCTTCTGAAGGCTGGTTTATGGTCTTGTGTATGTTTTCACGAGGCTGGCTTCTTTGCGAACGCGCCAAGAACACTCGCCTGCCCTTTGGAGGCGACCTTGAGAGTAGCGAATCTTGCTTCAGGCAGGCGACGGCCCGCCTTGAGACTCTCGAGAACCCTGTGGTATAAATCCATTCAGTCAGCGATCTGCGTAAAAACATCCCAGAGACGGTCGTTCAGAGCACCACCAAGATAGCAATGCAACATGGAGAGAGGAGTTTCTTGTGGAGGAGGAGGAGGGAACCAAAACTAACCACTCGACGCCGACGAACTTAATACCACGGCCACCCACCCGACGGACCTCCTTCTCGAGTTTCCCGCCCGCGAGTCCTCCTCCAGCGCCAACACCGACGCTGTTCGGTCCCGATGGCCTCCCCAGGATGACGTGTGTGACCTGCCGCCTCCCGAGGTGGATGGACATGCGGGCGCCGTGCTCGACGAGGATGTGCTTCAGCTTGTGGTCGCTGATGAGCGGGTGTGTGGAACCGTTGACGTAGATGACCAGCCCACTAAATATCTTGCTGCTGCTGCTGCTGCTGCTGGTGGTGGTGTTGTCTCGGTCTTGGGCCGTGGCTGACTCATGGTCACGACTGCCATCATCACCACCAACACCATTGGCGTCATCGGCGTCGTCGTCGTCGTCGTCGTCGTCGTCGTCGTCGTCCTCCTCCTTCTTCCGTGTGGTCATCAACTGCTGCTCTTCCTCATGTCTCTTCCCACCAGGTGACATGCTCCTGTCATTCCTCGGCTTCATAGTCCCCGGCCTCTGTAGCATATCCATGACACTCTTCGCCGCCCGCGTCTTCACCTCCTTGGGGACAAGCATGTTCCTCTCCTCATCAAAGTCCTCGGAGCCATGGCCGACGGCATCCGAGAGCCGCGTGCCGCCCGTGTTGCCCGCGGCCAGCTGGCTGTGCAGCTTCCAAGTACGGTTCTCGCGCCAGCCCTGGGGGCCTTTTGTCTCGGCGCGCTGGTGGCCGAGCGAGACTGCGTTCCAGGGGTCGAAGTTGCGGCCATGTTTGGGCTGGGCGGCCTTGGGGAGGGGGGCCCTTGAGGGTGGAGGCATCGTAAAGTAATTGAGAGAATGGAGGAGTGGTGTGGTTGGCTGCCTGCTGTAGTCATGTCATGGCTGCTTTCTTTCTCGTGTGGTTGTCATGCCTACGTGTCAAGAAAAGGAAGACGAAGAAAAAGAGGGATGTCAAGTTGTGGAGGTAAGGAGAGCCACACGCGCGCTAGGATGGGCCATCTATTTTTTCCCTTTGTCACCACTGCTGACTTGTGGCGTCACGATCTTGGCCTTGTCGCGGACGGGCGCGTTTCTTAGCGGCGCGCCATGATTCGCGCGGTCATGTGAGCACCTTCTCCGTCACCAGCACCCCTTTCTTTGCCTCCCGTTGACTTGTCAACATGGGATTTCACTCTCCTTTCCCCTTACACCAACCTTTTGAACCTTCCACAACCCCCTTACCAACAATGCACGACACGGGAATAGAAGTCATCGTGGCACCACCATCTTACTTGACCGAACATACTGATAGGCAGTGACTGCACATTGCATCTATCCCAAACAGCAATCAATCAATCAGCCCACCCTTCTCTCCCAAAACCCTGAAACATCTCAGGGGTGAAAAGAGACCCTCACCACCACCCACTCTCACACTCTCATCTTATGACCCCATGATCTGCACCCTCTCGTTCAAAAGAGCGGGTGCTCGGCAAGGTAGTCCGAAGGAGAACGTCAGTTTCACTCACAGAAGAAACAAGACCATGTCCGTCTCGGCGCACTCGGCCGACGACGACGACACCACACACACTCTCGCTCCCTATTTCTGCAGTAAGTAAGGACTTTCAAGTAAGTTGCAGGAAACGGACATGATCGCACATACTTGACGTGACATTCTATACCGACCACTACAACAGAATAAGCCACGACAGCTCCGTCTTGGTCCTGTACGAGGTGCACTGACGGCAGTAGTATGTTTCGAGAGAGCACCCATGACACCTGCGGTTAACCTCACCCCATCCATCCATCTCGTCCGAATCCAACGCTTGCTTCGGATCCGAGGTCACACGATTGAGTTTGGACGTATGCACGATGTTGTCTCGAGCAAGGTATGTTCGTCTCTTTTGTCCCCCCCAAACTTGTTGGATCTGGACCGAAGCAATAGCAGACAAACCTGGCTCGATAAGTACGCAGGTAGAAAGTGTAAACCCCTCTCCTCCCACCCAAAGAAGAACTCAACCCCTTAACACCCCCCCCCCTTTTTTTATTTATTTTTTTTATTTTTTTTATTTTATTTTTTGCCTTCTCCCATCTACATATCATCTCTCACGACACAGAAATTTTTAGAGGGATGGTGGTATTGGTCGAGCCCTATGATGCTGAGCAATGGTTCGCTTCGCGCAGTAGCAGTAGCAGAAACAGGACCATCATCCTGCCCTGTCAAAAATCACACACACTCCCCCACGTTCTTGTTTCGGTGACGGCAGCGGCAGTTGGTTTTTCCTTCCTCCTAATCGTCTTGCTTGCTCACTGCCCAGACACCTTGTGCGTGCCTGCGTCCATCCTGCGCCCTGCATCTGCGTCAAACACCACGCGCTGCGGCACGAGGCGACAGGTCTGATCTTACCTGTCGCAGGGCGTCCCTCCGAGATTATACTAGATAAAGTAACAAGTCACAAGGCGGGACAAGACAAGAACCGGACTGTCCGTCCTGCATTGCATGATGCCTAGGCTGTTGAAAGTTTTGTGTCTTGTGTGTGTGTGTGTGTGTGCGCGTGTGTTTGTCTTTTATTTCTCCCCATCTGCATGTCATTTCATCATCTCTTTGCGGCCAAGTATAATCAACTATAATGGCAACATGGGAAGGGGACGGCAGTGCGGATCTTCCAGGGTGTCTCGCACGCAACAAAGACGTACAGAGCACAGAATTGTGCGACGGTATGTATGCTATGGTAATATTTACGACCTGGACTGTGTCTATCTGAGAAACTCATGTTCTATCGAAGACAAGGGGATAAAGAGGAAGAAGAAGAAGAAGAAGAGAGAGAGAGAGAGAGAGGACACAAAGAGAGAACCGCCTCCAGCCGCCAATCTGGTCCTAGCACAGCCGGAACGTTTATTCTCCCCCCTCCCACCCCCTCCCTCCTCATGACCCTCAGCTAGGCTTCCCTTTCCCGTGCTCACGACAGACGGGTAAGCAGATGATAATGCTGTGCCTCATGCAGCAGCAGCACACCGTTACGTGTGACACCAAAAAGAGAAAGAAAAAGAAAAGGATAAGAGAGGAAAGGGGTGGCGGGAACAACCAACATGACAAATCCGGGGTCCAACCTTGTGTTCCCCGGATCGGCGTGATATTGTTGGTCCTTTAATCTGTCTCCACCGTTGTCAAGTAAAAAGTAAAAAAGATTATAGAGCAAGGAGCATTTGGTGACATGAATGATAATTTTACCCCCATATGATGTACATGTGTATAAACTGTGGTAGTAGGAACATGCTTGATCATCCTCATTGCTGCAGGTGTTAGATGTCTTTGCCTCTGCACGTGCACATACACATACAACACACACACACATACACAGCCCGAGGCCATATGCACCCTCGTGATTCTTTTTTGTTCAAATGAACAATTGTTGGGTGGCTGGGACATGGTGGTTTTGGGTTTTTTTTTTTTTTATCTCTCTCTTTCTCTTTCTTTCTCTTTGCTCCGACCAGGGCTTTTTCACCGGTCCCTCTACTTGTCTCGTAAAAATTTTAACGACCTTCCCTTTTGTCCATATACCCTGTCCCTCCTGTCCTGCCCCATCTCTTCTTATCAGCGGCAAGCCGAGCGAGGGAGACAAAAGAGGCTTGGAAGGGGGGGGGAAGAGGAGAGGAAAAGAGGAGGGGATACAGCTATACTCCCCTCCCCCTCCTCTCTCTCTCATCCCTAACCGACCCATGGGTCTGACTAGGCAGCTAGCTGGGGCAAGTCGATCTTTTTCGATCGTCCCGGGTCATCGAGCACACACCAGGCTGCCGTGTTGTCTTGGGTCGCCTGATCAGTGATGCCATACCATCCATCCAATCCATCCAGTTCCGTCATCCCAGTATTCAACTATTTCCATGGAACATCATGGGAGAACTGCAACTAGCCCCAGTGAGTGACTTGCCAAGAAAAAGAATGAAAAACAAAAAAAAAGAATGAACCAACCAAAATAAGAGTAATTAATATTAACCATGAAGAAAAGAAAAAAAAAAACCCCTAGGTCAGGCGCGGCAGTGCCAATTGTTTTATTCTGGCTGGGGTGCTCCGCCTCCCCCCGGGCTAGAGAACACCGCCGCACCAACCCACTACGACGGCGCCACCGATGAATACCACTTACACACCACAACCACCACCTCATACATACACACACACACACACACACACACACAAGGCCAGAGGCTGAAACATGTTCAAGGTGGGACGGGCAACGATGACAAGTTGAAAGAGTTGCGGTGTGCAGTTTAGAGTATGAAAAGAGAAAGAGACGAAGGGGGGGAAAGAGAATGTGTGTGTGTGTGTGGGGGGGGGGGGCGGAGGTTGTAAGTGTGTACGCCTCAAGAAGGGCGGAGAGAAGAGAGGGAAGAGTGGGCATGACTAGACCAGATCAACACACCCCCTCAAGTGTGCACATCAAACAGTTTTTCGGAGACGGCAGAGTAATGTAATGTGTATTATTGAGCATCCTCCCCCCCCCCCCCCTTCTCAAGCAATGACGTTGGAAAAAAGCAGGACCATTTCTCAACAAAGGGTGGTCCAGACCCAAGACAAAAACCGAACCGACCTTGTCTCGCGTCTGCCGTGGGGCCGTTTTCTCCTCCTCCTCCTCCTAGACAACGCACGGCATCAAGTCAAACCACTATAGTACTACTAGTAAAAGAGCAATTATAATAATTGTAACACATGGTAGTTCAGCCCACCCCTTCGATTCAGCTCACGGAAGGGCCCGTAAACCTCCTGTATCGAGTTTCAATACAACGGGGGAATCTTCCTCTTTCGGGACCCCCCCCCCCTCCCGTCTTCGATTTCTCTCTCTGGAGATAGAAGGAGAGGTGTGGGGGGGGGGGATCAGACGAAAGATCTACGTAGCAGCAGCAGCAGTAGTAGTAATCATACTGTTTACTTAACCCCCCCCCCCCTTTCAAAAGGACCACTACCACCCTCCCTCTTCCAAGAGGCGGCAGCATCAAAAGCGGCAGCGGCAGCAGTCAGCACAAGCACGAGTAGGAACTATTTTGTGGGGTGGATGAAAAGAGGTGGGAGGGCCTGCGGGCAAGACATGTTCGGGAGCGGGAACAGCATTTTTGCCTTCTCCTTCCTTCCTGCCTCTCGGCCGCTGCCCTTATTTCTAGTTCAGAAGAATCCTTTGAGCTGGGGTAGTGTGTGTGTGTGTGTGTGTGTGTGCGTGTGTATGTGTGTATGTCTGCATGTCTTCTCTTGGAAATAAAGGTAATAATAAAAAAGGGGGAAGAGAGGTAAGAAGAAAAAGAAAAAAGAAAAAAACAGCCAACCAGGATTATGCTGTCCGAATCCTCCTCCTCCCCCCTCGGATCCGGAGAGGAAAAAGCAGGGGAGCCGTCGGATGTACACGAGCGTACTAGGGAAGCTGTCCCGTCTTCTTTTTCACTCCCGTTCTGCAATGTGAGATTGTTGGATCCCTATAGGGAAAACGCAAGTGTGTGTGTCTGTGTGTGTGCAGCGCCCCCGGGGGGAATTTTTTGGGGGGGGGGGCAATGCACGCAGGCTTGCCTTGCTTGGTTGGGGGGCCCTGCAAGATCAAACCCAGATTTGCTTTTTCCCTGAACGTGCGTATGAATGTATAGGTAGGGGTGTATGTGTGTGTGTGTGTGTGTGTGTGTGTGTGTGTGTGTGTGTGTGTACGTACGTATGTATGTATGTATGTATGTGTGTACGTGTGTGTGTAAAAATGTGTTGCTAACCCCCCTATATCTTAACAACTTCTTTTTTCCCCTCTTGGCATGGGTTGCGACGACGACGACGAGACCAGACTGAACACCGTGCCGAAACAGTTCCAAGCAGCAGAAGGCGTGCATCATCGCACACACACGAACGACAAGCACAACAACAACAACAGCGGGAGGTCGCTGACAATGATGACGTGCATGCGTTACGGCTA